ATAGTCTTTGCATGAAAACGTGAACTATAGTCTTTGCATGAAAAATCGTGATTATAGTCTTTTGCATGAAAATTCGTGAATTATAGTCTTTGCATGAAAAATCGTGAATTATAGTCTTTTACATGAAAAATCGTGAAATATAGTCTTTTGCTTGAAAAATCGTAAACTATGGTCTTTTGCATAAAAATTCGTGAATTATAGTCTTTTACATGAAAAATCGTGAACTATAGTCTTTTGCATGAAAAATCGTAAACTATGGTCTTTTGCATAAAAATTCGTGAACTATAGTCTTTTGCATGAAAAATCGTGAACTATAGTCTTTTGCATGAAAAATCGTGAACTATAGTCTTTTGCATGAAAAATCGTGAACTATAGTCTTTGCATGAAAAATCGTGAACTATAGTCTTTGCATGAAAAATCGTGAATTATAGTCTTTGCATGAAAATTCGTGAACTATAGTCTTTTGCATGAAAAATCGTAAACTATGGTCTTTTGCATGAAAATTTATGAACTATAGTCTTTTGCATGAAAAATCGTGAACTATAGTCTTTTGTATTAAAATTCGTGAACTATAGTCTTTTGTATGAAAAATCGTAAACAATGGTCTTTTACATGAAAAATCGTAAATTATAGTCATTTACATGAAAAAATCGTGAATTATAGTCTTTTGCATGAAAAATCGTGAATTATAGTCTTTTACATGAAATATCGTGAACGTTAGTCTTTTACATGAAAAACCGTGAATTATAGTCTTTTGCATGAAAATTCTTTAATTATAGTCTTTTACATGAAAATCGTGATTTATAGTCTTTTACATGAAAAATCGTGAACTATAGCCTTTTGCATGAAAAATCGTAAACTATGGTCTTTAGTATAAAAATTCGAGAATTATAGTGTTTTCCATGAAAACTCGTGAACTTTAGGGTTTTGCATGAAAAATCGTATTCTATGGTCTTTTGCATGAAAATTCGTGAACTATAGTCTTTCGCATGAAAAATCGTGAATTATAGTCTATTGCACGAAAATTCTTGAAATATAGTCTTTTGCATGAAAAATCGTAAACTATGGTCTTTTGCATGAAAATTTATGAACTATAGTCTTTTGCATCAAAAATCGTGAACTATAGTCTTTTGTATGAAAAATCGTAAACTATGGTCTTTGCATGAAAAACCGTGAACTATAGTCTTTTGCATGAAAATTTGTGAACTATAGTCTTTTGCATGAAAAACCGTGAACTATAGTCTTTTGCATGAAAAATCGTGATTAATAGTCTTTTGCAAGAAAATTGGTGAACTATAGTCTTTTGTGTGAAAAACCGTGAACTATAGTCTTTTGTGTGAAAAACCGTGAACTATAGTCTTTTGCATGAAAAACCGTGAACTATAGTCTTTTATATGAAAAACCGTGAAATATAGTCTTTTGCATGAAAAACCGTGAACTATAGTCTTTCGCATGAAAAAATCGTGAATTGTAGTCTATTGCACGAAAATTCTTGAAATATAGTCTTTTGCATGAAAAATCGTAAACTATGGTCTTTTGCATGAAAATTTATGAACTATAGTCTTTTGCATCAAAAATCGTGAACTATAGTCTTTTGTATGAAAAATCGTAAACTATGGTCTTTTGCATGAAAATTTGTGAACTATAGTCTTTTGCATGAAAACCGTGAACTATAGTCTTTTGCATGAAAAATCGTGATTAATAGTCTTTTGCAAGAAAATTGGTGAACTATAGTCTTTTGTGTGAAAAACCGTGAACTATAGTCTTTTGCATGAAAAATCGTGATTAATAGTCTTTTGCATGAAAATTGGTGAACTATAGTGTTTTGCAAGAAAATTGGTGAACTATAGTATTTTGTGTGAAAAACCGTGAACTATAGTCTTTTACATGAAAAACCGTGAACTATAGTCTTTTATATGAAAAACCGTGAAATATAGTCTTTTGCATGAAAAACCGTGAATTATAGTCTTTTGCATGAAAAACCGTGAATGAAAAATCTTTTGCATGAAAAATCGGGATTTATAGTCTTTTGCAAGAAAATTGGAACTATAGTCTTTTGTGTGAAATACCGTGAACTATAGTCTTTTGTATGAAAAATCGTGAATTATAGTCTTTTGCATGAAAAACCGTGAACTATAGTCTTTTACATGAAAAACCGTGAACTATAGTCTTTATATGAAAACCGTGAAATATAGTCTTTTGCATGAAAAACCGTGAATTATAGTCTTTTGCATGAAAAACCGTGAATGAAAAATCTTTTGCATGAAAAATCGGGATTTATAGTCTTTGCATGAAAATTTGAACTATAGTCTTTGTGTGAAATACCGTGAACTATAGTCTTTGCATGAAAAATCGTGAATTATAGTCTTTTGCATGAAAAACCGTGAACTATAGTCTTTCGCATGAAAAAATCGTGAATTGTAGTCTATTGCACGAAAATTCTTGAAATATAGTCTTTGCATGAAAATCGTAAACTATAGTCTTTGCATGAAAATTATGAACTATAGTCTTTGCATGAAAATCGTGAACTATAGTCTTTTGTATGAAAAATCGTAAACTATGGTCTTTTGCATGAAAATTTGTGAACTATAGTCTTTTGCATGAAAAACCGTGAATTATAGTCTTTTGCATGAAAAATCGTGAACTATAGTCTTTCGAATGAAAATTTGTGAATTATAGTATTTTGCATGAAAATTCGTGAACTATAGTCTTTTGCATGAAAATTCGTGAACTATAGTATTTTGCATGAAAATTCGTGAACTATAGTATTTTGCATGAAAATTCTTGAAATATAGTCTTTTGCATGTTAAATCGTAAACTCTTTGGCATGAAAATTTGTAAAAATGCGTGAACTATAATCTTTGGCATGAAAATGTGTGAAAATGCATGACCTATAGTCTTTGGCATGAAAATGTGTCAAAATGCATGAACTATAGTCTTTGGCATGAAAATGTGTCAAAATGCATGAACTATAGTCGTTGGCATGAAAATGTGTCAAAATGCATGAACTATAGTCTTTGGCATGAAAATGCGTCAAAATGAATGAACTATAGTCTTTGGCATGAAAATGTGTAAAAATGCATGACTATAGTCTTTGGCATGAAAATGTGTGAAAATGCATGAACTATAGTGTTTGGCATGAAATGTGAAAAATGTGAAAATGCATGAACTATAGTCTTTGGCATGAAATGTGTCAAAATGCATGAACTATAGTCTTTGGCATGAAAATGGGTCAAAATGCATGAACTATAGTCGTTGGCATGAAAATGTGTCAAAATGCATGAACTATAGTCTTTGGCATGAAAATGTGTGAAAATTTATGAACTATAGTCTTTGGCATGAAAATGTGTGAAAATGCATGAACTATAGTCTTTCATGAAAATGTGTCAAAATGAATGAACTATAGTCTTTGGCATTAAAATAACTGAAAATGTATAAACAATAGTCTTTGGAATCAAAATGTTTGAAAATATATGAATTTTACTCTTTTTTATGAAAATGTGTGAAAGTGCATGAACTATAGTCTTTAGCATGAAAATGTGTGAAAATGATTACTTTCTTTTGAATTATGTGCAGTAGTGTGAAACTGTTCCAGTTGAGAGCTTACAATTGAAAAGTAAGTGATCGGAAAAGGTCGATCACGCGACAATTTGCACTGAATGGAAATCAGCCTTAACACTAGCTAATAGGTTAGCACCAGTGCAATACTAACACCATAAGCACCAAAAAAGATTACTAAAATTTTTCCTGAGAAAACATAGTTGTCACTAAAACTAATACTAGTATTAAGACTAGCACAAAGATGAACACTAGTTAGCATTAAGATTTACCTAGCAATAGGACAATCATATAGACTAACACGAGCACTAAAACTAACACCATCGCTGAGACAAACACCTAAACTAAGAGAAACACCTTCACTAAGACTACACCAAGAGTAAGACTTACACCAGCATTTACACAAACAATAAGTCTAATATGACTATCATATTATTGGACAGTGGACATTATGTGAGCTATGCTGTCTGATGATATGTGATGCATATTTTGCATTGCTCATGCTAAAATATCAAAATTTGCAGTTCCCACTGGAATACTTAATACAAGCTTTGATAGTAAAAATAAACTAAACCTACCAAACTGCACCTTATGAAATATTATAAATAATTGCATGTATTTAAAAATTTCAACGCCAACAGCATGCTTCATTATGAAAAGTGCACTTAATAACCTAACAATCTTAGCATTCATTTTCATTACCATACAGTTAGTATTAGTTTAGTTTAGACTCAACTCTACTTCAAAATTCCTACAAAACTATTCTTGATCATATTAACCTTTTTGCCCAATAAGTCATAACCTAGTCTCCTGCTCCTAACCATGAATGATATACTACCCCCAAACAGGATGTCGGAACCGAGGGAGCTAAAGGGGCTCAGGGGGATATATCCCACTTGTTTTGCAACAACAAAACAAAAAAGATATTTAGACTGGGCTGTAGTTATTGTTTAGAAGTGTTTTTTAAGACATAGTAGAATTGAAGACTTAACGCCCCCACTTAATACGTTGCTCCGCCATTCCTGCCATAAATCCTATTCCTAACATTGACCAATTTTTAACCAAGCTTGATTTAATGAATCTTGTCTTCTCTGTTTCTTCAGCATTTTTCTTAAACTAAGAACTTGATTGATCTTGAGCTTGAAATCATGAAACAACGGCATGACAAACAAGCTTGAACTTTTTATGTACTTTTATTTCAATTAAGCAATAAGAATATCAATTATAGTTATCCAAGATATCTGAAGCAAAAACGATCAACACATTACACATCTGATTTTTACCTCATAAAATAAAACAACAGACACAGTATAATTTTGATTTAAAACAATTATTAAGATGAAGCAAGAGGAATCAATAAATAAAAGTACATAATAAAACCTCTAATTTGACAAGTTGAGCCAAAATACATGAACTTCCTATGGCCAACATCCGCCACATTGAATACTCAAATACGCTAACTAATTTATGTATATTTACTTCAGACAGAAAAAAAGTCTAAATACTTTTATGGCTATTGCTGGGCGAAATATATCAATTGTTTGAAAAAATAGTTATTCTAAATACATGATTTCAGGTCTGTGACTAAAACAACAAGTTTTTCTTCGTTTATGTGGATATCAACGTCAATCATAGAAAAAGACATGGCGAGTCAAGGCGGTATGTGTACGTTTTCTTTTATTGTATTTAAGAAAAAGTTGTGTAAGTTTAAGTCATTAAAATATAGGCCTGTCATTTTCTGTGACCCCACTAATAAGATAGCTCTCTCTTTTTACTCAAGCTCATAGATAAATATTATTTTGCAAATATTTTGGTACGATGAATACTGGTATAAACCATAGTCAAGGAATTTAATTGCATAGAAGGCATTTTTTTTCACAATCTGTATAATTCAAATCAATTTGATAATTTTTAGAGTTACAAAACAGGAACAAAATTCTACAAGAAATTTTTGAAAAGAAAAAGCAGTTAGGACAGCAAACAAAGTAAATGTTTAAGTGGCAGCATGTCTGTAATTACTTCTCTTTCAGTTGTGTGCATGTATTAAAGGTTTTCATTTCTTTGCAGCACAACCACTACACCATTTTTACCAAATAATTCACCAAAGGAGGTAGTTATGCTATTTTGATGTGTAGGTTTTGTGAAATGGAATTATGAAGTATTTCTGTGTAATTTTGATGCCTTAAATCTTTCATTGTATTTAATTTCAAGAACACACTTGACCAATAACATTGATATATTTATTCAATGGCATGATGTTATTCTCACCAAATACTTGTATTTTTCATGATTATATTGAACATTATTTATTTTAGCCCACCAGACATGCTAGCGATGCCCACATTCAGGCTCAAAGACAAGCTCTTGAGGTATACATGGAGTATATATTGATTTTCATTGTGCCAAATTTGCTTTTAACTTAAAATTACTTGTCAATATTAAGACGTTCTTTTATGCAATCATTTCAAACTCATTCAAGCCAGTATTTATGTATCTACTAATGTTGCTCAATTCGCATGACTGTTACAGAACTGTATGATTTATATACAATGGTTTGTACTAAAAATTTTAATGTTTTAATTTTTTTTGATATTTTTTAGCATGCAAACTCAATTTCATGGGGTTACTTTATCATGCAAGACTCTATTCACGGAAATTTAATATTGCCTGTTATACCAAGATTTGAGAGAGACTCGTGATTACATATTATATTAAAGGATGAATGTTTCATAAAATATAATGTGCAGATAGACTTAAGCTTACAAACATGATAGTTCATGTATATAACAAGTTAATGACATCAATAATAGCTGTAAAGAATTATTTGTCATCTTTTTCTTTTAATGTAAATATGTTGTAAATGTTTCTTTGGCTTGAAATTAGATTTATACATGTTGACAAGTAAGACCAAAACAATATTGAGCATACATTGAACATTCATTTATGAACATTATCAATACATAATAATCCTTCCTTATATAATGATGTACTCAATAAAACATTAACAACAATTTTTGAAGAGACCATTGATATGAAATGATGACTTTAGTGAAATGACAACTTTTTGAAATGATAACAATGAAATCTCAAATGAAGTGATAATTTTAATGAAATGACTCGAATGAAACGTTGATTCCTATGAAATGATGACGCTTTGGTAGAATACTTTGTTGTCTCGTCTTCATAAAATGACGGTAGATGACACATGTGACGGCATTTATATAGACTGAGTTGACGACATCTTTATTAACAATATCTGTTTTGGTAATACCTCCAATGACAACTCCATTTTTACTTGACGGTAGATAACAATAGATGATTTTAGATGATGGTAGGTGACAGTAGACGATAGGTGACATAAGATGAAGGTCGTCGGTAGAAGAAGACGATAAGTGACGGTACACAATAGAGTTGCAGGTTAATGACATTAGATGACGAAGGTTATAGTAACGACAGGTTACAGTAGGTGACAGTGGATGACGACAGGTTACAGTAGGTGACAGTGGATGACGATTGGTTGCAGTAGATGACAATGGATGACGACAGGTTACAGTAGATGACAGTGGATGACGATAGGTCACAGTGGGTGACAGTGGATGGCGATTGGTTACAGTAGATGACAGTGGAGGACGAAGGGTTACAGTAGATAACAGTGGATGACGATAGGTTGCAGTAGATGACAGTGGATGACGACAGGTTACAGTAGATGACAGTGGATGACGACAGGTTACAGTAGATGACAGTGGATGACGATAGGTCACAGTGGGTGACAGTGGATGGCGATTGGTTACAGTAGATGACAGTGGAGGACGAAGGGTTACAGTAGATAACAGTGGATGACGATAGGTTGCAGTGGGTGATAGTGGATGACGATAGGTTACAGTAAATAACAGTGGATGACGATAGGTAACAGTGGATGACGATAGGTCACAGTTGGTGACAGTGGATAACGATAGGTGACAGTAAATAACAGTGGATGACGATAGGTGACAGTAGATGACAGTGGATGACGATAGGTTACAGTTGGTGACAGTGGATGACGATAGGTTACAGTTGGTGACAGTGGATGACGATAGGTTACAGTGGATGACCGTAGGTGACAGTGGATGACAGTATGATACATTAGATGAAAATAAGTCACAAACAATAGGTGAAAGTGAGTGACTGTAGATTAAAAAGGATGACCATGGGTCGATGACGATGTAACAAATACATGTCCCAAAATTTTTGTATGTAGAACATGGAATTGTGACCAATGTCAAAGTTGTTCGTCTTTTTACCGCCATTTAATGATGTTTACCCATATTTCATGGTATCAAATTGAAATTCATTGACACTGTTTTTCACGTCTTCGAGTTAAAGATGTTCAATCAAATAGATGGTTTTTTTTTCATAATGGATAGTTCACTACAAATGCTAATGTTGGGTAAAACTTAGCAACTTGTAGTCAGGCAAGAAAGTCATAACATTTTTTAAAGAGAATCAAATTTTTTTGGAAAACAATACTACTTACAAAATATTTTGACAAAATGTTAGGTAAGAACAGATTTATCAGTGATAACATACAAATTGTGTACTATTAAGGGTCCGCAACGTTCGTTGGCAAAGTCCTCCAAAAAAAATCTTGAGAGTTGAAACCCAAGAAGGCACTAATAAATAGAGTTGTTTTGAACTCTTTCTTTTCACGGAAATGTTATCTGGTAAAGATTATTAATAACTCCAAATTCACAAATCATTAACCATTAAAACATTCATTTCTCATCAAGTGAAACCATATTTTAATTAATAGATGAAGTGTCATCGTAATTCAATTTACAAGCGCAAGCTTTTATTCAAAGTAAATACCATAGACAGTGGCGATGGCAAACAAGGAAATATTTTGGTATTCAACCGAGATGTAAGTATCCAATTTATCGTCCCATAAGCATCGACTACCGACCTTTATTTGTTGGTTCCCTCTTTGTCCGATATAAACTATACAGACAATTTTATATCGATCGAAATGTAGTTGCTTTACTTCTGTCTTTATAATATCTGAAATATAGCTAGTCAATTCACGACAACTTTCTGCATCGTAACACTTATTCGTCAATTCTTCATTCAGTATCTTCTGGACGATTTCTTTAATCTTATTGTGCGGAAATACAGCGTTTGGAATCATTTTATACGTGTTTTCATAAACTTTCATTTTACTGTTCTCGCTTCCTCGATTTGATTGTGTTTTCTGCAAGAACGGTGCTACAAAAGCCGGTTCTCGTGCGTTCATCGTATTTGATGCGCTGTACCTGCTAGATTCACCAAGAGTTACACTTGATTTTCAGCGAAAACTTGTCGAGGCCCTTTCCTTGACTGTTCAATGTGTCGTTTGCATCAGAATAATTACCAGAAACGTGCGACAGCCTTCGTTAAGACGATTATGATGTGGAAATATTAAAAAGGTTTGCGTCAATTTTGACCTTTCCAGTCTGTGTGTGTTTATGGTGTTTGTTGCTATAGAAATGTTCGTGTGGTGTCATGTTATCTTTAACTTAATGAGCAAGCAGTCGATGTCAATTCACTCAGAATTAATATTTTTCGTTTTTTTTGTTTCACTTTATCAAAGGATCGTCGTATTTCTCTAGCAGAGATAAAAACACCACCTAACCGAACGAAAAGTGCAATGATATGGTAATATTTTATAGATGAAAATCTATAAAATGTTATTTTATAAAGAATATGTATTCTTTGAACAATATTATAAATGGATTTAAAAAATGTATAGGTACATCATCCCAATGTATTATACTAAAGTACAAAAGTTTGTAATGACGATTGATGAATGTACATCAAAACTAGCAAAAAGCGTTAATGGTGTGGTTGTACGATCATAAGGTTTTACAGAATAATTAACTATAGTATAAAATGCAATTATTTACAAAGCTTTGTTTCTTTATGAAAGTAATATATAAGCTTAAAAGATTGCAATTCATACATGGAAGAATGATTTTATCTACTTATAAAACTAAAAACAAAATTTATAAAATACAGCATACGTGTTAGTAACTATAACACAAATGTGCACTGAGTTTAAATATCATTATAAATATCGTTACTAAAACATTAAGTGAAGTTTGCATAGAGATCAAAGGAATCCAAATATTCAATAAGGACATTATAACAAAACTCGTACTGATCCTAAAGAAAAAAAATACATAAAACCTTTAAGTAATCAAAACATGAATTTCAATATTCGCCGTTTGTAAGAACTATATGTATGTTTAAAAAAGTTAAAAAGTAGCTAACTCTTTTTTAAAGTATTCGTTCATTTCACAAATTAAGTGTATGACATCACTACTAAAGATAATTTTGTCATTTAAGTTCAATTTTTCATTGAGAATCAGATATTCGCCCTCATCAACCATCACCTCAATGAAATCTCAAGCTCCTACCTACTCCTATTTGTTAAAAAGCCACACATCATAGCAACATTATTTCATTTTACCTTAGTCTGCACCATAGCAGTTCTTTTCTGACGTAACATTTTTACGGTTTGAAACACATCAATAACGTGTTCAGTTTTCAAACGTTCAATAAGATTCGATAAAGCACAAAATACTCCAGTACGTCCAACACCCGCGCTATTGAAACATAAAATACGTTTTTAAAAAGTAGATCAAGAGTACAAAAGAAAAGGATAAAAGAAGAAATAATAGAAAATATGACACAGTGTGAATATATACTACACATTCTACACATGCTGCTATATCTTTGTATCTAATGTAATAATTCTTATGTAGTTTTAGATTGTTGCTTAATCATGTTCTTTTATTATTCTTATCATATTTTTTATATATTACTTTTATACGTTAAATCATATACGCACGTTCATCGTGGAAATTTGCTTTTGTTGTGAATGTGAGCGTGGATAAACAAGTATGTATTGATTGATCAATTGATGAGTGGCTAGGACAAACAGGGATAAACAAGTATGTATTGATTGATCAATTGATGAGTGGCTAGGACAAACAGGGATAAACAAGTATGTATTGATTGATCAATTGATGAGTGGCTAGGACAAACAGGGATAAACAAGTATGTATTGATTGATCAATTGATGAGTGGCTAGGACAAACAGGGATACACAAAAATACTTTATAAACTGTAAAAAAATACCTGCAATGAACAGTGATAATCTTATTTCCAGATTGTAATTGCCATCTTTGTACTTGACCAATGAGATCCATCATACCTGCACCAGACGAAGGAGAGCCAACATCAGGCCAAGATGTGTAATGGAATTGACGAATCACGTGAGAAGCTTTCTCCTGTTGAAATCATTATTAATTTTTGTTTTACAGTAAAAACGTAAATATAACGCTTACGCAATAATTTACAGCCCTGCTTATAAACGTTCTCTCTTGTCTTGCTATTATAATTGCTAGAACCATTACTAACATCGATTTCTTATACAATGCATCTCAAATTGGCAAAAAATTGCATAGTCATGTCAATACAAGAACTGAGTTAACATTTTGCAGAAATCTGCATTCCAATCATCAAATGAACGGAAATTTCAAAACAAACAAATGCCGATCATGAATAAAATATTAAATTTACCTTGGTATTCGTTAATTTGAGTTCTCGTAAAATATATTCATCAAAGGTTTGCTCGCTCATGAGTTCAACCATAAGGTCACCAATTACTGCAGGAGCTTTATTTGGCCAGTATCTATGAACTTTTACCTAAAGAGAAAGAAAATCAAGAGATAATGCCATTTGCTGACTCCAACAACAAAAAATAATTTTTCTTGTGCTTTAACGTTTCATTGGCATAAATCAACATAAATAACTAATTAATTTCCACAATTATATTTTGAAAGTACATTTCAAAATGAACCATGATAAAATATTCAATCTAGTCTAACTTACTCTTCCACTTTCCATTTCATTGGAAAGCATAACAATTGTAAGAGAGTTTTCTTGCCAAATCATTCTCCAGAAGTCGGGGATTGTGTCAGGTATTGGTGCTTGCGTTGCAATAAAGGCCTTCTTTTTCATATAACCATCAATAAAGTTAGCATTGATGTAATCAGAGCCTTCGATCCCTGGGATTTGCGTCAATTTTACGCGAGAATCATCAAAAGGTAAAACATTTGCGTATCGATTTTTCTGTTTATTGCAGTTCAAATTGGCTGTTTTAAATTGAGCAGGAGGGCTGACACTTCTACCAAGACGTTGAAATTCTTCCTCGACTCGAACAACACCTAAACAATAATGAAAAGTTTCAAAATGGTAAATGATATGTTTCAAACTTACAGTGTAATATGTACGAACAAATAATTATTTGTGCGTTCATTGCTTTGTCCGAAGTGTATGGCTAAAATAGCATGTATGGTCACTGGATATCCATACATCATTTCATAAATGGTTTCGTGATAAACAAAAAAATTGACATGAATGTTAAAAAATTGTGGTTGACACAATTCACTCATGGGTAAATACGACAATAACATAGTTCAATTTAAATCGCATTTACCATATCAACTCATAATTATTCTTGGATACACAAACAAACATCCGCTTTAAGTCTTATTTAGCAATGACAATTTACGACAATTTATGACAATGTAGGAGATGAAGGCTTCATTAATTCATTCATTTCTACATACCCGTTTCAGGATTCACACTCATGATCTCTTTAAGAGTTTCAGGAAAATCTTCTACTGGTATTTCTGTCTCTCCATTGTTGATTGCTTCAAGTAACACATTATGAATGAAGATATATTGATCTTCAACTTGAACCATCAACAAACGTTGATTGCGTAGTGTTTGAACGTTACCATATACGTCTACTGTCTTTCGTTTTGCAATCCGTCTCAGTTGTGTATCAATGACAACGTAAGTTCCTGTTCTGCCAACACCAGCACTACAGTGTACAACCTAAATAAAAAACGTTTAACACACCACCTTGATTTTAAAAAAAGCACATGCAGTAACTATTTTATGGCTCATTGCGTTGTTTTACTTTATATTATAAGAGAAGAACAAAAGGATAGTGAATTTCATACCATTGGTCCAGCATTTGGCGGATTTGCAGCAGATGACTTGCGCACGAAATTTAAAAGGGAACTAGGACTGCTCGGTACACCATGGTCAGGCCACGCAGTGTAATGGAATTGCTTTATTGAACGCTCTTGAAGTTTATCTAATGAAAAAGATGGATATGGCTATAACATTACTAGTACTGAAAAGGTAATGTAGAATATAAGACAGTGTCCTGTCCCATTCTTCTCGATAATTGCCAACCTCTACTAATGCAATACATACTAGGTGAAAATCTAGGTGACTTTCGTGTAGTTGATACTAGGTGACTTTCGTGTAATACATACTAGGTGACTTTCGTGTAGTTGAAAACAAACATAGTCGTGTAACAGAGCTTCCAAAGATACAAACAAAAACAACTGAGTATATTTATACCTGCCCCAACAACTTTAAATGTTCTGATGGTATAATCTGTAAGTTCAAATTCCTCCAACAACGTAACAACAAATTCACCATATTCAGCGCTTCCTTTTGATGGCCAATATTGATGACATTTTACTTTTCGACCCTCTTCCAGTCCTGTAACCTGATTCCATAAAACAATTTGTAAATGCTACGAGACTATGCGGTTTGTATTATTGGATGGATAAAATATATGAGATAATTCAAAAACAAAACGAGTAAAACAAATTTTAAGATTAATGAAGAATAATTTATCCAAGGCAATCTTTGCGTTTTATTTTTTCGACCACTTTACTATAAGACAATTTTCCCATGTTACAGGTGATTTTCCCATGTGAGATTCCATGTGACATGTGAACACATATTATGTGACACATGAGCACATCAAATGTAATACATACCATAACAATTATACTGCTTAAATTTTCCCAAACCATTCGCCAGAATTGTTCACACGTCGTTTCCAATGGTCCTTGAGTTGCTATGTATGCCTTCTCTTTTTCACATCCATCCAGGTAACTGGCGTTTATATAATCATTGCCACTTGGATCAGTTTTAAGAAACACTCGATTTTCATCGTAACATAAGATATTGTTATATCGATTGCTTTCTCTGTTAGCTTCTAGTTCAGCAGCATTCATGGAAAGAGTTGCATTCTTTCGAGGGATTTGAGAGTACTCCAAGGAGTATAAACAATTTGAGTCCGCTGCTAATCTACGACAATGTTCACTGAAGTCTGTAACAGCAAATACCTCACCTGGTACATAGCCTCGATTGTCCAATTCAATGTCATCTAAAAACAAGAATGTGGGTAACAATTTACTAGGCAATATCATATCATCTTTCAGCTGAAAACTTCATGAGAAAGCATCTTAAAAATTTCATAGGGAGCACTTCATCAGAGCACAATTGCGTGAAAGTCCCCCCCCCCTCCATTAAGCCGATAAAAAGACGAAATTCTTTACTGCATAGAAATATTTAGTAAGCAACACAGCTCAAGAGTGAAAATATGTTGCTTTAACTCGACGTTTAGATGTTGCTGTGTATACGTATGAAGTTGGGATTTTTCCCTAACACAATGTTGATTATTTAGCTTCTACAAACTCCAAACTTTAACACAGCTGCTGAAAATTAGGGCACAAAGACGACTAAACTGCAATACAAGCTGATGGTCACAGCAGTTTTCCTTTAAAAAATCAGTTTTTCCCAGCAATTTTTTTAAATAACGTGCCCCACACATGATTATCGTTTAGAATTAAATACCTTTAAACTGTTTTCTGTTGTTACCACCTCGTCTTCTGATGTAAAACACGGCAATTACGATCAAAATAACCAAAATGACTGCTGCAACAACAACACCAACTATGACACCAACATAAGAGTCGTCGTCATCATCAATTTTTTTTATCGTTTCTATTGTGTCAGTCCAAGCTCTCGTTTTAATAACAGTTCTTTTATCATCCAAACCACGTTGTAGTAAACGATAAAGACGACCTTCAGTTAACGCACCGTTAACAATGTTTATAGAAGCTGAAAGAGTCAGTTTTGACATTTTTTTATAAACAATTTGATCCCAATTAATAAAAAATAAGTAATTTTAATACCCGCTCGTTTTTTTCTTCGTTTTGCATTCGTGAAAGAGTTTCCTTGACCAACAACAAAGTCTTTATATTTATTAAATTCCGATGATGGGAACTCTGCAGTTATGTAAGGTTCACCAGCTGTTCGGTTAAAATAATACCTTGTCACGATTATATCTGTATCAGGAAGTCTGAGGTTTTCAATCACTTCCAAAACGATGATTTGGTAGATTCTACATGATAAAATTTTCGACAATAGCTATAGATAGACTTCAACGAACTGCTACTGCATTTAATATTTACGAAAAAAACAACAAATGTTCTATATGGAAGAACGTTTTCTGTAAAACAACATGCTTAGCAATGAAGTAAACACAAGCAATTGAATCAATATCGCCATGTTTCTCAATTTATAGCTATACCGTATAAAGTATTAAGTTTAGAAAAGATATATCACTAGAGTATATTTATTATTTAGAGTATTAACTATTAAAAATAAGCGGCTGCACACGATCACGTATCACAGTTAGCAGTTTACTCTGTATTCTTACAGATTTATCTGCTTTGTTTCCGCGCTAATGTACATTCACTAGTACGCTAAATCTACTCGGTCGTTTCCAAAAATTTCCTGCAATTTAAAAAATAATCCATGTGCGTAATCTTGAGTTAAATTTCCTGAAAACAGCGCTGCTGGACATTTTCCAGCCTTTCTGGTAAAACTTAAATCATGCAAATCTTAAAAAACTAAACAATAATTCCCTTACGAGACATTTTCATCTTGATATTCTTCCAAGGTAAACGGAATCGTAGTTGATGTTATGTCCGGAGGAATAGCTGCAAAATAAACAAAGTTGGTGTCACATAGATTGAAATTACTATAGGAAAAATCATCCTTGGTCAAATCACCTTGTAACTCAACAGGATGATATTGCAAAATGTTTTACGTCAAGTGATCAAAAAGACTATCTTCAAAAATATAAAATTTTGATTTTTTTCAAAGAATTTTTAACAACTAGCTTAATAAGTAAAAGCAAACGCAAAGATTTGCTCATTAACACGTAATATATACCACAAAAGAAATAAAGTTTCAAAATAAAATCAAAAAAGGCGATTTTTATAACTTTTTCGTAAATTAAACAAAAGAAAAGTTTTGCAGTTATAGAGAACATCTTTGTTAATGTCGACAATTTAACAAAAGAAAACTTGCACGCTTAAATATCTTGAATTTTTGAGCCAACATTACCTCGGATATTTATAGCTGTTTTATATCAATTTTTGTTTCCATAGACACGACTTTAATAAACAAAACTAATTCGTAGTCAAATGATCAATTGATTAGCTTTAATGAAGTATTTAGCGAATGTTGATTGATCAAAAAACCTGCAGACTTACTCAAATTTGTCATAAACTCCATTTGATTACTTTTTGCACCATCACCAACTCTGTTTCTCGCCAAAACAGTTACAGTATAACTTGAATTCGGATTCAAACCATTCAGGTTTACCTGCAGCACGTCCGATTCAACAGTTAGTCTGTTATTATCACCCAATAATTGATACGTTACAACATACTGGATACTGGCAGCTTGCCAGCTCAGGTTATTCAATGGTTCCCATGTTACTCTAGCGCTGTATGGCCCCAAATGATAAGCACTAGTTAATTCAGGAGGTGCGTTGGGAACTGCAATAAATAAAACGCACGCTATGAAATAATGAATACAATTTATCCAAAAGTAATTAATCTGAAAAGTTATGTAGTTGTGTTGACTTGTATTTGAAGTCTGTTCAACGTTGCCAAATATCAGAAAATAACAATTAAAAATAAACAAGCAAATTTGAATCGTGTTCCTTTATAGAAAAATATCCCATAAAGAGACAATGCATCATGGATTAATATAAAAGGACAATCAACCAGGTGATATGATTTCTATTTCGGCAATTTTTTGCTTAATTTAGTAATATTTGGGAAGTTGGTTTTGTCATAACTTCTAAATAAATATCGTCACACTGGAAAAGTTCAGGTTACAACCAAACGATGATAGAGGAAATAAAAGATAATATTTTGATTTATGAATAATTCATAACATTTGTTTTAGTTGCATAAATTAGCCTTACCATCTTCACTTGTGTTACAAGATATATTTTGTTCTCTACCAAAACCTAAACTTTCGAGCGTCTGAGCAGCAACACTTACGCGATAAACTGTAAATGGTTCTAAACAAAAAAGACTAAAATACAGTCCACCGTCCTGAACATATTGACTACAATTTTACGTATACGGGATTAAACTTTGCATGGCTTCATCTTCAATAATGTGATTCGTTCTTCTTAACACTGTCTGCTGAAATGCAGTTGTAGCACAAAAACGTTTCGAAATGTGTTGATTCTCAATACTTGAAGAGACACTAGTGTTTTATCATTACAATTAAAATGCGGGTTTTAAATTCACTTAATTTAAGAAAAAAATGTAGGGCACAAAGTGCTGCAACTATGTGGAAAGTATTACAAAACAGACTATCTCAATAACACATTTCTAGCAAATCTTGATATGGACCCATGTATAAGTATTTCTCAACTGAACCTGTTCATTATATCTTGAAAATGTTTAATTTAATGTAATAAATGTTTACAATTCAACTTAATAACCTTACCCAAACTATTGTTACCAATATCTGCTTCAATTGTGTTTGGTGTTGTATAAGACTTATTTTCACCAAATGCAATCGACTCGTAAGCATTTCTGTTTCTTAATTTCATCCAAGTAAGTTTATACAGACGAACTTTTCCATTTGGATCCAAAGGTTCTTTCCAACTGACATTTAATGACTTCTTTGCCGACGTCCCACATGCAACGTTGCTTGGAATACCAGGAACTAAAAATATATGATAAATTTTACCGTTTTACACACTTATATTTTGATTCAACAAAGTCAGTACTAGTAGCACTGAGTAACAGCTTAGAAGTTTAAATTAAATGTAGGTATGATCATTCTTTCGTATAGCTTAGAAGTTTGTTAACGGAAAATTATACAATTGCAAAGCAGCTGTACAGATAAAAAAATTAAAAAAAATCTTTGTTTGCATTTTGATATTGAAATAAAAGCATACATGGAAATAGTAGTAGTGAAACACGTGAAACTTTGATGCAACATTTGCAATGTCATTATGACTGAGTAAAAATTCAAAGAACTTAAGACACCTGGACACACAATCATCAATAGAGATCCACCTGAAAGTTGTCACATGCCTTGTCAACCGTTTATAAAAACGTCTACAACAACAACGCAATTTCGCACAATGTTGACAAGCGAGTACAAAGCTGAATCATTTGTTTAAGATATCAATAAAAGAATGCCTATATAGATAATAGATGGTACGACAAAACAACTTCAGGTGTGGAGCACATAGTGCAAACAAGATGTGCTCCAAATCTTCTATTTATTATGTCGATATATAAAATAAACACAATAAAACACGTTCGCTGATTCGTCTAGAGCTGTGTTTGCATTAGCCTGTGCAAACACATCTGAGCAATAAATCTCAGAGCACTGCAAACACATCTGAGTCACCTGCATCTGAGACGACCAAAGTCAAATCATATCATTTAAGTTCAAACACCGCACTGCATAAAACATTCAAAGTGAATATGCAAGTCGATCATGAATACATTTTAGATAAAAAATTAAAACATTTACTCCGAGACGTTTGTGAGAACTCTCGAGCATGTGAACTCTCAACTTTCGGTCTCGGGCTTGCACTGATCTGCTCTCGGTTTGCATAAGCCTGTGCAAACACAGTAAATATCTTTTATTTCTTAAATACAGCATTTATAGAGACTGCTTCAAGAAGACAAAGATGCATTATCAAATACATTTGAGCTGAATGAAGGACAGTGATAAAGTTTCTTTAACCAAAATATTGCTTTCAGTCTGAACTTAAGTTCTATATCTCCATTATTACAATATTATCAAAGGCATAAAACTTGCTAACTCTAGACACATTTCTCACATTGAAAAATAAAACGTACGTGGATAATATTAATTAAGGAAGAGGAAGATGTCAAAGAGTTTGGGAAGTGTAAACGAAAAGAAACTCAGTAAGTATAAAGACACTCATCACAAATAAACAGTTCTTATATGTTAAATTTATTGATGTTCCTCAAAAGCATCTCGCCCCAGTTCCTCATATAAACGTTGCGAAAAAAACAAATCATTGTGTGCAAAAATCAACAAATCATTGTGTGCAAAAATTTGCGTTTTCCTAAAATTTGTGAGAGCACTGCGAAAATTGCACAGAACATGTGTTTATTTACAAGAACAATAATTTATGAAATTCATTATCCAACAAAATGAACAATAATTCTGCTTAAATATTTACTAAGCAAGTGTCCATTCAGATCAGACTCGTTTCGTCACTAACTACACAGTAAATTGAGTTACAAAATATGTATAGTTTAAATGCAAAGCATAGATGGTACAGTTTGCAGATTGTAAGATAAAATCGAAATAAGACATTTATTAATAAGCGACACCTTTGATACGTATTTCAAAACAAAAATAAATGAATGTGCCTTTGTGCGATATTAACAATTCCGAATATAATGGGAAATACAGAACAGCGTGTGAAAAACTATGACCTACAAAACATCATTGTATAACAAAGCATAAAAAATAACTTGCACTAAAAAGGAAAGCCGTATAGCCCCCAACTACTTACTTTGGTCTTTTTTTGTAAAATAAAAAAACAACAGTTAGAAAAATGTGCAATTGTTGTTTTATGGAGAGTGTGTATCCTCTCTGCTAAGAATAGTTGTCGATGCAACTGGCTTATGCTTATTTAAAGAGGTAGACTAATCAGCCACTCTACTACGCCTTGTTAATGTTATCGTAAACAAAATTCAGCTTAGTAATCAAAATAGGGCAGTGTAGTTTTAAAACACTTACTTGATTCGCCAGTTCGTTGTTCGACACTCGCACCACTGCCTGCTCCAGCATCAGTTATAGCATAAACGGTCACATTATAAAGGGAGTAGTGTTCTAAAGAAAAATTAATATTTCTCATTAACATCAATATCGATTTTTCAAGGTTAACTAATTACTCCAACTTCATTCTAGTTGCTTCATAAAACGATAGTTTTATGTTAGAAATAGTTCATGATCTTTTTCTCCAAGTGTCATGTCGAGTGCATCCAGGCGAGTCGCCAATTCGATAAGTGAGGAGAATTTTTTTCATAAATGCATGTTTTCTCCGCATTATATCTTATGAAACCAATTGTTTCCTAGGGATTAAAACATGCATATATGAATATTGTCCCCCTCACTTATCGAGCTAAAGAACCCTACCCGGCGACAACCGTAATCTGACAGTAATTGAAGTAGATTGTTTGATCGTAGAAGTAAAGAAGAAAAAGATCGGTTCTCTTACGGAGAACGTGTAACGCATAGTACATACGTTATATAAGTTCTATAGAAAACAGGAAATATTCGTAAGGCCCTGTGAAAATTGAAAGACTCTGATTGTGTAAACATTTTGAACAAAGACATAAATGTCATAAATGTGAAATGCTTTTTTTTCTAACGGTTCATTCAATTACAGTGAAGAAAAGTACCAGATGTCAAAATTTTTTTTTCCAATCGTCAAATATTGTAAAAATCTTCCACATGAAAAATGAATGTATGAAATCACGTGTTCTAAGCCAAACAATTATTCGCAAACATGTCATTTAAATGATCAATAACTTACCTAAGCTGTTGATGACATAACTACGAGAAGATGGGTTTAATGGAGTAGAAAGAACGTTCAACACAGATTCTACTGCATTGTTGTTATCATCTTCAATTAACTTCCAGGTAATATTATAACCAGTTATAACTCCATTGGGGTCCAAAGGTGGAAACCACGTGACTTGCAGCATTGTAGACGATGGTGCAATGACATTCACATTATCTGGTACACTGGGAACTAAATTAATAATAAATTTTTGTAACATATTTTTCTTTTACAATGTTTTAACCATATCATTATTTTCTATAACAAACCATGTTCGTTTGTCCGAGCCATCACAACAACACGCGATCCATTGCCAAAACCATTAACAGCATTGATAGTTACTTCATATACAGAATGATGTTCTATGTAGTGAGAAACGTCGATAAAAAAATTACAAAAAAACAGTTCAAAAGAATCTGATACAACGTAAAAAAGAACAATCAATACGATACATTTGTCATTGACCAAAATCGTCATTTCAAAAGATGACCAAACAACGTTAATTACTTGATGATTTTCATTCTATCATGTTTAACAGCCGTTTACAACACACAAAAAGTTGGTTTACCTAGTTTTGATATTTCAAATGAACTTGTGTCATTCTCCAAACTCTCCGACATCGTTTGACCAACAACACTATGGTTGGTATCGTTACGTAATATTCTCCACGTGATAAAATATCCACTCAATCTTCCATTTTTATTCAATGGTGGAAGCCATGACACATTAAGCGCAGTGGATGAAATAGGAACTAAACTGACATTTCTTGGTTTACTGGCCGCTAAATTATTGTAAAAAATAAAATACACGTATTTCAGAAAAATCATTTTCAAACTTTGACAAATTAATGTCATTCTTTTCACATTCTTTTCTTTATCGAAACGATTGAAAATACTTGGATAATATATTTTACTAAACAAGGGTGTTTAAACGGCTTTTGTTTGCCCACAACATGACTAATACACCAAATATGGTAAGGTTGAACTGAGGAAAAATAACGAGACAGTACACATTTCCAAAAATCCTTCAAAAAGCAGCAAACTGTCTGCAATTATGGAAAAAGGTTACAGATGAAGGAAATCATCTTACCACTTTCCAGAGTTCTGTTTTGTATGATTGCAGGTGGACCAAGTCTCACAGTCGCAGCTCGAAGTTCAATTTGATATTTACAGTAAGAACCTAAAAGTACGATGATAATAAATGTTCATTTTTTGCTGAGAAACTTATAGCTATTACACATAAGTAAATAAAATAAACTTTAAAGCAATTAATTTCAACAACGATTTTGAATGTCAAACTCACACAAAGTAAAGTTTCTGCTGGTGTTAAAACTTCTGTCATTTTTTGCCAAGACAACAGTGTAAGAGATCACACAGTTATCATATGTTCGTCCATTTCCATCCACCAACAAACATAAAGTTAAATTATAAAAGGTAACAACGCCATTCAACATTCCAGGTTCTATCCATGATATCAGGAAGGAATCACTTGTTTTATCAACGACTATAAGCATTTGCGGTTCACTAGGAGCTAAAATATTAAAGGTATCGTTATTTGAAGAAATTAACTAAGGCTATTAGTAAAAGTCCTTTGAAGCAGTAAAACAAACTCACCATCTTGTAATGTTAATACTTTGAAGTTATGTATGTATAATGAAATGAAGCCATGTATAACAGATTAGTCAAATAAAAAACGAAGAGTGAACAAAAGTTTAGAAATACAATATTAATAAGTGAAATATTTCTATCTATCGACTAAATAACAATAGATGTTGTCATTTTATGTTTACAAATATGTCATGCTCAACTTAAAATTTGGATGAAAAATGTTCTGTTGATTGAAGTGCAATGATCGTTTGACATAAATGTTAAATACACAAACTTTCATAACATAAAAACATGAGTCAGGTTGTTAAGACACTAAGCTATGTTCCAAATACAGATTTCTAAAAAGAAATCTTGTCAACTTGTTTCAATTAGAGATTACCTGTTTCACCGGTTCGTTCACTGAGATCTACAACTTCTCCATTTCCAACGAAGGTAAATGCATTCAAACTTACATTGTAAATAGAATATGGATCTATAACAAGATAAAGTTTTTATTAAATACTTTAAATAAACTCTTTCTTAAACATTAGGGTAAAACTAACCAAGATTTGAAATGGAAAACGAAGTATTGGTGGTGTTGGTACTATTCCTGTTCATGGGAACTGTTTCATTCTTATCATTTAATACTTTACTCCAAGATATATTATACCCACGAATGATCCCATTAGGATCACTTGGTATCTCCCATGTTAAGTTAAGTACTGTGGACGATGATCTTTGTAATGTTACATTAACTGGAGGGCCAGGAGCTAAAAAAGAAAGACAACACGTTGAGTGCAAAAGAAAACAAATTATGAATATCTCATAATGAATTTTAGTGATTATCTCAACAAAACACACTGTTCATAAACAATGCATTCAAAAATAAACTTACTGTCTTCATCTGTCAAGAATTCATTTACCGTAGAATTCCTTCCTTCGCCAATTACAGTTGATGCACTCACTTTGACTTCGTAAACACTGTATTTTTCTGTATTATAATAAAAAATCTAATCTTTAAAAAACACTTTATATAAAACGAAAAAATGTCATGGAATTGTTGACAGTTATTGCTTACAAAAACTACGGAGATATATCAACGTGAATTGTTGCTAAAGGAATTATCAATATGTATTCCAATTTGCAACAAGAATAAATCACAAAACTTTAAAAACTAACATATAACCTCGTGAGAAATTGTGGATGACAATTGTTATGCATAAATGTTCAATAAAACTACTTACTAAGATTTGTTAGATTCAATGTTCTCACGTCTGGTAAAGTGTTTGTGCTTTCATAATTCATACTATGTACAACTTCGTTGTTGTCATCACGAATACGTTTATAATAAACTGTGTATGACAATAAAATTCCATTGAACTTTTCAGGTTCATCCCACGATACATTAAGTTGAGTGGAGCTAACATTTAAAGCTCTTACGTTTCGTGGTTCACTGGGAACTGTAGAAAAAGAATAATGTCTTGATTAACTGGTTGTTTCATTGACGGTTTTTAATACTTAAAATACTGTTGATTTATATATAAAAACTACTTTCCTTATCACTGCACGTTTTAGAACTGATAGTAATTTTTGCTTTAAAGAATTACTTCCAATGGTTGAATTTAAACAATTTTTACTGTCACGAATGTACAATGAAATGTAGCCATGTATATCAGATTAGTCAAATAAAAAACGAAGAGTGAACAAAAGTTTGGAAATACAATATTAAGGAGTGAAATATTTCTATCTATCGACTAAATAACAATAGATGTTGTCATTTTATGTTTACAAATATGTCATGCTCAACTTAAAATTTGGATGAGAAATGTTCTGTTGATTGAAGTGCAATGATCGGTTGATAAAAATGTTAAATACACAAACTTTCATCACATAATAACATGAGTCAGGTTGTTAAGACACTAAGCTATATCCCAAGTACAGATTTCTAAAAAGAAATCTTGTCAACTTGTTTCAATTAGAAAATACCTGCTTCACCGGTTCGTTCACTGAGATCTACAGCTTCTCCATTTCCAACGAAGGTAAATGCATTCAAACTTACATTGTAAATAGAATATGGATCTATAACATGATAACATTTTTATTAAATACTTTAAATGAACTCTTCTTAAACATTAGGGTAAAACTAACCAAGATTTGAAATGGAAAACGAAGTATTGGTGGTGTTGGTACTATTCCTGTTCATGGGAACTGTTTCGTTTTTATCATTTAATACTTTACTCCAAGATATATTATACCCACGAATGATCCCATTAGGATCACTTGGTATCTCCCATGTTAAGTTAAGTACTGTGGACGATGATCTTTGTAATGTTACATTAACTGGAGGGCCAGGAGCTAAAAAAGAAAGACAACACGTTGAATGCAAAAGAAAACAAATTTATAAATATCTCCATATTCACAAATAAATTTTAATGATTATCTTAACAAAACACACTGTTCATAAACAATGCTTCAAAAATAAACTTACTGTCTTCATCTGTCAAGAATTCCTTTACCGTAGAATTCCTTCCTTCTCCAATTACAGTTGATGCACTCACTTTGACTTCGTAAACACTGTATTTTTCTATATTATAATAAAAAATCTAATCTTCAAAAAACCACTTGATATAAAACGAGAAAATGTCATGGAATTGTTGACAGTTACTGCTCACAAAAACTACGGAGATATATCAACGTGAATTGTGGCTAACCGCATTATCAATATGTATTCCAATTTGCAACAAGAATAAATCACAAAACTTTAAAAACTAACATATAACCTCGTGAGAAATTGTAGATGCCAGTTGTTATGCATAAATGATGAGTAAAACTACTTACTAAGATTTGTTAGATTCAATGTTCTCACGTCTGGTAAAGTGTTTGTGCTTTCATAATTCATACTATGTACAACTTCGTTGTTGTCATCACGAATACGTTTATAATAAACTGTGTATGACAATAAAATTCCATTGAACTTTTCAGGTTCATCCCACGATACATTAAGTTGAGTGGAGCTAACATTTAAAGCTCTTACGTTTCGTGGTTCACTGGGAACTGTATAAAAAGAATAATGTCTTGATTAACTGGTTGTTTCATTGACGGTTTTTAATACTTAAAATACTGTTGATTTATATATAGAAACTACTTTCCTTATCACTGCACGTTTTAGAACTGATAGTAATTTTTGCTTTAAAGAATTACTTCCAATGGTTGAATTTAAACAATTTTTACTGTCACGAATGTACAATGAAATGTAGCCATGTATATCAGATTAGTCAAATAAAAAACGAAGAGTGAACAAAAGTTTGGAAATACAATATTAAGGAGTGAAATATTTCTATCTATCGACTAAATAACAATAGATGTTGTCATTTTATGTTTGCAAATATGTCATGCTTAACTTAAAATTTGAATGAAAAATGTTCTGTTGATTGAAGTGCAATGATCGGTTGATATAAATGTTAAATACACAAACTTTCATCACATAAAAACATGAGTCAGGTTGTTAAGACACTCAGCTATGTCCCAAATACAGATTTCTAAAAAGAAATCTTGTCAACTTGTTTCAATTAGAAAATACCTGCTTCACCGGTTCGTTCACTGAGATCTACAGCTTCTCCATTTCCAACGAAGGTAAATGCATTCAAACTTACATTGTAAATAGAATATGGATCTATAACAAGATAAAGCTTTTATTAAATACTTTAAATAAACTCTTCTTAAACATTAGGGTAAAACTAACCAAGATTTGAAATGGAAAACGAAGTATTGGTGGTGTTGGTACTATTCCTGTTCATGAGAACTGTTTCATTCTTATCATTTAATACTTTACTCCAAGATACATAATACCCAAGAATGATCCCATTAGGATCGCTTGGTATCTCCCATGTTAAGTTAAGTACTGTGGACGATGATCTTTGTAATGTTACATTAACTGGAGCGCCAGGAGCTAAAAAAAGAAAGACAACACGTTGAATGCAAAAAAAAAACAAATTATGAATATCTCCATATTCATAAATAAATTTTAGTGATTATCTTAACAAAACATACTGTTCATAAACAATGCATTCAAAACTAAACTTACTGTCTTCATCTGTCAAGAGTTCCTTTACCGTAGAATTCCTTCCTTCTCCAATTACAGTTGATGCACTCACTTTGACTTCGTAAACACTGTATTTTTCTATATTATAATAAAAAAATCTAATCTTTAAAAAAACTACTTTATATAAAACGAGAAAATGTCATGGAATTGTTGATAGTTATTGCTTCCAAAAACTACGGAGATATATCAACGTGAATTGTGGCTAACCGCAATATCAATATGTATTCCAATTTGCAACAATAATAAATCGCAAAACTTTGAAAACTAACATATAACCTCGTGAGAAATTGTGGATGCCAATTGTTATGCATAAATGTTCAATAAAAGTACTTACCAAGATATGTTAAACTCAATGTTCTCACGTATGGTAAAGTGTTTCTGCTTTCATAACTTGTACCAGGTACAACATTGTTCTTGTCATCACGAATAAAATTATAATAAACTGTGTATGACAATAAAATTCCATTGAAATTTTCAGGTTCATCCCACGATACAATAAGCTCAATGGAGCTACGATTTGAAGCTCTAAGGTTACGTGGTTTACTGGGAACTGTACAAAAAGAATATTGTCATGATTAACTGGTTGTTTTATTGACGGTTTTTAATGCTTAAAATAGTGTTGATTTATATATAGAAAGTACTTTCCTTATCACTGCACGTTTTAAAACTGATAGTAATTTTTGCTTTAAAGAATTATTTCCAATGGTTGAATTTAAACAATTTTACTGTCACGAATGTACAATGAAATGTAGCCATGTATATCAGATTAGTCAAATAAAAAACGAAGAATGAACAAAAGTTTGGAAATACAATAAGGAGTGAAATATTTCTATCTATCGATCAAATTACAATAGATGTTGTCATTTTATGTTTACAAATATGTCATGCTCAACTTAAAATTTGGATGAAAAATGTTCTGTTGATTGAAGTGCAATGATCGGTTGATAAAATTTTAAATACACAAACATTCATCACATAAAAACATGAGTCAGGTTTTTAAACACTAAGCTATGTCCAAATACAGATTTCTAAAAGAAATCTTGTCAACTTCTTCTAATTAGAGATTACCTGTTTCACCGGTTCGTTCACTGAGATCTACAACTTCTCCATTCCCAACGGAGGTAAATGCATTCAAACTTACATTGTAAATAGAATATGGATCTATAACATGATAAAGTTTTCTTAAATACTTTAAATGAACTCCTTCATAAACATTAGCAGAAAGAATAGATTTATGCAGTTCTATCTAAAATTTCGCTGACATGTGTGTTAAGTAATACAAAAAATAACTTTCTCATTAAGGTAAAACTAACCAAGATTTGAAATGGAAAACGAAGTATTGGTGGTGTTGGTACTATTCCTGTTCATGGGAACTGTTTCATTCTTATCATTTAATACTTTACTCCAAGATATATTATACCCACGAATGATCCCATTAGGATCGCTTGGTATCTCCCATGTTAAGTTCAGTACTGTGGACGATGATCTTTGTAATGTTACATTAACTGGAGCGCCAGGAGCTAAAAAAGAAAGACAACACGTTGAATGCAAAAAAAAACAAATTATGAATATCTCCATATTCACAAATAAATTTTAGTGATTATCTTAACAAAACATACTGTTCATAAACAATGCTTCGAAAATAAACTTACTGTCTTCATTTGTTAAGAATTCCTTTACCGTAGAATTCCTTCCTTCTCCAATTACAGTTGATGCACTCACTTTGACTTCGTAAACACTGTATTTTTCTATATTATAAAAAAAATCTAATCTTTAAAAAAACTACTTTATATAAAACGAGAAAATGTCATGGAATTGTTGATAGTTATTGCTTACAAAAACTACAGAGATATCAACATGAATTGTGGCTAATCGCAATATCAATATGTATTCCAATTTGCAACAATAATAAATCGCAAAACTTTGAAAACTAACATATAACCTCGTGAGAAATTGCGGATGCCAGTTGTTATGCATAAATGATGAGTAAAATTACTTACCAAGATTTGTTAGATTCAATGTTCTCACGTCTGGTAAAGTGTTTCTGCTTTCATAATTCATACTATCTACAATTTCGTTGTTGTCATCACGAATACGTTTATAATAAACTGTGTATGACCGTAAAATTCCGTTGAAATTTTCAGGTTCATCCCACGATACAATAAGCTCAATGGAGCTACGATTTGAAGCTCTAAGGTTACGTGGTTCACTGGGAACTGTACAAAAAGAATAATGTCGTGATTAACTGGTTGTTTCATTGACGGTTTTCAATACTTAAAATAGTAATGATTTATATATAGAAAGTACTTTCCTTATCAATGCACGTTTTAAAACTGATAGTAATTTTTGCTTTAAAGAATTATTTCCAATGGTTGAATTTAAACAATTTTTACTGTCACGAATGTACAATGAAATGTAGTCATGTATATCAGATTAGTCAAATAAAAAACGAAGAATGAACAAAAGTTTGGAAATACAATAAGGAGTGAAATATTTCTATCTATCGATCAAATTACAATAGATGTTGTCATTTTATGTTTACAAATATGTCATGCTCAACTTAAAATTTGGATGAAAAATGTTCTGTTGATTGAAGTGCAATGATCGGTTGATAAAAATTTTAAATACACAAACATTCATCACATAAAAACATGAGTCACGTTTTTTAAACACTAAGCTATGTCCGAAATACAGATTTCTAAAAAGAAATCTTGTCAACTTCTTCTAATTAGAGATTACCTGTTTCACCGGTTCGTTCACTGAGATCTACAACTTCTCCATTCCCAACGGAGGTAAATGCATTCAAACTTACATTGTAAATAGAATATGGATCTATAACATGATAAAGTTTTTCTTAAATACTTTAAATGAACTCCTTCATAAACATTAGCAGAAAGAATAGATTTATGCAGTTCTATCTAAAATTTCGCTGACATGTGTGTTAAGTAATACAAAAAATAACTTTCTCATTAAGGTAAAACTAACCAAGATTTGAAATGGAAAACGAAGTATTGGTGGTGTTGGTACTATTCCTGTTCATGGGAACTGTTTCATTCTTATCATTTAATACTTTACTCCAAGATACATAATACCCACGAATGATCCCGTTAGGATCCCTTGGTATCTCCCATGTTAAGTTCAGTACTGTGGACGATGATCTTTGTAATGTTACATTAACTGGAGCGCCAGGAGCTAATGAAGAAAGACAACACGTTGAATGCAAAGGAAAACAAATTTATGAATATCTCCATATTCATAAATAAATTTTAGTGATTATCTTAACAAAACATACTGTTCATAAACAATGCTTCGAAAATAAACTTACTGTCTTCATTTGTTAAGAATTCCTTTACCGTAGAATTCCTTCCTTCTCCAATTACAGTTGATGCACTCACTTTGACTTCGTAAACACTGTATTTTTCTATATTATAATAAAAAAATCTAATCTTTAAAAAAACTACTTTATATAAAACGAGAAAATGTCATGGAATTGTTGATAGTTATTGCTTACAAAAACTACAGAGATATCAACATGAATTGTGGCTAATCGCAATATCAATATGTATTCCAATTTGCAACAATAATAAATCGCAAAACTTTGAAAACTAACATATAACCTCGTGAGAAATTGCGGATGCCAGTTGTTATGCATAAATGATGAGTAAAATTACTTACCAAGATTTGTTAGATTCAATGTTCTCACGTCTGGTAAAGTGTTTCTGCTTTCATAATTCATACTATCTACAATTTCGTTGTTGTCATCACGAATACGTTTATAATAAACTGTGTATGACCGTAAAATTCCGTTGAAATTTTCAGGTTCATCCCACGATACAATAAGCTCAATGGAGCTACGATTTGAAGCTCTAAGGTTACGTGGTTCACTGGGAACTGTACAAAAAGAATAATGTCGTGATTAACTGGTTGTTTCATTGACGGTTTTCAATACTTAAAATAGTAATGATTTATATATAGAAAGTACTTTCCTTATCAATGCACGTTTTAAAACTGATAGTAATTTTTGCTTAAAAGAATTATTTCCAATGGTTGAATTTAAACAATTTTTACTGTCACGAATGTACAATGAAATGTAGTCATGTATATCAGATTAGTCAAATAAAAAACGAAGAATGAACAAAAGTTTGGAAATACAATAAGGAGTGAAATATTTCTATCTATCGATCAAATTACAATAGATGTTGTCATTTTATGTTTACAAATATGTCATGCTCAACTTAAAATTTGGATGAAAAATGTTCTGTTGATTGAAGTGCAATGATCGGTTGATAAAAATTTTAAATACACAAACATTCATCACATAAAAACATGAGTCGCGTTTTTTAAACACTAAGCTATGTCCGAAATACAGATTTCTAAAAAGAAATCTTGTCAACTTCTTCTAATTAGAGATTACCTGTTTCACCGGTTCGTTCACTGAGATCTACAACTTCTCCATTCCCAACGAGGGTAAATGCATTCAAACTTACATTGTAAATAGAATATGGATCTATAACATGATAAAGTTTTTCTTAAATACTTTAAATGAACTCCTTCATAAACATTAGCAGAAAGAATAGTTTTATGCAGTTCTATCTAAAATTTCGCTGACATGTGTGTTAAGTAATACAAAAAATAACGTTCTCATTAAGGTAAAACTAACCAAGATTTGAAATGGAAAACGAAGTATTGGTGGTGTTGGTACTATTCCTGTTCATGGGAACTGTTTCATTCTTATCATTTAATACTTTACTCCAAGATACATAATACCCACGAATGATCCCGTTAGGATCCCTTGGTATCTCCCATGTTAAGTTCAGTACTGTGGACGATGATCTTTGTAATGTTACATTAACTAGAGGGCCAGGAGCTAATGAAGAAAGACAACACGTTGAATGCAAAGGAAAACAAATTTATGAATATCTCCATATTCATAAATAAATTTTAGTGATTATCTTAACAAAACATACTGTTTATAAACAATGCTTAGAAAATAAACTTACTGTCTTCATCTGTCAAAAATTCTTTTACCGTAGAATTCCTTCCTTCTCCAATTACAGTTGATGCACTGACTTTGACTTCATAAACACTGTATTTTTCTATATTATAATAAAAAAATCTAATCTTCAAAAAACCACTTTATATAAAACGAGAACATGTCATGGAATTGTTGACAGTTATTGCTTACAAAAACCAGGGAGATATATCAACGTGAATTGTGACTAACCGCAATATCAATATGTATTCCAATTTGCAACAGTAATTAATCACAAAACTTTAAAAACCAATATGTAACCTCGTCAGAAATTGTGGATGCCAGTTGTTATGCATAAATGTTCAATAAAACTACTTACCAAGATATGTTAGATTCAATGTTCTCACGTCTGGTAAAGTGTTTCTGCTTTCATAATTCATACTATATACAACTTCATTGTTGTCATCACGAATACGTTTATAATAAACTGTGTATGACCGTAAAATTCCGTTGAAATTTTCAGGTTCATCCCACGATACAATAAGCTCAATGGAGCTACGATTTGAAGCTCTAAGGTTACGTGGTTCACTGGGAACTGTACAAAAAGAATAATGTCGTGATTAACTGGTTGTTTCATTGACGGTTTTCAATACTTAAAATAGTGTTGATTTATATATAGAAAGTACTTTCCTTATCAATGCACGTTTTAAAACTGATAGTAATTTTTGCTTTAAAGAATTATTTCCAATGGTTGAATTTAAACAATTTTTACTGTCACGAATGTACAATGAAATGTAGTCATGTATATCAGATTAGTCAAATAAAAAACGAAGAATGAACAAAAGTTTGGAAATACAATAAGGAGTGAAATATTTCTATCTATCGATCAAATTACAATAGATGTTGTCATTTTATGTTTACAAATATGTCATGCTCAACTTAAAATTTGGATGAAAAATGTTCTGTTGATTGAAGTGCAATGATCGGTTGATAAAAATTTTAAATACACAAACATTCATCACATAAAAACATGAGTCACGTTTTTTAAACACTAAGCTATGTCCGAAATACAGATTTCTAAAAAGAAATCTTGTCAACTTCTTCTAATTAGAGATTACCTGTTTCACCGGTTCGTTCACTGAGATCTACAACTTCTCCATTCCCAACGGAGGTAAATGCATTCAAACTTACATTGTAAATAGAATATGGATCTATAACATGATAAAGTTTTTCTTAAATACTTTAAATGAACTCCTTCATAAACATTAGCAGAAAGAATAGATTTATGCAGTTCTATCTAAAATTTCGCTGACATGTGTGTTAAGTAATACAAAAAATAACTTTCTCATTAAGGTAAAACTAACCAAGATTTGAAATGGAAAACGAAGTATTGGTGGTGTTGGTACTATTCCTGTTCATGGGAACTGTTTCATTCTTATCATTTAATACTTTACTCCAAGATACATAATACCCACGAATGATCCCATTAGGATCCCTTGGTATCTCCCATGTTAAGTTCAGTACTGTGGACGATGATCTTTGTAATGTTACATTAACTGGAGGGCCAGGAGCTAATGAAGAAAGACAACACGTTGAATGCAAAGGAAAACAAATTTATGAATATCTCCATATTCATAAATAAATTTTAGTGATTATCTTAACAAAACATACTGTTCATAAACAATGCTTCGAAAATAAACTTACTGTCTTCATTTGTCAAGAATTCCTTTACTGTAGAATTCCTTCCTTCTCCAATTACAGTTGATGCACTCACTTTGACTTCGTAAACACTATATTTTTCTATATTATAATAAAAAAATCTAATCTTTAAAAAAACTACTTTATATAAAACGAGAAAATGTCATGGAATTGTTGACAGTTATTGCTTACAAAAACTACGGAGATATATCAACGTGAATTGTGGCTAACCGCAATATCAATATGTATTCCAATTTGCAACAATAATAAATCGCAAAACTTTGAAAACTAACATATAACCTCGTGAGAAATTGCGGATGCCAGTTGTTATGCATAAATGATGAGTAAAACTACTTACCAAGATTTGTTAGATTCAATGTTCTCACGTCTGGTAAAGTGTTTCTGCTTTCATAATTCATACTATGTACAACTTCGTCGTTGTCATCACGAATACGTTTATAATAAACTGTGTATGACCGTAAAATTCCGTTGAAATTTTCAGGTTCATCCCACGATACAATAAGCTCAATGGAGCTACGATTTGAAGCTCTAAGGTTACGTGGTTCACTGGGAACTGTACAAAAAGAATAATGTCATGATTAGCTGGTTGTTTCATTGACGGTTTTTAATACTTAAAATAGTAATGATTTATATATAGAAAGTACTTTCCTTATCACTGCACGTTTTAAAACTGATAGTAATTTTTGCCTTAAAGAATTATTTCCAATGGTTGAATTTAAACAATTTTTACTGTCACGAATGTATAATGAAATGTAGCCATGTATATCAGATTAGTGAAATAAAAAACGAAGAGTGAACAAAAGTTTGGAAATACAATATTAAGGAGTGAAATATTTTTATCTATCGACTAAATAACAATAGATGTTGTCATTTTATGTTTACAAATATGTCATGCTCAACTTAAAATTTGGATGAAAAATGTTCTGTTGATTGAAGTGCAATGATCGGTTGATAAAAATTTTAAATACACAAACATTCATCACATAAAAACATGAGTCACGTTTTTTAAACACTAAGCTATGTCCGAAATACAGATTTCTAAAAAGAAATCTTGTCAACTTCTTCTAATTAGAGATTACCTGTTTCACCGGTTCGTTCACTGAGATCTACAACTTCTCCATTCCCAACGGAGGTAAATGCATTCAAACTTACATTGTAAATAGAATATGGATCTATAACATGATAACGTTTTTATTAAATACTTTAAATAAACTCCTTCATAAACATTAGCTGAAAGAATAGTTTTATGCAGCTCTATCTAAAATTTCGCTGACATGTGTGTTAAGTAATACAAAAAATAACTTTCTCATTAAGGTAAAACTAACCAAGATTTGAAATGGAAAACGAAGTATTGGTGGTGTTGGTACTATTCCTGTTCATGGGAACTGTTTCATTCTTATCATTTAATACTTTACTCCAAGATACATTATACCCACGAATGATCCCATTAGGATCCCTTGGTATCTCCCATGTTAAGTTAAGTACTGTGGACGATGATCTTTGTAATGTTACATTAACTGGAGGGCCAGGAGCTAAAAAAGAAAGACAACACGTTGAGTGCAAAAGAAAACAAATTATGAATATCTCCATATTCATAAATAAATCTTAGTGATTATCTTAACAAAACATACTGTTCATAAACAATGCTTCGAAAATAAACTTACTGTCTTCATCGGTTTTTAATACTTAAAATTGTGTTGATTTATGTATAGAAAGTACTTTCCTTATCAATGCACATTTTAAAACTGATAGTAATTTTTGCATTAAAGAATTATTTCCAATGGTTGAATTTAAACAGTTTTTACTGTCACGAATGTATATTGAAAGAGATTCGGAGTAGTTAAAAAAGTTTTTACAACCGACTAAGCGCAAATTTGTTAACTGCCTAATCAAACCGTTCTTTGTTTGAAAGAAATGTTATTTTCCGTAGTAGCAATTGTTTAATAATTGATTTCTTCAGTTCCTGAGCGTTTTTTGAAGAATTTGAGGCTTGTTAGTAAAATATTAGGGATCAAGATATCCTTTTCTCAAAAAGACGACAAATATTTTTTACAGTAAGGATGAAAAATTTTAAAATGTGTTATTAAATGGTAATACAATCTCCGGAGGTATTATATGTATAAAAAATTCACGTTATTTGGTGCACTATAAGACGTTGAAAATTCAAATTTATTACGAATTTTACCTTCTTTACTCGTTGATGACGTAGGGCTGACAGTAAAATTTACAACAGTTGAGATGGAGACTAAAGTTTAAAAGGAAACATATTTTTTCAAGACAGTTTGAGTTTTCATAAATGTTCCAAACCTTCATTAAAGAAATTATTCATTAAATTACCAACCTGTAGGTGTTGGGACATGTGTCATGTTAGAATCTATAAAATAAATGAGAAATAAAAAAAGGAAAGCATGTATTCAAGATAACATTAACTAATGAAATTTATTGTGTTGTTCACGTTTAACATTTAGTTACTCGTTAAATTAGTGTTGAAAGTCAATAACGTTTTCTTATTTTAATGTCATTTAACGTAAGAACATTCCTCAGCAGGTTTTCTGTGAGAAAAATGAATAAACAGTTATTTTACATGTATATAGAGTACAAAATTTGGAAAGTATACATCGTATCAATGACAAATTTATCAAGACTTTTATCTATTTTGCTACTTGATAACGTAGTGACGGATGAACTTTGAACAGTTGAGATGGAGACTAAAGTTTACAAGAAAACATATTTTGTAAAATCTTTTTGAGTTTTCATAAATATTCCAAACCTTCATTAAAGAAATAATTCATCAAATTACCAACCTGTAGGTGCCAGGATATGTGTCATGTTAGAATCTATAAAATAAATGACAAATAAAAAAAGGAAAGCATGTATTCAAGATGGCATTAACTAATGAAATTTATTGTGTTGTTCACGTTCAACATTTAGTTACTCGTCAAATTAGTGTTGAAAGTCAATAACGTTTTCTTATTTTAATGTCATTTAACGTAAGAACATTCCTCAGCAGGTTTTCTGTGAGAAAAATGAATAAACAGTTATTTTACATGTATATAGAGTACAAAATTTGGAAAGTATACATCGTATCAATGACAAATTTATCAAGACTTTTATCTATTTTGTTACTTGATAACGTAGTAACGGTTGAACTTCGAACAGTTGAGATGGAGAGCAAAGTTTACAAGAAAACATATTTTGTAAAGTCAGTTTGAGTTTTCATAAATAATCCAAACTTTCATTAAAGAAATAATTCATTAAATTACAAACCTGTAGGTGTTGGGACATGTGTCATGTTAGAATCTATAAAATAAATGAGAAATAAAATCAACGATCGTTGAGGTCAATTCACAGATGAGGTGAAAGAGATTTGGAACAGTTAAAAAAGGTTTTAAAACCGGCAAAGCGCAAATTTATTAACTGCCTAATCAAACCGTTCTTTTTTTGAAAAAAATATTATTTTCCGCAGTAGCAATTGTTTAATAATTGATTTCTTCAGTTCCTGAGAGTTTTTTTTTAAGAATTTGAGGCTTGTTAGTAAAATATTTGGGATGAAGATATCCTTTTCTCAAAAAGACGACAAAAATTTTTTACAGTAAGGATGAAAAATTTTAAAATGTGTTATTAAATGGTGATACGATCTCCGGAGATATTATATCTATAAAAAATTCACGTTATTTGGTGCACTATAAGACGTTGAAAATTCAAATTTATTACGAATTTTACCTTCTTTACCCGTTGATGACGTAGGGCTGACAGTAAAATTTACAACAGTTGAGATTGAGACTAAAGTTTAAAAGGAAACATATTTTTTCAATCAGTTTGAGTTTTCATAAATATTCTAAGCCTTCATTAAAGAAATCATTCATTAAATTACCAACCTGTAGGTGCCAGGACATGTGTCATGTTAGAATCTATAAAATAAATGACAAAAAAAAAAGGAAAGCATGAATTCAAGATAGCATTAACTAATGAAATTTATAGTGTTCACGTTTAACATTTAGTTACTCGTTAAATTAGTGTTGAAAGTCAATAACGTTTTCTTATTTTAATGTCATTTAACGTAAGAACATTCCTCAGCAGGTTTTCTGTGAGAAAAATGAATAAACAGTTATTTTACATGTATATAGAGTACAAAATTTGGAAAGTATACATCGTATCAATGACAAATTTATCAAGACTTTTATCTATTTTGTTACTTGATAACGTAGTAACGGTTGAACTTCGAACAGTTGAGATGGAGAGTAAAGTTTACAAGAAAACATATTTTGTAAAGTCAGTTTGAGTTTTCACAATTATTCCAAACCTTCACTAAAGAAATCATTCATTAAATTACCAACCTGTAGGTGTTGGGACATGTGTAATGTTAGAATCTATAAAATAAATGAGAAATAAAATCAAAGATCATAGAGGTCGATTCACAGATGAGGTGAAAAGATTCAGAGCAGTTAGGAAGGTTGTGAAAAGCTGGTGATTTATCATTATTTAACTGCTTTTCTCTCCTTAACCAAAAAGACTCATAAATGTTGCGTAGCAACATATTAACGTGATTCAAAAAGGAAAGCATGGATTCAAGGTAACACTAACAAACCAAATTTATAACATGGGATTACTTCTCGAATCAATAGGGGTTTGAACTAGTCTCGTGACCTAGACTCTGCTTCTCTGCGCGACGGAGGGGGGGAGAGGAAGGACAAGGTGCAAGCGTAATTTACGGGCAACGAGTGCTCTCTTTGCATGAGAACATAAAGAGTTGGTTGCAGAACTGTCGCAATAATGACAGCATAACTGAAAATAGGAATACTCTCCCCTCCCCCCCACCTCAAAAAAAAAAAATTAACGTTCCAGCTACAGCCGTGTTAGTAGATATAAAAAATGGGGTTTTCACCATTATGGAGGTTTGAACAAGAAAAATTTACAAGAAACTTGAGCTGATTGATTCTTATTGCTAGGCTTTTCTTAAGTCAGAAATAATTTTTTTTATGTTTCATAGTTTGTATTTGCCTTAGATGAGAATGACAGAGCTTTTTCAATAAATTACAATTTTAAATATTTTTTCACTATAATTGAATATTGCTCTGAAGAGCGTAGTGGCCATGGCAAATGACATTTCATTAGTTCTTTAAAGAACTGTTGAAAACCAAAACGCAGATAGTTATAAAATCAACGTTTGCTTAATGCGACAAGTTAAAGACATAATCTTGTCTTTATACGCTGTTGTTGATGAATAATCCAACAAAAATGTAAAAAGTCTACATTAGTAAATATTGTATAAGTCAACAACATTTTGCTACTTTGATGTCATTTAATAGAAACACAATCCTAAGCAAGTTTTCTGTGAGAAAGATCAATAAACAGTTTATTTAATACGCAAGTGTAAAAGTTTCAAAATTATTCGTCGCATCAATAAAAATATTTCTACAAACTTACCTCCTTCGTTGATTGATGGAGTAGGGCTGACAGATAAACTTTGAGCAGGGCCTAAAGTTTACAAGAAAACACATTTTCTTTTGTATGAGTTTCTATATATATATACATAAATACCTACATCAAAGAAATCATTCCTTTAGTTACACTAACCTGTTGGTGTCGGGACAAGCGTAATAGTGGAATCTATAAAATAAAGGAGAGGTCTGCATGAACTCAAGTTCACGTCGTAAAATTACTGCTGAAATGAATTACATAAGTTGATAATGTGTTCTTATTTTAATGTAGTTTAACAAAAGCTCATTCCGAAGGAGGTTTTTCGAAAAACATCAATAAATTGTTATTTTATATGCATAAAATCTTTAGCAAATATTGTACCAACGACAAATTTATCACGTATTGTGCTAGTTGATGACGTAATGATATATCACTTAGGAAGGATAAGTGGTAACAATCATGTACAATCCTGTACAAAAAAATGAGAAGCTTTGTCACTACTGCCAAAAAAAGAAACATGATATCAATAAAAAATTTTAACAATAAAAATAAACATAATAAAAATTTCCTCCGATGAAGTAAAATTTTGTGCTGACTTCGCCACGGTACAGAAATATACCTAACTTGGTAGATAAAAATAGATACCACATGAAAACTTCGTAAATCAATATTCTCCGTTAATCACAAAATTTCTCCATAAATTTTGAAGCCGCCGCCCGGATTGATTTCAAAGGGTTTTCTTTAGGGAAACCTCTGATTTTTTCTTCACCTTAATAAACACTCCATAGTCCATACATATTAAGTCAAAGACGAGTAAAATAGCAGACAAGCCATTTTAAAAATATAGCTAACTGTTGATAAATGTCCTTGAGCGTATGTATTCAAATGAGACAAACTATTGCACAGCTAAATAATGTAACAACTCTTGTTCTCTGCAGGGAATATTAAGGTTACAACGTTCTTGGACAGAACGCAAAAATGGGATTATTCAAGCTCAACACCAACTTGGTTGTACCTTTTCACAACAGAGATGATTGACACATCGCGTTTCATATGGAAGTTTCTTTCTCATTAAAAATCTCATTAATAATGAAAGTTTTGTTTTAAAGAGAAGTTTGAATTTTTTAGATATTATTCACAACGGGTGTAAAAGTTTCAAAAATACTTTACTTTTATTCTTGAGCCAATTCCTACATTTTTTTGTCACCATTTCTTTTATTAAAGAAATACTTTGCTGAAGCATACTAAATTGCTGAAGCATACTAAATCATACTAAATTGCTTAAGAATAAAGTTCAATTAAATACTTCCATTCACTTTCTTCGTATTTGTATTTCAACAAAATTCAATAAACGATAATTTCTTGTTAAAGCTGACAGTTTTCATAGTAATTTGACATTGTAATAAATTAATACAAGCACAAGAAACAATTGTTTAAAGCAAAAAAAGTAAAATTGATATCTGTTTAAACATTGTCAACGAGACATGACGTGATCGCGTTGTCACAACACATAAACATACATTTTTATGCTGATCAACGAAGTCTTTCAATTCCTTCAGTTTTGTGTGCGGTATAAAATATATCGTCAGTAATACGTTGCGGCGGTTGAGATATCACGATATATTGTTTGTTTGGTACGTAAAGGATCAAAATTCGGAGACTACAAGTCATACTTGACAACTTTCACATTGTTCCTTCAGAAAGCTTTATTCACTAAAACTTGATTTGGTTTAATTATTGTAAACATTAGGTGCAAAGTAAACATTTGATGATGCTAGAGAAGAATTTTCTTTGGCCAATATTCGAAACAATTATATATCAAATATTGCAACACATTATCAATAATTTGCGACATTATTATAGACATCGTTTGCTTCAGGAATACTGAAATACATTTAATGACTGCATAAAATATTTCACAATAACAGAGTAAGCATAAATCACATAAAATTCAAGAACACCTAAATCAAAACAGCAGCTGGGTTTACCAAATGTCAACTACTTCCGTGAACGTTGATAGAAATCATTATACACATAACATTTCAGTTTATCAAACTGCAAGATCAGCAATGACGCTTTTATATGAAATGTACAATGAAGTTTAGTACGTCTTGACAAGAATCCTGTCAGACATTTTTCAGCTTTATTAATATTTGTCTTTGACAATAAGAAAGTGATGTTTAAATCAAAATATGTACCTGAGCTAGTCGTAGACAGATCAAGCCAGACGAATGTCAAGACGAATAAAAAAGCAAACTTCATAGTTTTCGTTGACTTGAAAGTAGAAAAACGTCGACACTGGTAGACCCTCAGTCTATGTTTATGACTTTCGCAACAATGTAAACGCGGAAATGCTTGTTTGAAGTAATGTTGAATGTGATATGTAGGTGAACACCATGGAGCACCGCATACAAATCACCACATTTCTTTCATATTTTACGAATGAATAAGTATAATTAATGAATATATAAATAAGATAAAACTAACCGGGGGGTGGGGAAATTTGACATAACTTCAGGGTTATCTGTAGTTATTTAGAAATATGCTAACGACAGCAAACAAACCCACCACAATGGAAAATTTTTAATTCACAAATATAGTTTAATTCACAAACCTCAATAAAATATAACTCACCGCTTTTTCTCCGGCTTCCTGTTGTTTGACCAATTTAAAACTGAAACAACGTGATTTCATTCTTCAAACTTGATGCAATATAACATCCTGAATAAAACGAAAGTAAACAAACCGTTCAATGTTATTTTCTCTTCGAAATTTTTGTAACATACTTATTGTACTTTGATAATGGTAGGTGTGGTCGCTATTTTAATTATAATTAGGTTTCATGTCACGTGATGACGTTTACAAAAACTTATATAAGAAATGAAACCATATGTTTGTAATTTCCTAACTTTCTTGAAGCACAGTACTTAGTATTATTGTACAAATCTTGTTCTGATTTTAAAAGATAATGCATTCTTTTCCTGTGCACTGATTATGACTTCCAATGAAACAAGCAACTAAAGGCTTTCGGCCGATGATTTACTCGCTGCTACAGCGGGGCAACAGTCTTAACATTTCAGTTAGTTCAATAAAAATTTAAAAATTACAGTTTTAAGTGAAGTTTGACGTTTCCAGTTTGTGTGCTTCCATTGAAGATGTGTTGCAAACATTAATCATTACAATAATCCTAACGTAACATTGATCCTTCATGGTGTTTCATGACAGTTGAACACATGGTAATGCTATGCAAACGGTTAATTATTAATGGCATGTAATCCTACAGGTAACTCGCTTAAACGAACGGCGAACATCGAATTCTTTAGTTTTCAAAAAATGAAAACAAACTATGGTAAATGTTGATCGTGTTGTTTTGTTTTCAAATTTGTTGAAGCAATCTCATTCTGGTGATATTTTCTTATAAATGGAACGGCAGCCGGCAGTGGTTAAAAAGTGTATGAATATGTATCTTTGTAATGAGTTTCATGCGAAAACAAGGTGAAACAGAACTTAATAGACAAAATCTTACAAAATAAAAAACTAACATAAACAAGGCTGGTCCTATTTATATTTCTAACCTTTTCAAACTATGCAACCCTTCATACGACTTCAGCGAATATAATAGTTCTTACCTACATAATTCTTGTAAATACATGATTTCACAAATATGGAAGTTGTTGCCAATCTCTACCTCGTCATCTGACTCTTTATCCAAGTTCAAAAACCAAACTCATCAAATTGAATTCATTGGCTGTGTTATGGTTGCACGTATAGATAGATTTCAATTATTATTGTTCTGGCTAATGTAAGGTAGATTGTCGAATGTCGAGTACTTTTATCATGTAATTGAAATTTATTCAAAGTTTAAGTAAATCATAATAATTACTTAAGCTGTTTACTGAAGCTAAACAAGCTTTTAACAAGCTCGTTTAATGATAAATGTTCATTAAAATAGCAAATTATAGTTCATAGAATAATGAACTATAGAATGTAATTTTTAATATTTACTAAGCTTGTTTCCTTATGAAAGTAAAATATCTTCACTACTGAATGATATTATCTACTTAAAAATTTAAACATATATATTAATTATTTATAAGTACAACTTATACGTGTTACCTGTAAAATTAAGTAAGCGTTCTATTATAACACAAATGTGCACTGAGTTTAAATATCATGGACTAAAACATTAAGTGAAGTTTGAATAGAGATCAAAGGAGTCCAAATATTCATTAAGGACGCGATAGCAAAACTCGTACTGATCCTAAAGAAAAAATGCATAAAACCTTTAAATAAACAAAACGATGATATCAGCTTTCTAGCTGTTGTTAATAACAACACTTAAATTCTGTACATTTTCCCTTTATCTATCTTTAGCAAATTTTTTAGCAGAAAACTAAAAACAACCATTTTAGTTGTCTAGAAACAAATCTTACAACCAACAACTTTTTATTACAAAATATTTTTTAAGTTTTAAGTTTATTTCAAGTGGGTGGCGATACAAGAAATAACTAAAGATAATTTTGTCGTTTAAGTTCCATTTTTCATTGAGAATCTCAACTTCGTGACAGGAAGAGAAGAACAAGATAAGAATAGAATAGAATGTGAAAAAAATGTTTAACGAGTTACAAGAGAAAGAAAGGGGGGGGGAGGTGATGGTGAAGACTACTATACCTAACTTTTGAATTTATTCAACGATATCAAATCTACATTTGAACAATAACCATTCTTAAGGGATAATTTCATTTTAGACAGTCCGTTATTATATTTCAAATACTTTATATAAGCCGTATATCATAGCAACATTATTTCATTTTACCTTAGTCTGCACCATAGCAGATCTTTTCTGACGTAACATTTTTACGGTTTGAAACACATCAATAACGTGTTCAGTTTTCAAACGTTCAATAAGATTTGATAAAGCACAAAATACTCCAGTACGTCCAACACCCGCGCTAAAATACGATTTTAAAAAATAGATCAAGAGTAGGAATACAAAAAAATAGAATGTATGTCACAGTGTGAATTTTTGTTAATATATATTACACATGCTGCAATATCTTTATGTAGTTTTATATATTACATTTTTATACATCTTTATTGGTTAACCATACATGAATGTTAATCGTAGAAATTTGCTTTTGTTGTGAAATATCAGCGTGGATAAACAAGTATAATGATTGATCAATTGATGAGTAAGTAGGACAAACAGGGATAAACAAAGCTGTAATTCTTTGATACCTGCAATGAACAGTGATAATCTTATTTCCTGTGTGTATTTGCCATCTTTGCACTTGACCAATGAGATCAATCATACCCGTACCAGACGAAGGAAAGCCAACATCCGGCCATGATGTGTAATGGAATTGACGAATCATGTGAGAAGCTTTCTCCTGTTGAAATAATTATTAATTTTTGTTCTTCAGTGTAAACCTAAGTATAACACTTGTTGCTGGAACCATCACTCACAATGATTTATTATCATTGAGTTCTATACTACATGAAGTAGTTAAGTGAACTGGGATGATGATGCTAAATACGGTTGTGACTGTGAAAGCCGCTCAACCAGTTATAAAAAACTCAATGGTTATTATGTATTGCCTCCCAAAACTGCAACGTTGCTAAAGTCAACACACTTCAAGAAATAAGTTTACATTTTGCAGGACTTAGAATCAGAGACGTTTTACAATGTTTATAATTCGATTTTTCGATTGTATCTAATACACACAAGATGTAAAAAATATAATACTACTGTCAAATTAGCCCTCATGAAATCAAGGATGTGCCTTTATTTTTGATATCCTTTCGACATACCTGTTAGAATCCCAATTAACAGAAATTTTGAAATAAAAAAGGTAGATCGGGAATAAAATATCAAATTTACCTTCGTATTCGTTAATTTGAATTCTCGTAAAATATATTCATCAAAGGTTTGCTCGTTCATGAGTTCAACCATAAGGTCACCAATTACTGCAGGAGCTTTATTTGGCCAGTATCTATGAACTTTTAACTAAAGAGAACGAAAATCAAGAGATAATGCCATTTGCTGACTCCAACAACAAAGAATAATTGTCGTATGCTTCAAGGTTTCATTGGCATAAAATCAACATAAAAAACTAATTTTCACAATTATATTTTCATAACTTAATTAAACTTAAATATTAAGGGTCATAAAATATTCAATCCAGTCTAACTTACTCTTCCACTTTCCATTTCATTTGAAATCATAACAATTGTAAAGAGTTTTCTTGCCAAATCATTCTCCAGAAGTCAGGGATTGTGTCAGGTATTGGTGCTTGCGTTGCAATAAAGGCCTTCTTTTTCATATAACCTTCAATAAAGTTAGCATTGATGTAATCAGAGCCTTCGATCCCTGGGATTTGCGTCAATTTTACGCGAGAATCGTCAAAAGGTAAAACATTTGCGTATCGATTTTTCTGCTTATTGCAGTTCAAATTGGCTGTTTTAAATTGAGCAGGAGGGCTGACACTTCTACCAAGACGTTGAAATTCTTCCTCTACTCGAACAACACCTGAACAATAATGAAAAGATGTAAAAATTGTCATAAACATGTTCACACTATCATATGTGTATATGTATAAATAGTTCCCTATTATCCATGCGTACCCATGTTTATCATGTTTATAGCTACAGAATAATTAGAGTTGGATGTAAGGTCACTAGATATCTAAGTATTATTTCATAATATCCATAAATGGTTTTATGATGAACATAAAAATTTTAGCTTCACTTCTGTACATTATAAAATGTTTTAAAAATAGCGAACGGCTTGTTAACATGCACTATATAGTTCCCTATTACCCATACGTACTCACACCATGTTTATAGTTATACATTATCAATAGAATAACATGCATAAGATATTCAAATATACATACTACCATAACAATCGTACATTGTGTCATAATACAGACAAAAGTCTAAAACTTGTTAAGTGCAAGCTTTGACATGATTAAAAATAGGTACGCAGTGCGTAAATGCGAGTAACTTGTACCAGCCTCCTTCAATAAATGACCACAAATGAATTAGATAAATAAACGTGTAATACTATGTGTTTATTGCTTTTTTAACGTGAAATTTTAATAAAAGGGCGAGATTTCAGGAATATGCTTTGCATTGAATATTTAGATAACTGCTCTCTCGTAATCTTTTAATGTTTTGTGTCATCAAATATATATCACATTTATTTAGTTTGAGTTTCAGAATTTATTTCATTTGTAACCATGTATTCATTTCACCTGGGTTCAAGTCAATACAGCCTACTCGCAGGTATGCTCTGCGTACCCGTACCTATTTTTCGGGTATAGCATCACAGTAAAGGAATATACAATAGGGCCACTTCGCTGAGCAACTGGCTGCTGTATATTTAATCAGTTTACCGGCTGCCGTTTTCCATATCGTCAATCCTATTGGTCACACAATGCAATTTACTGGCTGCCAATTTGGTAATCACATGCGTAATAAGATATGCGTGGCACGAAAAAATTCAATGGAGTGGCCCTACTGTATGTTCTCTATACTGTGATAACATTGTGTTAATAGCCTGCAAAAAGGCTACCCACAAAAATGGTGGTCGACAGTATTTACTTGTACAATTGTACAGAAAAGTTATATAAATGCCTCACATAAATACTCACTGAATAATCAAAATTAAATCACTTTTATTTACATAGTAATTCATAAATATTCTTAGATATAATCATCTCCTTAAGTTAGATGTGAACAATGACAATGCAGGAGATGAAAGGCTTCACTAATTCATTCATTTTTACATACCCGTTTCAGGATTCACTTTCATGATCTCTTTAAGAGTTTCAGGAAAATCTTCTACAGGTATTTCTGTCTCTCCACTGTTGATTGCTTCAAGTAACACATTATGAATGAAGGTATATTGATCTTCAACTTGAACCATCAACAAACGTTGATTGCGTAGTTTTTGAACGTTACCATATACGTCAACTGTCTTTCGTTTTGCAATCCGTCTCAGTTGTGTATCAATGACAACGTAAGTTCCTGTTCTGCCAACACCAGCACTACAGTGTACAACCTAAATAAAAAATGTACATAAAGATATCTTATTAACGAATAATCAAAGAAAACATAATGTCGTCAATTTATAATACAAAATAAAAACTATACAACGCATGCAACACTTTAAACAACGCTGATTGAACAATAGCTGAATATGCATTAGTTTGTGCAAAACGATCGATCTGAGCTCAATTATCAAAATCAATCGAACAGAATTTGCAAATCATTCTTGAATACATGTTATAAGAAAAATTGAATCATTTGTTTCAATTTAATCTGTTTCGTATTGTTATTATTATTATTTTATAAAAGAAATAAAAATGTTTTTCGTTTTTGCACTAGCTTATAAAAACCTCTGAAATGTTTGTGAGAGCTATCGAGTTCTCTAAAAGATCTCCTCGGTTTGTATAAGTCTGGGCAAACACAGCAAACATCTTGTAATTCGTAAATGCAATGTTTCCGGGATAAACATACGTATATTCACATTTAAAAAAAGTGAAAGTACAATGGACCAATTATTGTCTGAGCAAGCTATTCCAATGAGCAAATTTTATGAAAAGACAGTAACCATTACGTGACTCATTGCATTATTTTATGATTTGCTAAAAACGTGGGCATTTCAACTTTCACTTCACCGACATTGAATAAATAAACATCTTATATGTTAAATAGAAAATGAGAGTTATTACATAGAAATATCTACCACTCCACAGACTTTTAGAGAAGAACGTCCTTTCTTTTGGTATAAAAAACATACAAATAACTTCAGAGTAAATTCCATACCATTGGTCCAGCATTTGGCGGATTTGCAGCAGATGACTTGCGGACAAAATTTAATAGAGAATTTGGACTGCTCGGTACACCATGGTCGGGCCACGTCGTGTAATGGAATTGTTTTATTGAACGCTCTTGAAGTGTATCTAACGAAAAAGATGAATAAGGCTATAACATGACTAACTAACACTGAAAAGGTAATGTAGCATATAAGACAGTGTCCTGTCCCATTCTTCTCGAAGATTGCCAACTTCTACTAATGCAATACATACTAGGTGAAAATCGACTTTCGTGTAGTTGAAAACAAACATAGTCGTGAAACAGAGCTTCCAAAGATACAAACAAAACAATTGAGTAAATTTATACCTGCCCTAACAACTTTAAATGTTCTAATGGTATAATCTGTAAGTTCAAATTCCTCCAACAACGTAACAACAAATTCACCATATTCAGCGCTTCCTTTTGACGGCCAATATTGATGACATTTTACTTTTCGACCCTCTTCCAGACCTGTAACCTGATTCAATATGAAAAATTACAAATATCAAGAGAATCAACGCTTTGTATGTTTAGATAGAGAAAATATAGCAAATTATTTTAAATAACAAAAACACAAAAACTTCAGTGATGATAAAGAAAGATTTATCAATGGTTTAGAAAGATTTATGTGTTTGAGTTAGATTTTTCCCAGTTAAAGTTTCCATCAAATAGCTACCATGTGAACACATATCACGTGACACATATCACGTGACATGTGAACACATATCACGTGACATGTGAACACATATCACGTGACATGTGAACACATATCACGTGACACATGAACACATCACATGTAATACATACCATAACAATTACACTGCTTAAATTTTCCCAAACCATTCGCCAGAATTGTTCACACGTCGTTTCCAATGGTCCTTGAGTTGCTATGTATGCCTTCTCTTTTTCACATCCATCCAGGTAACTGGCGTTTATATAATCATTGCCACTTGGATCAGTTTTAAGAATCACTCGATTTTCATCGTAACATAAGATATTGTTATATCGATTGCTTTCTCTGTTACCATCTTCTTGAGCAACATTCATGGAAAGAGTCACATTCTTTCGAGGGATTTGAGAGTACTCCAAGGAGTATAAACAGTTTGAGTCCGCTGCCAATCTACGACAATGTTCACTGAAGTCTGTAACAGCGTACACCTCACCTGGTACATAGCCTCGATTGTCCAATTCAATGTTGTCTAAAAACAAGGAACCTTGAATAATAATTTACCAAGCTTATTATCTTACAGAATAATTTTTACAGAAGTCTAATTTTCGATGGAAGAACTTAATTGTTGCTACAACATTATATTTGTTGCATACTCCCCCTACACACACACCCTTTTTATTTCAAGATGACATTCCTTGCTGTAAGGAACATTAGTACACCTCTTCCAACTCTGCTTTTGTAAATATCACATTATTTAATTTCTATTGCTTACTTTAGTTTACTTAATTCATGCGTTGTAAATATATATGTGTATGTAAGGTTTTAGATATCATTCTGTCTGAGGATTACTTTGAAATAAAGTCGAAAATTTACAGTTTTCTCGTCTTGTTTTGATGCATATTTTGCAATCTCAAGATGTCTTGCTTTTTCGGAATTTGCTTTATACTATATTCCTTTAAATTGTCGGCTAGTCATGGTTTTTAGTGAGCACAGTAGCTTTATATCAGTCGGAACAAAAATTGGTTGTTTTAATGAAGTTTTTTATCCTAACACAGTGTCGTTATAGCAAATTTGTAGCTTAGATAGGAAAACAATTTCTAAAACATCTTAGCAGTAATGGTAAAGTTGGGGTTCAAAACTCAAAATTCTGTCATAACTTCTGAAAGTTAGGGCACGATGATAAGAGAGCACAAGTTTACTTTTAAAATAATCACATACAAATCTATTGAAATATCTTGTTTCATATAAGTTTTTTCAGGAGAGATTTTCAAAGAACCCATTTCCTTTCAATAGGCAAGCTACACAGTGTAGAAAAACGCGACTTTTATTTAGGCAAAACCAAGGAACGTCATCCTTTATAAAAGGGCACATTTTTGGTAATCCCTTGCGCGCAGATAACGATAAAAAATTGTTAAACACCTCTATGTTGCTTTCTGCTGTTACCACGTCGTCTTCTGATGTAAAACACGGCAATTACAATCAAAATAACCAAAATGACTGCAACAACAACACCAACTATGATACCAACAGGAGAGCTGCCACCATCATCAATTTTTTTTATCGTTTGTATTGTGTCAGTCCAAGCTCTCGTTCTAATAACTGTTCTTTTATCATCCAAACCACGTTGTAGTAAACGATAAGGACGACCTTCAGTTAACGGACCGTTAACAATGTTTGGAGAAGCTGTAACAGTCAGTTTTGACAATTTTTTTTACAAACAATTTGATCCCAATTAATAATAAATAAGTAATTTTAATACCCGCTCGTTTTTTTCTTCGTTTTGCACTCGTGAAAGAGTTTCCTTGACCAACAACAAAGTCTTTATACATATCAAATTCCGATGATGGGAACTCTGCAGTTATGTAAGGTTCACCAGCTGTTCGGTTAACATAATACCTTGTCACGATTATATCTGTATCAGGAAGTCTGAGGTTTTCAATCAATTCCAAAACAATGATTTGGTAGATTCTACAAGATAAAATTTCGACAATCATACAATATAAAGATTTCCAAAATTTATCACGTGATGTAACATTCTACATCGGTTACAATAGATTGTTGCAATAGATTATTAATTATGGCAGAAAAATACAATTTGCTTCGGTACAACTAATTTCGTGTAAATCTTGAACAAACTAAACAATAATTCTCTTACGCGACATTTTTGTCCTGATATTTTTCCAAGGTAAACGGAATCGTAGTTGATGTTATTCCTTAAAAGTAAAAGCTGAAAAATAAACAAAAATGGTGTTGTATTGATTGAAAGTACTATTGGACAGAGATTCTCCCTTGCCAAACCAGCGCAATTTAGCAAAAATTTTCTGCTTATAATTTATGCAAAGGACTAAGTGAACAACATACTTTTTTTCTTTTTAGAATTAATTAATTGATTTGAAGCAAACGTGAAATATTTTATACTATTTACTTTCCAAGAAGTAAAGCAAAGATTAATTGAAAAACTCGTAATTTGATATTAGAGTGAAATTAGTTAAAAAAACATAAACTTAATTTTATTTCAAGTACAGATACAAGTTGGAATTTTTTTGCAAAGAGAGCACATCATATTTTTTGTCAATTTAACAAATAATCCTGCGCGATATTGATACGAAAAAAGCAAATTTTTATACCAATATGAACTTCACTGATAGTTGCAACTGTAGCTTTTATCTAGGCTTCGTTCAGATAGTTGTAACACAAATATTTAGTTCTGGAAATAAACTTAAATATTGGTTTGAATAGCGTATTTTCCATTATAAATGACAACTAATTAACTCAAAAAAGAACAGGTTGAAAACAATTCTTTATTTCTGTTTTTAACAGTTTATTTTAGAACTAACAACATTTACAATGGAAAATACGCTGTTCAAAGAGTATTCAGTGTAGTTACTCAATAAGCAAATCTTTGCCAATGATAAAATAGAAATTATGACGTTAATGAAACTAGCAAAAATTTTCAAAAAAACCTGCAGACTTACACAAATTTGTCATAAACTCCATTGATTACTTTCTATACCATCACCAACGCTGTTTCTCGCCAAAACAGTCACAGTATAAGTTGAATTAGGATTCAAACCATTCAAGTCTCCATGGAGCATGTCAGGTTTAGCAAGAACAGTTGTTCTTTCATTATCACCCATCAATTGATACGTCACAACATACTGGATACTGGCAGCTTGCCAATTCAGGTTATTCAATGGTTCCCATGTCACTCTAGCACTGTACGGCCCCAAGTGATAGGCATTTATTAATTTAGGAGCGTCATTTGGGACTACATGAAGTACATAAAAGAGGAGCTGTAATAAACTCAAGAAGGCAAGGGAGAAGATAAATCTTTTTTACAACGCATTCATAACATATTTTGCATAAATGAGTTCGACGTACCATCTTCAGCTGTGCTACAAGATATGTTTTCTTCTTTACCAAAACCTACACTTTCTAGCGTCTGAGCAGCAACACTTACGCGATAAATTGTAAATGGTTCTAAACACAAAAAGAGAGAGAATACAGTCTACCGTTTATCAGTATATATGACGTGTCGTGGAAAAGAACTTTGAAAAAGAAAAAGTCGGATTTAAATTCACTAACGTGAATTTCTTCTCCATTAAAACACCATATTCCATAGCCATCATATCAAACATTTTTTATTGTTAAAAAATATACAAAGCCATGTGTATTCTAGATATTTGACTCGCTTCCATTCTCTGTTGGTTTGCTACGTAGATGAATGTGTGGAGCTACTGGTGTGACTAGATTTGGTAATTTAAATTTGGTAAGTCTTTTAGAAAAAAAAGTACATTTTTGGAAGTTAAAAGTCCTTGGTAATTTTTGGTAATTTTCTTGAAAGTCAGTAATATTTGATAATCAAAACAAAAATCCCATAGCGACATAACGACATAAAATAAATCAATTCAAAAATTGAACAAGGGGAAGATCAGTCCGCATTTCTATGGAGGATAACTTGAGCTACAAATATTACAGAACACAAGTTATTTAGTCATTCAATAGAAGAACAACTGATCATGCACTTGTCAACAGTAGGAGAACATGGGAAATTCTCAGCTATTTTTTATTAAGTAATTGTAACTTACATCAACAAATTCTGGTAAATTCTGGTAGTTTGAGAAACGATTTAATAATTATTTTGTTGTTTGACTGATTTTGTTAGCGAAAGTAGCAAAAATTTAGTAACTTACGTATTGTTTCTTTCGATTATTTTAGCCAGTTTCTCTAGCTAATGGCTTCAAAAAGATCTGGTCACATTGAGAGCAACGCGGGCAAGTACTCGAGATTGCGAGTTCAAACGTAAGCAACATGTTTTTCATGAGCGTATGACCGTGTATAAATTGATATTCTGATTTTAAGATATGCTGTCCGCTGATATGCTGTTGGGGACAAAAATGCTTAAATTTTTCATATTGATGAAAATATTTTTCAAACTAATTATTTTCATTATCCTGGAAATGTCAAACTTGCTTAAATGTTTACAATTCAACTTAATAAACTTACCCAAACGATTATCACCAATATCTGCTTTACTTGTGTTTGGTGTTTCATAAGACTGTCTTTCACCAAATGTAATCAACTCATCAGCATTTCTGTTTCTTAATTTCATCCAAGTAAGTTTATACAGACGAACTTTTCCATTTGAATCTAAAGGTTCTTTCCAACTGACATTTAATGACTTCTTTGCCAACTGCCCGCATGAAACATTGCTTGGAACACCAGGAACTAAAAATTCATGATAGATTTTACTTTTCTTCTTATATTTGATTAGAAATAAAAGCCAGCTCATTGTTCACAAAGTAATTTGAAATCACATATATGTAGTTTGAACACACATCAAAGAGGGTTTGAAGACTTTGAAAGTATAGTTTGCAGAATAATTGAACTGTGGTGCAAGACAACTTGGTTAAACGGCACTGCTTTAGCACACCTTCAATACATTTAAGCATGTTGGAAAATATGGATTTTAATTAACACAACACTCTACAGGACGTGTATTTTAAAGTTGATCTGACCTTAATTTTTTTAACGAATTTGATGAGTGGTAAACGCAGAACAATGTTGGTAAAATAATTTTTTGACCTGGCTGAAAAATTTTACCAAATTTTCAAATTTGACGTTACGTTTTAAAAGTGTGAAACATTCCATAAATGGTAAAAATCACCTCAATGACGACTCATAATGGAGTTGTCACATTTGAAGTCTGGCGCTCAAAGTATGACGAAAATTTAGGAGAACTTGACGATACTATATTATCTTTTCTAATATTCTTCTTACTCAAAGTTTGAAAACATGCTCAAAAGAAGCGTAGTTTATGGTTTTAGTGGCACAAGAATATCAAAATAGAATATTGTAGTATTATTCAGCAGGTTTTGTCGGGAATTTAAGTCACAGTTTTTATCATCACTACTTATTTATCACGAAGCTTTTGATCAAATATGAGCTATGTTTTACAACACCTAAATTAAGTTTTTTTATCGAAAATTTTTACATTTTGGTTATTTTATCTTTCTTTCCAGCATACACATTCAATTAGTAGACAAAGTAAATCTTCCAACAAATATAAATAAATAGATTTTCACTCATTCAACTTACCATCTTCATTAGTTCGATATTCATTTGTAGAATTTTCACTTTCTCCTATTCTTGTCGATGCACTCACTTTGATTTCATACAAACTGTATTTTTCTAAATGACAAAATGTTAATGTGACTGTTGAAAAATTGACTAAAAAAGGAGGAAGATACAAATTGTAAAGTTGGAGCAATCTCTTAGCGACCGCAGAGCAGGGGGGTACGTCCTCCTCATTTTCTTTATGAACAAGCATTTATTTGTATTTTGGTGTGTTATCCCCCCCCCGAGCACAATTTTGAACAGGCTACGCAGTCACTGGTCTTCAACTAGTTCAAAAAACTTTTTCTAACTATAAACGCCTGTACAAAATAGAGACAGCTTAAAATTTAACTCGTTCATACTCAAACTCTGATTTAGCAAATGTTATATTCATTAAGATCAAAATTAAAAGCTACATTTTCAACCCACTCATTATTCCTAAAGTGAATTGTGGCTAATATATATCCCAACAAGCCTGCAATGTTAATAAAATGCAAAATACTTATTTCAGATTACTAATGTTGTAAGATAATTTTGGCGACAGTTGCGACTGAATACAATTGTGACCAATACATGAAAAATCAATAAAAGTACTTACCAAGTTCCTCCAAAATCAATGTTCTTAAGTCCGATGAAATGTTTCTGCTTTCATAACTTGTACGATGTACAACATTGTTCTTGTCATCACGAATAAGTTTATAATAAACTGTGTATGACAATAAAATTCCATTGAACTTTTCAGGTTCATCCCACGATACATTAAGTTGAGTGGAGCTAACATTTGAAGCTCTTACGTTACGTGGTTCACTGGGAACTGTAGAAAAAGAATATTGTCATGATTAACTAGTTGTTTTATTGACGGTTTTTAAAACTAAAAATACTGTTGGTGCACAAATAGAAACTATTTTGCTTATCAATGCACTTTTTTAACCTAATGGTATATTTTGCATTAAAGAATCATTTCAAATGGTTAAATTGTAGCAATTTTCAGCAACTGTTGCAAATGTAAAATGAAATGTAGCCATGTGTGTCAGATTAGTGGAATAAAAAACGAAGAGTGAACAAAAGTTTGCAAATACAATATATAAAGAGTAAAATATTTCTATGTTGTTGAAACGTACGAAAGTCAACTCAAATAACATTCAATGTCACAGCTGTATGATCGCTTTGAATAATGTAATCTTCTAAACACTATTTAAACGACAATAGACCTTTTCATTTGATGTTAGAAAATATATCATGCTCAACTTTAAATTCGGATGAAATTTTCTGTTGACAGAAGTGTTATGATATGTTGACAAAAGTGTTAAATACACAAACTTTCAAACAAAAAACATAAGTCAGCTTGTTGAAACACTCAGCTATGTCCCACATAGAGATTTCTAAAGAGAAATCTTGTCAACTTGTTTCAATTAGAGATTACCTGTTTCACCGGTTCGTTCCCTGAGATCTACAGCTTCTCCATTTCCAACGAAGGTAAATGCATTCAAACTTACATTGTAAATAGAATATGGATCTATAACATAATCAAGATTTTTGTTCTCACAACAAGTATAATTCCTTTATACCAACAATGAAAGAGTTTTTTCATTTTTCATTTCAGTAAATTTTACCGATATATTTGTTAAATAATTTAAAAATAAATTTCTCATCAGATAAAACTAACCTAAATTTGAAATGGAAAACGAAGTTTTGGTGGTTGTGGTACTGTTCATGGTGATGGGAACTGTTTCATTCTTATCATTTATTACTTTACTCCAAGATACATTATAACCACGAATGATCCCATTAGGATCCATTGGTATCTCCCACGTTAAGTTCAGTACTGTAGACGATGATATTTGTAATATTACATTAACTGGAGCGCCAGGAGCTAAAAAAGAAAGACAACACGTTGAGTGCAAAAGAAAACAAATTATGAATATCTCATATTAATAAATGAATTTTAGTGATTATATCAATAAAACACACCGTTCATAAACAATGCATTCAAAAATAAACTTACTGTCTTCATCTGTCAAGAATTCCTTTACCGTAGAGTTCATTCCTTCTCCAACTGAAGTTGACGCACTGACTTTGACTTCGTAAACGCTGTATTTTTCTACATTAGAATAAAAAACATTGGATACGAAAACATCGCGTAAAGAAATTTCATAAAATATTTTAATGCCATTGCTAATAAATACTTACATTACACACTTAAAGTTAAATAGTGGGGAACACGTTTTCATGCAGGGTACTTGCAGTGTATTTGTAGTGACAGTCAACAGCACAAATTTTCCATATCAATATTTAAAATTTAGTGGCATATTTTTGATAAATATAATTGCGAGAAATACATAATTTTCAATAAAACTACTTACCAAGATATGTTAGAGTCAATGTTCTCACGTCTGTTAAAGTGTTTGTGCTTTTATAATTCATACGATGTACAACTTTGTTGTTATCATCACGAATAGGTTTATAATAAACTGTGTATGACAATAAAACTCCGTTGAACTTTTCAGGTTCATCCCACGATACATTAAGTTGAGTGGAGCTAACATTTAAAGCTCTTACGTTACGTGGCTCACTGGGAACTGTAGAAGAAGAATATTGTCATCATTAACTAGTTGTTTTATTGACGGTTTTTAAAACTAAAAATACTGTTGGTGCACAAATAGAAACTATTTTGCTTATCAATGCACTTTTTTAACGTGATGGTATATTTTGCATTAAAGAATCATTTCAAATGGTTGAATTGTAACAATTTTTAGCAACTGTTGCAAATGTAAAATGTAATGTAGTCGTGTGTGTCAGATTAGTGGAATAAAAAACGAAGAGTGAACAAAAGTTTGCAAATACAATATATAAAGAGTAAAATATTTATATGTTGTTGAAACGTACGAAAATCAAATCAAATAACATTCAATGTCACAGCTGTATTATCGTTTCAATAACGTACTTTTCTATGGACTATCTAAAAAGTGATGTTTAAAATATATCATGCTCAACTTAAAATTTGGATGAAATTATCTGTTGACAGAAGTATTATGATATGTCGACAAAAGTGTTATATACACAAACTTTCAAACAAAAAACATAAGTCAGCTTGTTGAAACACTCAGCTATGTCCCACATAGAGATTTCTAAAGAGAAATCTTGTCAACTTGTTTCAATTAGAGATTACCTGTTTCACCGGTTCGTTCACTGAGATCTACAGCTTCTCCATTTCCAACGAAGGTAAATGCATTCAAACTTACATTATAAACAGAATATGGATCTATAACATAATCAAGATTTTTGTTCTTACAACAAGTATAATTCCTTTATACCAACAATGAAAGAGTTTTTTCATTTTTCATTTCAGTAAATTTTACCGATATATTTGTTAAATAATTTAAAAATAAATTTCTCATCAGATAAAACTAACCTAAATTTGAAATGGAAAACGAAGTTTTGGTGGTTGTGGTACTGTTCATGGTGATGGGAACTGTTTCATTCCTATCATTTATTACTTTACTCCAAGATACATTATAACCACGAATGATCCCATTAGGATCCATTGGTACCACCCAAGTTAATTCAAGTACTGTAGACGATGATATTTCTAATGTTACATTAACTGGAGCGCCAGGAGCTAAAAAAGAAAGACAACACGTTGAGTGCAAAAGAAAACAAATTATGAATATCTCATATTCATAAATGAATTTTAGTGATTATCTCAACAAAACACACTGTTCATAAACAATGCATTCAAAAATAAACTTACTGTCTTCATCTGTCAAGAATTCCTTTACCGTAGAGTTCATTCCTTCTCCAACTGAAGTTGACGCACTGACTTTCACTTCATAAACGCTATATTTTTCTACATTAGAATAAAAAACGTTGGATACGAAAACATCGCGTAAAGAAATTTCATAAAATATCTTAATGCCATTGCTAATAAATACTTACATTACACACTTAAGTTAAATAGTGGGGAGCACGTTTTCATGCAGGGTACTTGCAGTGACAGTCAACAGTACAATTTTTCATATCAATATTTAAAATTTAGTAGCATAATTTTGATAAATATAATTGTGAGAAATACACAATTTTCAATAAAACTTCTTACCAAGATTTGTTAGAGTCAATGTTCTCACGTCTGTTGAGGTGTTTGTGCTTTTATAAATCATACTATGTACAACTTCGTTGTTGTCATCACGAATAAGTTTATAATAAACTGTGTATGACAGTAAAACTCCGTTGAAATTTTCAGGTTCATCCCACGATACATTAAGTTGAGTGGAGCTAACATTTGAAGCTCTTACGTTACGTGGTTCACTGGGAACTGTAAAAGAAGAATATTGTCATCATTAACTAGTTGTTTTATGGACGGTTTTTAAAACTAAAAATACTGTTGGTGTACAAATAGCAACTACTTTGCTTATCAATGCACTTTTTTAACCTAATGGCATTTTTTGCATTAAAGAATCATTTCAAATGGTTAAATTGTAGCAATTTTCAACAACTGTTGCAAATGTAAAATGAAATGTAGCCGTGTGTGTCAGATTAGTGGAATAAAAAACGAAGAGTGAACAAAAGTTTGCAAGTACAATATATAAAGAGTAAAATATTTCTATGTTGTTGAAACGTACAAAAATTAAATCAAATAACATTCAATGTCACAGCTGTATTATCGCTTTGAATAATGTAATCTTCTAAACACAATCTAAACGGCCATAGACCTTTTCATTTGATGATAGAAAATATATCATGCTCAACTTAAAATTCGGATAAAATTTTCTGTGGACAGAAGTGTTATGATATGTTGACAAAAGTGTTAAATAGACAAACTTTCAAACAAAAAACATGAGTCAGCTTGTTAAGACGCTAAACTTGTTTCAACTAGATATTACCTGCTTCATCAGTTCGTTCATTGATGTTTACAACTTCTCCATTTCCGACGATGGTAAATGCATTCAAACTTACATTATAAACAGAATATGGATCTATAACATGATAAGGTTTTTATTAAATACTTTAAATAAACTCCTTCATGAACATTGCCGAAAGAATAGTTCTATGCAGCTCAATCTAAAATTTCTTGAATGTGTTTTAAGTAATACAAAAAGTAAATTTCACATTAGGGTAAAACCAACCAAGATTTGAAATTGAAAATGAAGTTTTGGTGGTGTTGATATCGTTCTTTTCGATGGGAACTGTTTCATTCTTATCGTTTACTACTTTAATCCACGATACATAATATCCTAAAATCACCCCATTAGGATCCATTGGTACCACCCAAGTTAATTTCAGTACTGTAAACGATGATCTTTCTAATGTTACATTAACAGGAGCGCCAGGAGCTAAAAAAGAAAGACAACACGTTGAGTGCAAAAGTAAACAAATTATGAATATCTCATAATGAATTTTAGTGATTATCACAACAAAACACACTGTTCATAAACAATGCATTCAAAAATAAACTTACTGTCTTCATCTGTTAAGAATTCCTTTACCGTAGAGTTCATTCCTTCTCCAACTGAAGTTGACGCACTGACTTTCACTTCATAAACGCTATATTTTTCTACATTAGAATAAAAAACGTTGGATATGAAAACATCGCGTAAAGAAATTTCATAAAATATTTTAATGCCATTGCTAATAAATACTTACACTACACACTTAAAGTTAAATAGTGGGGAGCACGTTTTCATGCAATGTACTTGCAGTGACAGTCAATACCACAATTTTTCATATCAATGTTTAAAATTTAGTAGCATAATTTTGATAAATATAATTGTGAGAAATACATAATTTTCAATAAAACTACTTACCACCATTTGTTAGAGTCAATGTTCTCACGTCTGGTGAGGTGTTTGTGCTTTTATAATTCATACGTTGTAAAACTTTGTTGTTGTCATTACGAATAAGTTTATAATAAACTGTGTATGACAATAAAATTCCACTGAACTTTTCAGGTTCATCCCACGATACATTAAGTTGAGTGGAGCTAACATTTGAGGCTCTTACGTTACGTGGTTCACTGGGAACTGTAGAAAAAGAATATTGTCATGATTAACTAGTTGTTTTATTGACGGTTTTTAAAACTAAAAATACTATTGGTGCACAAATAGCAACTGTTTTGTTTATCAATGCACTTTTTTAACCTGATGGTATTTTTTGCATTAAAGAATCATTTCAAATGGTTAAATTGTAGCAATTTTCAGCAACTGTTGCAAATGTAAAATGAAATGTAGCCGTGTGTGTCAGATTAGTGGAATGAAAAACGAAGAGTGAACAAAAGTTTGCAAATACAATATATAAAGAGTAAAATATTTCTATGTTGTTGAAACGTACGAAAGTCAACTCAAATAACATTCAATGTCACAGCTGTATGATCGCTTTGAATAATGTAATCTTCTAAACACTATTTAAACGACAATAGACCTTTTCATTTGATGTTAGAAAATATATCATGCTCAACTTTAAATTCGGGTGAAATTTTCTGTTGACAGAAGTGTTATGATATGTTGACCAAAGTGTTAAATACACAAACTTTCAAACAAAAAACATAAGTCAGCTTGTTGAAACACTCAGCTATGTCCCACATAGAGATTTCTAAAGACAAATTTTGTCAACTTGTTTCAATTAGAAAATACCTGAAACGTACAAAAAATAAATCAAATAACATTCAATGTCACAGCTGTTATTATCGTTTCAATAACGTACTTTTCTATGGACTATCTAAAAAGTGATGTTTAAAATATATCATGCTCAACTTAAAATTCGGATGAAATTATCTGTTGACAGAAGTATTATGATATGTCGACAAAAGTGTTAAATACACAAACTTTCAAACAAAAAACACGAGTCAGGTTTTTGAAACACTCAGCTATGTCCCACATAGAGATTTCTAAAGAGAAATTTTGTCAACTTGTTTCAATTAGAAAATACCTGCTTCACCGGTTCGTTCACTGAGATTTACAGCTTCTCCATTTCCAACGAAGGTAAATGCATTTAAACTTACATTATAAACAGAATATGGATCTATAACATAATCAAGATTTTTGTTCTTACAACAAGTATAATTCCTTTATACCAACAATGAAAGAGTTTTTTTCATTTTTCATTTCAGTAAATTTTACCCATATTTGTTAAATAATTTAAAAATAAATTTCTCATCAGATAAAACTAACCTAAATTTGAAATGGAAAACGAAGTTTTCGTGGTGTTGGTACTGTTCTTGATGATGGGAACTGTTTCATTCTTATCGTTCATTACTTTACTCCACGATACATAATATCCTAGAATCACCCCATTAGGATCCATTGGTACCACCCAAGTTAATTCAAGTACTGTAGACGATGATCTTTGTAATGTTAAATTAACTGGAGCGCCAGGAGCTAAAAAAGAAAGACAACACGTTGAGTGCAAAAGAAAACAAATTATGAATATCTCATATTCATAAATGAATTTTAGTGATTATCTCAACAAAACACACTGTTCATAAACAATGCACTCAAAAATAAACTTACTGTCTTCATCTGTCAAGAATTCCTTTACCGTAGAGTTCATTCCTTCTCCAACTGAAGTTGATGCACTCACTTTGACTTTGTAAACACTGTATTTGTCTATATTAATAAAAAAAATCTAATCTATAAAGAACACTTTATATAAAACGAGAAAATGTCATGGAATTGTTGATAGTTATTGCTTACAAAAACTACGGAGATATATCAACATGAATTGTGGCTAATCGCAATAACAATAGGTATTCCAATTTGCAACAATAATAAATCCCAAAACTTTAAAAACTAACATATAACCTCGTGAGAAATTTTTGGTGTCAGTTGTCATGCATAAATGTGCAATAAAAATGCTTACCAAGTTCCTCCAAAATCAATGTTCTTACGTCCGAGTAAATGTTTCTACTTTCATAACTTGTACGATGTACAACATTGTTTTTGTCATCACGAATAAGTTTATAATAAACTGTGTATGACAGTAAAACTCCGTTGAATTTTTCAGGTTCATCCCACGATACATTAAGTTGAGTTGAGCTAATATTTGAAGCTCTTACGTTGCGTGGTTCACTGGGAACTGTAAAAGGAGAATATTGTCATGATTAACTAGTTGTTTTATTGACGGTTTTTAAAACTAAAAATACTGTTGGTGCACAAATAGAAACTATTTTGCTTATCAATGCACTTTTTTAACCTAATGGTATTTTTTGCATTAAAGAATCATTTCAAATGGTTGAATTGTAACAATTTTCAGCAACTGTTGCAAATGTAAAATGAAATGTAGCCGTGTGTGTCAGATTAGTGGAATGAAAAACGAAGAGTGAACAAAAGTTTGCAAATACAATATATAAAGAGTAAAAATATTTCTATGTTGTTGAAACGTACAAAAATCAAATGAAATAACATTCAATGTCACAGCTGTATTATCGTTTTGAATAATGTAATCTTCTAAACACTATGTAAATGACAATAGACCTTTTCATTTGATGTTAGAAAATATATCATGCTCAACTTAAAATTCGGATGAAATTTTCTGTTGACAGAAGTGTTATGATATGTTGACAAAAGTGTTAAATACACAAACTTTCAAACAAAAAACATGAGTCAGCTTGTTAAGACGCTCAACTTGTTTCAACTAGATATCACCTGCTTCATCAGTTCGTTTAGTGCTATTTACAACTTCTCCACTTCCGACGATGGTAAATGCATTCAAACTTACATTGTAAACAGAATATGGATCTATATAAAATGATGGAGATTTTGACATTCGACAAACTCTTTAATTGCTAATTATACCAACAGTGTTCAACTAACAAATTAAAACAGAAATAAAAATGCGATTCTTTTTATAAAAATTTACCAGCATATATTTTATGTAATGTAAAAGTAAATTTTTCATAAGATTGAAACTAACCAAGATTTGAAATTAAAAATGAAGTATTGGTGGTGTTGGTACTATTCCTGTTCATGGGAACTGTTCCATTCTTATCATTTAATACTTTACTCCAAGATACATTATACCCACGAATGATCCCATTAGGATCGCTTGGTATCACCCACGTTAAGCTAAGTACTGTGGACGATGATCTTTGTAATGTTACATTAATTGGAGCGCCAGGAGCTAAAAAAGAAAGACAACACGTTGAATGCAAAGGAAAACAAATTTATGAATATCTCACATTGACAAATAAATTTTAGTGATTATCTCAACAAAACACACTGTTCATAAACAATGCTTCAAAAATAAACTTACTGTCTTCATCTGTCAAGAATTCCTTTACCGCAGAGTTCCTTCCTTCTCCAACTGAAGTTGACGCACTGACTTTGACTTCATAAACGCTATATTTTTCTACATTAGAATAAAAAACGTTGGATACGAAAACATCGCGTAAAGAAATTTCATAAAATATCTTAATGCCATTGCTAATAAATACTTACATTACACACTTAAGTTAAATAGTGGGGAGCAAGTTTTCATGCAGGGTACTTGCAGTGTACTTTTAGTGACAATTAACACCACAATTTTTCATATAAATATTTATGCCATTGCTAATAAATACTTACATTACACACTTAAGTTAATTATGGGTAACATGCTTTCATGCAGTGTACTTTGCAGTGATAATTAACACCACAATTTTTCCATATCAATATTTAAAACTTAGTGGCATCATTTTGATGAACATAACTGTGAGAAATTCATAATTTTCAATAAAACTACTAACCAAGATTTGTTAGAGTCAATGTTCTCACATCTGGTGAGGTGTTTCTGCTTTCATAACTTGCACCATGTACAACTTCGTTGTTATCATCACGAAGAAATTTATAATAAACTGTGTATGACACTAAAATTCCATTGAACTTTTTAGGTTCATCCCACGATACATTGAGTTGAGTTGAGCTAATGTTTGAAGCTTTCACGTTAAGTGGTTCACTGGGAACTGTGGAAGAAGAATATTGTCATGATTAAATAGTTCTTTTATTGACGGTTTTTAAAACTAAAAATACTGTTGGTGCACAAATAGCAACTATTTTGCTAATCAATGCACTTTTTAATCTTAAGCAGTAAAAAGGAATAATTTCACGAATAAGTTGTCATCTAATGGCTTGTTTTATAAAAATACAAAACACAATCTTTTCATGCTATCTACAAATTTACAACTGTTATACATAATGCAATTCTCTTCACCTGCATATTATACAATTATCATTAAATTATAATTGAAAATAATGTTTAAATTTTTGTCAAATTTAAGGATGAATTACATTCGTTCTTGCTTTCACTATTATAGCCACGTGAAATACTAAATCAGTTGGAAAGGTTAAAATTCGATGAAATGGTGTTAAAGATTGCGAGGTTGTTGAGATACAAATGAATAAAATCAATAAACATGTATAAACTTAAACTATTAAATTATCCTTACAATAACGTTTACTTCAGTTTGACGGCAATTTATTATTTAGTGAATGAAGCCATGGTGTAATTCAACAAAATTTCGTAGTTTGAACATCAAATTTAATGATCACCCTTTGTATAAAATGTTCAAGCCAAGTTTTTATAAAAGAGTTTCAAATAAGAACGTGGAACAGAATATTTTGGCATTGAGGTTCAGAACTGTCCTTATACAGATGATTCTCAGGAATAAATCTAGTCAACCTGTTTTTATATACCTGAGATTACCAGCTTTTATTACAATACCTCAACTTGAGAATAAGCATGCGCTATTCTAAATGCATGTTTTGAAAATTTGTGCTTTTCAAAGTGAAAATGACTTTAACACGGAGAAATTCGCAATGGTTTTGAATTTAAAATATTGAGAAAATTTTACGGTGAAAAATGCATTATCAACATCTTTTAAACAAAGTTTACGCGTTTTCCCATTATCACATGGAAAAAATGCAGTTAGCCAATACGATGAAAAAAAAAGACCTGGCTCTACTCCCAAATTAAAGCCCACTACACACGACATAAACTAATCCAGGTTTAACCCAAATCATTTTTTTGCGTGTGAACACTACTAACCCAGGTTTGATCTGGGTTTAACTCAACCCATCTCAAGAGGCACGTTTAGTTTAACCTAGGTTAAAGCTGGGTTAGTAGTGTTCACACGTAAAAATGACCTGGGTTAAATCTGGGTTAATATTAACCTGAGTTAACCCCGGTCAGTTTATGTCGTGTGAATATAGGGCTTAAAACAATAGACATAACTCGAGGTGTTGCGCACTCTGAGTGAATAATCAATGATTCAGTTTTTCGTAATTTTCGTAAAAGAGCCAAAACAACATGATGATTCTTCTGAAGTATGACAAAGTAGAAAGAGTATCACAATCAAAAACTTTCTTTAAAGCAATTAACTTACTTGATTGACTTGTTCGAACCAGTCTAAAGACTTGAGTACCATTTCCAGCAATAGTGATCGCATTTAGCGATACATTGTATTCAAAGTATGGTTCTAATAAACAATAACATTGAGAAAATGAAAGATACAGATAAACTGTTCTTTAAGATCATATATCTTACCTAAATGTTCCATTTCAAATCCAGTTTCCGTTACTATGTCTTGTCTATGTTTATTGATGTTCACAGATCTATTTTTGTCATCTTTCACAATAAATGAAATAATCCTATATCCCGTAATTTCTCCATTTGGATTTGTGGGAGGTGACCAATTTAGTAGAAGTCCTGTGGACGATTCCAAATCCAACCGAACATTGGTGGGCTCAGAAGGGGCTGTAAGACATGCCAATACTTTATGTAATTGTAATCTACATAAACACTGTATAAAATTTCAGCTATACCTCAAATATAACCTATAAACGTAAGCAGTGTTGCGAACAAGAAATAAAGAGTCAAGAATTGCAAAAAAGTTTAAAAGGCAGAATTGGATTCCCAGTGCCTACTTAAACATTAGTTTTCGCCAGGGCTGTATTAAGGGGGGTGCGTGATGGGCGTTCGCCAGGGGCCCTTCTGTTTTGAGGACTCCGCGCGAAGTTAATATTTTCAATGGAAATATCGTCTTCACGTTGCAGGTGCAGTACGGAGAATCCCAACAGGGAAAATCGAATTTTAGTTATTAATAAAACTTCATGTTACATGCAAGAAGGCAAAGCTTGAAGTGCTTCCATTAGATGCCAACCTGGCGTTTCGTTATGAACCTCCCGTGATTTTCACGATTTTAAAGCTTGATCCTCCCGTGATTTTCACGATTATAGTGCGACATCACAATTTATATCTTAAAGTAAATAGTGAAATAACCACTCCAGTGAAAGTATAGTGTTATTTCACTGACAATTTCTCCCTCGTTAATGTTTTCCAAACTGTATACATGCAAGTTTCATTTTCGGAGACCTAGCTGTATGTCCTCTTCCCAAATGTAGCTAATCGCTCTTAAAGCGCAAACGCAAACCATTTTGTAAGGTTGAGCAGTTTATAAGTTAAATCTCTTACTTGATTCGCCAGTTTGTTTGTCTATACTTGTACCATCACCACTTCCAGCTCCAGTTATAGCATAAACGATCACAGTGTAAACAGAGTAAGGTTCTAAAGAATATTTAAACATTTTCTCATTACATCATTATAGAGAATGCAATAAACAAAATCGGAAAACGATATACAGATTATCAAACAATTACAAAAACACTATAATTACACCAAAATTGCGAATGCAAAAATTAATTTGTAGCTGAAAAACATTTTTTTAACTTTTTAATGTATATTTATTTGATGAAATTTAAGTTTCTTAGGGAAAACTTGCTTTACATTCACAGCCTTAAAATAAATGAAATACATTGTTTAAGAATAGCATAATAACGAAAAGGCATTCATACAAATTAGTAGTACCAAAGTAAATCTCAGGCATAATAAAATTTCGTATGATTGTGAACATTGAAAGATGTTAATTTAATGCTGGTAAGATTTCAATCATGGTCATAAACCTTAAGATATTGTTATTTTGGTTTTTCATCTTCAATGATTCATAATTTCAATATATATGTTTATTTGAATATTTATACATAGCTTACTTAAGCTGTCGATGACATAACTACGAGATGATGAGTTTAATGGAGTAGAAAGAACGTTCAAAACAGATTCTACTCCATCATTGCTATCATCGTTCTTTAACTTCCACGTAATATTATAACCAGTGATAACACCATTGGGATCCAAAGGTGGAAACCACGTGACTTTCAACTGCGTGGACGATAATGCAGTGACATTTACAGCAACTGGTGCACTGGGAACTAAAATAATTACAAATTTTTGTAACACATTTTTCTTTTACGACGTTTTAACCACACTATCATTTCAAATAACAACCATGTTCGTTTGTCCGAGCCATCACAACAACACGCGATCCATTGCCAAAACCATTAACAGCATTGATAGTTACTTCATATACAGAATAATGTTCTATGTAGTGAGAAACGTCGATAAAAAAATTACAAAAAAACTGTTACAAAAGAATCTGATACAACGTAAAAAAGAACAATCAATACGATACATTTCTCATTGACCAAAATCGTCATTTCAAAAGACGACCAAACAACGTTAATTACTTGATGATTTTCATTTTATCATGTTTAACAACCGTTTACAACACACAAAAAGTTGGTTTACCTAGTTTTGATATTTCAAATGAGCTTGTGTCATTCTCCAAATTCTCCGACATCGTTTGACCAACAACACTATGGTTGGTATCGTTACGTAATATTCTCCACGTGATAAAATATCCACTCAATCTTCCATTTTTATTCAATGGTGGAAGCCATGACACATTAAGCGCAGTGGATGAAATAGGAACTAAACTGACATTTCTTGGTTTACTGGACGCTAAATTATTGTTAAAAAATAAATACACGTGTTTCAGAAAAATCTTTTTCCCATCATTTTCAAACTTTGACAAATTAATTTCATTCTTTTCACATTCTTTTCTTTATCGAAACGATTGAAAATACTTCCATAATTTATTTTACTAAACAAGGGTGTTTAAACGACTTTTGTTTGCCCACTACCATAATTCAATAATAAGATGACTGATACACCTATTATGGTAAGGTTGAACTGAAGAAAAATAACAAGAAATTACACACTTGCAAAAGTCCTTCCAAAAGCAGCAAACTGTCTGCAATTATGGAAAAAAGTTACAGATGAAGGAAATCATCTTACCACTTTCCAGAGTTCTGTTTTGTATGATTGCAGGTGGGCCAAGTCTCACAGTCGCAGCTCGAAGTTCAATTTGATATTTACAGTAAGAACCTAAAAGTACGATGATAATAAATGTTCATTTTTTGCTGAGAAACTTATAGCTATTACACATAAGTAAATAAAATAAACTTTAAAGCAATTAATTTCAAAAACGATTTTGAATGTCAAACTCACACAAAGTAAAGTTTCTGCTGGTGTTAAAACTTCTGTAATTTTTTGCCAAGACAACAGTGTAAGACATCACACAGTTATCATATGTTCGTCCATTTCCATCCACCAACAAACATAAAGTTAAATTATAAAAGGTAATAACGCCATTCAACATTCCAGGTTCTATCCATGATATCAGGAAGGAATCACTTGTTTTATCAACGACTGAAAGCATTTGTGGTTCACTAGGAGCTTAAATATTAAAGGTATCGTTATTTGAAGAAATTAACTAAGGCTATTCGTAAAAGTCCTTTGAAGCGGTAAAACAAACTCACCATCTTGTAATGTTAGTACTTTGAAGTTTCCATCCGTACAATTCTGTCCAATGATATTGTTTGAACAAACGGTAAAACTATAATTAGTGTGTGGTGTCAGCTGAGTAAATGTTACATTTTTTGAAGAAACAATACAAACTGAACCATGAGTGACGTTTGATATAGAACAACTGTTGGTCTGATTTTCTTGTTTTATTAGAATGGTAAAATTAGCAACAGGAATCTGGGTGATGGTTGAATTTGTTGAAGAAATATTGCAAACTGGAGTATGAGTGGAATTTGAAATGGGACAATTATAGGTTTTGTTTTCTTTTTCTAGGATAACAGTAAAATTAGTAACAGGACTGTTGCCATTAAACGGACTCTCTTTCCAAGAAATTTTTATCGATGAAGCAGTTCTTTCTGTTGACATTAACTCGATTGGAGGATCAGGAGGACCTGCAGTCAAACAAAATATCTAATACAAATCTATTACTATTTTACTTATTTACATAGTTTGCTCCTGATGTTTTTCTTTAATAGCAAGGGTCCCATTCACATACCCTGAATGTATTCAAACCTTACGCCAATTTATTTTTATTTGTACTTACTCAGAACGATAAGGTTTGATGAGTTTGTATCATTTCCATTTTCATTAATAGCAAAGCAAACGTAAGATCCATTATCATATCTGTTTAAGTTCTTCACAACAAGTGTGTTCACATTTCCTACGATGGTGATGTTATACTTTGCCTCTACATTCAAATTTTTATTTCCAAAACTCCAAGTAATGTTAGGAATAGGATTTCCAGAACTTGTACAATTTAATACAGCGGAGTTTTGATAAACCACTTCTTGCGATACTGGCGATACGGTGATAGATGGTGGAACTAAAGTGTACGAAAAAAATATATAGAAGAGCATAAGAAGGAGCCCTTTTTGGCTTTGAAAACCTGACAAAATTCAAGATGACAAATAGCGACTGCATTTTCAAATTACGAAATCAATGAAAACGAATAAGACCAACACAATTATCTGAAAGAGTACTATTTATGTAGGTCAACAAAAACGATTACTGATTTTCACTAGTGGTTTTTGAAACAATACTACAGAAAAAGTAGCATCAAATGGTCAAAATTCAAACATTCAACAAGGTAAATGTAACAAATAACAAATAGATAATTTTAAAAGTAATAATGTATGGATTATGAAGGGAAATATGGTTAAATCGTGAACAGCTTCATCACATGTAGACATAAAAACATAATATAAAGTTTTATTGCTATGCAAGTGTGATACTTTGAAAAATATCAAAGCCTTTTTTTTGAAAAAAATGTTATTTTCCGCCGTAGCAAGTGGTTGATAACAGATTTCTTCAGTTATTGAAAGTTTTTTTAACAATTTGAAGCTTGATAGTAAAATATTGCGGATCAAGACATCCTTTTCTCAGAAAGAAGACGAGAATTTTTTTACTGGTATCAGGTATTAGGATATAGAGTAATATGATCTCTGGCAGTAAAATATGTATAAAAAATTCACGTTATTTGGTGCACTATAGGACGTTGATAATTCAAATTTATTCCGAATCTAACCTCCTTTACTGGTTAATGACGTAGGGCTGACAGTAAAACTTTCCACAGTTGAGATCAGAACTAAAATTTACAAGAAAAAAGATAAAATATTTTCTGAAGTCAGCTTAAGATGCCATAAATATTCCAAAGCTTCATTAAAGAAATAATTCATTAAATTACCAACCTGTAGGTGTTGGGACATGTGTCATGTTAGAATCTATAAAATAAATGAGAAATAAAAAAAGAAAAGCATCAATTCAAGATAGCATTAACTAATGAAATTTATTGTGTTGTTCACGTTTAACATTTAGTTACTCGTCAAATTAGTGTTGAAAGTCAATAACGTTTTTTATTTTAATGTCATTTAATATAAACACAGTATTAAGCAGGTTTTCTGTGAGAAAGATCACTAAACAGTTATTTTATATGCTTTTAAAATTTTGCATCTACATTGCATCAATAACAAATTTATAACGAATTTTACCTTTCTCACTGGTTAACAAGGTAGAGCTGACAATTGAACTTTCAATAGTTGAGATCGGAACTAAAGTTTACAAAGAAAGAAAACATATTTTTTTGAAAGCATGAATTCAAGATAGCATTTAGAAATTAAATTTATCGTGTTGTTCACGTTTAACATTTAGTTACTCGTCAAATTAGTGTTGAAAGTCAATAACGTTTTCTTATTTTAATGTCATTTAATATAAACACAGTACTAAGCAGGTTTTCTGTGAGAAAGATCAATAAAGAGTTATTTTATATGCTTTTAAAATTTTGAAAAGTGCATCTACTTTGCATCAATAACAAATTTAAAAAGAATTTTACCTTTCTCACTGAGTGACAAGGTAGAGCTGACAATTGAACTTTTAATAGTTGAGATCGGAACTAAAGTTTACAAAAAAGAATATATTTTTGAAAGCATGAATTCAAGATAGCATTTAGAAATTAAATTTATCGTGTTGCTCACGTTCAACATTTGGTTACTCGTCAAATTAGTGTTAAAATTCAATAACGTTTTCTTATTTTAATGTCATTTAATATAAACACAGTACTAAGCAACTTTTCTGTGGAAAAGATCAATAAAAAGTTATTTTATATGCATGTAAAAATTTTGAAAAGTGCATCTACATTGCATCAATAACAAATTTATAACGAATTTTACCTTTCTCACTGGTTAACAAGGTAGAGCTGACAATTGAACTTTCAATAGTTGAGATCGGAACTAAAGTTTACAAAGAAAGAAAACATATTTTTTTGAAAGCATGAATTCAAGATAGCATTTAGAAATTAAATTTATCGTGTTGTTCACGTTTAACATTTAGTTACTCGTCAAATTAGTGTTGAAACTCAATAACGTTTTCTTATTTTAATGTCATTTAATATAAACACAGTACTAAGCAACTTTTCTGTGGAAAAGATCAATAAAAGGTTATTTTATATGCATGTAAAAATTTTGAAAAGTGCATCTACATTGCATCAATAACAAATTTATAACGAATTTTACCTTTCTCACTGGTTAACAAGGTAGAGCTGACAATTGAACTTTTAATAGTTGAGATCGGAACTAAAGTTTACAAATAAAGAAAACATAATTTTTTGAAAGCATGAATTCAAGATAGCATTTAGAAATTAAATTTATCGTGTTGCTCACGTTCAACATTTAGTTACTCGTCAAATTAGTGTTAAAAGTCAATAACGTTTTCTTATTTTAATGTCATTTAATATAAACACAGTACTAAGCAGGTTTTCAGTGAGAAAGATCAATAAACAGTTATTTTATATGCTTTTAAAATCTTGAAAAGTGCATCTACATTGCATCAATAACAAATTTATAACGAATTTTACCTTTCTCACTGGTTAACAAGGTAGAGCTGACAATTGAACTTTCAATAGTTGAGATCGGAACTAAAGTTTACAAAGAAAGAAAACATATTTTTTTGAAAGCATGAATTCAAGATAGCATTTAGAAATTAAATTTATCGTGTTGTTCACGTTTAACATTTAGTTACTCGTCAAATTAGTGTTGAAAGTCAATAACGTTTTCTTATTTTAATGTCATTTAATATAAACACAGTACTAAGCAGGTTTTCTGTGAGAAAGATCAATAAAAAGTTATTTTATATGCTTTTAAAATTTTGAAAAGTGCATCTACTTTGCATCAATAACAAATTTAAAAAGAATTTTACCTTTCTCACTGAGTGACAAGGTAGAGCTGACAATTGAACTTTCAATAGTTGAGATCGGAACTAAAGTTTACAAAGAAAGAAAACATATTTTTTTGAAAGCATGAATTCAAGATAGCATTTAGAAATTAAATTTATCGTGTTGTTCACGTTTAACATTTAGTTACTCGTCAAATTAGTGTTGAAAGTCAATAACGTTTTCTTATTTTAATGTCATTTAATATAAACACAGTACTAAGCAGGTTTTCTGTGAAAAGATCAATAAAAAGTTATTTTATATGCTTTTAAAATTTTGAAAAGTGCATCTACATTGCATCAATAACAAATTTATAACGAATTTTACCTTTCTCACTGGTTAACAAGGTAGAGCTGACAATTGAACTTTCAATAGTTGAGATCGGAACTAAAGTTTACAAAGAAAGAAAACATATTTTTTGAAAGCATGAATTCAAGATAGCATTTAGAAATTAAATTTATCGTGTTGCTCACGTTCAACATTTAGTTACTCGTCAAATTAGTGTTAAAAGTCAATAACGTTTTCTTATTTTAATGTCATTTAATATAAACACAGTACTAAGCAACTTTTCTGTGAAAAGATCAATAAAAGTTATTTTATATGCATTTAAAATTTTGAAAAGTGCATCTACATTGCATCAATAACAAATTTATAACGAATTTTACCTTTCTCACTGGTTAACAAGGTAGAGCTGACAATTGAACTTTCAATAGTTGAGATCGGAACTAAAGTTTACAAATAAAGAAAACATAATTTTTTGAAAGCATGAATTCAAGATAGCATTTAGAAATTAAATTTATCGTGTTGCTCACGTTCAATATTTGGTTACTCGTCAAATTAGTGTTAAAAGTCAATAACGTTTTCTTATTTTAATGTCATTTAATATAAACACAGTACTAAGCAGGTTTTCAGTGAGAAAGATCAATAAACAGTTATTTTATATGCTTTTAAAATCTTGAAAAGTGCATCTACATTGCATCAATAACAAATTTATAACGAATTTTACCTTTCTCACTGGTTAACAAGGTAGAGCTGACAATTGAACTTTCAATAGTTGAGATCGGAACTAAAGTTTACAAAGAAAGAAAACATATTTTTTTGAAAGCATGAATTCAAGATAGCATTTAGAAATTAAATTTATCGTGTTGTTCACGTTTAACATTTAGTTACTCGTCAAATTAGTGTTGAAAGTCAATAACGTTTTCTTATTTTAATGTCATTTAATATAAACACAGTACTAAGCAGGTTTTCAGTGAGAAAGATCAATAAACAGTTATTTTATATGCTTTTAAAATTTTGAAAAGTGCATCTACTTTGCATCAATAACAAATTTAAAAAGAATTTTACCTTTCTCACTGAGTGACAAGGTAGAGCTGACAATTGAACTTTTAATAGTTGAGATCGGAACTAAAGTTTACAAAAAAAGAAAACATATTTTTTGAAAGCATGAATTCAAGATAGCATTGAGAAATTAAATTTATCGTGTTGCTCACGTTCAACATTTAGTTACTCGTCAAATTAGTGTTAAAATTCAATAACGTTTTCTTATTTTAATGTCATTTAATATAAACACAGTACTAAGAAACTTTTCTGTGAAAAGATCAATAAAAGTTATTTTATATGCATGTAAAATTTTGAAAAGTGCATCTACATTGCATCAATAACAAATTTATAACGAATTTTACCTTTCTCACTGGTTAACAAGGTAGAGCTGACAATTGAACTTTCAATAGTTGAGATCGGAACTAAAGTTTACAAATAAAGAAAACATAATTTTTTGAAAGCATGAATTCAAGATAGCATTTAGAAATTAAATTTATCGTGTTGCTCACGTTCAATATTTGGTTACTCGTCAAATTAGTGTTAAAAGTCAATAACGTTTTCTTATTTTAATGTCATTTAATATAAACACAGTACTAAGCAGGTTTTCAGTGAGAAAGATCAATAAAAGTTATTTTATATGCTTTTAAAATCTTGAAAAGTGCATCTACATTGCATCAATAACAAATTTATAACGAATTTTACCTTTCTCACTGGTTAACAAGGTAGAGCTGACAATTGAACTTTCAATAGTTGAGATCGGAACTAAAGTTTACAAAGAAAGAAAACATATTTTTTTGAAAGCATGAATTCAAGATAGCATTTAGAAATTAAATTTATCGTGTTGTTCACGTTTAACATTTAGTTACTCGTCAAATTAGTGTTGAAAGTCAATAACGTTTTCTTATTTTAATGTCATTTAATATAAACACAGTACTAAGCAGGTTTTCTGTGAGAAAGATCAATAAAGAGTTATTTTATATGCTTTTAAAATTTTGAAAAGTGCATCTACTTTGCATAAATAACAAATTTAAAAAGAATTTTACCTTTCTCACTGAGTGACAAGGTAGAGCTGACAATTGAACTTTTAATAGTTGAGATCGGAACTAAAGTTTACAAAAAAAGAAAACATATTTTTTGAAAGCATGAATTCAAGATAGCATTGAGAAATTAAATTTATCGTGTTGCTCACGTTCAACATTTAGTTACTCGTCAAATTAGTGTTAAAATTCAATAACGTTTTCTTATTTTAATGTCATTTAATATAAACACAGTACTAAGCAACTTTTCTGTGGAAAAGATCAATAAAAGGTTATTTTATATGCATGTAAAAATTTTGAAAAGTGCATCTACATTGCATCAATAACAAATTTATAACGAATTTTACCTTTCTCACTGGTTAACAAGGTAGAGCTGACAATTGAACTTTCAATAGTTGAGATCGGAACTAAAGTTTACAAATAAAGAAAACATAATTTTTTGAAAGCATGAATTCAAGATAGCATTTAGAAATTAAATTTATCGTGTTGCTCACGTTCAATATTTGGTTACTCGTCAAATTAGTGTTAAAAGTCAATAACGTTTTCTTATTTTAATGTCATTTAATATAAACACAGTACTAAGCAGGTTTTCAGTGAGAAAGATCAATAAACAGTTATTTTATATGCTTTTAAAATCTTGAAAAGTGCATCTACATTGCATCAATAACAAATTTATAACGAATTTTACCTTTCTCACTGGTTGACAAGGTAGAGCTGACAATTGAACTTTCAATAGTTGAGATCGGAACTAAAGTTTACAAAGAAAGAAAACATATTTTTGAAAGCATGAATTCAAGATAGCATTTAGAAATTAAATTTATCGTGTTGTTCACGTTTAACATTTAGTTACTCGTCAAATTAGTGTTGAAAGTCAATAACGTTTTCTTATTTTAATGTCATTTAATATAAACACAGTACTAAGCAGGTTTTCAGTGAGAAAGATCAATAAACAGTTATTTTACATGCTTTTAAAATTTTGAAAAGTGCATCTACATTGCATCAATAACAAATTTATAACGAATTTTACCTTTCTCACTGGTTAACAAGGTAGAGCTGACAATTGAACTTTCAATAGTTGAGATCGGAACTAAAGTTTACAAATAAAGAAAACAATTTTTGAAAGCATGAATTCAAGATAGCATTTAGAAATTAAATTTATCGTGTTGCTCACGTTCAATATTTGGTTACTCGTCAAATTAGTGTTAAAAGTCAATAACGTTTTCTTATTTTAATGTCATTTAATATAAACACAGTACTAAGCAGGTTTTCAGTGAGAAAGATCAATAAACAGTTATTTTATATGCTTTTAAAATCTTGAAAAGTGCATCTACATTGCATCAATAACAAATTTATAACGAATTTTACCTTTCTCACTGGTTAACAAGGTAGAGCTGACAATTGAACTTTCAATAGTTGAGATCGGAACTAAAGTTTACAAAGAAAGAAAACATATTTTTTTGAAAGCATGAATTCAAGATAGCATTTAGAAATTAAATTTATCGTGTTGTTCACGTTTAACATTCAGTTACTCGTCAAATTAGTGTTGAAAGTCAATAACGTTTTCTTATTTTAATGTCATTTAATATAAACACAGTACTAAGCAGGTTTTCAGTGAGAAAGATCAATAAACAGTTATTTTATATGCTTTTAAAATTTTGAAAAGTGCATCTACTTTGCATCAATAACAAATTTAAAAAGAATTTTACCTTTCTCACTGGTGACAAGGTAGAGCTGACAATTGAACTTTAATAGTTGAGATCGGAACTAAAGTTTACAAAAAAGAAAACATATTTTTGAAAGCATGAATTCAAGATAGCATTTAGAAATTAAATTTATCTCACGTTCAACATTTAGTTACTCGTCAAATTAGTGTTAAAAGTCAATAACGTTTTTTATTTTAATGTCATTTAATATAAACACAGTACTAAGCAGGTTTTCTGTGAGAAAGATCAATAAACAGTTATTTTATATGCTTTTAAAATCTTGAAAAGTGCATCTACATTGCATCAATAACAAATTTATAACGAATTTTACCTTTGTCAGTGGTTGACAAGGTAGAGCTGACAATTGAACTTTCAATCGTTGAGATCGGAACTAAAGTTTACAAAGAAAGAAAACATAATTTTTTGAAAGCATGAATTCAAGATAGCATTTAGAAATTAAATTTATCGTGTTGCTCACGTTCAATATTTGGTTACTCGTCAAATTAGTGTTAAAAGTCAATAACGTTTTCTTATTTTAATGTCATTTAATATAAACACAGTACTAAGCAGGTTTTCAGTGAGAAAGATCAATAAACAGTTATTTTATATGCTTTTAAAATCTTGAAAAGTGCATCTACATTGCATCAATAACAAATTTATAACGAATTTTACCTTTCTCACTGGTTAACAAGGTAGAGCTGACAATTGAACTTTCAATAGTTGAGATCGGAACTAAAGTTTACAAAGAAAGAAAACATATTTTTGAAAGCATGAATTCAAGATAGCATTTAGAAATTAAATTTATCGTGTTGTTCACGTTCAACATTTAGTTACTCGTCAAATTAGTGTTAAAAGTCAATAACGTTTTCTTATTTTAATGTCATTTAATATAAACACAGTACTAAGCAGGTTTTCAGTGAGAAAGATCAATAAACAGTTATTTTATATGCTTTTAAAATTTTGAAAAGTGCATCTACATTGCATCAATAACAAATTTATAACGAATTTTACCTTTCTCACTGTTTAACAAGGTAGAGCTGACAATTGAACTTTTAATAGTTGAGATCGGAACTAAAGTTTACAAAAAAAGAAAACATATTTTTTGAAAGCATGAATTCAAGATAGCATTGAGAAATTAAATTTATCGTGTTGCTCACGTTCAACATTTAGTTACTCGTCAAATTAGTGTTAAAATTCAATAACGTTTTCTTATTTTAATGTCATTTAATATAAACACAGTACTAAGCAACTTTTCTGTGGAAAAGATCAATAAAAGGTTATTTTATATGCATGTAAAAATTTTGAAAAGTGCATCTACATTGCATCAATAACAAATTTAAAAAGAATTTTACCTTTCTCACTGAGTGACAAGGTAGAGCTGACAATTGAACTTTCAATAGTTGAGATCGGAACTAAAGTTTACAAATAAAGAAAACATAATTTTTTGAAAGCATGAATTCAAGATAGCATTTAGAAATTAAATTTATCGTGTTGCTCACGTTCAATATTTGGTTACTCGTCAAATTAGTGTTAAAAGTCAATAACGTTTTCTTATTTTAATGTCATTTAATATAAACACAGTACTAAGCAGGTTTTCAGTGAGAAAGATCAATAAACAGTTATTTTATATGCTTTTAAAATCTTGAAAAGTGCATCTACATTGCATCAATAACAAATTTATAACGAATTTTACCTTTCTCACTGGTTAACAAGGTAGAGCTGACAATTGAACTTTCAATAGTTGAGATCGGAACTAAAGTTTACAAAGAAAGAAAACATATTTTTTTGAAAGCATGAATTCAAGATAGCATTTAGAAATTAAATTTATCGTGTTGTTCACGTTTAACATTTAGTTACTCGTCAAATTAGTGTTGAAAGTCAATAACGTTTTCTTATTTTAATGTCATTTAATATAAACACAGTACTAAGCAGGTTTTCTGTGAGAAAGATCAATAAAAAGTTATTTTATATGCTTTTAAAATTTTGAAAAGTGCATCTACTTTGCATCAATAACAAATTTAAAAAGAATTTTACCTTTCTCACTGAGTGACAAGGTAGAGCTGACAATTGAACTTTTAATAGTTGAGATCGGAACTAAAGTTTACAAAGAAAGAAAACATATTTTTTTGAAAGCATGAATTCAAGATAGCATTTAGAAATTAAATTTATCGTGTTGTTCACGTTTAACATTTAGTTACTCGTCAAATTAGTGTTGAAAGTCAATAACGTTTTCTTATTTTAATGTCATTTAATATAAACAAAGTACTAAGCAACTTTTCTGTGGAAAAGATTAATAAAAAGTTATATTATATGCAAGTAAAAATCTTGAAAACTGCATCTACATTGCATCAATAACAAATTTATAACGAATTTTACCTTTCTCACTGGTTAACAAGGTAGAGCTGACAATTGAACTTTCAATAGTTGAGATCGGAACTAAAGTTTACAAAGAAAGAAAACATATTTTTTTGAAAGCATGAATTCAAGATAGCATTTAGAAATTAAATTTATCGTGTTGTTCACGTTTAACATTTAGTTACTCGTCAAATTAGTGTTGAAAGTCAATAACGTTTTCTTATTTTAATGTCATTTAATATAAACACAGTACTAAGCAGGTTTTCTGTGAAAAGATCAATAAAAGTTATTTTATATGCTTTTAAAATTTTGAAAAGTGCATCTACATTGCATCAATAACAAATTTATAACGAATTTTACCTTTCTCACTGGTTAACAAGGTAGAGCTGACAATTGAACTTTCAATAGTTGAGATCGGAACTAAAGTTTACAAATAAAGAAAACATATTTTTGAAAGCATGAATTCAAGATAGCATTTAGAAATTAAATTTATCGTGTTGCTCACGTTCAATATTTGGTTACTCGTCAAATTAGTGTTAAAAGTCAATAACGTTTTCTTATTTTAATGTCATTTAATATAAACACAGTACTAAGCAGGTTTTCAGTGAGAAAGATCAATAAACAGTTATTTTATATGCTTTTAAAATCTTGAAAAGTGCATCTACATTGCATCAATAACAAATTTATAACGAATTTTACCTTTCTCACTGGTTAACAAGGTAGAGCTGACAATTGAACTTTCAATAGTTGAGATCGGAACTAAAGTTTACAAAGAAAGAAAACATATTTTTTTGAAAGCATGAATTCAAGATAGCATTTAGAAATTAAATTTATCGTGTTGTTCACGTTTAACATTTAGTTACTCGTCAAATTAGTGTTGAAAGTCAATAACGTTTTCTTATTTTAATGTCATTTAATATAAACACAGTACTAAGCAGGTTTTCAGTGAGAAAGATCAATAAACAGTTATTTTATATGCTTTTAAAATTTTGAAAAGTGCATCTACTTTGCATCAATAACAAATTTAAAAAGAATTTTACCTTTCTCACTGAGTGACAAGGTAGAGCTGACAATTGAACTTTTAATAGTTGAGATCGGAACTAAAGTTTACAAAAAAAGAAAACATATTTTTTGAAAGCATGAATTCAAGATAGCATTTAGAAATTAAATTTATCGTGTTGCTCACGTTCAACATTTGGTTACTCGTCAAATTAGTGTTAAAATTCAATAACGTTTTCTTATTTTAATGTCATTTAATATAAACACAGTACTAAGCAACTTTTCTGTGAAAAGATCAATAAAAGTTATTTTATATGCATGTAAAAATTTTGAAAAGTGCATCTACATTGCATCAATAACAAATTTATAACGAATTTTACCTTTCTCACTGGTTAACAAGGTAGAGCTGACAATTGAACTTTCAATAGTTGAGATCGGAACTAAAGTTTACAAATAAAGAAAACATATTTTTGAAAGCATGAATTCAAGATAGCATTTAGAAATTAAATTTATCGTGTTGCTCACGTTCAATATTTGGTTACTCGTCAAATTAGTGTTAAAAGTCAATAACGTTTTCTTATTTTAATGTCATTTAATATAAACACAGTACTAAGCAGGTTTTCAGTGAGAAAGATCAATAAAAAGTTATTTTATATGCTTTTAAAATCTTGAAAAGTGCATCTACATTGCATCAATAACAAATTTATAACGAATTTTACCTTTCTCACTGGTTAACAAGGTAGAGCTGACAATTGAACTTTCAATAGTTGAGATCGGAACTAAAGTTTACAAAGAAAGAAAACATATTTTTTGAAAGCATGAATTCAAGATAGCATTTAGAAATTAAATTTATCGTGTTGTTCACGTTTAACATTTAGTTACTCGTCAAATTAGTGTTGAAAGTCAATAACGTTTTCTTATTTTAATGTCATTTAATATAAACACAGTACTAAGCAGGTTTTCTGTGAGAAAGATCAATAAACAGTTATTTTATATGCTTTTAAAATTTTGAAAAGTGCATCTACTTTGCATCAATAACAAATTTAAAGAATTTTACCTTTCTCACTGGTGACAAGGTAGAGCTGACAATTGAACTTTTAATAGTTGAGATCGGAACTAAAGTTTACAAAGAAAACATATTTTTGAAAGCATGAATTCAAGATAGCATTTAGAAATTAAATTTATCGTGTTGCTCACGTTCAACATTTAGTTACTCGTCAAATTAGTGTTAAAAGTCAATAACGTTTTTCATTTTAATGTCATTTAATATAAACACAGTACTAAGCAACTTTTCTGTGGAAAAGATCAATAAAAGGTTATTTTATATGCATGTAAAAATTTTGAAAAGTGCATCTACATTGCATCAATAACAAATTTATAACGAATTTTACCTTTCTCACTGGTTAACAAGGTAGAGCTGACAATTGAACTTTCAATAGTTGAGATCGGAACTAAAGTTTACAAATAAAGAAAACATAATTTTTTGAAAGCATGAATTCAAGATAGCATTTAGAAATTAAATTTATCGTGTTGCTCACGTTCAATATTTGGTTACTCGTCAAATTAGTGTTAAAAGTCAATAACGTTTTCTTATTTTAATGTCATTTAATATAAACACAGTACTAAGCAGGTTTTCAGTGAGAAAGATCAATAAACAGTTATTTTATATGCTTTTAAAATCTTGAAAAGTGCATCTACATTGCATCAATAACAAATTTATAACGAATTTTACCTTTCTCACTGGTTGACAAGGTAGAGCTGACAATTGAACTTTCAATAGTTGAGATCGGAACTAAAGTTTACAAAGAAAGAAAACATATTTTTGAAAGCATGAATTCAAGATAGCATTTAGAAATTAAATTTATCGTGTTGTTCACGTTTAACATTTAGTTACTCGTCAAATTAGTGTTGAAAGTCAATAACGTTTTCTTATTTTAATGTCATTTAATATAAACACAGTACTAAGCAGGTTTTCAGTGAGAAAGATCAATAAACAGTTATTTTACATGCTTTTAAAATTTTGAAAAGTGCATCTACATTGCATCAATAACAAATTTATAACGAATTTTACCTTTCTCACTGGTTAACAAGGTAGAGCTGACAATTGAACTTTCAATAGTTGAGATCGGAACTAAAGTTTACAAATAAAGAAAACATAATTTTTTGAAAGCATGAATTCAAGATAGCATTTAGAAATTAAATTTATCGTGTTGCTCACGTTCAATATTTGGTTACTCGTCAAATTAGTGTTAAAAGTCAATAACGTTTTCTTATTTTAATGTCATTTAATATAAACACAGTACTAAGCAGGTTTTCAGTGAGAAAGATCAATAAACAGTTATTTTATATGCTTTTAAAATTTTGAAAAGTGCATCTACATTGCATCAATAACAAATTTATAACGAATTTTACCTTTCTCACTGGTTAACAAGGTAGAGCTGACAATTGAACTTTCAATAGTTGAGATCGGAACTAAAGTTTACAAAGAAAGAAAACATATTTTTTGAAAGCATGAATTCAAGATAGCATTTAGAAATTAAATTTATCGTGTTGTTCACGTTTAACATTTAGTTACTCGTCAAATTAGTGTTGAAAGTCAATAACGTTTTCTTATTTTAATGTCATTTAATATAAACACAGTACTAAGCAGGTTTTCAGTGAGAAAGATCAATAAACAGTTATTTTATATGCTTTTAAAATTTTGAAAAGTGCATCTACTTTGCATCAATAACAAATTTAAAGAATTTTACCTTTCTCACTGGTGACAAGGTAGAGCTGACAATTGAACTTTTAATAGTTGAGATCGGAACTAAAGTTTACAAAAAAAGAAAACATATTTTTTGAAAGCATGAATTCAAGATAGCATTGAGAAATTAAATTTATCGTGTTGCTCACGTTCAACATTTAGTTACTCGTCAAATTAGTGTTAAAATTCAATAACGTTTTCTTATTTTAATGTCATTTAATATAAACACAGTACTAAGCAGGTTTTCTGTGAGAAAGATCAATAAACAGTTATTTTATATGCTTTTAAAATCTTGAAAAGTGCATCTACATTGCATCAATAACAAATTTATAACGAATTTTACCTTTGTCAGTGGTTGACAAGGTAGAGCTGACAATTGAACTTTCAATCGTTGAGATCGGAACTAAAGTTTACAAAGAAAGAAAACATAATTTTTTGAAAGCATGAATTCAAGATAGCATTTAGAAATTAAATTTATCGTGTTGCTCACGTTCAATATTTGGTTACTCGTCAAATTAGTGTTAAAAGTCAATAACGTTTTCTTATTTTAATGTCATTTAATATAAACACAGTACTAAGCAGGTTTTCAGTGAGAAAGATCAATAAACAGTTATTTTATATGCTTTTAAAATCTTGAAAAGTGCATCTACATTGCATCAATAACAAATTTATAACGAATTTTACCTTTCTCACTGGTTAACAAGGTAGAGCTGACAATTGAACTTTCAATAGTTGAGATCGGAACTAAAGTTTACAAAGAAAGAAAACATATTTTTTTGAAAGCATGAATTCAAGATAGCATTTAGAAATTAAATTTATCGTGTTGTTCACGTTTAACATTTAGTTACTCGTCAAATTAGTGTTGAAAGTCAATAACGTTTTCTTATTTTAATGTCATTTAATATAAACACAGTACTAAGCAGGTTTTCAGTGAGAAAGATCAATAAACAGTTATTTTATATGCTTTTAAAATTTTGAAAAGTGCATCTACTTTGCATCAATAACAAATTTAAAGAATTTTACCTTTCTCACTGGTGACAAGGTAGAGCTGACAATTGAACTTTTAATAGTTGAGATCGGAACTAAAGTTTACAAAAAAGAAAACATATTTTTGAAAGCATGAATTCAAGATAGCATTTAGAAATTAAATTTATCGTGTTGCTCACGTTCAACATTTAGTTACTCGTCAAATTAGTGTTAAAATTCAATAACGTTTTCTTATTTTAATGTCATTTAATATAAACACAGTACTAAGCAACTTTTCTGTGGAAAAGATCAATAAAAGGTTATTTTATATGCATGTAAAAATTTTGAAAAGTGCATCTACATTGCATCAATAACAAATTTATAACGAATTTTACCTTTCTCACTGGTTAACAAGGTAGAGCTGACAATTGAACTTTCAATAGTTGAGATCGGAACTAAAGTTTACAAATAAAGAAAACATAATTTTTTGAAAGCATGAATTCAAGATAGCATTTAGAAATTAAATTTATCGTGTTGCTCACGTTCAATATTTGGTTACTCGTCAAATTAGTGTTAAAAGTCAATAACGTTTTCTTATTTTAATGTCATTTAATATAAACACAGTACTAAGCAGGTTTTCAGTGAGAAAGATCAATAAAAGTTATTTTATATGCTTTTAAAATCTTGAAAAGTGCATCTACATTGCATCAATAACAAATTTATAACGAATTTTACCTTTCTCACTGGTTAACAAGGTAGAGCTGACAATTGAACTTTCAATAGTTGAGATCGGAACTAAAGTTTACAAAGAAAGAAAACATATTTTTGAAAGCATGAATTCAAGATAGCATTTAGAAATTAAATTTATCGTGTTGTTCACGTTTAACATTTAGTTACTCGTCAAATTAGTGTTGAAAGTCAATAACGTTTTCTTATTTTAATGTCATTTAATATAAACACAGTACTAAGCAGGTTTTCAGTGAGAAAGATCAATAAACAGTTATTTTATATGCTTTTAAAATTTTGAAAAGTGCATCTACTTTGCATCAATAACAAATTTAAAAAGAATTTTACCTTTCTCACTGGTGACAAGGTAGAGCTGACAATTGAACTTTTAATAGTTGAGATCGGAACTAAAGTTTACAAAAAAGAAAACATATTTTTGAAAGCATGAATTCAAGATAGCATTTAGAAATTAAATTTATCGTGTTGCTCACGTTCAACATTTAGTTACTCGTCAAATTAGTGTTAAAAGTCAATAACGTTTTCTTATTTTAATGTCATTTAATATAAACACAGTACTAAGCAACTTTTCTGTGGAAAAGATCAATAAAAGGTTATTTTATATGCATGTAAAAATTTTGAAAAGTGCATCTACATTGCATCAATAACAAATTTATAACGAATTTTACCTTTCTCACTGGTTAACAAGGTAGAGCTGACAATTGAACTTTCAATAGTTGAGATCGGAACTAAAGTTTACAAATAAAGAAAACATAATTTTTTGAAAGCATGAATTCAAGATAGCATTTAGAAATTAAATTTATCGTGTTGCTCACGTTCAATATTTGGTTACTCGTCAAATTAGTGTTAAAAGTCAATAACGTTTTCTTATTTTAATGTCATTTAATATAAACACAGTACTAAGCAGGTTTTCAGTGAGAAAGATCAATAAAAGTTATTTTATATGCTTTTAAAATCTTGAAAAGTGCATCTACATTGCATCAATAACAAATTTATAACGAATTTTACCTTTCTCACTGGTTAACAAGGTAGAGCTGACAATTGAACTTTCAATAGTTGAGATCGGAACTAAAGTTTACAAAGAAAGAAAACATATTTTTGAAAGCATGAATTCAAGATAGCATTTAGAAATTAAATTTATCGTGTTGTTCACGTTTAACATTTAGTTACTCGTCAAATTAGTGTTGAAAGTCAATAACGTTTTCTTATTTTAATGTCATTTAATATAAACACAGTACTAAGCAGGTTTTCAGTGAGAAAGATCAATAAACAGTTATTTTATATGCTTTTAAAATTTTGAAAAGTGCATCTACTTTGCATCAATAACAAATTTAAAGAATTTTACCTTTCTCACTGGTGACAAGGTAGAGCTGACAATTGAACTTTCAATAGTTGAGATCGGAACTAAAGTTTACAAAGAAAGAAAACATATTTTTGAAAGCATGAATTCAAGATAGCATTTAGAAATTAAATTTATCGTGTTGCTCACGTTCAACATTTAGTTACTCGTCAAATTAGTGTTAAAAGTCAATAACGTTTTCTTATTTTAATGTCATTTAATATAAACACAGTACTAAGCAACTTTTCTGTGAAAAGATCAATAAAAGGTTATTTTATATGCATGTAAAAATTTTGAAAAGTGCATCTACATTGCATCAATAACAAATTTATAACGAATTTTACCTTTCTCACTGGTTAACAAGGTAGAGCTGACAATTGAACTTTCAATAGTTGAGATCGGAACTAAAGTTTACAAATAAAGAAAACATAATTTTTTGAAAGCATGAATTCAAGATAGCATTTAGAAATTAAATTTATCGTGTTGCTCACGTTCAATATTTTACTCGTCAAATTAGTGTTAAAAGTCAATAACGTTTTCTTATTTTAATGTCATTTAATATAAACACAGTACTAAGCAGGTTTTCAGTGAGAAAGATCAATAAACAGTTATTTTATATGCTTTTAAAATCTTGAAAAGTGCATCTACATTGCATCAATAACAAATTTATAACGAATTTTACCTTTCTCACTGGTTAACAAGGTAGAGCTGACAATTGAACTTTCAATAGTTGAGATCGGAACTAAAGTTTACAAAGAAAGAAAACATATTTTTTTGAAAGCATGAATTCAAGATAGCATTTAGAAATTAAATTTATCGTGTTGTTCACGTTTAACATTTAGTTACTCGTCAAATTAGTGTTGAAAGTCAATAACGTTTTCTTATTTTAATGTCATTTAATATAAACACAGTACTAAGCAGGTTTTCAGTGAGAAAGATCAATAAACAGTTATTTTATATGCTTTTAAAATTTTGAAAAGTGCATCTACATTGCATCAATAACAAATTTATAACGAATTTTACCTTTCTCACTGGTTGACAAGGTAGAGCTGACAATTGAACTTTCAATAGTTGAGATCGGAACTAAAGTTTACAAAGAAAGAAAACATATTTTTGAAAGCATGAATTCAAGATAGCATTTAGAAATTAAATTTATCGTGTTGTTCACGTTTAACATTTAGTTACTCGTCAAATTAGTGTTGAAAGTCAATAACGTTTTCTTATTTTAATGTCATTTAATATAAACACAGTACTAAGCAGGTTTTCTGTGAGAAAGATCAATAAAGAGTTATTTTATATGCTTTTAAAATTTTGAAAAGTGCATCTACATTGCATCAATAACAAATTTAAAAGAATTTTACCTTTCTCACTGGTGACAAGGTAGAGCTGACAATTGAACTTTCAATAGTTGAGATCGGAACTAAAGTTTACAAAAAAGAAAACATATTTTTGAAAGCATGAATTCAAGATAGCATTTAGAAATTAAATTTATCGTGTTGCTCACGTTCAACATTTAGTTACTCGTCAAATTAGTGTTAAAAGTCAATAACGTTTTCTTATTTTAATGTCATTTAATATAAACACAGTACTAAGCAACTTTTCTGTGGAGAAAGATCAATAAAAGGTTATTTTATATGCTTTTAAAATTTTGAAAAGTGCATCTACATTGCATCAATAACAAATTTATAACGAATTTTACCTTTCTCACTGGTTAACAAGGTAGAGCTGACAATTGAACTTTCAATAGTTGAGATCGGAACTAAAGTTTACAAATAAAGAAAACATAATTTTTTGAAAGCATGAATTCAAGATAGCATTTAGAAATTAAATTTATCGTGTTGCTCACGTTCAATATTTGGTTACTCGTCAAATTAGTGTTAAAAGTCAATAACGTTTTCTTATTTTAATGTCATTTAATATAAACACAGTACTAAGCAGGTTTTCAGTGAGAAAGATCAATAAAAGTTATTTTATATGCTTTTAAAATCTTGAAAAGTGCATCTACATTGCATCAATAACAAATTTATAACGAATTTTACCTTTCTCACTGGTTAACAAGGTAGAGCTGACAATTGAACTTTCAATAGTTGAGATCGGAACTAAAGTTTACAAAGAAAGAAAACATATTTTTGAAAGCATGAATTCAAGATAGCATTTAGAAATTAAATTTATCGTGTTGTTCACGTTTAACATTTAGTTACTCGTCAAATTAGTGTTGAAAGTCAATAACGTTTTCTTATTTTAATGTCATTTAATATAAACACAGTACTAAGCAGGTTTTCTGTGAGAAAGATCAATAAAGAGTTATTTTATATGCTTTTAAAATTTTGAAAAGTGCATCTACTTTGCATCAATAACAAATTTAAAGAATTTTACCTTTCTCACTGGTGACAAGGTAGAGCTGACAATTGAACTTTTAATAGTTGAGATCGGAACTAAAGTTTACAAAAAAGAAAACATATTTTTGAAAGCATGAATTCAAGATAGCATTTAGAAATTAAATTTATCGTGTTGCTCACGTTCAACATTTAGTTACTCGTCAAATTAGTGTTAAAAGTCAATAACGTTTTCTTATTTTAATGTCATTTAATATAAACACAGTACTAAGCAACTTTTCTGTGAGAAAGATCAATAAAAGGTTATTTTATATGCATGTAAAATTTTGAAAAGTGCATCTACATTGCATCAATAACAAATTTATAACGAATTTTACCTTTCTCACTGGTTAACAAGGTAGAGCTGACAATTGAACTTTCAATAGTTGAGATCGGAACTAAAGTTTACAAATAAAGAAAACATATTTTTGAAAGCATGAATTCAAGATAGCATTTAGAAATTAAATTTATCGTGTTGCTCACGTTCAATATTTGGTTACTCGTCAAATTAGTGTTAAAAGTCAATAACGTTTTCTTATTTTAATGTCATTTAATATAAACACAGTACTAAGCAGGTTTTCAGTGAGAAAGATCAATAAACAGTTATTTTATATGCTTTTAAAATCTTGAAAAGTGCATCTACATTGCATCAATAACAAATTTATAACGAATTTTACCTTTCTCACTGGTTGACAAGGTAGAGCTGACAATTGAACTTTCAATAGTTGAGATCGGAACTAAAGTTTACAAAGAAAGAAAACATATTTTTGAAAGCATGAATTCAAGATAGCATTTAGAAATTAAATTTATCGTGTTGTTCACGTTTAACATTTAGTTACTCGTCAAATTAGTGTTGAAAGTCAATAACGTTTTCTTATTTTAATGTCATTTAATATAAACACAGTACTAAGCAGGTTTTCAGTGAGAAAGATCAATAAAAGTTATTTTATATGCTTTTAAAATTTTGAAAAGTGCATCTACATTGCATCAATAACAAATTTATAACGAATTTTACCTTTCTCACTGGTTAACAAGGTAGAGCTGACAATTGAACTTTCAATAGTTGAGATCGGAACTAAAGTTTACAAAAAAGAAAACATATTTTTGAAAGCATGAATTCAAGATAGCATTTAGAAATTAAATTTATCGTGTTGCTCACGTTCAATATTTAGTTACTCGTCAAATTAGTGTTAAAAGTCAATAACGTTTTCTTATTTTAATGTCATTTAATATAAACACAGTACTAAGCAGGTTTTCTGTGAGAAAGATCAATAAAAAGTTATTTTATATGCTTTTAAAATTTTGAAAAGTGCATCTACATTGCATCAATAACAAATTTATAACGAATTTTACCTTTCTCACTGGTTAACAAGGTAGAGCTGACAATTGAACTTTCAATAGTTGAGATCGGAACTAAAGTTTACAAAGAAAGAAAACATATTTTTGAAAGCATGAATTCAAGATAGCATTTAGAAATTAAATTTATCGTGTTGCTCACGTTCAACATTTAGTTACTCGTCAAATTAGTGTTGAAAGTCAATAACGTTTTCTTATTTTAATGTCATTTAATATAAACACAGTACTAAGCAGGTTTTCAGTGAGAAAGATCAATAAACAGTTATTTTACATGCTTTTAAAATTTTGAAAAGTGCATCTACATTGCATCAATAACAAATTTACAACGAATTTTACCTTTGTCAGTGGTTGACAAGGTAGAGCTGACAATTGAACTTTCAATAGTTGAGATCGGAACTAAAGTTTACAAAAAAAGAAAACATATTTTTTGAAAGCATGAATTCAAGATAGCATTGAGAAATTAAATTTATCGTGTTGCTCACGTTCAACATTTAGTTACTCGTCAAATTAGTGTTAAAATTCAATAACGTTTTCTTATTTTAATGTCATTTAATATAAACACAGTACTAAGCAGGTTTTCTGTGAGAAAGATCAATAAAAGTTATTTTATATGCTTTTAAAATTTTGAAAAGTGCATCTACATTGCATCAATAACAAATTTATAACGAATTTTACCTTTCTCACTGGTTAACAAGGTAGAGCTGACAATTGAACTTTCAATAGTTGAGATCGGAACTAAAGTTTACAAAAAAGAAAACATAATTTTTGAAAGCATGAATTCAAGATAGCATTTAGAAATTAAATTTATCGTGTTGCTCACGTTCAATATTTGGTTACTCGTCAAATTAGTGTTAAAAGTCAATAACGTTTTCTTATTTTAATGTCATTTAATATAAACACAGTACTAAGCAGGTTTTCAGTGAGAAAGATCAATAAAAAGTTATTTTATATGCTTTTAAAATCTTGAAAAGTGCATCTACATTGCATCAATAACAAATTTATAACGAATTTTACCTTTCTCACTGGTTAACAAGGTAGAGCTGACAATTGAACTTTCAATAGTTGAGATCGGAACTAAAGTTTACAAAGAAAGAAAACATATTTTTTGAAAGCATGAATTCAAGATAGCATTTAGAAATTAAATTTATCGTGTTGTTCACGTTTAACATTTAGTTACTCGTCAAATTAGTGTTGAAAGTCAATAACGTTTTCTTATTTTAATGTCATTTAATATAAACACAGTACTAAGCAGGTTTTCAGTGAGAAAGATCAATAAACAGTTATTTTATATGCTTTTAAAATTTTGAAAAGTGCATCTACTTTGCATCAATAACAAATTTAAAGAATTTTACCTTTCTCACTGGTGACAAGGTAGAGCTGACAATTGAACTTTTAATAGTTGAGATCGGAACTAAAGTTTACAAAAAAGAAAACATATTTTTGAAAGCATGAATTCAAGATAGCATTTAGAAATTAAATTTATCGTGTTGCTCACGTTCAACATTTAGTTACTCGTCAAATTAGTGTTAAAATTCAATAACGTTTTCTTATTTTAATGTCATTTAATATAAACACAGTACTAAGCAACTTTTCTGTGGAAAAGATCAATAAAAGGTTATTTTATATGCATGTAAAAATTTTGAAAAGTGCATCTACATTGCATCAATAACAAATTTATAACGAATTTTACCTTTCTCACTGGTTAACAAGGTAGAGCTGACAATTGAACTTTCAATAGTTGAGATCGGAACTAAAGTTTACAAATAAAGAAAACATAATTTTTTGAAAGCATGAATTCAAGATAGCATTTAGAAATTAAATTTATCGTGTTGCTCACGTTCAATATTTGGTTACTCGTCAAATTAGTGTTAAAAGTCAATAACGTTTTCTTATTTTAATGTCATTTAATATAAACACAGTACTAAGCAGGTTTTCAGTGAGAAAGATCAATAAAAAGTTATTTTATATGCTTTTAAAATCTTGAAAAGTGCATCTACATTGCATCAATAACAAATTTATAACGAATTTTACCTTTCTCACTGGTTAACAAGGTAGAGCTGACAATTGAACTTTCAATAGTTGAGATCGGAACTAAAGTTTACAAAGAAAGAAAACATATTTTTTGAAAGCATGAATTCAAGATAGCATTTAGAAATTAAATTTATCGTGTTGTTCACGTTTAACATTTAGTTACTCGTCAAATTAGTGTTGAAAGTCAATAACGTTTTCTTATTTTAATGTCATTTAATATAAACACAGTACTAAGCAGGTTTTCTGTGAGAAAGATCAATAAAGAGTTATTTTATATGCTTTTAAAATTTTGAAAAGTGCATCTACTTTGCATCAATAACAAATTTAAAAGAATTTTACCTTTCTCACTGGTGACAAGGTAGAGCTGACAATTGAACTTTTAATAGTTGAGATCGGAACTAAAGTTTACAAAGAAAGAAACATATATTTTTGAAAGCATGAATTCAAGATAGCATTTAGAAATTAAATTTATCGTGTTGCTCACGTTCAATATTTGGTTACTCGTCAAATTAGTGTTAAAAGTCAATAACGTTTTCATTTTAATGTCATTTAATATAAACACAGTACTAAGCAACTTTTCTGTGGAAAAGATCAATAAAAGGTTATTTTATATGCATGTAAAAATTTTGAAAAGTGCATCTACATTGCATCAATAACAAATTTATAACGAATTTTACCTTTCTCACTGGTTAACAAGGTAGAGCTGACAATTGAACTTTCAATAGTTGAGATCGGAACTAAAGTTTACAAATAAAGAAAACATAATTTTTTGAAAGCATGAATTCAAGATAGCATTTAGAAATTAAATTTATCGTGTTGCTCACGTTCAATATTTGGTTACTCGTCAAATTAGTGTTAAAAGTCAATAACGTTTTCTTATTTTAATGTCATTTAATATAAACACAGTACTAAGCAGGTTTTCAGTGAGAAAGATCAATAAACAGTTATTTTATATGCTTTTAAAATCTTGAAAAGTGCATCTACATTGCATCAATAACAAATTTACAACGAATTTTACCTTTGTCAGTGGTTGACAAGGTAGAGCTGACAATTGAACTTTCAATAGTTGAGATCGGAACTAAAGTTTACAAAGAAAGAAAACATATTTTTTGAAAGCATGAATTCAAGATAGCATTTAGAAATTAAATTTATCGTGTTGTTCACGTTTAACATTTAGTTACTCGTCAAATTAGTGTTGAAAGTCAATAACGTTTTCTTATTTTAATGTCATTTAATATAAACACAGTACTAAGCAGGTTTTCAGTGAGAAAGATCAATAAACAGTTATTTTACATGCTTTTAAAATTTTGAAAAGTGCATCTACATTGCATCAATAACAAATTTACAACGAATTTTACCTTTGTCAGTGGTTGACAAGGTAGAGCTGACAATTGAACTTTCAATAGTTGAGATCGGAACTAAAGTTTACAAAAAAAGAAAACATATTTTTTGAAAGCATGAATTCAAGATAGCATTGAGAAATTAAATTTATCGTGTTGCTCACGTTCAACATTTAGTTACTCGTCAAATTAGTGTTAAAATTCAATAACGTTTTCTTATTTTAATGTCATTTAATATAAACACAGTACTAAGCAACTTTTCTGTGGAAAAGATCAATAAAAGGTTATTTTATATGCATGTAAAAATTTTGAAAAGTGCATCTACATTGCATCAATAACAAATTTATAACGAATTTTACCTTTCTCACTGGTTAACAAGGTAGAGCTGACAATTGAACTTTCAATAGTTGAGATCGGAACTAAAGTTTACAAATAAAGAAAACATAATTTTTTGAAAGCATGAATTCAAGATAGCATTTAGAAATTAAATTTATCGTGTTGCTCACGTTCAATATTTGGTTACTCGTCAAATTAGTGTTAAAAGTCAATAACGTTTTCTTATTTTAATGTCATTTAATATAAACACAGTACTAAGCAGGTTTTCAGTGAGAAAGATCAATAAAAGTTATTTTATATGCTTTTAAAATCTTGAAAAGTGCATCTACATTGCATCAATAACAAATTTATAACGAATTTTACCTTTCTCACTGGTTAACAAGGTAGAGCTGACAATTGAACTTTCAATAGTTGAGATCGGAACTAAAGTTTACAAAGAAAGAAAACATATTTTTTGAAAGCATGAATTCAAGATAGCATTTAGAAATGAAATTTATCGTGTTGTTCACGTTTAACATTTAGTTACTCGTCAAATTAGTGTTGAAAGTCAATAACGTTTTCTTATTTTAATGTCATTTAATATAAACACAGTACTAAGCAGGTTTTCTGTGAGAAAGATCAATAAAGAGTTATTTTATATGCTTTTAAAATTTTGAAAAGTGCATCTACTTTGCATAAATAACAAATTTAAAAAGAATTTTACCTTTCTCACTGAGTGACAAGGTAGAGCTGACAATTGAACTTTTAATAGTTGAGATCGGAACTAAAGTTTACAAAGAAAGAAAACATATTTTTTTGAAAGCATGAATTCAAGATAGCATTTAGAAATTAAATTTATCGTGTTGCTCACGTTCAATATTTGGTTACTCGTCAAATTAGGGCTAAAAGTCAATAACGTTTTTCATTTTAATGTCATTTAATATAAACACAGTACTAAGCAACTTTTCTGTGGAAAAGATCAATAAAAGGTTATTTTATATGCATGTAAAAATTTTGAAAAGTGCATCTACATTGCATCAATAACAAATTTACAACGAATTTTACCTTTCTCACTGGTTAACAAGGTAGAGCTGACAATTGAACTTTCAACAGTTGAGATCGGAACTAAAGTTTACAAATAAAGAAAACATAATTTTTTGAAAGCATGAATTCAAGATAGCATTTAGAAATTAAATTTATCGTGTTGCTCACGTTCAATATTTGGTTACTCGTCAAATTAGTGTTAAAAGTCAATAACGTTTTCTTATTTTAATGTCATTTAATATAAACACAGTACTAAGCAGGTTTTCAGTGAGAAAGATCAATAAACAGTTATTTTATATGCTTTTAAAATCTTGAAAAGTGCATCTACATTGCATCAATAACAAATTTATAACGAATTTTACCTTTGTCAGTGGTTGACAAGGTAGAGCTGACAATTGAACTTTCAATCGTTGAGATCGGAACTAAAGTTTACAAAGAAAGAAAACATATTTTTTTGAAAGCATGAATTCAAGATAGCATTTAGAAATTAAATTTATCGTGTTGTTCACGTTTAACATTTAGTTACTCGTCAAATTAGTGTTGAAAGTCAATAACGTTTTCTTATTTTAATGTCATTTAATATAAACACAGTACTAAGCAGGTTTTCAGTGAGAAAGATCAATAAAAAGTTATTTTATATGCTTTTAAAATCTTGAAAAGTGCATCTACATTGCATCAATAACAAATTTATAACGAATTTTACCTTTCTCACTGGTTAACAAGGTAGAGCTGACAATTGAACTTTCAATAGTTGAGATCGGAACTAAAGTTTACAAAGAAAGAAAACATATTTTTTGAAAGCATGAATTCAAGATAGCATTTAGAAATGAAATTTATCGTGTTGTTCACGTTTAACATTTAGTTACTCGTCAAATTAGTGTTGAAAGTCAATAACGTTTTCTTATTTTAATGTCATTTAATATAAACACAGTACTAAGCAGGTTTTCTGTGAGAAAGATCAATAAAGAGTTATTTTATATGCTTTTAAAATTTTGAAAAGTGCATCTACTTTGCATAAATAACAAATTTAAAAAGAATTTTACCTTTCTCACTGAGTGACAAGGTAGAGCTGACAATTGAACTTTTAATAGTTGAGATCGGAACTAAAGTTTACAAAGAAAGAAAACATATTTTTTTGAAAGCATGAATTCAAGATAGCATTTAGAAATTAAATTTATCGTGTTGCTCACGTTCAATATTTGGTTACTCGTCAAATTAGGGTAAAAGTCAATAACGTTTTTCATTTTAATGTCATTTAATATAAACACAGTACTAAGCAACTTTTCTGTGGAAAAGATCAATAAAAGGTTATTTTATATGCATGTAAAAATTTTGAAAAGTGCATCTATATTGCATCAATAACAAATTTACAACGAATTTTACCTTTCTCACTGGTTAACAAGGTAGAGCTGACAATTGAACTTTCAACAGTTGAGATCGGAACTAAAGTTTACAAATAAAGAAAACATAATTTTTTGAAAGCATGAATTCAAGATAGCATTTAGAAATTAAATTTATCGTGTTGCTCACGTTCAATATTTGGTTACTCGTCAAATTAGTGTTAAAAGTCAATAACGTTTTCTTATTTTAATGTCATTTAATATAAACACAGTACTAAGCAGGTTTTCAGTGAGAAAGATCAATAAACAGTTATTTTATATGCTTTTAAAATCTTGAAAAGTGCATCTACATTGCATCAATAACAAATTTATAACGAATTTTACCTTTGTCAGTGGTTGACAAGGTAGAGCTGACAATTGAACTTTCAATCGTTGAGATCGGAACTAAAGTTTACAAAGAAAGAAAACATATTTTTTTGAAAGCATGAATTCAAGATAGCATTTAGAAATTAAATTTATCGTGTTGTTCACGTTTAACATTTAGTTACTCGTCAAATTAGTGTTGAAAGTCAATAACGTTTTCTTATTTTAATGTCATTTAATATAAACACAGTACTAAGCAGGTTTTCAGTGAGAAAGATCAATAAACAGTTATTTTACATGCTTTTAAAATTTTGAAAAGTGCATCTACATTGCATCAATAACAAATTTATAACGAATTTTACCTTTGTCAGTGGTTGACAAGGTAGAGCTGACAATTGAACTTTCAATAGTTGAGATCGGAACTAAAGTTTACAAAGAAAGAAAACATATTTTTTTGAAAGCATGAATTCAAGATAGCATTTAGAACTTAAACTTATCGTGTTGTTCACGTTTAATATTTAGTTACTTGTCAAATTAGTGTTGAAAGTCAATAACGTTTTCTTATTTTAATGTCATTTAATATAAACACAGTACTAAGCAACTTTTCTGTGAGAAAGATCAATAAAGAGTTATTTTATATGCTTTTAAAATTTTGAAAAGTGCATCTACTTTGCATCAATAACAAATTTAAAAAGAATTTTACCTTTCTCACTGAGTGACAAGGTAGAGCTGACAATTGAACTTTTAATAGTTGAGATCGGAACTAAAGTTTACAAAAAAAGAAAACATATTTTTTGAAAGCATGAATTCAAGATAGCATTTAGAAATTAAATTTATCGTGTTGTTCACGTTCAATATTTGGTTACTCGTCAAATTAGTGTTAAAAGTCAATAACGTTTTTTATTTTAATGTCATTTAATATAAACACATTACTAAGCAGGTTTTCAGTGAGAAAGATTAATAAAAAGTTATTTTATATGCATGTAAAAGTTTTGAAAAGTGCATCTACATTGCATCAATAACAAATTTATAACGAATTTTACCTTTGTCAGTGGTTAACAAGGTAGAGCTGACAATTGAACTTTCAATAGTTGAGATCGGAACTAAAGTTTACAAATAAAGAAAACATAATTTTTTGAAAGCATGAATTCAAGATAGCATTTAGAAATTAAATTTATCGTGTTGTTCACGTTTAACATTTAGTTACTCGTCAAATTAGTGTTAAAAGTCAATAACGTTTTCTTATTTTAACGTCATTTAATATAAACACAGTACTAAGCAGGTTTTCTGTGAGAAAGATCAATAAAAGGTTATTTTATATGCATGTAAAATTTTTGAAAAGTATATCTAATTTGCATCAATAACAAATTTATAAGGAGTTTTACCTTTCTCACTGAGTGACAAGGTAGAGCTGACAATTGAACTTTTAATAGTTGAGATCGGAGCTAAAGTTTACAAAGAAAGAAAACATATTTTTTTAAGACAGTTTTAGTTGCCATAAATATTCTAAACTTCCATCAAAGAAATAATTCATTAAATCACCAACCTGTTGATGTCAGGACAAATATAGTGTTAGAATCTATAAAATAAATGAGAAACAAAAAAAAGAAAGCATGAATTCCGTACAACATGAGCAAATAAAATTTATCGTACGAATTTTTCCCGTTCGACCTTGGACTATCCAAATCACTGTAATATGTCAATAAGGTTTTCTTATTTTAATGTATTTTAACATCGTTATATTAAAAGAGTGTTGAAAATCTGTTGAAGTTCCTGCGCACAGAGATAGTAGCATCAGGCCATTGGAGTTGCACTTGCCAGTTCCATGGCAACCCAGGATGTTTGGCCAGATGGTGTAGTCTACTCCAACTTGTGCGTTAAAGTCTCCAAGGATGATGAGTTTGTCTCTGCGGTCAACACTGGAGAGGAGCTGGTTGAGCTCTTCGTAGAAGGCTTCCTTCACTTCATCTGGGTTTGTCATTGTAGGGGCGTAGGCGCTGACAATTGTTGCGTTGCAGTCTTTCTGGAGTTTCAACCGCAGGGTCATGAGGCAATCGCTAATGCCCTGTGGCAAGCTGACTAGTCACCTTGCGAGCTGGGTGCGTATGGCAAATCCCACGCCTGAGTGTCTTGGGGCGTTTTCCGGTTTCCCAATGCAGTAGAAGGTGTAGCCACCACCGACCTCTTACAGTTGAGTTTCATCTGCAAGTCTGGTCTCACTCAATGCGTCTATGTCCACCTGGTATTGTCCAAGCATCCTTGCTATTAGAGCAGTGCGTCGCTCTGGTCTGTCTCCTCTGTCCAACAGCGTTCTCACGTTCCATGCCCCAATGGTTAGGGGCTTTCTTGCTTTGTTATCCTTAGTTGTACGACCGCTTAGTTGGATGCCCAGGCAGGTGCGGTTACTGCCAGGTGCAAGTAGGGCAGGCTTTGTTTAGGGATCCTTTTATCTCCCCTTCCCCATATGGGAAGAGCAGTGCTAACCCTAAAAGAGGGCTGCTCTGTCACTGCAAGAGGATACGGGCGCCGTATCTGCCCTAGGTTTACGGCGGACGACCATCACTTCGCAGCCGCCTGCGTGCAGAGTCATGGCTAAGAACTTCCAGCAGCATCCTCTGCCTGTTCCCGTCACCATTTCTCCATCGCCACAGGACTTGATATAGCTGGCGCAAAAAAGGGATGGTTGCATCACTTGATTCTGGCAAACCTGCTTGCCTGACCAGCACAGGTGAATGTTTTAGGTGAAGAGGGGATGTGCATGCCCGTCTCCACCCTCTCGCCTACTGACGCTCAATGCTCCACAGGTGCAGAAGCTGCCACGTGTAGAGCGGCTCCAGCAGGTGCAGCTTTCTTCTTCGGAGTATCCGTCTCCTAGCCTTTCCCGTGACCGGGTACGCCGCAAGGCAGCGGAGGTTTGGAGTCAGGGTTTTCCTTCCCCTAGGTGGGCTACCTTCCTGGGTTAACGAGCCACCACCTGCCCGAAGCATCTGGTTTTAAGGCGCCAGAGACCCGCCTTCGCCCCTTCTCCTGTCGGTAAAAGCAGTTCCGCCGGGCTTAGAAGTAAAGCCACACGAGCAGGCCAGGAGTTGGACTTGGTTGACAGAGGCTGTTTGAGCGAATAGCGATTAGGCATCAGGTGGCAGGACAAAGAGTTCAACCTTGAAGTCCTTGAAAGGTGTGGACTCCCCAGCATTGAGAGCTTGATCATCAAAGCTCAACTCCGATGGACAGGCCATGTCGTAAGGATGGATGACAGCAGAATCCCAAAGATGCTGCTGTATGGTCAACTACAAGACGGGAGCCGTGTCCAAGGAAGGCCGCTGAAGAGATACAAAGACACCCTTAAAGCCAACACCAAGAGCTGCAACATAGACCCAAACACCTGGGAGGAGTTCGCGGGAAGGCATCTATGCTCCCAGGGCGTTCGGAACTTCGAAGCCGGTAGAGCAGCCGCCATCAAGGAGAAGAGGGCCCGAAGGAAGCAACGCTCTGCCCCTCTTGTCTCGTACCCCTGCAGCGTTTGCGGACGTTCGTGTGCATCACAAATTGGCCTCCATTCACACATGAGTTCCCACTCTCGCAGATAGACCTGCATACCTACTCATCTGTCGCCCCGACAGGAGAGTCCATACAATAAAAGAAAATCCTTAACAACTTTTATTCAACAGTTATGCATTAAATGATACAGCTGTAACTGTCATAAATGAAAAAAGAAAGATGTGTTCCGAAAATGAAAGAGTTTAATTTGATTTTTGTTTTTCCTGTGCAACCCAACTACAAAGCTACAGGAAGGGACAACAATTCTTGTTGATGTCTGCTTCTTGCTTTTTACTGACTATAGAAATTAGGATGACAATAGAGTATGGTGTTTTTAAAGGTCGAAGGGGTCACTGTTAGTTTAAGTTTCGCTTTACTTCTAGAAAAAACAGAATTTTCCCAGAACTGAAAATGACAGGGAATGAGATAAATTGCTAAAAATCATTTTTCAAACATATGAACAAATTTAGATCTTTTTTCCTTAAACTTATCGATAAAACATGGTAAAAAAATAATTCAGTTATCTAATATGTAGTAAAGTATGATGAATGATAAAGTTGAATGCACAAAATGTAATCAATATGTTTGCATTGAATGCACGTGCTAAGTCCACTCCTTAGTAAAAATGGCAAATGGATTAGATAAGAACGTTCCTTAGTCTGTGCGCCAAATATTGAAGAAATAAATAGTGTAGATTATTGATTTAAGTAAAAGTTAGTTCATTTCAGTACAACGCATAATTACGTTATGGACATTTACAGTTTAGGAAAAGGCAACGAGTCTCAAACTAATGTTTTACGATCATTATTCAGAGATAAAACATTTTAATGATAGTGACACAGAAAGATGTTATGTACGTTAATGAAAATTTCATTCTTGAATCGTTTTGTAAATACATCTGTCTAGAGACTATAGCAGCAATAAATTATCTCGTATAGTGTATATTGTACCTTGTAATGAAAAATTCCATGAAACGGAAAAAATCAATAGGATCATCCACACTGTATAGTCTTGCATTCTTATTGGTTGACGGATGTCTTTTTCATTCGGAGAACTCAACTCTAAACGTACATATATAACATACTTTCAAAACATTATGCTCAGACACACCGTGAGTATTGTTATTTGATAGGATTGTCACAGGATATGCACAATGTTACTTGTAAATTGAAACGAAAAAAGCAAATGATCCAATCAAAAACACTGAAATTTGATATAGTCTGCAATGCAAGTACCTTGGGCAATTTGAGCCGTTCCGTTCAATAGGGCACGAATTCCACGCATAGGATAGAAAAAAATATCTAAAGCGCATATAATAATTAGAATGTGTAATAGTATAGTTTCGAGTACATTTACGGGATCAGCGTGAACGAGTGACTTTTTTAAATATTGCAAAGAAAAGCTTCAGCGGAAGAGTGTGATGTAATTCACTGGACGCAATTGTACTTCTTCGCTGTGCACTTACAAGAAATAAATTGCACTGCAATCAATCAATCGATCAGAGTTGAAAATATCTCAAAGTATATTATTATGCAATGAACACATTGAGAGTAATTCCATCTTTCCAGCATTTATTGACAAAAAAAGAGTTTTACCCTTGTCAATAAATTTGATCATTGAAGGTCAAATTGATAAAGCAGACATAAGACAGGACAATATCAATGAGTACAACAAAGATGTCATGTGATTATTATAGTTTGTCTTTTCTAGTCATTTTTTTTTATCGAGTAGGAATCTTGAAAATGCATTAAATTATGGAAGCTTCTATCCATATATGACTTTTTACAATCTTCACCCACCAGTTACCAGGCTCCCATAGTCGTGATGACATTTTACTTATCACCCACCAGTTACCACCAGATGACATTTTACTTATCACCCACCAGTTACCAGGCTCCCATAGTCGTGATGACATTTTACTTATCACCCACCAGTTACCAGGCTCCCATAGCCGTGATGACATTTTACTTATTTATAAATGAAAGATATCTACCTTGATTGTGAACACTGGTAGAATATTTTATGTCCATGAAAATATTTCATCAAATGGACAGGTTGATTTGGCCTCCATTATGATTTTTGAATTTTTCCTATCTTTTACTTTTTACAACAACACAACCATAAAATACACATATATATCTCAGAGTAAAACATTGTGTAGATAATATCTATTTTTTATGTCACAACTCTAAACAACCCTTATATGTATTTCACATTGTGCAGAAAATATTTATTTTTTATATCAAATTTCCAGGTAACCATTATATTCAACCCCAAGTGTCGTGAAATATGACGAAATATTCTAATTGACAATAAACTTTTTTTTGTGCTATAAATTATACATTTCCAGTTAATTTATCCCCAAATTAAAATTTATCAAGTGAACAAATTGGTACAATTTACGTGAAAAAGTAAAATTAGAACTCAAAATAAATCAAGGTTCATGGAGACGGAAAATAAGAGATTTGCATAATTGCATCTACTTCAGAGTTCACTCTTTAAATCTTAACACTTCCGATGTTTGTTTGAAGTAAGTACAAACCGAGAAGTATTTTTTGTAAAACAGCAATAGCATACATTGATAATAGAAACATAAAAAATAAGGGAGGATAAAAACTAGGTCAGGGAAGAGAAATTCTCAAATACCAATTTTCACCAAAACAGCATTGTGTTCATACCAGGCTTAATATTTATCCCTACTGTTGATCTGAATCATACTGTAAATGTTATTATCACCAATTTCATTAAGTGTTTAAAGATGTAGTAATCCTTTGTTATGTAATCTACATAACAGTGGAGAAGCCAGCCGAATGTTTTACTCCTACAAAGCTACCATATTAAACAAAACTATTATTTATTTCATTAGAAAATTAATTTAATTCTGTATTTTTACAGTCATTAAACACAAAAATAGTTGCATTGTAGGAGTTAGAAAACATGCTGGCTTTGCAACTGATCCATGATATTACGTGCAAACCTTAAGTTATATAATATCAATGATGACCAATAGCACGAAGTTTTCGTCTGCTTACCACACTATCAATGACTACAAAATCTTCAGCATCAAGGTCCAACCACCCCATTCCAGCTCAATCTCAATATCCAAGGCAAACAGTGATGACAAATATTCCATAAAGAGTTCAGCAAATTGCAATAAACAATTGAACATGTGCATTGATTTTGGATAGGTCGAGAAGGATGTAAGCAGAAAGATATCATTATTATATACTTCATTAACTTTCTCAAGTATAACTTCAGTACTATCCACAAAGGTCACAGTTATCATTTCAATTTGGGAGAGAGCCACATTGTAAACATTGAGTAATTTCTTTGTTGCTTGACTTGCACCAATTGCAAAATTCTGTAATTGAAATAAATTGCACATGAAATTTAGTTTAAGCCTAATTTTCCGTAGATTCTTGGACAAATTTGCAAAATGGGACTTGTCACCATGGTTACAGATGCATATTGATGGTAGAAAACTGGAAATTTTATGCTAACTTAAAGTTGTCTGGAGTGAACTTTTATGTTTTATTCTGATGATCACAGTGATTTCGTAGTACTTGAAAGAGTAGAAAAAATACCATTCATCATTTCACACAGCTTGTAATCTTGAAAAAATAGTTTCTCCAGATTTTAAAAATGATTTTTATTGAGCTTTCGACTCGGTGCTTCAAGCCTTCATCAGAAAGATATAGGAAGTTTCTTAAAATTGTTTTTAATTGCAGATGCTTAGAACATCTAATTGGATTAGCGGGTGGATTAATATGATGGATGGTATGAAATGCATTGCCATGGGTTTTGGTGTATTGTGAATGTGATTGGTGTTAATATTATTAGAGTGTGTTGTTGTAGTCTTGATGTTGTTTCTACATGAAAAATTTGCATTCCAACAGTTGGCCTTCAATAAATAATACTTTTTCTTTACAATTCGATCAATGAAATTTGATGCAATATTTTTAAACTGTCAGATGTTTGCCAACACTAAGTCAAGTGAGCTTTTAACTAAATCTGGGTTATCTATAGTTTGTGATTTGTCAGTTGAAAACTTCACACAAAACTTCTTTGACAGACCCTTTCATAAATCTAACCAAGATAAACAAAGATATTTCAACTACAAGAAACAGGATGTGGTCTTATTGTTTTATTTATTACAGACATGCTTACCACTTTTCTTATTTTGGATTATGACTAAAAATATCCTAAGGTTAGTAAAGTACAATACACATTATCATGTATTAGCAATAACTTATGGATAAATATATGATATGATATTGTTAGATTTTGAAAGTGAGGAAAAAAACAAGGAAGAAATGAACTGTTTATCACCATGGAAATATTGATAACATGCTATCTATTGGTATTCAAGATATATTATCAAATATACAAAGTTGTCAAAAAAAACCTTTCAAAATATGTTAACATCACTTTATGCAAAAGACGAGACCATAAGACCAACCTCGTGCTTACAGAAATATGTAGGAAGCAGCGATCAATTCGTGCAGAATGGATGATTTGCTTATTAAGGAAACCTCACCTTAAACAATCTCTTGGCTGAAGAACAAGGATTAATGCCACCTTCTTCCTCATTTCTAAATATTGTTGGCGCTTTGAACTTTCTGAGCGCATCCACAAACTGGTTGAAGAATTTAATCGATACGCCGTTGAAGCTCGAACCAATATTATCCGCGCTACTCACCAAAGATTTTTCAATAAGAGAAAGCAGTTTTTTAGATAAGCGCGAAAGTTGAACACAAGCATGGCAAAAATGGTGTTGTAGGGCTTCGATGAAACAGTAAACTGTCACGGACAGCCAAAGTAGCACTTCGTTCATTGATGATTTCTTCAACGAGTTTTGAGCCAACTCCCAATACTTCCAAACAAATGATTCTTTTTCAATTACGTGCGAAAATAAAGGCCAATCTTTGAGCCACTGGCTCAAAATATCCCGCATATATTGAACAGACATATTTACAACCGAACACCACGAACACCAGAACACGACAAACCACCAAAGATGGCTAATGGTCATTGTGTCATTGACATTGATATAAATATAACTGGAATGTTATAACTGCAACAACAATCCATTTGGTTTAGTTTTGCAGAATCAATTTGACGGAAATTTTGCACATTTAAAACAATATTTTAAAATGTATCTTAAAGAAATAAACAATTTGGCTAAAGGACTCCGTCTTAAAACGCTGGGTCTTATTAAAAGTTATAAAAAAAATTACCATGGCGGCCAGTTAAGTGTAATAAATGTACTTGTAGGAACACGTGCTGGCTTAACATGGCCTGTAATTTGATTTAATATATAGCACAAAGTGATAAGTCTTACTGTGCCAGTGTGCCTGAGTATTGAAGACTCTCATAATCTCTTTCATCAATCATATACTTGGAAAAAATACGTCGATTTTAGGCCGCAACAGATGAAAAGATTTTGCTAAAAATTTAACTTCACCAACTTTTAAGCAATCCGATTTTTCCTGCACAGAGATTTTAAGAAAAATAAGATGCCCTTCATCTAGGTTGAAGTTAAAAGTGCACCCAGAGCTTCTAGAAGAAGATCAATTCAATATCAAAGCCTCATAAAAAAAATCAAGAGCTATTGATTCGTGAAATTTATGTATTGAATAGTGATATTCGACAGTTTTAGTGCAACTCTAATTAAAAATTCAGTTCGTAGTTCATCATATATTCACAAGCTGTAGATGTAATGCAAACCACAGTTGATACAACGCATTTCTAATGGCCATCTTTGGACTAAGTAAGGCAAACGCCCTCGATACAAGTTCGCTTTTCTAAAAACAAATATATTACTTAAACGTAAATCAGAAACGATGCGACTCGTTGATCATAAAGAATCTACATCTAGCAGTTAAAGGCCAAAATGAAAGGAACACTGAAAGAGACTATTAATGCAAATAGCATTGCAATACTTACCACAGCTCACTTTCGTATTTCCGTCATAAAAATCAGCGTAACAACCACCACAATAATTGTCCTTGCATTCTGCCAATGGATGGGACACACAAATTGCGTTTTCACACGGTCGAGGAGTGCAATTTTGACGAGGCTTATCCGATGGGCAAAGTCCTGTTACGTAAAAACAAGCGATGTTTTATCAATTAGCTAACTACAAGGTAGAACAAGACCTTAGTTTTCCTTTTCGTCAGAAGATCAATAATTGTCTAAAAACTAAAAGTCATGATGATTCAAAAATTAAAATAACAGCTTTTCACCTTCAAACAAAATCTTATACTCATGAAAAAGTACACACGACTCGTGCGATGAGAGTTTGTACCGGAGCACCTTATACACTTATTTCACAATTATTATGTACAGTTGATGTCTAAGCATTTGAAACCAGCCTCCCTAAATGATTTTGACGCAAATATTTCTCGAAATATTACGTAGCATTTGCCTTGCTAAAAATGCACAAATTGAAAGTGACGAAACACATTAACGCATATAGGACATACCTCGTATATACACAGAAGAACTTTTACCGAATACCTTTTAAATAGAAAGACAAATGTGATCATTTACTAAAAGAACGTACGCATTATAATGCTATAAACTAACAACTCCAGACGTGCTATCCGTGTTAAGCATAAAAACGGCCATTATAGATTAAAGGAATAAAGAAATATGGTGATCGGACATTTAAATAATCGATAATAAACTTACTAAAAGAAAGCAAACAGTGGTGAGAATTAATGTCTTCATAATTTCTACGTGATCTCTTGCGTACGTTTACAAATAAGAAAATGATTCATTTCAATAATTTGTGCAGTATATGTAGATCAGATCATGTGAACACATGTGGGCCATTGACGTGGGGGGAAATCGGAACAGGATACTTTTAGAACCATCGAACGCGTGGTTTAAGTACGTCTTATGCAAATCATTGTTGTCACTGTAAAGCAAATCGACAAAAAGAACTCAACAATTTTATTTATGTATGTATTGGACTAATTGGAGCGTATTTAAAAATTCATGGGTGTAGTACAAAGTTCACAAATGACTACCATTTTTGTCGAGCAGGCGCTATACCGATTTTTTTGATCGTCAACGAGTCATTATAAAAAAGTATTGTACAGTTCAGTTATGGTCGCATCACAATGATAATCACTGACATTGTAGCAGTGACATGTTTAGAGAAAAAAAAATGGGACACATTACAAAAGTTCTTTCTTGATCAATAAAACAAAGAAAGTAAATAAATTTGCAGCAACACGTAATTAGCATATCCTGTATTTTCAAATGCAAATACATCATGTCATATAATAAACTTTTTATTAAACTCGCTTGTTCAGTCTTCATACCGTGAAATGACGGCGGAATATTGATAAGAGGGAGCGTATATATTCATTTTATTCATATGTTTTAATTCGTAACCCCAATTGACTTCAACAGAAACTAATAAAGTAGAAAGTACATATAGGAACATACCCACCCTTCAATTATCGACCATGCCATTTGATGACGTGGGCCACATTAAAATTGCCAATTTACACAAGAGCTGAGTCATAGGAAGATTTTAAAATTAAATTACAGGAGACCTTCCTAGATACTAAAGGCGTTTTGTATGTTTTTTATGTTTATTTTATTACGTATATTTCATTCCGGCTTTATAGTTAGTATTTTTTAACTAACGTGTCTATCGTAGATACAGGACCCTAGTTACAAATTGTGAGCATTCACTAATTAGGCTTTAATAATAGTAGTAATAATAACAAAGTACACATCTTCAATAACTCAGTTCCATGCCCAGATGTTCTCCTTTCAACAGAACAATTATTTATAGTAGGCAAATACATATGCTTAATTATTAATAGAAACACAAAAAAAGCACAATCTTTAAATTGTTAAACATTTGGGAATCGACAAGAGACATGCAGTACAATAACATTAACACCAGAGGCGCTTACATGCGAAGCGTAAGCTTCTATTGTTATTTTGATGAGAAAATACATGCTCGTGTTTGATTGTTAGAATCATATTAGAAAGTTTAAAATATACTTTTAGTCTTTCAAACGAGTTAGGTATAGCTTTAGGGTTATGGTCAGGTATCATTGTGTGGTATTTTTATACAAGACAGATATACTCTGGAGCGTAGGAAGATTGACATTTGGGGTGGGGGCATATTTATATATTCATGGTGCAGTGTTGCAGTGTTAAGTTCTTTTGAAATACAATGTTTTCAAAATATTATCACATGAAATATGAATATTACCGCCCCCCAAAAAAATATCAATCTTCCTACGCCCTCACTTATTACCAGTTAATTGATATTGTCTCGAGCGTCATTTTTACAATAGAAATTAAGGTTGAAAGAAAAATTTGCTCCTAATTTGTTGTTGCTTGCACCCACTGTATTTTTTGAACAGCGCTAGAGGTTCTCGCTAAAGTGCAACAGCCACCTTGTTTTAAACCATATACTCATTTCATTCATTTTTAGACTTATTTCATCGTTAAGAAACCATTCAATCAATGTCAATGATTAGTTAACACAATCAAAAAAAGTTGACTTTCCTAGATTTTAGACTTTCTTTGACATTGTAAAAGACTTCGAAATCGGTTTGCATTTCCTTCACATCCACGAAAGTAAAATCTCAAACATTTTTGCTTCTGATGGTCAAAATAATATCGAGGAAGTAACGCTTTGCATCTTCCAATTTTCTTTGGCTGTTTACAGATGCTCCATGAAACAAAATGTTTGAAATATTTAAATGAGTGACATTTGCAGGCAAGTATAAAGTTTTGGTGGAGAATATAGTTATAGTCGAGCACTGTATGACTACAGAAATATATAGCTACCCACACCACCCACCCCACCCCCCTACGTTACTGTTTTATGCCCGTCAGTACAGATCATGAGTATTATAGGTGAGTTTTAATTCAACTTGAAAAAAGACGCACGTTTGCACGAAGGAGAAACCAATTAAAGTTAGCACCTTGAGAGACACGTTTCCATTTACGACTTTACACTGCGTTTCCATTTACGACTTTACAAATGGCATAAGATCAAAAGGTTTTGAAACACAAGGATTGTTAAGTTTTGTCTCTAGAAAAGCGTTACACAAATACAGATTATCTCTTTAATGACGATGAAAGGGCGTGTTCGACGTGCAATGGACAGTGGTCATGTTACTGCAGGTCATTTTCCTGAGCCATTTCTCCTTCATAGTTTAGTGCATAGAGTTAAGTTGAAGCTGTGTAAAACAAATATCTAATTTATATATGTAGTCATATGGACACAGAATAAAGAATGAATCACGTACGTGCTTCCATAGAAGAGTGACATACTTATGTTTATTACAGTCGACTTCACGTCCTTTATAATATTCGTTTTGACAAAAGCTTACGCATGTAGCGTTAGGATAAGCTGGACAATTTTAAGGAAAACAAGGAGCTCTTATGCAAATTGGTACTGGATTTTCAATCTTGCACGCGGGACCTATATAAAGGAAATTACGCTAGTAGTGAAATATTGGCAGTTGTGGCCTATACTGTTTATAGAGTTTATATAAATATCCAGCAATACTTATTTTCCACGTTTGATGTAATTTTTTGTCCATGATTGCATCTGGCTTTTAACAATTCACGAAAACCACGGTAGGTATTGCCGTCCGATGCACAAACTATTGGAAATTTCAATCGACTTAAATGATTACAAAGAGCTTTTAAATTCACAAAAAAAATGATAAGAAACTAAGAGAATAGTCATAAGTTTGTCTGAATCATATTTCAAAATTACTTTTTAATATTTTTAGCAGTTCAAACCTAGTCCATATTCCGTTTGATGATAGGTGCTAGTTAAAGTGTAAATTTGTTTGATAGCGGGGTGATTTGGGCACTAGAGCAGTAGAGCTTTCTTTCTTGGGTTATCTTATCAACAAGGGCGCTGGAAGCGACCTTCAGCGGCGGGGGAGGCCATTTCGAAAGGGCACCTATTTTTACATTACGTTTGTGAGTTCAGTTTAGTTTACACCTTCTCACCCACATGGTGGGAGAAAATTAAGAATTAGAAAAACTCTCAGAGTCTCTATTTCAGCCCAGAAAGCATTGCGGTAAAAGGATAAATCTCAAACTTCAAGAACGTTACTCCCAACTGCTCAGTAGCTCAAGCCACCCATCCAGTAATCCTATTGACCTTCTTGTTGGAGCGGTGTAACCAGGTAACCGTGTATTGTTGTCTAGTTTAGTTTCTCCAGTCTCATTAATTTTAACAGATTAATCATTAAACTAAAGCGTAAAGAAAAGTTTTATGTTAGCTTAAAGCCGCCATGCAAACATTGATATTTCATAGATCATAATTTCCAACATTTTTCAAAAGAGCATTGCCTTTCCTAGCATCAATAACAAACTAGCTATGTAGTAACAACACTGATCTAGCCACAACTTGATTTGCTACGACTATGTTCGATAGTCTATTATAAAATATAGAAAGCTCATAAACTACAAATGAGGGTATGCTTGGTTGAGTTTAAAGTAACACTTCACTATAACCAGGCTTATGCCTAAAACACTAAACCTTCAACTGCAATATGTCCTTTAAAGACAGAAATCAGTGGAAGAAATTGGATGGATCTATTCAAATCTATATTTTTTCAGCTGCCAAAGGCAGAAAGTATAGTTTGATCTTTCACTACAATAACAGAAAAACCTTCTTTATCCACTTGCTTTACATTGACAACAAAAAATGTTTTGTTTCGGGAATAGGTAATGTCGCAGCGTCATGAGTCATGATGATTTACCGAATGACGCATATTTTGAAATGCAACAATGAAAATGATGTTTTTATACGTGATTTATTTGTATAAATTAATTTTGATTGTTGATATAATGACTATTCAAAGACTATTTAATGCGACGTGCTCTAAATTATGAATCACAAAAGTACTATAAGTGATACCTGATAAATGTTTTTGACTTTTGGATAATGTCTAGAGAAAAATTTATTTAAACGAAAGTTGGACGATCAAATTTTGCCAGCGGCAATAGCGACGATTGTTAATTTCAATGGAAATCGGGAATCGGGCGATTCGACGATTCAACACGCAATAAAAATTATTCATACCATGAATTTATACTGAAATAAAACCAAAATTGGCATTGCATTTGTAATTCTTCTAACAAATAACTATCAATCATTGAATGTTGCTCTTGTAACGGACACCCTTCAGTGAATTATGACTGACGTTTATGCTTAAAAGCTCAAGAGCAGCTCAAAATATTTTGTTCAAGCTTTTAGATTATACAAATTTTTTATGCAATATAACCATCTGGGCAGGTCTGTACATGCTATAGGAGAAATATACATACATTTGTTGTGTCTTAGAAGTAAATTGTTCATTGTTTTTCCCGCTTTATTCGAAGTGCGCACAAGTGGCTTATCAAGTGGGCTTAATTAGAAAATTGAGTTTTTACCATCGAATGACGATTCGCCGATTATATGGAAAACGAGCTTCACCGAATAATTCCGTGGACAGTTCATGAAGGCCGGATATCCCATGTCTAAATATGACAATACTTATGACGTATAGTCAATATCATTTCCTCTTCCTAGATGTAAAACATACCAGTTGGAAGAAAGAGTGTTTTCACCAGCAGACGTCATAGCCTTGTTGGTGTGCCAATGAAAAGAATTTTCACAAAGTTCCCGTTTCGTCTGGTATAACCAAGACCAATTTGTCAGCTTCCTCCATTTTATGATTGTCATGTTGATCACAAGAAAATGAGTGAAAACATCAAAACGCTAAATACAATTTGCAAGAATTTTTATCATGCACAAATACCATGATTTCATTCCATTTCGTGCATGCACAATATAAATATTCTCACAGAAAAATCAAAAATATACAGTTTAGACCTTGTAAGAACTGTAAAGGTGAACAATCAATATCTACAAAAATTCAATGTTACTCAAACTAATGAAACTATTCACTTTGTCTTTTGATTATATTTATAAGTCAACATTTTGAAATGCCTTGATCAAGATTTATCTTTAACATTACGACAAACAGTAAAACACAAAAAAATTTAACCTACGCATAAAAGCAATAATCACGATGTTAGTTATGATAATCGTAAACATATTATTAAACCTAATAAGCTTTTTATAGGCACGTGAAAAACATGTGACTTCGCGAGATTCGGGCATTCGGGCAATTTGTATCGCCTAAAGTTTTGATTCATTTTGGATGGTAAATTTCAAAAATTAATTAAAAATTATTATGAGCACGCGTAGTCAACTTCACCACCTCTCCAAGTTCATGAGACCAACTGTATGTACCAGTACCAATTATAGAGTAATCAGCTCGCTCAATCACTAATTTTCAGATAATCATCTGCCCATGCGCAGTCTGCTTGAGCATGCGCAGTCCAATTGAACGGCTGCCCAAGTACATGGTCATGGCAACAACAACCTGCATCTACTAGCACAAATTTTGAAGTAAATAGCATGCTTAGTAACAATTTAATAGAGAAATCATCTGCGCATGCGCTCGAGCATGCGCAGTACACTCGAGTAATTATTCATAGTCATGACAACGACCAACTATACGTATTTGCACTACATTTGTGTCAATTAACTCACCTAGTCGCAAATTATCAAAGAAATCATCTGCGCATGCGCAGTAACGATAACAATCATCCCACAACTTTCGTACGTCTTTAAATTTTGGTATATATATATAAAGCTAAAACTTCATATAGTAGATGTCAACTAGCAGTAGAAGCTGGGTGCGATATAGTATGCAGTGGCTTAGGGGCCCACACTTCGGTGGCGACCGCACTCTACGTGCGTACCCTGAGCAAAGCCTATCGCAGGTGATCTCAGGGTCTGATGCTGCGACATTATAATTTTCAATTCTGATGAGCGGAAGCTTGCTATTGGCATCTCCCAAGTAGGATAGCGTGGAGGGGCCGAAATCTCCTACCGAAACGTTAACATGCGGCGCTCTAGTGCCTTGAGCTTAATGAGGTATCGGGAAGCATGGACCGAAAACGGGGTTTTTTGCTTTCGAATTTTGTCTTTTTGTTTTCCTCTCATAAAAAAAACCAAGCAATGTTTCAATTAACTTCTTATGACCCTGTCTTTATCTGACATTTATAATTAAAGACAACCTTAAAAATGTTTTTTACCATTTTTATCGCTTTATATCTTTCTGATTTAACTCTCCCATTTACTGTTTCTCATGTATCACGAGCAAACCATCCATGGGCTTCATGGCAAACAATGATTATCTGTTTCTCTTGATTAACATGCGATGCTCTAGCGCTAAACTACTCGGGGTATCGGAAGGCATGGACCGAAAATGCGATTTTTCGTTTTCGAAATTTGTCTTTTTTCACAAGAATTGTTCTCATAAAATTTCGAAGGTTCAAAGGTTCGAACAACTTCTGCCTTTTGGACTTAATTCAAACCAACTCTAAGAATGTTTATACCTTTTTAACTTGTTACGTTTTACAATACAACTTTCACATAACTCTCTCGTGATGAACGAGAGCTATAATGAATAAGGATGTACAATATAACTCTCTCGTCATAAATAAAAGCATCCGAGGGCTTCATGGAAAGAAGGGATTATCTACTTTTTTATGATAGTTTCTGCAAAGATAACATTTAATAAGCCAAGCAATTTGTATCGTCTAACTTAAGCCTCGCTTTCAACCCTTATGTTATGAAATTTTGATTCATTTTGGATAGTAAATTTCTTTTCACCCTAACAATATTTTCATGATTCAATCTAGAAAGTAGCTTCTCTTCTCGAGTAATTTTGCGATTAAGCAGCACACTTTTCTGATTTCAATTCATCCAAAGACCAAACTCTTTTTCCTTGACATTATTTGACTTTTTAAAGAACACACACTAAAAATGGGTAACAATAGAAATGCGTTTACTTTAATCATATCCTAAAGGCAAAAATTAGAGAAAAATAGCAAATAATGAGTCTTTAATATATGTTTATTGAACTAAACGAATATTGTTCATAGTTTTTTCATGTTTAGTTACACATACATACAGTTAGCATTTATAATAATCGAAAGTTTCTACCTGTGAATGAACGTGAACTAATTCTTCAACACTCCAACGTAGAAGCCGCCACATTCTCTTTCGTACTTGTACTATCCCTCGTCAATAACATTTCTTAGAGTACTCTTCTTACAATACTGCATTTGTATATAGAAAGTTTGAAGAGTACACTTTGAATCTTCTTGCATATCTCTTGTGGTGATTGCTTCCTCTTGAATTTCGAAAACAGATTCCTCGTCCTAAAGAAAAGACGCTGGTAGTTCTTTTTACATATTGAACAGTTCCCACTACTATATACCACGTGAGCCAACGAGCTTCCAAACTGTACATGTGATTCATCGATATTTTTTTTTATCCTATCTTCAGTAGACTTGGTGTTATTAATGGAATGTTTTTTGTATTGAAACTTCGTCCTCGCCAGAGCTTTTGTCGTCGTCAACATGCTTGGAATCGCCTGTCTCAACAACTGCTATCATGGCGAGAATCTCTCGTCCAATACGCAGTTTAAAAGAGATTTTACTCGTCTCCAATCCCTGCGGGCGTGGTAGCTCAACAGCATACACTCAACAGGTAGAGCGGCGGACTAGTAGCCGAAGGTGCTACTTCAAATCTCGTCCTAGTCACATGTTTCTTATGTGTACTTTCGTAAGAGCACATTGGTTATAAGATATTTAAAATAAACGACATATTTTTTAAAGCAAACATGTTTCGGCATACTTCATGCCATCTTCAGTTCGAAGTGAATAAATACAGGAAGTTTTCACGATAATATGTTATAGTGTTATCATGTAAACTTCCTGTATTTATTCACTTCGCCCTGAAGATGGCATAAGGTATGCCGAAACATGTTTGCCTTAAAAAAATCTGTCGTTTCTTATGTGCCTATAAAAACCTTGTTAGGATGAATGAGTGTGTAAATGTCACGTGATTTGTATGGTGTGAAATATATTGTGTGAAATCAGTTGTGAAATTGTTACGTGTGTAAATCATGGTGCAAATGCTACACTTGACGCGAACATCGTGGAAAGAAAGTGTTTTCGTTTCGAGGAGTAAACAATTTTGACAGGGTTAAAAGGCATTATTGAAAAGCTAATTGACAATTGCTTTAATTTTAAACATGGCTGAGTTTCCCGAAGTGTTTGTGTCCGGACAAATTGTTCCTATGACTGAATTTGATAGAGTTCGAAATGCAGTATGCTTGTTAAAGTCGAGCACGCCTAGGTAAAATTTCAGGTTGTTACGTGTTGTAACTTGTAAGGCATGCATTTGTTTTGTAAGAAGTTGGCTTTTTGAAGTAAAATCGTGGGTGCATTATACATGTATATCTTCTGCTGATGTATTAATTCTAGGAATCATAAATGCCATGTACTACGCATGTATACAACCCAATTTCTCTACATAGAAGGGTTGTACTATTGCAAATTTTAATGCAGAACGTTGGTGCGTTTTTTGGCGGAAATTTGAGTTTAAATTATTTTATAGCATTTTTGATTTGCATTTGGCATATTTTTACAATAAAAGCACTAAAAATGTGTCATTTGCAGGCATTTATGATCTTTTAGAGTGAGTTTTAAGAAAGCAGCTTTACTATTTATGTGAAGCCATGTTAATATGTTACTAGTAAAATATAAACTAGGTGCTGAACATTGTTTACTTGAGCATGTGTAAGGGAAAACCAAGTAAGGAGCAACCTGACAGAAATAGCTTTAATCTTGACAGAAGCTATGGATGAAAATTACAAAGATGTTGAAAATTTGTAAATGAAAATTGTAAGAAAATTTGTGCAAAAAAGTTGGGCAATTTTTTGATGTATGCCTCCATAATTTATATTTTTACACATTTGTGTTACAAGTGACATGTCTAGGTACGTAGTGCTTGAGTCATTCATTAAGAATACAAATTTTTATTGAATCTATAGTTTTTGTACATAGGGATGAAAATTTGTTAACTTTAAAAATAATTTTATTACTTTCAGACAAACATGGAGTGCCACTGGATTTTATTTGGTTCTTAAAATCAAGAAAAATAATAAAGTGTCATCTGTCCATTGCATAATTACAAACCATCATGTGTATAAAGAGGTGGAAAAGCATAATGATGGCATGGTTGCAGTTTTTCATCATCATGTCAATGCTAAAGTTCACAATGAAGTACCACTTGTGCCTTTCAAACTTTTTGCACAAAGTAAATCTGAGGTATGTGTGGAATAGTTGGTTGATAATCTTCAAACAGAATTATTTTCTTTACAAATTTACATTCATTATAAACCTTTACAAACCTTATTTTTTTCTGAATTTATGCTTCATTATTCACCAAATGTATAAACTAGGATTGTGATGTGTAATATCAATGAATCATTCTTTGACAGCAACCTTGAAAACACAGTTTTTTTGGAATTACCATCTTTATGCATTATTTTATTCAGGAACTTGATTATGCATTGATTAAATTAGATGAATCACTTAAAAAGAATTTGGAGTCTATTGGTGTCACACCACTTGAAGTTGATGGTGACAAATTACCGACTGTGTCAATAAATGACCATGTGTATATTTTTCAACATCCTGCTGGATTGGACCAACATTTTAGTCAGGATAGTGTAAAACGCATCAATGGACCATTTCTTGAGTATTATGCTGACACAAGTGTAGGCTCATCTGGAGCACCAGTACTTGTGTATGTACCACCGAAACTTAGGCTAGTTGCTTTGCATAGTAAAGGTGTTTACTCTTATCCTATAAATCACAACAAAGGCATACTACTTTGCGATATATTACATCATCTTCAAACTGGCAAAGGTAAAGTTTTTCTATTCTTTAATTCAGTAAATTATCTTAGGGTGGGCACTTTAAACATTGATAGTATTTATAGGAGCAATCAAAAAATTGCATTAATTGCAAATGAAATTCACCTGCACCAAACTTGTTAACTTCATAAGTGTCAAGGCAAAAATACAACTTTTGATTTGGCAAAATAATACAACAGAACTTAACAGAGTTATCAATATTACTTCAATTTACATAGTGAGAAAGTTATTTGTCCCAAATGGAATTCCCGATCAATTGGAAAGTGGTGTTTTGGCAGGTAAATTATACTACGCTGCTAATTTAATGTTGTAGAAGCATTTTGATGGACTACTGTTGTTCCAACTTGATATTTTATTTTAGGTACTAAAGATCCTTTGGAATCAGTAAAAAGAGATGACATTATAAATATAGCCAAAGATATAATTGACGTGTGGGAAAATCTTGCAAGAGTGTTAGGTCTGTCTGAAAGTACCATAAATATCATTGACGCTGATTATAGAAAAATCTATGAAAAATCTTTCCAAATGTTGATGAAGTGGACTCAATTATATGGTTCTGCTGCAAATTTTGGGACACTTGCGAAAGGTTTATGTCATCCAACTGTTCAACGACCGTGTTTAGTAAAAAAATTCTGCTAGATTACGTAGCTCAGAGAATTTTTGTGCTTGAAATCGAATCATTCTACCACAGAGGGAATACAATAACTTTGGATTTCATGTACGTACAGAAATTGTGTTTTAGCTTATGCGTTCCTCGCTTAGCCTTAAGCGATGTCACTAAACCGTGAATCTTTCCATACAAATTAATAGCGAGATTTTATTCTCTTTAAACGAAGTTTTAGTACCATTTTATTCTTATTTCACCGCATTAATCCTAACGCAATAAAACTTTGACTTTTTGGCAAATAACTTTTATAAACATGGGTATTTTCTTTAAACCTAAGGGCACAGGACAGTGTTTGTTATAAACTTGATGGCAAATTTGTTTTAACACTTTTTCACATGAATAAATCCTGGAATTTATTTAAACATTGAAGTTTTTATCAAGTATGCTTCCATTAAATATACTGAAAACAATCGAAAGTTGTGGCGGTTGGTGTTATTTCATTTTGTTTCAAAAGTATTTTTGGTTGATATGCGATGAAAGTTTGGCCTCCTCCCCAAGCGCCCCACTTCTACACCACTGACTAACAGCCAAGGAACAGTTATTGACGTTAGGTAGATTTCTTTATGTACCATATATAGGTTAAATAAAGGAGCTATTCTGACCAATGATATTATTTGTTATTTGTAATGAATACTATAAATACTCCTATGTAAAATAATAAAATCAGTTTGTTCATTAACTTCACTCGTAGTTGGTACTGAAAGTGTAAAGTTTATAACGAAAAGAGATAATATGGCGAGTGACACGAACTCAACAAATTCAAATTAAAAACTGCTTTCACACCATGAAAGATCCAGTCCACCACCCCTTTTCTAACACATTTGCGCCCTTGCACCTTTCATAGAATTTGATTGAGTGAATTACAGAAGTACACTTCCCGAACCGCGCTAGTGACACATCACTGCTTCAAAATAGGCAAAAGATATTCCTGTACCACCTGTACTCGATAAAATCTCCAGAGGTCTCGCAGCGCAAGTTTACCACAAAAGATCTGATTTCAATATTACAGATGGGTACTTCGCGGTATGTTGTAATCAATTGAGAACCATTAGAAAGTATTACATGACGTATTGATGTAGTTCAATTTCATGTCTTGTTGGCGGGGGCTGTTGCAACAACAGTTTTGTGTCGGAGAAGAGTGTAAATTTTATTGAACCCTTATGAATTGTTTTTTATATCAAAAATAACTGTATCTGACGTAAATAATGGCAATATGATGGGGATTTTGTGTTGGAAGTACACATCTTGCATACATGGAAATTACTACGAGCCAACAAATCATCTCATCTTGCACGGGCGCCATTGTAACTTCAATTCTAAGTAAAGTTTTACATTTACGATTTTAATTACCCACGTTGGCATTTATTGTTTTGCTTTCTTTAGTTATTTACTAAAATCGTGTACCCAGACAGGGCTTGAAATAGCTGCCGACTGTTTAACTATTTTAGGATATTGCCGGCGATTTGTGATTTCAAAGCAAAGGAAAATGGCGAAAATATATATTTTTAATTTTCTCAAGATGTAACGAATGTTATTACATCTAAATATCATTGTAACATCGACCATCTCATCGTTATTTTACAGTTCTGGCCATCATTTTCAAGTTGAAATGGTGCCCGCGTTTTCTGTGGTCTGTGATATGATGATATTCGGAAAAATTTCCTTCGTGAATAATGGCTTTCAAAATTTGACATATTTCTACAGCACTATTTCGAATCTTGCCTTATTTTACTTCTAATGCCATGCCTTATTGACATATTTTATATATTACGTCATCAGTAGTCTTGTAATCAAATGTAAACAATAGAAGTACACTTATTATACACCATAGTATGTTAAAAATTTTCTTGTGCTAAATCATTTACCAGCATTGATGTGATTGATTAAATACAAACCTAATGTTTAAAAGGTGTATCAAAAAAAGGCCTTTAGGTATTGTATTAACCTCAATGCCTATCACTATGTGGGCCCATAAAGTATTGTCAGCTATGTGCTTTATAGACACTTCTTATAAAGTAAACGGTATTTAATCTAAATCCCTTGAAAAGTGTTACATATCATTATCATTGGAAAAAAAGTGTCTATTAGTAGTCATAATTTTTACATGCTTTTATTACATAACTTTGTTACAGGCACAGAAGCTTTTCTGCTTCTTGGAATTTAACATAACTTCTAACTTCAAAAACACAGACCCAAATTATTAATTTAATGAAATATTGTCATTAATCAATATCAACTAAAAACAATTTACATTTTATTTTAACTAGTGACTCCATTTGATGTCATAAAAGTAAGACTTCAGGCACAGTCTCGTAGTGCAAGAACAAGTACAGGTAGAATTAAAGTGTAAAATTTAAGCTCTGGTGGTTGTATAGAAAGTAGGAGTTTTTAATCTGTTCCTTTGACAAATACATTATTTTGATCCTTTTAATGAATATCAACATCACACTTTTATAAATGAAATTTTTCTCTAAATCATAAGCAATAAGTTTTACTTATTTGTTGGAATGCTTTAGAGAAAAGAAGAAAAATAATCATTTCATCAATAAATTGTCTTTAGAACAATGTATGATTTGCTTCGATGGCTTAATGGATCATGTCCGTGTTTGTCCTATTGATAAAAAGGCTTGTCGTGCTCCGAAGAATTTCTCATCAACTTCGGTAATAAGCACCATCATAAATCATTAGGGCTGAGTGAGGACTTGTGTGAATAGTTTGAACCTGGTAGTGCTTTTACATGTAGATTGTCCAGGTCAATGCAGTGCTAAAGACTAGCTGAAGTCATTGACCAAGTCCAGTAAGGAGTAAATGTTAGTTAAGCTATGTTTGTCGTTGGTCACATTTCCTATATATACATACCGTATCACGATATATGAACCAGAAGATGACAGCAGTTAAAGATGTTGAAACAATACTCATCATAAACACCACCAGTCCTTCACAGGACTACACTAACATGGACAATCTACGTACAAAAATATATCTGTATGGTATCCAGAGGCGTAACTAGAACGTTATTTGTGGGGGGGTGTATATTCATATATTCAGTTGTGTCCTACTGATTTCTTTTGAAAGTGAATTCAGTAGGGCACAACGGAATATGTGAATATGCACCCACCCCCTCCCCCAATTAACGTCCAAGTTACGCCTCTGAAGGTATCTGAAGCATAGTTAGTTTTAATTGGCTGCATATGGCCTGAGGAGGGATTTTATCATGTGTTCAAAAGTCAAACATTTTATTGTTTCGGCCCATGTTATTCATTTTCATTTTAAATATATTTAAAGGACGCCCTTGTACGTATAGTTCGTTATGAAGGCGCTGCTGCTCTATGGGGAGGATTACCAGCAACAATGTACGTACGAAAAAGAAATTCATAGTATTTTTTTATTTTTCAAAATTCTATAGCCCAGTAGAAATTTTAAAAGGATCGTATTTTACTGTTCATACCCCTGATAATAGTGCAGTGTAACACACAGGTCTAAATTTTGCCATTGTAAAACGATATCTTGAACTCACTTCAATAATCGTATCAGCCAACTAAGTTTTTCATTTACCTTAAGTTGGTGAAAATAGCGTCAATAGCGAGATTCAGCCGCATTTAAATCTTCTAAATTTAATATTTTTCCACAGGTTTATGGCAGTCCCAGCTACGATAATATACTTCACATGTTATGACCATTTGAAAATAATGTACGGATTTAAAGCAGGAGAAACAAATATTTATTCACCCGTGCTGTCTGGCATGACTGCTAGAGGTTAACTATAGTCTTACTGACTGAAACAAATCTATTCCTTTCTTTCTTTGCGCTACATGTGTTTTCCTTCTATTTCTGTTTTAAGATAATATCAGCATTTAAACATCGTGATTTGATATGTTATTTTAGTGATAACATCAACATGTATTTCTCCTCTTGAAATGCTTCGTGTTAAACTACAATCCAGAAAAGAATTTCGATACAGAGGTAAATAAAATCACTTACAAAAGTCCTCTTCACCTTGAACAACACTTTGAATGAATCCGTATACTTCATTTCAGAACTTGGTAACATTGTGAAAACTGGCCTAAAACAAGGCGGAGTAAGATCACTGTGGCAAGGACTTGGACCTTCTTTGTTGAGAGATGTACCTTTCTCTGGTAAAGTAATTTTAGATGTTCCCTTCAACATTTTCACTTTTCTTTCCACATCTACCATTTCTCTACCACATCTTAACTCTGCTCCCCCCAACCCCCCACACACTCAATGTCCGTTCCACATCCACCTTATCCCACGTAGATTGACACTTTCCCATTTTATGTCATAAATATCATCAAATTTCAGCATTTTATTGGTTTGGTTACGAATATTTACGTTCAAAAAACAGAAACCCAACGTTACAACACATTTTCCTGTCTGGTTGTACTTCAGGAGCGGTAAATCGAATATTTCTTATTCTTGATTACAATAGAAGAGAAGTTTACAGTACCTAATTTTCATTAACTTAAAACTTTAATAAAAATATGTAAATTTGGCATTTTAGATTGCGGGCGTGTTAACTTTACCATTCGACGTTGTGAAAACTCACCGTCAAATAGAACTTGGCGAAAGCAATTTTGGTAACTTTAATACGGTTTTTACAAAATTTACATTTTAAACTTAAAGGCATTTATTGCGACGTTTTATCTGAACAAAATAAGGACGGTAAAAGAACAGTTTCGCTTATGTGGTTCTTTATGGTCAAGAGCCTCTGTGAAAAAGAGAGATGAGCTTGGGAAATTTGAAATTATACAAATGCAAATTTAACATTTAAGATATTGAATGAACGTCCGTAGTTTCATAGAACTGAAAACTCTGCGTGTCTTCTGAGATCATGCACACAATTTTGATCTTGTGATTTTAGATCCTAATAAAAGATATCCATCCACTTTTTCTCTACTGTTTAAACTACAACAAGAACAAGGAACGAAAGCTTTATTTACTGGTACAGTAGACTGAAGAAATTGATTCCATCATATTTGTTTTTTTTTGACTTGGTCATAAAACGAATGACTCATTAATGCAAAAGCATTAGTGTACACGAGGTTTCTATCTTTTCTTTTGTTAGGAATTACAGCTCGTGTAGCGAAGATCGCCCCAGCGTGCGCCATAATGATTACGTCATACGAATACGGCAAAACCTACTTCCAACAACGCAATGAAAAGGCAATGTTGAGGACTTAGCATTGGGGCATATATCAAATGACTACATACCTATAACATATTTAGTACTTAGTATACCACAATTTATACAACATACAGTGGAATATTAATTATACAATAATATGAATCCATGTACAATGGAATCTTATAACTGGAAATAATTTTGAGGTGTGGTATATCATATAAAAATTTTAGTGTAGAATTTATGTGCTACATAAATTAAGGTACTTTATAAGAAAATTTTTATCGTTCCAACTCATAGGTTCATTTACTGCATACTTTAGTCACTCACTCACTAATATTGTATTTTTGGCTTTCCATTTTATTTCCCAATTTTCTTTTCTATGCACTTCACATCATTAAATAAATTTACCTAACAGCAAATGTGAAAATAACAATGTCAAGGATACTATAAACATAAGTTCATTTCAGCACCAAAGTGATGCCTATATGTCCATGTTTACAAATAGATATAATTCATATTTGTTAATAGCAATCAGTCATTCATCAAGCATATGATTGGCTGCTTGAACAAGGTCGTCAAAGTTTGGTTTTCTTGGCAATACAAATGGTGGGTGACAATCAAATTTTTTAAACAATTCAGAAGGTGCTCGACAAACAAATTCAATACAATCCATGGAACGTGGAGTGTCTTCATGAGGTCCTAGATAAAAACAACTCCATCATGTTAGACTGCCAATTTTTAACAATAAAAATCTTACATAATTTTAAAATACACACAAACCATACCTTGAATGAAGTACATTGGATCAAAATTAGATGGATTAGGAATAGTCGGTATCAACCACGTAAGTACACAACTTTTACAAGCATATTGGTCTTGAAGAAAACCTCTTGTTTGTGCATAGTATAATGACCCATCAATATCTTGTAATGAAACTACATCTCCACTTTGATAAAGAATTCCCTATTGAAGAATAATTCAAGTCTGAAATCTCCAAAGTGTGCTCTTCAAAATTCAGGGCAAAAAAGTTGTCTAAAAACCAAACTGAGACAAAATACTGTCATTATGATTGCCTTTTAAATATAAATTCCCAGAACTCATGTCTTGTTCTCACATTTACAAGAGACATATGCTTTGCTCTTTATAGTGTAAATCAAGTCATAAAGATTAAAGTACATGCAAGGAGTTTGGCATGAAGGTTCATTTCTAATGACCCTAACTTTAAGTTGGGAAAGCCAGTAATTAACTCATTTTTCCCCCTTTCCTTTTCCTCCTCATCCTTCTCCTTCTTAATCTTCTCCCTCTTCTTATTCTTCTTCTTATTCTTTATTCATCTTTCTTTGCTTCTCTTCCTCTTTTTTATTTGTACTTCTTTTCCTAATTTCACTCCTTGTATTCATTTTCCCTGCAACTTCTTGTTTGTTCTCTGTTGTCCAGTAAACCTTCAATATTTTGCTTTCTTTTCTTAACTGTTTCTACGTTTTTCCTCTCTTTTTTTCAACAGCACAAAATCATTTCGTGCTCATGCATTCTTGAGAAATTGGTGTAGAAAGGAGCAAACAGAGAAAAAGGCAAGTTCTAAGCCAAAGTCTTAATGGCATAGCTAAAAAATCTCAAAGCTTAAGACTTTGTCTATGCAGGCCATTATTCTGAGTGTCTACTAAAAGCTAGCTTGCAAAAATAAATAGTGCAAACTACACACTCATGGTTCTTTAATTGCCATGTAATCTAATCTTGAAAGCATGCTTTTGTTAGCTCTCAGAATCAAAAAGCAATGTAAATCTCTCACTTGACTTCATTACTAAGCTAAATTGGTTGAGCTACATTTGTTACAGTAAATGCAGATTTCAAGTAAACAGCGTTGAAATTAGTTATTTATTTTTGAAAGTGATATCTTCTTACATCCTGAATTATAACACAAACCTTATGAAATACACTGTCAGATGTTACGAAGGTTGCTTCAATATTAGGAGATTTTTGTGGCTAGAAGATCAGACAAGAATACAAATTGAAGTACACTCCAAGTTAAGGATAAATCAACGGAAGTTGACCCAATACCTTTTGCTTGACAATGGATCTTCTTCCACGATTTGCGCAGTTCTTGCCAGACCTATCGCTAGTTTTGCCACCGAGAATTTTCCCCTTTCCATATCTTCCTTTAGTAGAAATCCTACGACTGTCTATCTTTGATATTGATGAACGTTGAGTTCGCAAAAATGCGTTTACACGTTTCAAATGACAGCCATTGCAGAGAGTTTCTCCATTGCTTCCCTTTCTCCACATAAGAGATTTATAAATCTTACAAGCTGCACATTGATACTGCTCTCCATATGGCATTTTTATTATTTTGTTTGAATTTTGTACCGATTTACATGAAAAAAACTGAAAAAATTCTCAACATTTCGTATTAGGTCAGAGACTCTAATGCAAATCTTTGTACAAATCATACAAATTGAGCCAGATCAATATTACCAGCGGTAATCATAGTGTTTAAACGTTAACATGCAACAGCTCCCAGGATGGACTGATTGTGTAGGTTGTCAATCATCAACTCAAAGGGCGAGATGCTATGATTTTTCCCACCATGCTTCAAACAATGGTTTGAGTATCAGTAATCAAAAGTCAATGCTGTAATTTCCATCCTGCAAAGTAGTTTTATTGAAAGGCATATTTACTGTTAACTCATTAATTTTTCAAGCTCTTCGCAAACAGTCTGATGAGATAATGTATGTCAGTCTGTAATATTTTATTTCAACTACTGTATTTTTCAAATGATACATTTTAGGAAATATATCATTGCTGCAGAACAAAAAACTTAAAATTTCAAGATACTGTTTTCCTTTTCTCACAAGTTCCGTTCCAACTTTACAATCAAGGGCGCCATGAGATAAACTCCTGTCAACGTACCAAGCAAAATACTGACAAAAAGATAAAAAAATATTTTATCCATTGTTCGAGAAATATCTTTCCATTCTTGTTCGTAACCTTCAACTGCCTGTTTGTCAATCGTTGAGTAATCTGGATCTTCGTCATTCGTATCAACACGTGTAGTAGAGGAATCGTGTGCCTTTACACAACACAGAATCCGAAGTAATTTGGGTGGTTTTGTGTCATTATGGTGACATTTGAGGACAATGATTGTTGCAAGAAAACCGAAAGTTATCATTATCATCATTAAAACAGATGCAATAGCTAAGAGAGGGAGATTTTCGGATGATTCTGGTAAATGTTCACCAATCAACAACAAGAACACACTCATGGCTAACAGAGCTGTTGTACACAACCCAATTCTTTCACCACTATCGACGGGAATCTTGAAACTGAAAAGAACCAGTAAGGATATCAAAACGCTGGGGACAATAAGGTAAATGATAAAGTAGACCGGTTTACGTTCCAATTGTAAACGATACGTCAGTCTGGTGTATTTCTTTCCTGCGATGTCATGTTCCTGTGGTTTATCCAATTTTATTGACGGTACTTTCCAGTCGCCGCTGTCAAAATGGCTATCTGCAAAAAAGACACAAAATAAAAGTTTTCAATGGCAGAGCAACAAACCGTTGTGATGACAGTGAAGTTTTGAGTTTTTTTGAGATGGATGGGAATAATTTACGTGATTTAACCTGTGAAATGATCATGTTCTGCCAGTCGTTCTAAAATCATGTGATTTACAGTAAATGTCCATGATCCAAATGTCATTTCACAAAGTTGGGTATCAAAAGGAAATGTTGATACATCAAAATTGCAAGAACTTTTGAATGTTGCCGGTGCCATCCATGTATTTAATCCGTCGTAAGACAGCACGACCATTGTTTTGTATTTTGTTCTGGATCCAGCAAAATTACTTTCTGCACTAGGAAAACAAGTAAACATTAAACAGGGTGTATAAAAAAGATCTGAACAGTTTGGAAAACGTCGCTAAAGTCGTCAGCGCGTAAAATTTACAATAAACTTCGGTGGAAATAGATAGTTAGACTTCCAATGGTTAATCTGACAGTAAAATTTTTGCAAATAATAACCATTTTTAGAGGTAAAATAGTGTTGCCGAGAGGCACTTTTGAAATAGCTTGCGCACAAAATGACGTCGCTAAAAAGCAATAGGAACGCATTGTATCATCATTGTATATGAAAGAATTACATACGAATCTTACTTATTGATCAATGCTGTATCTGGAACCCACACGTCTTCTGGTTCCGCAAAAATGGATTTGATCCCACCATAATTCTTCGGATCCCAAGTCAAAAATGGATTTTTCCATTTCTGTAGCAAATAGCATAAAATTAATCTCGTGACATCAGAGATTAAACAAAATCTTGAAACGTCGAGTGAACGCAATAGTTGCAACGTATTGTATTCATTTGGACCAGGTTCAGATTACTCTTTTCAGGGGGGGACGTTTATTTGAGACGCAAGGCAAAGATGGAGGGAAATTTTAAATAACTTTCCTCAAATGGTTTGTATCGTTTGCTTTGTGAAGTCAAAATTCCACAACTAGTTACTACTACATATTAAATCGCAGATAGAGACGTGATTCATTTTGTAATTTTTTTGTAATTATGAGCCTGCAAGCACCAAACTGTTTCAAGAGCAACATAACACTTCTACAGGGTGCCCCCAAGATAGATTATGTGTACACTGAAATTATTATGCACAATAAAGTATGTAGCAAGTCACAATAGTTTAATCAAATAAATTTAACGAACTTGACAGTTCTGCGACTCTGGGATTTCGTAAGGTTTGTAAAGTATCAGTTAAATCAAAACAAGTTAGCTAAAATTACTGTCATACACTGATTTTTATCTCAAATTTGTTACGCAAAAGCTTCTTAAAATCAAAGCGTCAATGACTGAGTTATAACAGCCACAAAAACGTAATCATATTGCTCCTAAGCTGCAACAAACATGGACAAACTAGAGCCCTGTCTTTTTAGTTGGGCACGTATTGTTCTCTGCATTTTGCAATATGATCAAGGTGATTGGGTAAATATGGTCACGTGGGTGTCTATCCGCCATTTTTGTTCCAAAAGCGCAAATTACAACCATTTTTTACATTGGCGAAAATCATAAAAAAATGTTGACAATGATTTTATGTGACGTTACAATAGTACCAATCAAAGCGATGAAAAATATAAATCTATGCGCTCCCCTGTGACAAAAACAGTATAAAAGGGGTATAAATTACATCCACTGCATTAAATATACTTTTCTATCATTATGACATCTGTAAACAACTGAATTCCAAAGGAAGAAATCACTGTCTATTCATGAATAAGAAAACACAATAGAAAATTTGTCTTTCCATTATTTAATGCTCTAATTTGCTGGCTTTTGGAGCAAAAATGGCGGACGCTAGGCAATTTTATTTTCGGTCATCTCTTTCGTATGTAGGGCTCTGGGACAAACTAACATGTAACTAAATTACCAGGTGGAGCAAATAGCTGTGGGAGGGGGGGGGTTGTTTTTGGGATATCCTGTAAAACAAAAACACAAAAACCAAGCACAAAAAGTTGAAAAGTAAATATTTTTTAATTATTAACAAAATAATGTGTATTTACCTGTATTATCATCACATCGGTGACTAAAGTCATTTCTCTGGAATTCTGTAAATTTTAGCACACCATATTTATATGATTTTCTATAACTGTTTGAGTATGTTCAAATCAAAAATACCACTTACTACGTTAACCAATCTGACCAGTTTCATTTGAAATTTGACTGACACTGGTTTCGTGTTGTTCTCCACTGGTCGAACCGAGGAAAAGTTGTAATTGCCAAATAACGTTTTGACCAAACGAAATTCATCACTTTGATTCAGGAAAACCGCAGACACATCTTCCACTATTTTAATGAATGGAGCAGTTAAGAAAATAAACGGTTGCCATCTTGAAACTGATAATCTATTTTTAACATTAAATTTAATGGTTGTATCTTGAATTTATTTATTTGAGTGCTGATTTTAACATACAAAATTACATCATGCACATGATCAACAAAGCAATATACACTAGCAAGTATATAACAATAGTCACAATTTATGCTATAAATATAGGACCTCGAGGCTATTGCTATCCTTTGATAGAGAAATGAATATTTGCATCTGTCATTTTAGAATCACTTTAAAAACAGCCACAATATAAATCTTTAAATAGGCACGTATGAATGCAGCTGACTCAATATTTGAATTTTTAATAAAATCAGACTCGACAAAAGTCCTTTTAATGAGAAAAGAAAGCAAAAGAATTAATTTTTACTAAATGAAATGCTGGAAATGAAGCCGACTTTTGTCCAACCAAAGTTGTGTACAAGCAGTGAGGTTTCTAACCATCGCATTGAGGGCCACTGACATATTTTATATGTTGGAGGTTTTCATAACTTTATCTTTACTGTGCTATGAAATTGAGAGTTGGCCTTTTTGCTGCTCATAAGCGTTTTCTTGTATGTGTCTGTAATCTTATTTCGAAATTTTTAAGTGGCACAAATTATGTGGTTTCTTCTAGAGAAATTAATATCTGTGAAGCAAATTTTGTACCTTTATACCTGCAGCAGTTGTTTGGTAAGATAAATATGTTAGCTCAAAATAAAATAATTGATGTCAAAATGTAAACTTTCAACCTCCATAAATAATTATACCAAGAACAGTGAATATTACAACTTACCGAAATACAGCAAAACGACAGATATAAACGTCATGATAAGTTGTTTCCACGATGTCATCTTCTTTTCAATCGTTTGATATATAGTTTGTGAACAATTTGTACAGATCACACAGCTAGAATTCTTGCAGCAAGCAGCTTGGTGTAAATGGTAATGTGAAAAAAGCTCGCTACAGCTAAATGTTGTCTCCCTTCAATTATGCAGCTCATTAACCACACGATAACCGCAGCAGGGGTAAACACTATCTTTGAATAAGTAATTTCAGTGATGAAGTAAATGCGATCCTAATTTTTGCAGTATTAACAATATATATATGAGCATGCTACACCACCATTTTAGAAGAAGTGATTATAAAGTAAAAAATAAGAAAACCTGAAAATATTTAAATACAAAATGTGGCTTCAATGGAACTTTAATGAAGATCTGCAGGTTGTATCAAAATAAGTAGACAATTGGGGAAACGTCGCTAAGTTTGCAAAAACCTTCCGCGTGTGATAATCGGTGCTTCATAAGACAGTAAAATTGTCAAAATAATAAGTACTTTTAAGATAGGAATTGTGTTACCAAGAAGAACTTTTGTAATAAAGTGCGCAAGAAAATTACACATATCAACAAAGTATAATTACAACGTATGAAATAATTTTTTTAACCTTCATCACTGACTATGGGTGTTTGTATTTATTTCACTTTTCGTGAAATACGGAACGCAAAAAGGTCTTCGCTACATTCTGTGCTATAGCGGTGTATAAGACTGTCATTTTAACATTCAAAGCCTTGTCGCCTTATTTACAACAATGAAATTACGATAGCTGAACATACATCGAAGGTCGCGATGAAAGATAAACAACAAACAATCAATAAATAAACGCTCAAAAATTTTGTGTAATTTACGAAAAATCCTTGTACATTCTGTGCATTCACATGCTGTAAGTGATGCAAATATTTCCCCTTGGACAAAAACAAAATTAATGAAAATATGCATAATTTATAAAGGCTTTTAAAAATGACATTTAAAACCAAAAAACACATTTGGAAGCGCAGTGCGTACGCGTTTGCCATTGGCCAAAGATATTTTACAGCATGTTGCCATATGGGCTGAAGCAGTTAAAACTCGATGTGTTCCAATTGCTTTTTGTTTGTGTGTATTTTCCTACGCAAAAGTGCTACTTAGTAATTCACATCACTCGAAAATTTTCACTGTCAGATATGAACCAATGGAAGTCCAACTACCTACTTCAATTGAATGAGTTTTACAAAGACAACACAAGAATGAATTTAGCGATGTTTTCTCAACTGTTAAGTTTCTTTTATAGTTACAGCTTGTGTATGTAAAATTTGACAAAAAAATTTTGAATATTTTTATGCAGCTTCATTTGTTTAGCTACTCATCTATGTATGTTTAAACATGCTCAACACACAATAAACAGCTTGACGTCATTTATATGGAAAAAAGTCATTATAGGTTAAATTATCTCTACGTTGATGAAATCGAGAATGAAATCTTGATCAATCTGTATGATCTTTACAACATTTAGAAGGCTACTTCTTTTATAGAATAAAAGCAGTAGCCTTTATTCTAATATAAACACATGACAATAGATACTCCTTAAATACTACACATTTTATTCTAAAATTCTATATTTATTTAATTATATAATTTCTATAATTTCAATGATAATTTTTTCGATTGTGTGTAGTCAAATAGTGACGAGACAACAATTAGAATACAAACCAATCATGTTGCTGAACATGTTACTATCGTTTGTTCGTCATTCGTATTTTGTTAAACATTTATAGCTAGAATATACACGTTTTCTAATTTTTTTTAAATTGTATTATGTATTATGTTGCACGTACATTATCTATATTAAGTTGAGGCATGGTTGATTTATCGAAATACTATTTCGACGACACAAAATCTTTACAGAATCAAAAATTATTGTTCTATGTTCAACTAACTCAATTTCTCCAAATTTAACTAGTCTTGTTTAGTTGATTTCTCGTGAGAAGGTGAACTTTCATAAACATAGCTACGGTAACGAAATCGATCGGGAAGCACGTAAAGTGCTAAAACGTCCACTATTGTCGCTGTCAAAGTTAACAAACCCAAGCCAGATACAAGCTTAATAACCAGACATGAAAAAGAAAACTTCCCTACGAAAATTGAGATATGATATACGTTGTTGAAGACTGTTTTTAAAACACTTTTGTAGTGATGAAAACAATGTTCTGTAAATAAACACTATGGTATTGAACACTAAAAAAGCAAATCGGTTCATACAGAATGCGATTCAAAGTATTAAAGTAAACACAAATAGTGGTATATCAATGATACAATAACTTATTCACACACATACCTAACATTCCAGCTTGGATGAACTCAATTTTTATGCCATAACGTTTGCGAAGAATTCTAGACTTTGCTTCTGAGCTATTCATTCCTTGAACAATAGGTGTAAGTTCATTTACACGATAATCAGCAAAAGGTATGCGTGACACGTGATAACCATATTGAATTGCCCTGAGCGAAAACATTAAAAATCGTCGCAAAGAATCATAAAAATACAACGAAACTATAATTCCAAACCTGCCTGCCTTGTTCTAAGCTGGCTTACCCAGTTCCAAACTTGTTTACCCTGTTACGTACAAACAAGGTTACCTGATATAAACTGGATAAACACGTTCAAAAAAGTTTACCCAATTCCAAACTAGTTTACCATGTTCCAAACAAAGTTAACCTGTTATAAACTAGCTTAACCTGTTCCAAACAAGCTTAACGTATTGTAAACTGACTCACCCTGTTCCAAACCAAGTGTCATAGGTATTGGTATATTTAATGGCAACATGTAGGACCAAACCATGACGACGGTATGTTTTACCATTGGCATTTAATGCATCAGACACCTGCTCAAGACTGTTCACCCCTCCAGCAGAAAATAATTCACTAATTGTTAATTTATCTGCTCCATCATTCATCCTAACCAATGAAATCAGTAAATATCATGTGAATTATTATGTGAAACTGCGTGATTTGAATAAAAAAACATAATGTGTTCTGCTCATGTCATGGCACAATCTTTTTTTGTCTGAAACACATATTTACCACTTAAAATGAAACTAAAACAACAATCCAGAATCTTCATAGCAACATACTCACGAATTCGTGATCCATTAGCATCATACAACCAGCCCTTCATACTCCTCTGTGATCCAGCAATCTTTAAATCATGATTACCATGAAATTTTGTAGCAATAATTGTGTGCTCGACTTTCACAACATATTCTTCTGGTTTTAATGTATAAAACTTGTCTTCTCTAAATGTAAACTATAAACATGTAAATATATTATAACATAACACATTTAACCATTTCAGTAATGATGAAAAAGAATTCTTGTTGTTGCAACTTTGTAAAGTTCTTCATTTTTGGAAGTTGGTTAGTTGAGAACCTTTAGTTTTATCAAATACATTGTACATAGTTCATAATGAAAACAACATGAAAATGAAGCTGTACAAATTAACTTGTATTTTCAGGAACTGAAGAACCTTTTTTGATTCACAAGATGTTGGTGGCAAGAAGGGGTCTGCAGACAAATTTAAAAAATTCAAAATGGTGGCAAATTACAGGAAAGAGGGGAGGGTATAGCCCCTTCAACTCCTCTGTCCCTGATTTTAATATCATGTACTTACAAAATAACTTGGAAAAGTGGCTAATGCACTCATATCTGATCGTGAGATATCATGGTTTTTGATTGAATATGATTGAATGAGTGAAACATTTAACGATTTGTCAATCATAATGTGTGTATCACCTCAGTGTCAGAAATTCTTCAGGGCGAATTGATGATTGTTGGTTACTTTGCCATCTTTCCTTGCAAAATGTCATTACACTTAAAGTTCGAGATTGTATAGGCCATGATAACTCTTGTGCATCCAGATAACGACATTGCATAGTACAGTTATCAATTAATGCTAAAAAAGTTTGATTTATAGCTGATAATTTTAAATAAAGACCACAACATGGCTTTTGCTAATGCTCATTTAAAAATAATTATAAGCCTTTTAATTCATTTCAAAACATACTTACATCCTTTGATACAACATTTGGATAGTGGTTCATAGTTAAAGGCATCTATCTTGGGATCAGAAAGCATAATTCTCAAAGATCCAATTGGATATGAATCAAACTGATGAGAGAATAGAAAAGATTTGTCTTTAGTTACTACTGCATGAGATCAACAATCTGTGAGGGAAGCATAAACCATAACAAACCAATGAAAGTATGAAATCATTGTAAAGAATGACCATTTCAAAACAAAACTAGCTTGTAACAATTATTCCTTGTAGTGTCACAATTATTTTGGCAATTCTAATTTCATTTTGTTTTTCAAGCAAAATTAATTACCTCCAAATAACCTTTATTAATAAATATTTCCGCCATTGTTAAGGAAATAATAATTATTGCCGTTATATAATAACCGATTCCAAGTCTTGAATCTCTGATTGTGACATACTTGTACGTTGCATAGTGAAAGACAGACATGTTAATCTGTGCTGAATGTCGAACGTACAATGTTCACACAACAGCAGGCAAAATGAACAATGATGATTAGCTCTTGGCTCTTGATGACTAGCATCAACCTTCGACGACTATGGGCCTGTTTTCACGAACCCTAGAAAACAACTTGTCCTCTACTTGTCCCGGGCCCCGGGTTATGTGTTAACTCGGGGCCCGGTACATAATTTGGGATAATTTTGTCATGGATATTCGAATGTATGGCGAGAAACAGAAAATTTTGCGCGAACTAGGATTATGTATTCCAAAGAAGTGAATATTTTTGCACTATACTAAGTAAATATCAGCGTTACAATCGCTTTTCAGCATTTAAACATAAGTCTTCTACTACTGGATCACAGATGGCGTCAAAATGAAGAATTAGCTCTTTCTATGACTCTTGATGCTAACCATTTGTTGCAAACAGTTTCACGAACTTCAAGAAAGAATTACACAAGAAAAAGACACTGAAGTTAGAGACGCTCTTCAACCTGAAAAAAAGTAGCAATGACACTCTATTATGTCAAGTCTCAAGGTATGATGGGCCGGCAATGTGTTTGATATAGGCAAGTCAACTCTAAAGTATGTGGTTAGAGACGTGTGCAATTCAATAAACAAAAGAATGAGACCAAACTACCTTAGGCTGCCTAAAAGTGAAATAGAAAAAAATTCAGAGAAGTGAAAATCTAAGAAAATAGTATACTTCATCGAGGCCATGAATGAACAAAAGGAAACAATTGATTATCAAACAAACTCACAAGTTATGGACCTTATAGACAAGATTTTTGTTTTCAAATTTGAGTTGTTTTTTTTACAGCAAACTATAAAAGCAAAGGATACTGCTGAGCTTCAAACAACTTCTGCCTTTTTACTTAAACTTTAAACCAACTCTAAGCATGTTTATACGTTTTCTATATTTTACGTTTTATAATATAACTTTCTCATAACTCTCTTGTGATGAACGAGAGCATCCTTATACAATATAACTCTCTCATCATGAACAAAAGCATCCGAGGGCTTCATGGAAAAGAGGGATTATCTACTTTTTTATAATAGTTTCTGTAAAGATAACATTCAATAAGCCAAGCAATTTGTATCGTCTAAATTGAACCTCGCTTTCAACCCTTATAAGAAGGTTACCTGGAAGCATGGACCGAAAACGGGGTCTTTTGCTTTCGAATTTTATCTTTTTGTTTCAATTCTCATAAAATAAACCAAGCAATGTTTAATTCCCACTGTGTTTGAGTTTTGAGCAACGGAATGGAGTTTATCGATCGTATAAACGAGCATGAATGAAAGGCATCGATAAGCAAAAAAGAACAGCGACAATACTTTGCAATGCTTATCATAAAACTCCTACTTCCTAGTATAAATTAAGCTACTGAATTCTTTGAATGGATTCCTTTTCTTTTATAGACGCAAAAATTTCAAAATGATTTCGCGACTAAAAACGTATCAAGAACGAAGTATTCAGCGATTCTCAGAAGTTGACCATTATACAGGTACCAACTAGTCACCAGGTTAAAGTTATAATATTCTTAATTTGATATGTCCAACGGTTGAATCGTGAGGCTGAAGGTGGATTGTAGACTTACACAGTCAACAATAAGCATTTACTGCATAGTTTCATTGTTCAATACTGTTAATTCTCTATTTTCACTACAAAGCATATATATAATTTATTCATATTTATTGTATGAACGGTGAAAACTTAGAACTATCTAACTTTCGAGGTTTACCATTTTTTACATCCCAAGATAGTTCTTTGTTTGGCGACTAAAAGAAGGTCAAAATTATTGAAACTCGTCAAAAGATAATCTTAGAGCAATAAAAATGTAACTTTATATTGTTTTCGGGCAACAAAAGCTAAGTTAAAAGGATGCTGACCTGACTGCAGTCAATGGACGATTGACAATGTTTGTAGTTCTGAGTGGATTGACAATATTCAACGCAGTTTTTTCCCAAAATTGTTGGACTTGGCTCGCTATATCTAAAAATAATAAATTTTTACGATGAAAGTTGGATACGATTTACAAGATTTACATTGTACACCAAAGGAAAGGAAGACTTTCAGACGACATAAAAATCTGAAATGACGCGGAATACCTGTGTGTACGAACTTTTTGGACTTCTTCCTCGTTCAATGCAATTTTATCAAAAGTAAAATAGTTCTCAATTTCATCAGTAGTTTTTTTATTAGTCCGAAATGTTTTTTGAGCAAATTTATCGTTTTGAATAACTTGCTTTTCGTGTAAGATCTCTTCGCTCTCTACTTTTACAAAACGCTTCTCCCAAGCCAGTTCATCTTCGGACAAACTCTAAATTAGCAATATACAAATCTGTTAACAACGACAAAGATAAAATCATGTTGAAATTGGGAAAATGCTATGGAAAAACTGAATAAAAACTGGTGATTGAAAGATAGAGCAAAGTTTAAAAACCACTTTTGCCTTTTGATATGTACTTTGAATCAACCAAAAAATGTTTCATACAAGTTTATTTCATTTCTCCATTATTTCACATTTAATTTTGATGCATATAACATTAAACAAGCACCATTGATTTCATGGTAAATAAAAACTTTTTTTAATAAAACCAATCACAAGCTATAGTCTAAATAACCAGTTGTTGTCTTAATATGAATAGTTTACATGTAAGCAATTTTCATTTTATCCACAGTGTATTGTGTTTACACGTAATCAACTTCATAGCTCGTTTACTCGCAAATTATTAATGAACTCGTCTGAGTATGTATGGTCATAGCACCGAACTTGAAGTAAATAACATAAAAAAACTGGAACAGTAGTGAATTATTAGAAAATTAACTGCGCTTGCGCGATTTTCTGAGGCATGCGCAGTAAGCATGAGTACAGAGGAAACCAATCATTATACCTCATTAAATGAACGATGGTTTAGGCAATCAACTGTTGCAGGGCCATAAATATGAATTGCTTCGATTGATTGAGAACCCCTCTGCAAATAAACAAATAATCGTTAGAGAGTATGGAATATTATGATCTTCTACAAAAACGATAAAATCAATTAACGGAGTCATAATACATAGACTACTTGCATTTGTGTTTATATAATTTGTATTTGTCTGTAAAAAGATAAAATGCGTTTACCATATTTTTTTCTTTGTTTTTATCGTTTTCATTTCGGGAAGAACTACACAATTCTGGCCTTGACGGGAAATTAATAATTTGTTCCCATTTGCAAGTATCGACTTTCCCAATTGTCTTTCCACTCAAATAATCGTCGTCATATTTCAGCACGCTTTCATTTAAAAAGATAACTTTGGGCTCTTCTCTTGTACGAGAATGAATGGTTTCATCTGAGATCTTTTAAATATAAAATATTGATGATGTATTATTGTGTTAATATATCGCACATTTATAAATATATTATCGTGTGATGATCATTATAATGTATGTTAATTAAGGCTGGAACAATTTCATCATGAAGTTAGCGATGGTTACAAATCTTTGTTAAGAAACAATTATTTTCAAAATATTGGCGTATACTTACACTAATTTTCCCCTTCAAGTAACTTGGTCGTAAAAGTCTTTCTTTAGCTACATTCTCAGAAGTCGGTGTTTCGACTTTTTTTAATGATTCGTTGTTTTTAACCATTGACTTATTTTAGACAATTCCTAGAGCACAATAACGTTTACAAGTAGTTCATTCCTGATTTTATCTTACTCAACGTTTATGATAAATAAGAATAAGACATTGTAAGTTATTTTTAAAAATACAAAGATATCTTACTTCCCAAGGGCAACTCTGAACTGATTCAACTCCTAACATTTTTATAGTTTGTTCATCAGCTGACATATTCTCGTTGTGTTTACGACAAATATTCTTGTTGTTTGTTTTCTGAAACGTGGAATGTCAATGAAGTTTATCAATTATAACGTAAACTTCTTATTATAAATATTAAAGCCCAGAAAAGTGCTTTTAAAAGAGCCATTCAATACAAAAATAATGTATTAAAAAGAAATATTTATTCAATAGCGTGACGTTTCGTCATTGAATAAATATTTCTTTTTTATACATTATTTTTGTATTGAATGGCTCTTTTAAAAGCACTTTGCTGGGCTTTAACATTTATAATAAGAATTCGCTTCCCGCCTGGTATATCCCTGGTCACTATAACGTACAACTAGGCTTTTGCAAAAGCTTGACAGTTCTTTACTTAATACTATTTACAAGTCACTATCAACACATACCTCGAGTGATGTAATGGAAAAATTTGTTTCTGAACCATTTTCCAATCTAAAAGAGGAAATCTTTCAAGAAAACCATTCCATGGCATATTTTCGTAGATTTCAAACTTACTGTGATTTTCTGTCAAACATTATGACATGATTTTCTTGCTCATTGGTAAAATTCAGTAATTTTGTTTTCTCCAAACGTTTAGGTAACAAATGTTTTTTTTCCCATCTCTCTTCTTCCTCACTTAAATGCTAAAATTACATCAAAAGCAACCTTTTAATGTTAATGAAAACATTATAAATAAGGACATATTTATGGAGATCACATTGAACAATGTCTACAAATCATTTAAATTTCTGCTCATGTATTCAACGACTTTTTCATTTTTAACAACATTTATTGAAGAATTGCAGTTACTCTTTCATGTTTTTTGTTCTCTTCTTCATTGCTCTGCAGGACTTCATGGTCAGCATCTTTAATCTTAATTGCATTTACTTCGTGTTGTGACAACATTGTTTGGCTTCGATTTAATGACTGGCGTCTCGTTTGACTTTTCAGGTCGTTTCTGCTTTGCGTGGGAGTGGAGGTGGATTTTGTAAACTGATCAAAGCGATCTGGTTCCAAACGTTTTGGCAAAATAACTTCTTGTGCCTTTGGCTCATCGTCCTAAAATTTTAAACACAAACGTCATGACATTCTTGTTTGAATGGTGAGGTCAACGAATCAACGATAAGCGACAATCAGCTGTTATTGATATATATTTTTTCGATATTTCATCGTCACAAATTGAGTCGCATCATTTATCATAAAAAGGCGAATTTCGACAAATTTCTTTGGCAAAATTAATTTTCAATAGACACAAAATGTCAATTTTTATAAAACCGTGATTAAATTAATAATTGCAAACACTGGATGAAATCAATTTTTTCTGATATTGTATCAACATCATCTTACGACCATTAAGTTAAACTAATTAAAGCAGTCACAACTATTAAGCTTGCTGTAATTGTTTGAACAAGGTCGCTCAAGTGAAAAAAATACTTCTTACAATTCACAAAATAGAAATCACAGTGCGATATTGTCGAATTGCTATACTTACAAACTTTGTCAGGTAATGTGGGAAATAGATTCGATAGCATATCAAGGTATTTTTGATATGAATAAGAATGCAAACCATATGAGACCAAAAAAATTGGCGTGAGCCATCTTGAGTCAACTTCAATAACACTGCCGTATAAACATTATGTCAATATCTCTCTTTCTAGCAGGAATTGTTAATTGGACATTTAAGGCTTCTTCTTAGCGGTATCTACCTTGTACAGCACATTTATTAACGAGAGAAAGTTTTGTTTTATAACAAAATAAAATAAAATACAGACTATAAACAATTTCCCACAGATACACTTCATATTACAAATATTTACATGTCCTAAGTGAAAAGTTTAAAACAAACCATCAAAAGTGTAGATAACTAAAGAAAATGATCAAACCTGCATAGTCTTTAAAGACTGCTTCCATGTATGTTTATACATATTTCTGAAAATTATACGCAGAAACGCAAAATTGTTGAAATGAGCAACGTTTACTATAACATTTGTTCCATGATCAAAAATTAAATTGAAATAGTAATCCCCAATCACTTCTTATACATGCAATACATCATAACGTTGGCATCATGTATGAAAGAGGTTGCCATGGTTATGGAGCACTATGACGTTAAGGTTATGCTTATTAAGCTCATGGTAAATATGGTTCAAACTCAGTGATATGCATTGTGACATGCACACTGGAGTATTGTGAAGAAATTATGACAAACACAAAGATCTTTAGACATATGACGGAGAACTCAACTTCAGTATGTTAAATGTATAAGGATCAATTTGTAAAGGTTTCTTCAACAAATTTGCCTCTTCATGAACTTAGAAATTAGCGCCATTATGTGGATACAAGAGAACAATAGCTTCAGTATTTATGTTGTACATTGAACTAATACAACTAAATGCTTTATTTACTCATGGATGCTTGTGGTTGAATGAATAACTTAAAGACCTTCTTAACTCAGCTTCATTGCGTTCAAACTTGATATCCTCAGGAATTTCTTTTTACGGAAAACATTATGTGTAAAATATGTTTGACATAAAATTTATCGGCCACGAATGACAAATATTGTACAATTGCACACAAGGGATTTTGTTTATTCAAATTATAGGCGAAAACTGTTGTATTGCAGGCTCATACGAATGATACAATCCCTTAAGATCAGTACTTTTGACAGATTCGAAAACAGTGTGTTTCATGATATATACATGCTTATAAAAAGACCTTCTCCTTCGGGAATGAGCCTTAAATAGTGCCGTGCGTTTGCAATCAGCTCAGATGCTTCAAAGCCTATATTTTATACAATGAACTTACTTTTTCAAAAAATTTAATTGCGTCACTTTGCCATATGAAGTTAACTATCATAAGTGCCCAGCTCTTTTATTTAAATACATATATTTGATGGCAATTTGTATTTAGTGGTTTGAAAGAAATGGTGGATAAATCTTTTTATCTGGTCATTTTTTTACTTTATCATCGCATTCTTCTAATCATACTCCATTGATTATATTTTGGCAATCGTAAAATTGTATATCATTGTTTTCACAAACCTTTTCATGTTTATAGACTAGTATTGGATCAGTAGCTTCTGAAACGCGTTGCTTTTCATAAACTTTAAGTAGTTTTTTTGTCACACTTCTAATCAAACCTTCCTTATCTTCTTCATCTTCGAATATAGCTTCTGCAACTTCAATGATTTTGAAATGCTTCGTTAAATTCCTTTTTATTTTCCACTGTTCGCCTTTCGTAGAAAGGTCATAGCTTCGTTTTAGTTGATCAATACGGTCTTCGCTTTCATCGATAATTGCCTCTTGCAAGTCCAATTTTTTATTGAAAAGATGGAAGGCTTCTTTCACGATACGGTTCTGGTTTGCTTGAATGGCGTTTGCCCTTTTTTCAGCCTCAGTGAGTATTTCTTCAGCTCTTAATTCCTCATAGTTTCGCACACTTGTTTCTATCAAGAAATACAAAGAAACTACTATGACATAAGTGGAAGTACGAGTTGATTGTTTCATTGAGTACATTTTCATTTCAAAAAACTTTGAAATCATTTCCATTGGTATGATAAATTCTTTACATATTTCGAAAGCAATAGTTCATTTTTATGAACTATTCATAAATTTGTCTGAGGCCGAGTTTGTAGTAGGTAACACGTGTTTCATCGAGTAAATAAAATACTTGGAAACAAGAACTTAATTGTAATTTGTTTTTAGTATAATGAAACATCTTATTAATAATAAAAACTCACAACCAGAGAAGTAGCTAGCTATGTAAATTTATCGACACAAGCATTATCCACTTCTTTAGAATGAAATGACTTTTACAAGTGAATTTCTAAATACATACATGGCATGAGTAAACTTTCGGGCAGACTACGTCACAGCTTACAACAGCACAGATAAATAAACAGCAAAGAGAAAATCAGTTTTGCAGTAAATTTCATGCAAATGTGTTTCGTTCAAAGACTAAAAAAGTTCCAATATAAAAAGTGACATTCCATAAAGTGGAAAGAAATTTTATTAGTTTTAATGAAAACTGTGTCGTATATAAGCCGTACATACATATATTTACAAAATTGCCCGTCAAACAAAAGTTTCAATAAAACTGATTGCAGAAACAGTTTGAATAAAACCGAATACAGAAAAACATTTTCATTGATCCTCTTTAGATGAAATGACATTTATGATTGATCAATTTACTAAATATGTTTGGGAAAATTGCTTCATTATGGAAAATTCTACATCATACCTGGTACATAGGTATAAGTTCTCATCGACACGGCAATATTATTCAATTCGTAAGTGTTCCATTGCCTTAGCAGCACGTGAAAGCAAGACAAACACACAATTGCTCTTCCCATATAGTCTAATTTACCCACGGATGAATCAAGATAGGCTAACTGAGGAAAATATGGCCCTCGTCTGAGTTTTCGTCGCGTTTCAACAAATTTTTCTGCCAAATAAATTGCGTTGTTACAAAAAGCACAAATTTTCCTACGTTGTCCAACCACACCATTTACTTTGATAAATAACTTGGCTGGTTGCGATGACACAAACATTATTTTCTTAAATTCTTCACTCAAACACGCATAGGTACCTCTTCTTTAGATTATGACTTGATTTGATTCAAGAGTATTATTTGTAAAGAGTAATACATCGTTACAAGTTTATGGTCAATATCAACTAATCACTCATGATCGAATAAAACGACCACCAACTATCAAATTAACATTGAAATACGTAATGCTGTAATTTTAAGGTTAAGCCAATTCCTACATGTCTTGTTTAAGTAGTCATGCAAACGAAACATCTTTCGTCTCATAAATTGGCAATGAAAGTCTTGCATATACAGTGTATGAGATGAATGATAACCTAAACATACTGTAAAAATTTGTACATCATCTTAACTCAAATACTCTATATTTATCATTAGTGTCATAGTTGAATACGTTTATTGTTATTAATTTGTAACAGCACCAGTCATAAACCTTTGTAAAGTAAAATTAACAGCGAAACATTTCTAGCTACTTTACATGTTAATTTGAAAATTTTGTAATTGACAAAAAACAACACTTCATCTAATAAGGCTTTGTTTAGTTTGTCAATTGTGTCAGTTATTCTTCAGTAGACGACAGTATAAATAATTCTTTCACGACTCTTATTTTATCAACTCAATAAAAATACGTACCGTCACACCACTGATTTATCAAGAAAACGATATTCACAGTATTGTAAAGACCGTAAGTCTTTTACGAGATTATATGAAAATTTTTTTTGCGAAAAATTTTGGCTTTGGTAAAGAATTTCCTTCCTTCCTTGATTTCGCTTATGCTTTATAAAAACACGTTGCATGGTTTTAAAGTTATTTAATATTTTATACCTAGTAAAGATAAGACTGCATGACTAGTTATAAGGAATACGTTCAATCTTCAATATAAATACCTTGAATTCAATTTGTCAAAATTGTCTACATTTTAAAATGAACAACAAGCTATATGATGATCATATACAAAATAAAAGTTTATAGCATGATCCCGATAAAATTTAAAAATAATATATTTTTTAACGAAGCTAAGCAAGATTTCACAAAAAGTGAATCCAAAAAATCTGAAAAGGCAATATCTAAATCAATCAGTCATGTGCTGGCGTTTAACAGATTCCTTCTACCTTGTCTTCCAATATAATTTTCTAAGCCGCCAGTTAATTACTTCGGAAATGCTCACATATAGTGTACTAAAATATTGAGATAGCAATATGTAATTAACATTGAAAGAATAATGGTTAAGTATAATGCTGTTTCCCAGTAACGGCAACAATTTTTGAAATACTAGAAGCTATTTTGTGCAATCTATGTATTTAATATTGATTTTAATGTGATGTTTGAAGCATTATAGGATGTTGAAAATACATAAATGCAAGAAAATCTTTAAACATAGATATTACAATTTTATACATAAAAATTGATGAAATGTAAGAAAGATAGCACAGGAAATATCACAAAGACCAATATGTTGATATGAAAAGCCATTTAAAAAAGACGATATTGTACATAGTTTATAATCAACAATTTCCGATTCATTTAACAGTTGAAAGTATTTCTTTTGTCTTCTATAAGACCCTCTTCAGTAAATTTCATCACACACAGCACGTCAACATTCATTTTGATGTTAACATTGGGTTCATGAGTACCACAACTATAGAAGACAACTTTCTATTGATAACATAAAACAGTAAGGTAAGCGACTCGAGAAAATTGTGTGCATTTTAGCTAAAAGACAAAACCAAGTTCATCCATGAAATGTCAGAGACAAGAAAAGAGTTATTAGAAGAAAAAAGGAATATACGAAAAGCCAATTTCGCAGTTACAGGTTTGGATTTGAAATGCATGCATGGAAATTAACTATAAAATGAAATAACATTGACTATAATAAGAATGTAAAAGAAAATCGATTCTCGAACTTTGATTATAGTTTTGGACTTTTAATTGAAAGCATGGTGAACCCATATACGGTCGAAAATCAATTTTCAAAGTACATGCATATAACAGTTTATACATTACATTTAAGTAAGATAACTCCATACAGTCTTACACCTTTATTTTGCTTATTCCTATAAATGATCAGACATGAAAGGTAAGAGATTTATGGCAAAACTAAAGAAAATAAGCTGGGTAATTTTTACAGAAAGCAACAGAAGTTGAATCTATTGTGGCTGAAAATGTTCCGGAAGAAGATAAACCAAAACGCGAAGCTATGAAGAAAAGTCGACAAAGAGCAAAGAGCATGGATGTAAGACTGTCATACGATAAGCTACCAGTGTCTGATGAAAATATTAAAGTTGGAAAATTAGACATCACACATTTAGAAGAAACAATTGAAAAATCTCACGTAATTCCAGAAACAATTAAGCCATCCAATGAGAAGATAGAGACAGTAACCAAGGTAACGATATTATTATTTGGATTTCACACAACTAAAATCAATATTTTGAAACTGTCCCGATCAATTAATGTATTTAACAAAAAAGACTAAAACCCCTCTCGTTCATTTTAGTTTATAAAAAAATGGAAATCTATGGAAATACTCGATCATCCACAAACAGTGACTGACACTCATTCAAGCACTGAGCGCAAAGAAAAGAGAGGAATATCTAACTACGAACCAGAACACAAGCCTGTCAAGTCAGAATCTGGATTTGAAAATTTAGATTATCCACAACCAAAAAATGCTAAAGACGTCAAAGAGGTAAAAGAACTATGCTTATTATGTGTAAATTTTAGAACTAATTGCAATACTTAATTAACATACAAGATCTGGGTCTAACCATAAATCAACATACCCAATATGTCAATTCCAGTCAGCTTTTATATTTTCAAACATAGATGACAAACCAACACAAACCTGAAAAAGAAACCATTGAAATAGACTTACTTTAATATCCTCATGTGAAATAATCGAAAAATTAAATCCTGAAAAAATAACAATTAGACATGCAATCGTGTTGACAAAACAGAAGCGATCAAAACAATGAAAGACGTTAACAATCCCCAGTTACATTTAAATTCTTACGAACATTAGAAGATCAATTAGAAGATTACAAGAAAATTAGAAGTCAATGATAATATGATAAAAAATTTAATAGAAAATAAAGAAATGATGTAAGAAAACATGTTCAACCTGAACCGAAAATTAAGTTTTACTACAGCAGTTTTACTGCAGCAGTTTTGATTAGCTATACTTTTTCAAAAGCAATTTTAAGTAAGTTTTACTTTTATGACTTTCACAAAACAAATTATAACAACTCCAATAAAATGATCAAAAATGAAACTAAGCTCATACTAAATTGAATGAATTGCTGCTCATCAAAACGAGAGGAGGTTTATCACGTGCTCTCTCACTTTTGCACCACGTACCGCTTAACTTTAGGCAAGTGCTGCTTAATTTAAATCAGTTGCTGAATAAAAATATGTGTTGGTTGGTTTCGAATTTTATCACTAAAGCATATTTTAACATCAATTTCTAATTATTTAATCAACGAATCCCTAAAATGGATAAAACATTTCAAGTCAATAGTCCATCAAAATAGTTAACCAGAGCAATTTATTTCATCTTTTACAGAGTGCACTTAAAATGGGAATTAATACGACAGATATTCAAAGTCATTTTGAGGGAGAAGAATTGTACAAATTTGTGGAGAGGAAAACTATCTTTTATGATGGACATGATACTAAAGATAAAGTAGAGCATAGTTATCGTCTTCAAGGAGAAGAATTTGATAAAGCTTACACTTTCTACAAAAAGCCTCAAACAGATCATACTGAAGTTTTGCGGAAACCAACAAAAGTTGATAAAGTCACTGTCGACATGAAAGATATTGAGCAATTTCAAGAGACAGAAGAACAAAAATATCCTAAAGCCCATGATGTTGGACGTATTTTGATTGATGAAACACCAGAAGATAAAACACAACAAACGAAGATTGATCACAGCAAATGGGATGCGTTGAAACCTAGCTTTGATACAAGTGGACGTACCTATAGTGTTACAAAGCATACAACAACAAAAGATAAAATCATGAAAGTTGGTTCTCTTGACGTGATTGGTTTGGAGAAAACCTACAAGCAATATGAAGAGCCACAAACAACAAAGGTATATAAAGGAGTTTTCTAACAATTTTACTTTAGATAAATTCTTAATTTTATCATCACTTATATTAAACGTCTTCAAAATTTCTCATCAACTATTCATTTACATATCATAGCCAAAAGACAAGTTGGAAGAAACTTTCACAGATGTAGTAGCTGAAGAGAAAAAAGATTTTCGAGTAGACAAATATCGAAAACCGAAACATGAAGAAGCAAAATCTTTCACAGATGGTATTGTCGAGAGGAATTCTATCCTTTATGATGGAGTTCATACTAAAGATAAAGTAGAGCAAAGATATCGTCTTCAAGGAGAAGAATTTGATAAAGCTTACACTTTCTACGAAAAGCCTCAAACAGATCATACTGAAGTTTTGCGGAAACCAACAAAAGTTGATAAAGTCACTGTCGACATGAAAGATATTGAACAATTTGAAGAGACAGAAGAACAAAATATCCTAAACCATGATCTTGGACGTATTTTGATTGATGAAACACCAGAAGATAAAACACAACAAACGAAGATTGATCACAGCAAATGGGAAGCGTTGAAACCTAGCTTTGATACAAGTGAACGTACCTATAGTGTTACAAAGCATACAACAACAAAAGATAAAATCATGAAAGTTGGTACTCTTGACGTGATTGGTTTGGAGAAAACCTACAATCAATATGAAGAGCCACAAACAACAAAGGTATATAAAGGAAATTTCTAACAATTTTACATTAGATAAATTCTTAATTTTAACATCACTAATATTAAACGTCTTCAAAATTTCTCATCAAGTATTCATTTACATATCATAGCCAAAAGACAAGTTGGAAGAAACTTTCACAGATGTTGTAAATAAAGAGAAAAAAGATTTTCGAGTAGACAAATATCGACAGCCGACACATGAAGAATCAAGAACTTTCACAGATGGTATTGTCGAGAGGAAATCTATCCTTTATGATGGAGTTCATACTAAAGATAAAGTAGAGCATAGATATCGTCTTCAAGGAGAAGAATTTGATAAAGCTTACACTTTCTACGAAAAGCCTCAAACAGATCATACTGAAGTTTTGCGGAAACCAACAAAATTTGATAAAGTCACTGTCGACATGAAAGATATTAAACAATTTGAAGAGACAGAAGAACAAAAATATCCTAACGCCCATGATGTTGGACGTATTTTGATTGATGAAACACCAGAAGATAAAACACAACAAACGAAGATTGATCACAGCAAATGGGAAGCGTTGAAACCTAGCTTTGATACAAGTGAACGTACCTATAGTGTTACAAAGCATACAACAACAAAAGATAAAATCATGAAAGTTGGTAGTCTTGACGTGATTGGTTTAGAGAAAACCTACAAGCAATATGAAGAGCCACAAACAACAAAGGTATATAAAGGAGTTTTCTAATAATTTTACATTAGATAAATTCTTAATTTTAACATCACTTATATTAAACGTCTTCAAAATTTCTCATCAAGTATTCATTTACATATCATAGCCAAAAGACAAGTTGGAAGAAACTTTCACAGATGTTGTAACTGAAGAGAAAAAAGATTTTCGAGTAGACAAATATCGACAGCCGACACATGAAGAAGCAAGAACTTTCACAGATGGTATTGTCGAGAGGAATTCTATCCTTTATGATGGAGTTGATACTAAAGATAAAGTAGAGCATAGATATCGTCTTCAAGGAGAAGAATTTGATAAAGCTTACACTTTCTACGAAAAGCCTCAAACAGATCATACTGAAGTTTTGCGGAAACCAACAAAAGTTGATAAAGTCACTGTCGACATGAAAGATATTGAACAATTTGAAGAGACAGAAGAACAAAAATATCCTAAAGCCCATGATGTTGGACGTATTTTGATTGATGAAACACCAGAAGATAAAACACAACAAACGAAGATTGATCACAGCAAATGGGAAGCGTTGAAACCTGGCTTTGATACAAGTGAACGTACCTATAGTGTTACAAAGCATACAACAACAAAAGATAAAATCATGAAAGTTGGTTCTCTTGACGTGATTGGTTTGGAGAAAACCTACAAGCAATATGAAGAGCCACAAACAAAAAGGTATATAAAGGAGTTTTCTAACAATTTTACATTAGATAAATTCTTAATTTTAACATCACTTATATTAAACGTCTTCAAAATTTCTCATCAAATATTCATTTACATATAATAGCCAAAAGACAAGTTGGAAAAAACTTTCACAGATGCTGTAACTGAAGAGAAAAAAGATTTTCGAGTAGAAAAATATCGACAGCCGACACATGAAGAATCAAGAACTTTCACAGAAGGTATTGTCGAGAGGAAATCTATCCTTTATGATGGGGTTGATACTAAAGATAAAGTAGAGCATAGATATTGTCTTCAAGGAGAAGAATTTGATAAAGCTTACACTTTCTACGAAAAGCCTCAAACAGATCATACTGAAGTTTTGCGGAAACCAACAAAAGTTGATAAAGTCACTGTCGACATGAAAGATATTGAACAATTTGAAGAGACAGAAGAACAAAAATATCCTAAAGCCCATGATGTTGGACGTATTTTGATTGATGAAACACCAGAAGATAAAACACAACAAACGAAGATTGATCACAGCAAATGGGAAGCGTTGAAACCTGGCTTTGATACAAGTGAACGTACCTATAGTGTTACAAAGCATACAACAACAAAAGATAAAATCATGAAAGTTGGTTCTCTTGACTTGATTGGTTTGGAGAAAACCTTCAAGCAATATGGAGAGCCACAAACAAAAAAGGTATATAAAGGAGTTTTCTAACAATTTTACATTAGATAAATTCTTATATTTAACATCACTTATATTAAACGTCTTCAAAATTTCTCATCAAATATTCATTTACATATAATAGCCAAAAGACAAGTTGGAAAAAACTTTCACAGATGCTGTAACTGAAGAGAAAAAAGATTTTCGAGTAGAAAAATATCGACAGCCGACACATGAAGAATCAAGAACTTTCACAGAAGGTATTGTCGAGAGGAAATCTATCCTTTATGATGGGGTTGATACTAAAGATAAAGTAGAGCATAGATATCGTCTTCAAGGAGAAGAATTTGATAAAGCTTACACTTTTTACGAAAAGCCTCAAACAGATCGTACTGAAGTTTCTCGTAAACCAACAAAAGTTGATAAAGTCACTGTCGACATGAAAGATATTAAACAATTGGAAGAGGCAGAAGAACAAAAATATCCTAAAGCCCATGATGTTGGACGTATTTTGATTGATGAAACACCAGAAGATAAAACACAACAAACGAAGATTGATCACAGCAAATGGGAAGCGTTGAAACCTGGCTTTGATACAAGTGAACGTACCTATAGTGTTACAAAGCATACAACAACAAAAGATAAAATCATGAAAGTTGGTACTCTTGACGTGATTGGTTTGGAGAAAACCTACAAGCAATATGAAGAGCCACAAACAACAAAGGTATATAAAGGAGTTTTCTAACAATTTTACATTAGATAAATTCTTAATTTTATCATCACTTATATTAAACGTCTTCAAAATTTCTCATCAACTATTCATTTACATATCATAGCCAAAAGACAAGTTGGAAGAAACTTTCACAGATGTTGTAACTAAGATTTTCGAGTAGACAAATATCGAAAACCGAAACATGAAGAAGCAAAATCTTTCACAGATGGTATTGTCGAGAGGAATTCTATCCTTTATGATGGAGTTCATACTAAAGATAAAAGTAGAGCATAGATATCGTCTTCAAGGAGAAGAATTTGATAAAGCTTACACTTTCTACGAAAAGCCTCAAACAGATCATACTGAAGTTTTGCGAAACCAACAAAAGTTGATAAAGTCACTGTCGACATGAAGATATTGAACAATTTGAAGAGACAGAAGAACAAAAATATCCTAACGCCCATGATGTTGGACGTATTTTGATTGATGAAACACCAGAAGATAAAACACAACAAACGAAGATTGATCACAGCAAATGGGAAGCGTTGAAACCTAAGCTTTGATACAAGTGAACGTACCTATAGTGTTACAAAGCATACAACAACAAAAGATAAAATCATGAAAGTTGGTACTCTTGACGTGATTGGTTTAGAAAACCTACAAGCAATATGAAGAGCCACAAACAACAAAGGTATATAAAGGAGTTTTCTAATAATTTTACATTAGATAAATTCTTAATTTTAACATCACTTATATTAAACGTCTTCAAAATTTCTCATCAAGTATTCATTTACATATCATAGCCAAAGACAAGTTGGAAGAAACTTTCAGATGTTGTAAAAGAGGATTTTCGAGTAGACAAATATCGACAGCCGACACATGAAGAAGCAAGATCTTTCACAGATGGTATTGTCGAGGAAATCTATCCTTTATGATGGAGTTGATACTAAAGATAAAGTAGAGCATAGATATCGTCTTCAAGGAGAAGAATTTGATAAAGCTTACACTTTCTACGAAAAGCCTCAAACAGATCATACTGAAGTTTTGCGGAAACCAACAAAAGTTGATAAAGTCACTGTCGACATGAAAGATATTGAACAATTTGAAGAGACAGAAGAACAAAATATCCTAAAGCCCATGATGTTGGACGTATTTTGATTGATGAAACACCAGAAGATAAAACACAACAAACGAAGATTGATCACAGCAAATGGGAAGCGTTGAAACCTGGATTTGATACAAGTGAACGTACCTATAGTGTTACAAAGCATACAACAACAAAAGATAAAATCATGAAAGTTGGTTCTCTTGACGTGATTGGTTTGGAAAACCTACAAGCAATATGAAGAGCCACAAACAACAAAGGTATATAAAGGAGTTTTCTAACAATTTTACATTAGATAAATTCTTAATTTTAACATCACTTATATTAAACGTCTTCAAAATTTCTCATCAAATATTCATTTACATATAATAGCCAAAAGACAAGTTGGAAAAAACTTTCACAGATCTGTAACTGAAGAGAAAAAGATTTTCGAGTAGAAAATATCGACAGCCGACACATGAAGAATCAAGAACTTTCACAGAGGTATTGTCGAGAGAAATCTATCCTTTATGATGGAGTTGATACTAAAGATAAAGTAGAGCATAGATATCGTCTTCAAGGAGAAGAATTTGATAAAGCTTACACTTTCTACGAAAAGCCTCAAACAGATCATACTGAAGTTTTGCGGAAACCAACAAAAGTTGATAAAGTCACTGTCGACATGAAAGATATTGAACAATTTGAAGAGACAGAAGAACAAAAATATCCTAAAGCCCATGATGTTGGACGTATTTTGATTGATGAAACACCAGAAGATAAAACACAACAAACGAAGATTGATCACAGCAAATGGGAAGCGTTGAAACCTAGCTTTGATACAAGTGAACGTACCTATAGTGTTACAAAGCATACAACAACAAAAGATAAAATCATGAAAGTTGGTACTCTTGACGTGATTGGTTTGGAGAAAACCTACAAGCAATATGAAGAGCCACAAACAACAAAGGTATATAAAGGAGTTTTCTAATAATTTTACATTAGATAAATTCTTAATTTTAACATCACTTATATTAAACGTCTTCAAAATTTCTCATCAAGTATTCATTTACATATCATAGCCAAAAGACAAGTTGGAAGAAACTTTCACAGATGTTGTAACTGAAGAGAAAAAAGATTTTCGAGTAGACAAATATCGACAGCCGACACATGAAGAAGCAAGATCTTTCACAGATGGTATGGTCGAGAGGAAATCTATCCTTTATGATGGAGTTCATACTAAAGATAAAGTAGAGCATAGATATCGTCTTCAAGGAGAAGAATTTGATAAAGCTTACACTTTCTACGAAAAGCCTCAAACAGATCATACTGAAGTTTTGCGGAAACCAACAAAAGTTGATAAAGTCACTGTCGACATGAAAGATATTGAACAATTTGAAGAGACAGAAGAACAAAAATATCCTAACGCCCATGATGTTGGACGTATTTTGATTGATGAAACACCAGAAGATAAAACACAACAAACGAAGATTGATCACAGCAAATGGGAAGCGTTGAAACCTGGCTTTGATACAAGTGAACGTACCTATAGTGTTACAAAGCATACAACAACAAAAGATAAAATCATGAAAGTTGGTACTCTTGACGTGATTGGTTTGGAGAAAACCTACAAGCAATATGAAGAGCCACAAACAACAAAGGTATATAAAGGAGTTTTCTAATAATTTTACATTAGATAAATTCTTAATTTTAACATCACTTATATTAAACGTCTTCAAAATTTCTCATCAAGTATTCATTTACATATCATAGCCAAAAGACAAGTTGGAAGAAACTTTCACAGATGTTGTAACTGAAGAGAAAAAAGATTTTCGAGTAGACAAATATCGACAGCCGACACATGAAGAAGCAAGAACTATCACAGATGGTATTGTCGAGAGGAATTCTATCCTTTATGATGGAGTTGATACTAAAGATAAAGTAGAGCATAGATATCGTCTTCAAGGAGAAGAATTTGATAAAGCTTACACTTTCTACGAAAAGCCTCAAACAGATCATACTGAAGTTTTGCGGAAACCAACAAAAGTTGATAAAGTCACTGTCGACATGAAAGATATTAAACAATTTGAAGAGACAGAAGAACAAAATATCCTAAAGCCCATGATGTTGGACGTATTTTGATTGATGAAACACCAGAAGATAAAACACAACAAACGAAGATTGATCACAGCAAATGGGAAGCGTTGAAACCTGGCTTTGATACAAGTGAACGTACCTATAGTGTTACAAAGCATACAACAACAAAAGATAAAATCATGAAAGTTGGTAGTCTTGACGTGATTGGTTTAGAGAAAACCTACAAGCAATATGAAGAGCCACAAACAACAAAGGTATATAAAGGAGTTTTCTAATAATTTTACATTAGATAAATTCTTAATTTTAACATCACTTATATTAAACGTCTTCAAAATTTCTCATCAAGTATTCATTTACATATCATAGCCAAAAGACAAGTTGGAAGAAACTTTCACAGATGTTGTAACTGAAGAGAAAAAAGATTTTCGAGTAGACAAATATCAACAGCCGAAACATGAAGAAGCAAGAACTTTCAAAGATGGTATTGTAGAGAGGAAATCTATCCTTTATGATGGAGTTGATACTAAAGATAAAGTAGAGCATAGATATCGTCTTCAAGGAGAAGAATTTGATAAAGCTTACACTTTCTACGAAAAGCCTCAAACAGATCATACTGAAGTTTTGCGGAAACCAACAAAAGTTGATAAAGTCACTGTCGACATGAAAGATATTAAACAATTTGAAGAGACAGAAGAACAAAATATCCTAAAGCCCATGATGTTGGACGTATTTTGATTGATGAAACACCAGAAGATAAAACACAACAAACGAAGATTGATCACAGCAAATGGGAAGCGTTGAAACCTGGATTTGATACAAGTGAACGTACCTATAGTGTTACAAAGCATACAACAACAAAAGATAAAATCATGAAAGTTGGTTCTCTTGACGTGATTGGTTTGAGAAAACCTACAAGCAATATGAAGAGCCACAAACAAAAAGGTATATAAAGGAGTTTTCTAACAATTTTACATTAGATAAATTCTTAATTTTAACATCACTTATATTAAACGTCTTCAAAATTTCTCATCAAATATTCATTTACATATCATAGCCAAAAGACAAGTTGGAAGAAACTTTCATAGATGTTGTAACAGAAGAGAAAAAAGATTTTCGAGTAGACAAATATCGACAGCCGAAACATGAAGAAGCAAGATCTTTCACGGATGGTATTGTAGAGAGGAAATCTATCCTTTATGATGAAGTGGACAAAAAAGTAAAAGTACAAAATAGATATCGTCTTCAAGGAGAAGAATTTGATAAGGCTTACACTTTCTACGAAAAGCCTGAGACAGATCATACTGAAGTTTCTCGTAAACCAACAAAAGTTGATAAAGTCACTGTCGACATGAAAGATATTGAACAATTTGAAGAGACAGAAGAACAAAAATATCCTAAAGCCCATGATGTTGGACGTATTTTGATTGATGAAACACCAGAAGATAAAACACAACAAACGAAGATTGATCACAGCAAATGGGAAGCGTTGAAACCTGGCTTTGATACAAGTGAACGTACCTATAGTGTTACAAAGCATACAACAACAAAAGATAAAATCATGAAAGTTGGTTCTCTTGACGTGATTGGTTTGGAGAAAACCTACAAGCAATATGAAGAGCCACAAGCAACAAAGGTATATAAAGGAGTTTTCAAACAATTTTACATTAGATAAATTTTTAATTTTGACATCACTAATATTAAACGTCTTCAAAATTTCTCATCAAATATTCATTTACGTATCATAGCCAAAAGACAAGTTGGAAGAAACTTTCACAGATGTTGTAACTGAAGAGAAAAAAGATTTTCGAGTAGACAAATATCAACAGCCGAAACATGAAGAAGCAAGAACTTTCAAAGATGGTATTGTAGAGAGGAAATCTATCCTTTATGATGGAGTTGATACTAAAGATAAAGTAGAGCATAGATATCGTCTTCAAGGAGAAGAATTTGATAAAGCTTACACTTTCTACGAAAAGCCTCAAACAGATCATACTGAAGTTTTGCGGAAACCAACAAAAGTTGATAAAGTCACTGTCGACGTGAAAGATATTGAACAATTTGAAGAGACAGAAGAACAAAAATATCCTAAAGCCCATGATGTTGGACGTATTTTGATTGATGAAACACCAGAAGATAAAACACAACAAACGAAGATTGATCACAGCAAATGGGAAGCGTTGAAACCTAGCTTTGATACAAGTGAACGTACCTATAGTGTTACAAAGCATACAACAACAAAAGATAAAATCATGAAAGTTGGTACTCTTGACGTGATTGGTTTGGAGAAAACCTACAAGCAATATGAAGAGCCACAAACAAAAAAGGTATATAAAGGAGTTTTCTAACAATTTTACATTAGATAAATTCTTAATTTTAACATCACTTATATTAAACGTCTTCAAAATTTCTCATCAAATATTCATTTACATATCATAGCCAAAAGACAAGTTGGAAGAAACTTTCACAAATGTTGTAACTGAAGAGAAAAAAGATTTTCGAGTAGACAAATATCAACAACCGAAACATAAGGAAGCAAGATCTTTCACAGATGGTATTGTCGAGAGGAAATCTATCCATTATGATGGAGTTGATACTAAAGATAAAGTAGAGCAAAGATATCGTCTTCAAGGAGAAGAATTTGATAAAGCTTACACTTTCTACGAAAAGCCTCAAACAGATCATACTGAAGTTTTGCGGAAACCAACAAAAGTTGATAAAGTCACTGTCGACGTGAAAGATATTGAACAATTTGAAGAGACAGAAGAACAAAAATATCCTAAAGCCCATGATGTTGGACGTATTTTAATTGATGAAACACCGGAAGATAAAACACAGCAAACGAAGATTGAACACAGCAAATGGGAAGCGTTGAAACCTGGATTTGATACAAGTGAACGTACCTATAGTGTTACAAAGCATACAACAACAAAAGATAAAATCATGAAAGTTGGTTCTCTTGACGTGATTGGTTTGGAGAAAACCTACAAGCAATATGAAGAGCCACAAGCAACAAAGGTATATAAAGGAGTTTTCAAACAATTTTACATTAGATAAATTTTTAATTTTGACATCACTAATATTAAACGTCTTCAAAATTTCTCATCAAATATTCATTTACGTATCATAGCCAAAAGACAAGTTGGAAGAAACTTTCACAGATGTTGTAACTGAAGAGAAAAAAGATTTTCGAGTAGACAAACATCGACAGCCGACACATGAAGAAGCAAGAACTTTCACAGATGGTATTGTCGAGAGGAAATCTCTCCTTTATGATGGAGTTGATACTAAAGATAAAGTAGAGCATAGATATCGTCTTCAAGGAGAAGAATTTGATAAAGCTTACACTTTCTACGAAAAGCCTCAAACAGATCATACTGAAGTTTTGCGGAAACCAACAAAAGTTGATAAAGTCACTGTCGACGTGAAAGATATTGAACAATTTGAAGAGACAGAAGAACAAAAATATCCTAAAGCCCATGATGTTGGACGTATTTTAATTGATGAAACACCGGAAGATAAAACACAGCAAACGAAGATTGAACACAGCAAATGGGAAGCGTTGAAACCTGGATTTGATACAAGTGAACGTACCTATAGTGTTACAAAGTATACAACAACAAAAGATAAAATCATGAAAGTTGGTACTCTTGACGTGATTGGTTTGGAGAAAACCTACAAGCAATATGAAGAGCCACAAGCAACAAAGGTATATAAAGGAGTTTTCAAACAATTTTACATTAGATAAATTTTTAATTTTGACATCACTAATATTAAACGTCTTCAAAATTTCTCATCAAATATTCATTTACATATCATAGCCAAAAGACAAGTTGGAAGAAACTTTCACAAATGTTGTAACTGAAGAGAAAAAAGATTTTCGAGTAGACAAATATCAACAACCGAAACATAAGGAAGCAAGATCTTTCACAGATGGTATTGTCGAGAGGAAATCTATCCATTATGATGGAGTTGATACTAAAGATAAAGTAGAGCAAAGATATCGTCTTCAAGGAGAAGAATTTGATAAAGCTTACACTTTCTACGAAAAGCCTGAAACAGATCGTACTGAAGTTTTGCGGAAACCAACAAAAGTTGATAAAGTCACTGTCGACATGAGAGATATTAAACAATTTGAAGAGACAGAAGAACAAAAATATCCCAAAGCTCACGATGTTGGACGTATTTTGATTGATGAAATACCAGAAGATAAAACACAGCAAACGAAGATTGATCACAGCAAATGGGAAGCGTTGAAACCTGGATTTGATACAAGTGAACGTACCTATAGTGTTACAAAGCATACAACAACAAAAGATAAAATCATGAAAGTTGGTACTCTTGACGTGATTGGTTTGGAGAAAACCTACAAGCAATATGAAGAGCCACAAACAACAAAGGTATATAAAGGAGTTTTCTAACAATTTTACATTAGATAAATTCTTAATTTGAAAATCACTAATATTAAACGTCTTCAAAATTTCTCATCAAATATTCATTTACATATCATAGCCAAAAGAGAAGTTGGAAGAAACTTTCACAGATGTTGTAACTGAAGAGAAAAAAGATTTTCGAGTAGACAAATATCGACAGCCGACACATGAAGAAGCAAGAACTTTCACAGATGGTATTGTCGAGAGGAAATCTCTCCTTTATGATGGAGTTGATACTAAAGATAAAATAGAGCATAGATATCGTCTTCAAGGAGAAGAATTTGATAAAGCTTACACTTTCTACGAAAAGCCTCAAACAGATAATACTGAAAATTTGCGGAAACCAACAAAAGTTGATAAAGTCACTGTCGACATGAAAGATATTGAACAATTTGAAGAGACAGAAGAACAAAAATATCCCAAAGCTCACGATGTTGGACGTATTTTGATTGATGAAATACCAGAAGATAAAACACAACAAACGAAGATTGATCACAGCAAATGGGAAGCGTTGAAACCTGGCTTTGATACAAGTGAACGTACCTATAGTGTTACAAAGCATACAACAACAAAAGATAAAATCATGAAAGTTGGTGCTCTTGACGTGATTGGTTTGGAGAAAACCTACAAGCACTATGATGAACCACAAACAAAAAGGTATATAAAGGATTTTCTAACAGTTTTACATTAGATCAATATAGATGAAAAAAGCATATCTAACGAAACAGTAAATATATTTAACAGATATTCATTTACATATTATAGCAAAAGACAAGTTGGAAAACAACTAACATTCTTCATGTTGTTTCTGAAGATATCAAAAATTAATTTGACATATACTTCAGTCTTTAAATGTCTTTGAAAACTAGATTCAAACATTCAAGTTCGCGCTATTTTAACTGGAATTAGAAAGTAATTGTGTGTGACTAGTTTGTCAATGCATCTTCTTTAATTTCTTTATTAGTCTCGGAAAAAACAAATACAGTTTGTCGCAAAAACAGATCAATGTCAGCCACAAGATGATGTGTTCAACAGAGCCCAAACATACGATGGTGAAACACGCAAAGACACAAGTCCTACTTCAAGTCACATGACGTCAGATAGAATTATCATTAACAATAGAGATAATCAAATGATGAAAAAGGAAGAACAATTAAAATATCACAAAGATCATGATGTTGGACGTATTTTGATTGATGAAACCAAGAAGAGGATACAAAACAAATCAAAGAATGACTTCACACAAGATTGAAGCGTTGAAACCTGGATTTGATACAATGAAACGTACCTATAGTGTTACAAAGCATACAACAACAAAAGATAAAATCATGAAAGTTGAAACAATAGATCATAAAGAGGTAATTGCATCAAAACATACTCAAGCAATCATGTAGAGCTAGAAAATAAAAAACAATATTTTAAAAAAATTTTATTTTCAATTTTAACATTTAAGATCAATTCTTAAATATTTAACATCATATATTAAACGTCTTCAAAATTTTCATCAAATTTCATTTACATATCATAGCCAAAAGACAAGTTGGAAGAAACTTTCACAGATGTTGTAACCGAAGAGAAAAAAGATTTTCGAGTAGACAAATATCGACAGCCGAAACATGAAGAAGCAAGATCTTTCACAGATGGTATTGTCGAGAGGAAATCTATCCTTTATGATGGAGTTGATACTAAAGATAAAGTAGAGCAAAGATATCGTCTTCAAGGAGAAGAATTTGATAAAGCGTACACTTTCTACGAAAAGCCTCAAACAGATCGTACTGAAGTTTTGCGGAAACCAACTAAAGTTGATAAAGTCACTGTGGACATGAGAGATATTAAACAATTTGAAGAGACAGAAGAACAAAAATATCCCAAAGCTCACGATGTTGGACGTATTTTGATTGATGAAATACCGGAAGATAAAACACAGCAAACGAAGATTGATCACAGCAAATGGGAAGCGTTGAAACCTGGATTTGATACAAGTGAACGTACCTATAGTGTTACAAAGCATACAACAACAAAAGATAAAATCATGAAAGTTGGTAGTCTTGACGTGATTGGTTTAGAGAAAACCTACAAGCAATATGAAGAGCCACAAACAAAAAAGGTAGATAAAGGAGTTTTCTAACAATTTTACACTAGATAAATTCTTAATTTTATCATCACTTATATTAAACGTCTTCAAAATTTCTCATCAAATATTCATTTACATATCATAGCCAAAAGACAAGTTGGAAGAAACTTTCACAGATGTTGTAACTGAAGAGGAAAAAGATTTTCGAGTAGACAAATATCGAAAGCCGAAACATGAAGAAGCAAGATCTTTCACAGATGGTATTGTCGAGAGGAAATCTATCCTTTATGATGGAGTTGATACTAAAGATAAAGTAGAGCAAAGATATCGTCTTCAAGGAGAAGAATTTGATAAAGCGTACACTTTCTACGAAAAGCCTGAAACAGATCGTACTGACGTTTTGCGGAAACCAACAAAAGTTGATAAAGTCACTGTCGACATGAGAGATATTAAACAATTTGAAGACACAGAAGAACAAAAATATCCCAAAGCTCATGATGTTGGACGTATTTTGATTGATGAAATACCGGAAGATAAAACACAGCAAACGAAGATTGATCACAGCAAATGGGAAGCGTTGAAACCTGGATTTGATACAAGTGGACGTACCTATAGTGTTACAAAGCATACAACAACAAAAGATAAAATCATGAAAGTTGGTAGTCTTGACGTGATTGGGTTAGAGAAAACCTACAGGCAATATGAAGAGCCACAAACAACAAAGGTATATAAAGGAGTTTTCTAACAATTTTACACTAGATAAATTCTTAATTTTAACATCACTTATATTAAACGTCTTAAAAATTTCTCATCAAGTATTCATTTACATATCATAGCCAAAAGACAAGTTGGAAGAAACTTTCACAGATGTTGTAACTGAAGAGAAAAAAGATTTTCGAGTAGACAAATATCGACAGCCGAAACATGAAGAAGCAAGATCTTTCACAGATGGTATTGTCGAGAGGAAATCTATCCTTTATGATGGAGTTGATACTAAAGATAAAGTAGAGCAAAGATATCGTCTTCAAGGAGAAGAATTTGATAAAGCGTACACTTTCTACGAAAAGCCTGAAACAGATCGTACTGAAGTTTTGCGGAAACCAACAAAAGTTGATAAAGTCACTGTCGACATGAGAGATATTAAACAATTTGAAGAGACAGAAGAACAAAAATATCCCAAAGCTCACGATGTTGGACGTATTTTGATTGATGAAATACCGGAAGATAAAACACAGCAAACGAATATTGATCACAGCAAATGGGAGGCGTTGAAACCTGGATTTGATACAAGTGAACGTACCTATAGTGTTACAAAGCATACAACAACAAAAGATAAAATCATGAAAGTTGGTAGTCTTGACGTGATTGGTTTAGAGAAAACCTACAAGCAATATGAAGAGCCACAAACAAAAAAGGTAGATAAAGGAGTTTTCTAACAATTTTACACTAGATAAATTCTTAATTTTAACATCACTTATATTAAACGTCTTAAAAATTTCTCATCAAGTATTCATTTACATATCATAGCCAAAAGACAAGTTGGAAGAAACTTTCACAGATGTTGTAACCGAAGAGAAAAAAGATTTTCGAGTAGACAAATATCGACAGCCGAAACATGAAGAAGCAAGATCTTTCACAGATGGTATTGTCGAGAGGAAATCTATCCTTTATGATGGAGTTGATACTAAAGATAAAGTAGAGCAAAGATATCGTCTTCAAGGAGAAGAATTTGATAAAGCGTACACTTTCTACGAAAAGCCTGAAACAGATCGTACTGAAGTTTTGCGGAAACCAACAAAAGTTGATAAAGTCACTGTCGACATGAGAGATATTAAACAATTTGAAGAGACAGAAGAACAAAAATATCCCAAAGCGCATGATGTTGGACGTATTTTGATTGATGAAATACCGGAAGATAAAACACAGCAAACGAAGATTGATCACAGCAAATGGGAAGCGTTGAAACCTGGATTTGATACAAGTGAACGTACCTATAGTGTTACAAAGCATACAACAACAAAAGATAAAATCATGAAAGTTGGTAGTCTTGACGTGATTGGTTTAGAGAAAACCTACAAACAATATGAAGAGCCACAAACAAAAAAGGTAGATAAAGGAGTTTTCTAACAATTTTACACTAGATAAATTCTTAATTTTAACATCACTTATATTGAACGTCTTCAAAATTTCTCATCAAATATTCATTTACATCTCATAGCCAAAAGACAAGTTGGAAGAAACTTTCACAGATGTTGTAACCGAAGAGAAAAAAGATTTTCGAGTAGACAAATATCGACAGCCGAAACATGAAGAAACAAGATCTTTCACAGATGGTATTGTCGAGAGGAAATCTATCCTTTATGATGGAGTTGATACTAAAGACAAAGTAGAGGAAAGATATCGTCTTCAAGGAGAAGAATTTGATAAAGCGTACACTTTCTACGAAAAGCCTGAAACAGATCGTACTGAAGTTTTGCGGAAACCAACAAAAGTTGATAAAGTCACTGTCGACATGAGAGATATTAAACAATTTGAAGAGACAGAAGAACAAAAATATCCCAAAGCTCACGATGTTGGACGTATTTTGATTGATGAAATACCGGAAGATAAAACACAGCAAACGAAGATTGATCACAGCAAATGGGAAGCGTTGAAACCTGGATTTGATACAAGTGAACGTACCTATAGTGTTACAAAGCATACAACAACAAAAGATAAAATCATGAAAGTTGGTAGTCTTGACGTGATTGGTTTAGAGAAAACCTACAAGCAATATGAAGAGCCACAAACAAAAAAGGTAGATAAAGGAGTTTTCTAACAATTTTACACTAGATAAATTCTTAATTTTAACATCACTTATATTAAACGTCTTTAAAATTTCTCATCAAATATTCATTTACATCTCATAGCCAAAAGACAAGTTGGAAGAAACTTTCGCAGATGTTGTAACCGAAGAGAAAAAAGATTTTCGAGTAGACAAATATCGACAGCCGAAACATGAAGAAACAAGATCTTTCACAGATGGTATTGTCGAGAGGAAATCTATCCTTTATGATGGAGTTGATACTAAAGATAAAGTAGAGCAAAGATATCGTCTTCAAGGAGAAGAATTTGATAAAGCGTACACTTTCTACGAAAAGCCTGAAACAGATCGTACTGAAGTTTTGCGGAAACCAACAAAAGTTGATAAAGTCACTGTCGACATGAGAGATATTAAACAATTTGAAGAGACAGAAGAACAAAAATATCCCAAAGCTCACGATGTTGGACGTATTTTGATTGATGAAATACCGGAAGATAAAACACAGCAAACGAAGATTGATCACAGCAAATGGGAAGCGTTGAAACCTGGATTTGATACAAGTGAACGTACCTATAGTGTTACAAAGCATACAACAACAAAAGATAAAATCATGAAAGTTGGTAGTCTTGACGTGATTGGTTTAGAGAAAACCTACAAGCAATATGAAGAGCCACAAACAAAAAAGGTAGATAAAGAGTTTTCTAACAATTTTACATTAGATAAATTCTTAATTTTAACATCACTTATATTAAACGTCTTAAAAATTTCTCATCAAGTATTCATTTACATATCATAGCCAAAAGACAAGTTGGAAGAAACTTTCACAGATGTTGTAACTGAAGAGAAAAAAGATTTTCGAGTAGACAAATATCAACAGCCGATACATGAAGAAGCAAAATCTTTCACAGATGGTATTGTCGAGAAGAAATCTATCCTTTATGATGGAGTTGATACTAAAGATAAAGTAGACCATAGATATCGTCTTCAAGGAGAAGAATTTGATAAAGCGTACACTTTCTACGAAAAGCCTGAAACAGATCGTACTGAAGTTTTGCGGAAACCAACTAAAGTTGATAAAGTCACTGTGGACATGAGAGATATTAAACAATTTGAAGAGACAGAAGAACAAAAATATCCCAAAGCTCACGATGTTGGACGTATTTTGATTGATGAAATACCGGAAGACAAAACACAGCAAACGAATATTGATCACAGCAAATGGGAGGCGTTGAAACCTGGATTTGATACAAGTGAACGTACCTATAGTGTTACAAAGCATACAACAACAAAAGATAAAATCATGAAAGTTGGTAGTCTTGACGTGATTGGTTTAGAGAAAACCTACAAGCAATATGAAGAGCCACAAACAAAAAAGGTAGATAAAGGAGTTTTCTAACAATTTTACTTTAGATAAATTCTTAATTTTATCATCACTTATATTAAACGTCTTCAAAATTTCTCATCAAGTATTCATTTACATATCATAGCCAAAAGACAAGTTGGAAGAAACTTTCACAGATGTTGTAACTGAAGAGAAAAAAGATTTTCGAGTAGACAAATATCGACAGCCGAAACATGAAGAAGCAAGATCTTTCACAGATGGTATTGTCGAGAAGAAATCTATCCTTTATGATGGAGTTGATACTAAAGATAAAGTAGAGCAAAGATATCGTCTTCAAGGAGAAGAATTTGATAAAGCGTACACTTTCTACGAAAAGCCTCAAACAGATCATACTGAAGTTTTGCGGAAACCAACAAAAGTTGATAAAGTCACTGTGGACATGAGAGATATTAAACAATTTGAAGAGACAGAAGAACAAAAATATCCCAAAGCTCACGATGTTGGACGTATTTTGATTGATGAAATACCGGAAGACAAAACACAGCAAACGAAGATTGATCACAGCAAATGGGAGGCGTTGAAACCAGGATTTGATACAAGTGAACGTACCTATAGTGTTACAAAGCATACAACAACAAAAGATAAAATCATGAAAGTTGGTAGTCTTGACGTGATTGGTTTAGAGAAAACCTACAAGCAGTATGAAGAGACACAAACAAAAAAGGTAAATAAAGGAGTTTTCTAACAATTTTACTTTAGATAAATTCTTAATTTTATCATCACTTATATTAAACGTCTTCAAAATTTCTCATCAAGTATTCATTTACATATCATAGCCAAAAGACAAGTTGGAAGAAACTTTCACAGATGTTGTAACTGAAGAGAAAAAAGATTTTCGAGTAGACATATATCGAAAGCCGAAACATGAAGAAACAAAATCTTTCACAGATGGTATTGTCGAGAGGAAATCTATCCTTTACGATGGAGTTGATACTAAAGATAAAGTAGAGCAAAGATATCGTCTTCAAGGAGAAGAATTTGATAAAGCGTACACTTTCTATGAAAAGCCTGAAACAGATCGTACTGAAGTTTTGCGGAAACCAACAAAAGTTGATAAAGTCACTGTCGACATGAGAGATATTAAACAATTTGAAGAGACAGAAGAACAAAAATATCCCAAAGCTCACGATGTTGGACGTATTTTGATTGATGAAATACCGGAAGACAAAACACAGCAAACGAATATTGATCACAGCAAATGGGAGGCGTTGAAACCTGGATTTGATACAAGTGAACGTACCTATAGTGTTACAAAGCATACAACAACAAAAAAAGATAAAATCATGAAAGTTGGTAGTCTTGACGTGATTGGTTTAGAGAAAACCTACAAGCAGTATGAAGAGACACAAACAAAAAAGGTAGATAAAGGAGTTTTCTAACAATTTTACTTTAGATAAATTCTTAATTTTATCATCACTTATATTAAACGTCTTCAAAATTTCTCATCAAGTATTCATTTATATATCATAGCCAAAAGACAAGTTGGAAGAAACTTTCACAGATGTTGTAACTGAAGAGAAAAAAGATTTTCGAGTAGACAAATATCGAAAGCCGAAACATGAAGAAGCAAAATCTTTCACAGATGGTATTGTCGAGAGGAAATCTATCCTTTATGATGGAGTTGATACTAAAGATAAAGTAGAGCAAAGATATCGTCTTCAAGGAGAAGAATTTGATAAAGCGTACACTTTCTACGAAAGGCCTGAAACAGATCGTACTGAAGTTTTGCGGAAACCAACAAAAGTTGATAAAGTCACTGTCGACATGAGAGATATTAAACAATTTGAAGAGACAGAAGAACAAAAATATCCCAAAGCTCACGATGTTGGACGTATTTTGATTGATGAAATACCGGAAGACAAAACACAGCAAACGAAGATTGATCACAGCAAATGGGAGGCGTTGAAACCTGGATTTGATACAAGTGAACGTACCTATAGTGTTACAAAGCATACAACAACAAAAGATAAAATCATGAAAGTTGGTAGTCTTGACGTGATTGGTTTAGAGAAAACCTACAAGCAATATGAAGAGCCACAAACAAAAAAGGTATATAAAGGAGTTTTCTAACAATTTTACTTTAGATAAATTCTTAATTTTAACATCACTAATATTAAACGTCTTCAAAATTTCTCATCAAGTATTCATTTACATATCATAGCCAAAAGACAAGTTGGAAGAAACTTTCACAGATGTTGTAACTGAAGAGAAAAAAGATTTTCGAGTAGACATATATCGAAAGCCGAAACATGAAGAAACAAAATCTTTCACAGATGGTATTGTCGAGAGGAAATCTATCCTTTACGATGGAGTTGATACTAAAGATAAAGTAGAGCAAAGATATCGTCTTCAAGGAGAAGAATTTGATAAAGCGTACACTTTCTATGAAAAGCCTGAAACAGATCGTACTGAAGTTTTGCGGAAACCAACAAAAGTTGATAAAGTCACTGTCGACATGAGAGATATTAAACAATTTGAAGAGACAGAAGAACAAAAATATCCTAAAGCTTACGATGTTGGACGTATTTTGATTGATGAAATACCGGAAGATAAAACACAGCAAACGAAGATTGATCACAGCAAATGGGAGGCGTTGAAACCTGGATTTGATACAAGTGAACGTACCTATAGTGTTACAAAGCATACAACAACAAAAGATAAAATCATGAAAGTTGGTAGTCTTGACGTGATTGGTTTAGAGAAAACCTACAAGCAATATGAAGAGACACAAACAAAAAAGGTAGATAAAGGAGTTTTCTAACAATTTTACTTTAGATAAATTCTTAATTTTAACATCACTTATATTAAACGTCTTCAAAATTTCTCATCAAGTATTCATTTACATATCATAGCCAAAAGACAAGTTGGAAGAAACTTTCACAGATGTTGTAACTGAAGAGAAAAAAGATTTTCGAGTAGACAAATATCGAAAGCCGAAACATGAAGAAGCAAAATCTTTCACAGATGGTATTGTCGAGAGGAAATCTATCCTTTATGATGGAGTTGATACTAAAGATAAAGTAGAGCAAAGATATCGTCTTCAAGGAGAAGAATTTGATAAAGCGTACACTTTCTACGAAAAGCCTGAAACAGATCGTACTGAAGTTTTGCGGAAACCAACAAAAGTTGATAAAGTCACTGTCGACATGAGAGATATTAAACAATTTGAAGAGACAGAAGAACAAAAATATCCCAAAGCTCACGATGTTGGACGTATTTTGATTGATGAAATACCGGAAGATAAAACACAGCAAACGAAGATTGATCACAGCAAATGGGAAGCGTTGAAACCTGGATTTGATACAAGTGAACGTACCTATAGTGTTACAAAGCATACAACAACAAAAGATAAAATCATGAAAGTTGGTAGTCTTGACGTGATTGGTTTAGAGAAAACCTACAAGCAATATGAAGAGACACAAACAAAAAAGGTAGATAAAGGAGTTTTCTAACAATTTTACTTTAGATAAATTCTTAATTTTATCATCACTTATATTGAACGTCTTCAAAAGTTCTCATGAAATATTCATTTACATATCATAGCCAAAAGACAAGTTGGAAGAAACTTTCACAGATGTTGTAACTGAAGAGAAAAAAGATTTTCGAGTAGACAAATATCGAAAGCCGAAACATGAAGAAGCAAAATCTTTCACAGATGGTATTGTCGAGAGGAAATCTATCCTTTATGATGGAGTTGATACTAAAGATAAAGTAGAGCAAAGATATCGTCTTCAAGGAGAAGAATTTGATAAAGCGTACACTTTCTACGAAAAGCCTGAAACAGATCGTACTGAAGTTTTGCGGAAACCAACAAAAGTTGATAAAGTCACTGTCGACATGAGAGATATTAAACAATTTGAAGAGACAGAAGAACAAAAATATCCTAAAGCCCATGATGTTGGACGTATTTTGATTGATGAAACACCAGAAGATAAAACACAACAAACGAAGATTGATCACAGCAAATGGGAAGCGTTGAAACCTGGATTTGATACAAGTGAACGTACCTATAGTGTTACAAAGCATACAACAACAAAAGATAAAATCATGAAAGTTGGTACTCTTGACGTGATTGGTTTGGAGAAAACCTACAAGCAATATGAAGAGACACAAACAAAAAAGGTAGATAAAGGAGTTTTCTAACAATTTTACTTTAGATAAATTCTTAATTTTATCATCACTTATATTGAACGTCTTCAAAAGTTCTCATGAAATATTCATTTACATATCATAGCCAAAAGACAAGTTGGAAGAAACTTTCACAGATGTTGTAACTGAAGAGAAAAAAGATTTTCGAGTAGACAAATATCGAAAGCCGAAACATGAAGAAGCAAGATCTTTCACAGATGGTATTGTCGAGAGGGGAAATCTATCCTTTATGATGGAGTTGATACTAAAGATAAAGTAGAGCAAAGATATCGTCTTCAAGGAGAAGAATTTGATAAAGCGTACACTTTCTACGAAAAGCCTGAAACAGATCGTACTGAAGTTTTGCTGAAACCAACAAAAGTTGATAAAGTCACTGTCGACATGAGAGATATAAAGCAGTTAGAAGAGAAAGAAAAACAAAAATATTCTAAAGATTTTACGACTGGTCGCCTTGTCATCAAGGAAATGCCAAAATCTAAGGAAATGGGAAGAAAACAAGTAAAACCAAAATCTGACAATTTGTATGCAACAACAATTGAAACAACAATTGATGACAAACTACATGTAGATGATTATGAACAAATTTCAGAAGAAATAGAAAAAATAACGAAAGACACAAAGGTTAATTTTTTGTTTTCTTTTTAATATTTAACTTATAGATTTGATTTAGTTTTTACAAAAAATGTTAAAAATTTAATAATATGTCTGTCTCTTAATAACGTGTGATCAACATGTATGATAAGATGAATATATCTCTTTATTTTTTATGAATTAAACTTCAGTTTTGGTAAACATTATTTGTTTTATGTTTAGTTTATACATGCAAGACAAGGAACTTATGAAGACAAACAAGAGCTGTGCAATATCGATGGGATAAACTATTCAAAATCTAATTATGAAGTGAAAGATCACAAACGTGTTTTCCCTAGATATGATGTGACCGACACACAAAATGTTAACATACATCAACAAAGACATCCAAAGTATCCTGAAGATTCGATTACTGAGGAAACGGAAGATTTTTCACGGAAAGGTGAGATCTACCGGAAACTATCGCAACATCCACGAATAACCGAAGTTAGCACGAGAGACGATACGGGCGTATCATTAAGAGGCATAGATGAAGAATCGTGGATTGAGCGAGAAGAAAATGTTAAAAATGGAAAGGTTCGTCGATAGTTGAGTTGTTTTATTCAATGTTAACATAGATTGGATATATAATCAAACCCTTTTATGCTTCGTGTTTTTGATGTTTTGTGAAAACCTGCAATGAATTTCAACAATATCGTATAACATTTTCTACAGGATAAAACAACGTTTGTTCAAGCAAGTGAACAGTATTTTCCACAAGACAAAGTATCTAAAATGACTTATAGTCATGAAGAAAACGTGCCCAGAGATATTCTTGGCGACTCCGAAGGTCGTAGCGAACAATTTATTTGTATTAAGAAAACAGACGACTCCAATTATATCAAAGATCCATCGGAAGTAAAGAAAGAACTACAAGAATATGATCTACTAAAAAGAGATGAGATTACAATTAGAAAAAACAAAGTAAAAAGTCAATTTCCCGACGATAAATTTTCTAGCAAATTTGTGGTCGAAAGAGTTGGTCCGAAAGAAGTCATTGTTGATGGAAAAAGCATATCTATTGAAAGAGTAAATATATTTAACAAATATTCGAGGTTTTTTACATAGGTTTATTTTGTAAATAAAGGGTTTATAATATTACGCGACTATTGTTAAATGTGCTCCTAACAAATCTTTTTGTAGGTGTGACATCACACAGTTCGACAAATTTGACTTTTCATGACCCACGCCATCTTAAAACACGATTCAAACATTCAAGTTCGCGCTATTTTAGCTTAGATTAGAAGAAATTAGCAGATAACTAGTTTCTTAATGTCTTTTCTTTGATTTTATACGTTAGCCTCCGCAAAAAGAAACACAGTTTGTTGCAAAAACAGACCAATATCAGCCACTAGATGAAGTGTTCGACAAAGCCTTCACTTACGATCGTCAAGTACGCAAAGAAGACACAAGTCTCCCTTCAGGTCACGTAACGTCCGATAGAATCATCGTTAACAGAAGAGATATTCAGCTAATGGAAAAAGAAGAAAAATTAAAACACCACAAAGATCTCAATGTTGGTCGCATAATCATTGAAGAACTTCCACAAGAGCAAGAAGAGGATACAAAACGTTTAATACACAAAAGAGATGACTTAAACACAAGACTTGAAGAATTGAGACCACGGCATACGGATGAGACAATGAAAGTTGGAAAGCTTGATGTTGCAGAGTACGATAAAATATCCAGAAACAATTTCCATTTTGTAGACGACGTTGATAGGCATTCGCAACAGATAGATCATGAAGAGGTAATAGAATAGTATTTACGTAATTATCGCTTTAAACATAACAGTTTGCAAGAAAAAGAGTTTCTTTTCAAAAATACAGCTCATGTTAATTAAATTCTTAAGGTGAGAAAGTCGTACGTGGAAAACAGAGATAAGAACGTAGTTCACGATAAAATAACAGCAAGAAAAGCAGCCACAGAAAGACGTATGGATAGCAAAACATACAAAGATGTAGACATGACCGACCATGGTGGAATACAAAGAAATATTAGAGATGAATCAATAGAAAAATACATTGCAGATGAGCTCCTAACCTCAGAAGACGTTTCTAGAAGTTTAACTGATAAAGAAGTTGACGACTTACAAAAAAGATACCGTTATAAATCGAAGTACTCAAAAACATCTGGACAACTTAAACCTGAAGAACAGTATTTGCCTGAAAACGACAAATTATATCCACGTAAACCAGTAAGACTTTTTCGAAAGTGCTTTAAAATAAAAGACAAATGTAATATGGGAACAAGAAACAAGTTTTACCAAATGCCACAGAATTATCAATAAATAAAAATTTATATATAGCCTGGATCACTTTTTATTTCGTTTTTCACTTAAGGTAATTTTTATTACGTGTTTAGGATCGTGAAGATACAGCAGTTGCTCAACAGGTTGTTGACGACAAGTATTCAACAATCCACGTACATCAAACCTCCTATCGTGACTCGACAGAACCACAAAAGACGACAAACGATCGTATAAGTGTTAATATACAAGATCTGGTTCAAAGAGATGAAACAGACGAGTCAAAGAATGCCAAAGATCTCAACATTGGTCAAATTGTTATAGAAGAACATTCTCAAGAGACTGTTGGTAGACATGAAGGTTTAGGAAGAGAAAAAGTTTACCATCATGAAAGCAAAATGGTGGAATGGACACAGACTGCAACAAAGAAAATACAAGACGTGGACGACAAGCAACAACGAAAAAACATCGTCCAAACATACCAAGAAAATCCACAGCAAATAAGAGTGTTGGACCAAAGACTTCCTTCAAAAACCAAAAATGTCAGTAAAGAGGTAAATTAGTGCAGAAGCATTTTTACAAAAAACAAAATTTTGAGCTTTCATGCCCTTCATGACACATCAAACTATTTCTTCTGCCTCTAGCTTCCATGTGATCAATAGAAAAGGATGTAAGTATTTTTGCTCTAATTTAATGTTTTTCATAGGTTGAGCAACGTGACTATCCTCAAACACATCACATAGGCGACGTCAAAAACATTGACCGTGGGAATGAACAACAACAAATTGAAGATGAAGTGCGACAAAAGTTCGTTTCTAGCGACAAGATAACAATAACAAATTATGATATTTCGACTGAACACGACAAACCTTTACAACGTTATGCCCGTGACATCAAAACAGAAGACAAGCCAAATGAGAGGAAAGCAAAGAAAGATGAGACCATTAAAAAACAAACCACTGAAGATAAGATAATGATTAAAGACTACGATCTCCACAAAGAAGAAAAAACAAAAAAGCAAGAAAGTCTAAAGGATATCAACGTTGGTCGACTTGTTATCAAAGAAATGCCCCCAGAAAAGGAAACAAAACCAACGAAAGAAAAGAAAAAAGATAACGTTGACAGACAATTTAAACCACGTGATGAACTAACCAATTTTATTGAACATCACAGTCGTGATAGGAAAAAAGAAATGGTCAAAGATGACAGCAGCTACAGAGGACCATATGTGATAGATCACCCAGCTGACACAGAAACCAAAATAAATGTTATTGATGAGAGAGCTGGCACGGACATATCTATAAAAGATAGAAGATTTATGGATGTACAGAAGCAATCAGAACCACCTTTTACCGCTGACAGGGTTGATGGCGGATACAGGATCGATGATAAAACAACAACGAAGAAGAAAGATAAAGTAACTTCGGGTAAAACTGATTTCACTTATATACGTATAATGATAGACATCCAGATGGGTTAATAGACGTATGACTTTCCCTTTAAAATTACATAGTAAATGATTAACTGCGCGCACAATGTTGACAGTTAAATATTAAATAATGTCGTTTTCTAAATTTTATAGATTTAAAATTGCTAAGCGTTGTGGTTATAACTACTCTTTTTTTTATTAGAATTGTTTATGATTGGAACAACTTACCAAGGGGAGGTTGCCAAATCAGAAAATTTGCATATTTTTAACAATAGGTTGAAACGTTTTTTAATGAATTCTTAAAATAGATTTTAGTCAAACTGCATGTAAGTAGGAAATAAATTAAAAAGGGATAACCTCATTTATCTCCTTTTCATTGATATTTGCAAATAAAATTATTATTACTATAACACAAACAAAAAGGCGACATTCTTTTTATTATAAATGTACGTAAGATTCAGATAAAGTTTGAATTTATAACTCATAAAAACTTTCACATAGAAACAATTTCGCATAGACATCACCTTAATAAATTTTTGTGGATGTATATCGTCCAGCTTAGTAGAGTTCTGAGAAGGACTGTTGTTGTTGGCGTTGACTGACGTTTCGGCAACCTTAGCGGTAGTCATCTTCAGAGCCAATTTTTTTGAAAAATTTGAAGATGACTACCTCTAAGGTTGTCAAAACATCAGTCAACACCAACAACAACAGTTCTTCTCAGGACTCTACTAACCTGGACGATCTACATCTACAAACATGTAACGATACTCCAGGGTTCAAACCATTCACTTTATAATAAATTTTTTACTAATTAAGGTACTGATTCACAACGCAACTACGCCATCGTAACAGATTCCGTGTGGGAGGAAAGTAGCAAACCGTTGGATAAGTTGACGTTAGAAAAATCTAAGCAAGATGAAACAAAAACCACAGAAGCCATTAAAGTTACGAAAGAAGATCGATCGCAAGTTGATGAGGAGTTTCGACAGTTTTCCAGCAAAAAAGAGGATGAAAAATCACAAGTTGTAAAAAAAATACGACGTTTTAAGATTGATGAATCACGAGACTTTCAAGGTAATAAGAAGGAATCATCGTCATCAAAAGAAGTTCCAAAGATGGAGAAACCCTCTTTGGAAGAACCAAGAAAAAAAGAGGAAGAAAAAATTCAATATGAGCGTCCACAACAAAAACAAAAGCAAAAACAAGGAGACACAAACTTTGGTAAAACTTGATGAAAAGGCAAAGAAAATCGCGTACTTGGAAAAGAAAGAAATGGAAAGATCAAGAAAGTCACACGAAAAGAAACGATATAAAGAAGAAGACTTTCATTCATATGGAACACCTTCCAATCCACTGGTGTACGTAAAGAGAAAAAAGACAAGACCATCATACAAGATCCCTGCTTCATCAGCAATTCAACAATATCCAAGAAGGTACGTATGAACAAGCTTTGCTTCACTTTTTTTTATAAATTGATATATTTATTCATATGTTCTTACTACAGATACCACGATGATAGATATGAAAGCGAAGTTTACAGGAGAAGAAGTACACGAACACCGTGGATAGAAGTGAAAAGGCGGGGAGATATAGAGCGAAGAATTGCTACCAAAGATACGCGTTTCCGCTATGGTGACGGTTATAGAAGCCATGATAATCTGCTTCAATTAGAAATACCTCAAAGGCTATTTTTGTCACAGGATTACGGAGATCACAGCAGGATGCACGAGGTTAACATATCCCACATGGAAATTGATGCAGTTCCTGACTACAATGACGAAGCGTTGCCATGGATAGAGTTGGAAACACGTGATCCCGTCACGAGAAAACTTCGTATCATCAGGTTAAAAATTCCGAGGAAGATGATCCTGAAGATTGTAAAATCTGCAAGGGGAAAAGACGGGAAGATTCGACTACGATCCGACGACATTAGCAAGTATTTCGAACAAAGTGGAGCAATTCCTGTCGGCTCTTCTGTACGTATGCATCTCAAGTATCCACAAAGCGCAGCAAGTAGCTACTACAGAGAGGGTGACGTCAATGCACAAGAGTCAAGCTCCAGGCGTTCACATTCTCATGACAGGGTAATGAGATCGAATTATGACGTAACCAGATCACGTGAGAAAACACCTGCAGTTCATTTGGCGCCATCCAAAAGCACTCACGCTGCTAGTTCATGGAATGAAACCATCAAACAAACAAATAATCAAGATCGTAGAGTCAAATTTCACGATCGTGAACGGTCTAAATCAACAGAAGATGTTCACTCCATTCATGCGAATGATTACGAAAGCAAGAGCAACTTCGTACCTGTCGCTTTAACACGTGATTCTCCGCGTAGCATTTTATTAGCTGATGGCACAACATGGAAACGAGTCAGCAAAGATGATTTGGATAACATCAATAAAATAAAGAAATCAGAAAGTCGTGCTTCATTTCGAAACTCGTACGAAATTGGCAGAGAGTCTGAGGCGGAGTCGTTCCCAGATCTACGCAAGTTTTCAAATGAAAATGCGAGAAACACGCGCGCAGATCCAAAAATATTCGATTATTTGATTGATGACGAGAATAAAGGAATCGAATGCTGAAAATTGCTTTTGTCGGTGGTCAAGAGTGGTCTTTTATTTCTTACATATATTTTTTCCATGTATTTCTTATGTTACAGTTACATGCATGCAAAGATCATATATTTAATAGATCTTTTTAGAAACGATCTTTTTAGATACTAAGGCAGAAGTATCAAAAACTATAAAAAAAAACAGTACCTGTTATTGTATCTTTACAAATATTTATACTAATACATATCATATTAGACAGTCCAAAGATAAACGATGTATTTAAAAGAGATAAAAGATGAGTCATGTATCAGTTTAGACAGCCTTGTTGATAGTAATCAAGTAAAATCATCAAAATTTTTATTATAACATATTTCATTTAGACATCTATGATATGCAAAGAAAAATTGTTGTTTATCATTCATTCACAATACTTTAAGAATTTCAAACATGCAGCTTGAGTGTTAGCCTTTTAAAACATTTTTAAACATCAGATCAAGTTATTTAGCTTGCTGCGTAGGTGGTTTCTGAATATAAACATATTAACAACGTGTTTATTTCCTTTTTTTTTTGTCAGCATGCAGATGAAACATATATCATTGTTAACGCCGTATATACATAATTTAAATTATCTTTCATGAGATTGAGAGCATTCATGAATACAACAAGGGTTGTAAATCACCTGTTGAGAAGCATTTAACTGCATAAAGAACATTTAAATCATACATATGACTTTGAACTCAAATGTTTGGCATCAAATTTCAGAAAAAAGAAAAAAACAGACTGAAATGAATCAAGGACATAGTCGTTTTACTCGATTTCATTCAATGACCATAGCAACAGAAACGTTTAGTTTGACAATGCACACAAATATGCTTTGTTAATGATTTTAATTTGAAACGCATTAGTTATAAGTTATAATACAACGAAGCACATTCCTCAGAGCCAATAAAACTTGCCGAGTATGCAGTACGTACTGCCGATGAGGAGCTAATATGAAAATTCGTAAAAAGATTGCTGATTTAGATTAATACTATCCAGATTTGTGTGGCCAGTACTTGAAGATTTTTTGAAGAAAGGTTAGTAAAATTGTTGGTTGAAAGAAATTTCTTTTACAAGATATCTTCTGTTTTGTCAAATAGAAATGCAACGAATGAAATGAATCTTCATCAATAATTCCTCATAAAATTATTAAAAATATGAATAAAAACGCTTCTATCTCGACGAACAGTTTTGGGACAAAATTGTGCTTATCACTGACATATATATATATATATACTGAGAAATGAATGAAACTTTTCCAAACATTTGTGCAATCGAGTAGTCGCTATGTTTTAAGGCAATTATGATGATATCAGAAACATAACGAAATAAGGAATTTTGATTCGACTCATTCCATGATTATTTAAAGGTAACTTTAACTTCATAATTACTTCAGTAGAAGAACCTTAATTACCTTTACGGCTACGTAATTTGCAATGTTACATGTACAGCTACATACTTTTTCTATTTTTAAAACTATACTTAATTATTAAGCAACGTATATTGAACTATTTCCTCTTAAGGTTTTTTTAAAAATTTAGCTCAAAAACTTATATAGTTGTGTGAAATATCAGTAAACAATAAACTGTTTATAATTCAGTGCTTACAGTTCAGACTTCGGTTTTAAAACTTGTGATTTTAAAACATATATGTAAAATGTAAAGTGAAAACATTGTCTTGGAAGGAAAGAGAATTTTCTTCGTAAAACCGTAATAAGACAAATACATAACATTGATAAGAACAACATTCTGACCCACAAATTGATCTAGTAGTTCAATGGTTGAAATATTTCAAACTTTTGACGAACCACATTGGGCGACAATTTTCCAAATCAAAAAATATTATACAGCACATACTTCACAACCGACTGTCCCCAACAAAGTGAAAAAAGTGCATAGAGCTACTAAACCTGTGAACTTGTGCAGATGGACAAAGAACACGTATCATTTGACCTTCGGTGAACCCAAAACAATCTAAAGAATGAGATAATTTTTATTAATTTCAAGAGACAAGACTCGAAAGAGAAGGTTGATTTTCTCCGTCACTAATAAGGAAGTTTAGATGGAGCTACAGTATTTCAGCAAATGATTGCCTATGTCAGGGAAAGATTTATGTTTAAGTGCACTAAAATCATAAGAGCAAATTATTGTGCAATATAAGTAAGTAAAAAGACATTGCGCCGTCAAGTGAATTGTTCTTTGCACAAAGACTTTCTTTGTACAACGCAAGTGTTATTAAATATGTGTTATTACATTTTGACTTCGCCAACAATGAAGAGTTTTAAAAAAATTTTCCGACATTAAACAGATTTTCACAACATATCCATGAAAACAAACTTTCCTTTTTGCCCCAATCATTTAAATGCAGGTATGAACATTTGACAAATGGAAATCAACTATCATTCAAGATATAAAATAATGTAAAGTTATGGCGTCGAGGCTTTATTTTCATTTCATTATTTGAAAGGTCTTTCAAAAGTGCATATGTACTCGGATTGTTTTCAAGTTTCTTAAAATGTAATCATCATTTTAACCTGCAAATGATTACAGCTTAAGAGAATTATGAAAATATTATGGGCATATTTTTACATATGTAAACATCTAAACAAATAAAGCAAAGGAAGGTGGGAGTTATAGAGGCGGTCAGGAGGACACGTATCCCCGCCTAATAACTTGAAGAGCTTATCACTTCAGAGTTACGTTGAAACTACGGTAATTTACATAAAAAGTGATGGCTTGTATGTAATTCATGTCGTTTTTATTTAATGGTAGTAAGGTGTGTCTGAGCTTAGAGCTTTAGGCTAGGTAACTTTACATCAACGAGTGCCCTCCTCCCAAATATTGCTAAGCTGAGACTAGGTAACTCTAGATCACTGAGTGCCCTCCCCCAAATATTGCTAAGCTGAGGCTAGGTAACTCTAGGTCACCGAGGGCCCTCCCTCCCAATAATGAAAACATAACTTACGTCCTGAAGCAAAATTGAAGAAAAAAGAAAAAAATGCGTGTACGTTTAATTTCAACGATTGACTAATGACTGGAACATTTACAATTTTTAAATAGAAATAATTTTGTAAATGGGTTTCCTCATTTCCATTTGAAACATATGCAACTGATTTGTCTGTTGTGATTATATCGGATTTATCCATAGAACCAATGGATTTATCACTTTCAAATTTAATAATTCGATTAACACAATAAAACATTCAAGAAAATGTATGTGCACGATATTTTAACGCACTGTCTCTATCTATCCACATCACATCCTCTCCTTTCTTGATATTATATCATCATCCATGAAGAAATAAAAAACTAATTATGTTTATTTCTTTCTAGAGGTCGAGAATTTAGAATACGATGGATGAATCGCGAATGGATGATTCCAGAAGAATCTTTCTAAATAATGAAGACAACAAAGAAATGTTACAAGGTCGCATTAATGAAGTTACAAAATCACCTTCCTACGATGAACTTGAGAAATTTCAATATACCGAAACTTCGTCTAAGTTAGATTCAGGAAATCAATCGAATCTGTCATTCCGACCAATATCACCAGAAAATGGAGAAGAGAAAAATGACAAGACAGTCAGCACTAACGCCATAGGTGAATTAAGAATTCCGAAGGTCAGTTTTCATAAAGATGACGATGAAGTGAACAGGTTGAAAGATTTAGATAGTCCAACAACAAAATCAAGTAGTGGTGAAATTTTAGAAAAAGTTGAAACAAGTTCTATGAACAATAGTAATGTACATAAAGTAAGCAATACATTGTTGCTTGATGATCCTGATGATCTTGAAGTGAAGAATTTAGCTCATCTGTCAACTGAGAATTTGATTGACGAAATCGAGCGATACAAGACGCGATCACCAAAACCAGAACAATTTTCAGTGGTTCATGGGAGAAAAATGAAACTGCTTTCCTATTCTCCAACACCAGAAGAAATTGAACAAAAGAAGACAACAGTCTCAGATGAAAATCAGCAAACTAGCAATAAATTGCTCGGAGCAGATAAGTCATTAAAAGACTTCGGACATGGAACCCTAACAAACAACGTGGATGAAATACGTTCCTATCAAACGCAAAATGAGACTTTTCAAATTTCACAGCAAGAGCAAGTAGAAACATCTAATACACCGTTAATAGAGCAAGAGTTTAAAAGAGATTTTCAAGACAAAGTTTCTCAAAAACAGGTAAACATGCGGTATCAATCTGATCCGTTTCAACTCCATTATGATCATTTTCATGCACCAATATCAACTCAAAGTTATGAACACATTGCAAGATGTGCAGTAAAACCATATAAAACTCGTATATATGAATTAAAACAGTTTCAAACTCAATCAGTTTACCATGCTACCGTAAAAACGAATGTTCGAGAGAAACCTTCAAACTTAAAACCAAACGAAAACAATACTAATTCAAAAGTGCAAGTTGATGAAAACATCGATGAACCAGAGCTGACAATGAAAGAGGAGATTGAAAAGAAACACGCAGATGACAGTGAAACAATTCCAATAACAGAAAATAATACTTTTATCGATTGCCCATCAAACAACCAACTTCAAAAGAAAAATGAAGAGTTTGGACGCCCACAAAACGTGAGTATCTTATTATATGTTATTGTTATATAATTATCGTTTCCGGTAAAATAATCTACCACTCACAAATATTCAGCCAGAGCGTCATTTTTAGTAGCTTCAATAGCTTAACAGAATTCGGCTGTTCGCACAAGCACAGTTCCTATATGTCTGTGCTCAAAAAACGGTGTAGCTAATCATAGTGTAGTTTCACAGATAAAGGTGTTATGACAACGACAGGATGTGACCTGATTAAAATCGCATCTATTTTAATTCTAAGAAATTGAAGATCATTTCCATTGAAATTTAACCAGCAAAACGAAACCAAACACTCTTAAAGTGGAATAATGGATGATCTAGTTTGCTTAAATGTAGGAGGGAAACTTTTCCACACGTGCTGGTCAACAATTTCTCAGAATGATGGTTCTAAACTATCATCTTTGCAAAATGAAATAAACTTAGATCGAGATGAACATAATAACATTTTTCTGGACCTAAATCCGAAATACTTTGAGATCATATTGAATTATTTACGCGAAAGACGTATACCATCCACATATGAAAATACATTTCACTCAAATCTCGAGCCTGAGGATGTAAAACCATTTTTTCAATCCGTAAAACAACTGGGTCTACAGAAGGTTTTCTCGTTGGATACACCGACATTCAAACATCGAAGTTCATGGATACAAACAAAAGAAAACAATTCAGTGATTGTTCACAGCGGTGCAAAGTATCCAGTTGGATACGCTTTAAGTGAAGTCGACAACAGCGGATTGAAAACTTGGAAACTACGCATAGAATCAATAAAAAATGAGATGTTCGTTGGAGTTTTGCAGGTAGATAATGAACCATATGATGATAGATCATATGACATGGAAGGATCACATGGTTGGTTACTTAAGGTTGGCGATGAAAATATTGCAAGTGCTTGGTTTAACGGGAAGAAAATCTACAATATGATCAGCAATATAAAAAATGGTGATAACATTCAAGTGATTTTAAATTGCATCGAAGGAAAATTGTCGTTGATTCTCTCACCTGTGAAAGAGTTTCACATATTTTTACCTCATTTGCCAGGCTGGCATCTTCATATTAATCTTTTTCATCACAATGATGAACTAAGAATAACTCAAGCATAGAATACTTTGTCAAACGTAATGAAATGAATCTTCTCGGATACTTTTTTTAAATATTCGCATAACTTTTTATGAAAAATGATTGATTTAGTTGGCCTGAAAAACAGAACATAAAAGAATCCTTCTAATAGATAAAAATTTTTTAAACAATTTGTAAATGTTTTAACATACAAATTTTCTAACTCAGATAAATCAAACGAAGAAAACTAATTGTTTATTTATAATACAGTCGTACTAACATTAAAATATGAAGTTAGTTGCTGCGACATATCCGGTTGTTCCAAGAAAACGGCAACTTTAGAAACTGCAGCATATCCAGTTGTTTCTTGGAAGAAAACGACAACTGAATTTTCGTATTGTCGTAAATAACAAATAATCAACGTGATCTTAATACATTATTCCATGCAATTTGGGACGATAAAAATGGAAATGAATGATCATATTGAGTATATTAATGTCGGAGGAAAAATACTGGCAACAATGAATTCAACATTATGTCAAATTCAAGATTCTCATCTTGCTCATTTATTCAGTGGACGTTGGGAACATAAATATGACGAAAATGGTTACATTTTCTTAGATTACAATTCACAACATTTCTCTATCATTCTCGACTATCTTCGAGCTAAAAAAAGTGAAACTACAAGTGAGTCTGCAACTTTATTCTCACTTTCTCTAAAAGATAAAGCTCCCTTGAAAAATCTGGCAGATTATTTGGGTATTTTTCCTTCCGCCATAAACCACGATTTGGATATGAATGAACAGGTGTCTGAAGACGACATATGCAAGTTTAACATACACAGTGAAGGGTTGGTACTTTATAAAATGGTCGAATGCTGAAGCATAAGGAAGGAAATCATCATGAATATGCAATTGGTAAAGATGAAGTAAATGGAGATAATTCATGTCAATGGCAATTACAACTTGACGAAGTTAAAACAGATTCAAAGATATTTATTGGTGTATTAGACACACAATATCGAGATGAAGGTGTTTCCCATTCTTTGACAGAACGGATGAATTACATACACAGTACACCTGTGTACCAATGGAAAGGATGTTATGGTTGGGTGCTTGGAGAAAATGTGCAAATATTTACCGATGGCAAGATAGTAGGTGATTTTACCTATGGTTGTATTGGGATTAAAGATGATATACTAAATTTGTACCTTGATGTTAAAGTATCTGATATATCAACAAGAACAGAGATTAGGCTTAATATTAAACCATCAAATGTAAATCATCGTATTCCTGTTCCTAGCTCAAGGACATGGCAAATTGTGATAGGGTCATATAACAGTCATGACTGTGTATCTTTTATTTAATGCAATTCTTAAAATGTTCATGCAAAAGTCTGTAATGAGCATGAATTTGCAATACAAACTTGTGGTTGCATTTCATAATTCATTGTACTTCTAGATGGTTCTTTCATGAAATAATTTTGATAAAGTCTTTTGTGTTGTGCTGTGATGTGTTGAGTGTTAACTAAAGCATGTTGTTTCTAAAAAACTATTTTATGTTTGTTCATGATATTTTTAGGGATTGCTGTAATAGGGGCAAGCTGTTGTGAGTAAAAACTGCAAAGTAAAATAAATAAATAAAAAATAAACTTTAAATTTTGTCCTTGAACCCAAGCCCTAATGCTACTATGGTGGACCCCTGCCAACATTGGCAAATGTTGTTTGGTAAATCCCAACCAAAAATATTGGTTGCAAATCAGGAATGAGTTGACAATTTTTCATTCACAAATCATTCAACATAGAAATATGAATTTTTTTCGTTTTTCAAGAAATGAACATCTTTTTAAAAAATATCAAAACCGCAAATATGGCTATAAAAGGCAAGTCATTAACTTATTCCATAAACAAAACACAGAAAAGGAAAAGCTTGTTGAAAGCCAAATCGTTGCATACTTAAAGTATTCATGAATATGTTCCGAATAAAATAATATTGGAAGATTGTCAAATCAATGAATATAATGTGGCCTTTTTCACAAGTTAATCACACTAGTGACCTTTTCAGTCTTGTCTTGACGTTACATAATGTTACACAAATAAAGTTTGTCAATACTCAATAGCGAACTATGAAAACATACCTCGTCATTATTTAACTTTAAGTCCCAGACTTTGAATCAGCATTGATGATAAATTGTATTTATGGTTAGGTAGGTTAGACAGAAAATTTTGCTAAAAACATTGTATTATCGTAAGTTTCTTTTTCTGTGCTCCGTTCTTTCACATGTGTTTTATGAATGGTTTTGATTGGCTACAAAAATTTTGAAAGTCATGTGACATCTCCTTACCAAAAATTTTCATTTATTCAACATTCCAAATTTCAATGTAACCTTTTCTATGATTCTTTCTTTCTTTATAATACTCGCATTAAAATTCAATGTTTTTTCATCGCCGCACTTCTATTTGATTTTCACCCGAATTTTCTTAATTCATAGCACAGAGCATTTGATATTTTAATGTTTTACTTTATATTTTACTCACAGAAATAATTAACATGCATTAACAAACAAAAAATAAACTACTTTAAAACAACTTTCTTCATTGATTAACTTTAGGACGTTTCTAGTACGTACGACGAAGACGAACAACTGTATCAAACTATAGAAGTGATTTTGATTGATGAAATCACTCCAACAAAAAAGAAACAGAAATCAAAGAAACACCACAAAAAAACAATAAATAAATTACCTTGTAAAGACGTTGCAATCCAAACACAGCCATATGAAGATGATGCAGATCAGATAAAAACAAATGACGAAAATGATTCAATGTATCAACAAAGACCATCAATAAACAGCAGCACAGCCGGCACTAATGACGAAATCTATGAAAATTTGACTCCAAGATTTGATGTGATGGATTTCGTTGAGGAAGACGAGAGGTTACGCGCTTATACATCACAAAGTGAAGCACCACCAAGCAAAAGACACAGAGAATCATTACCTGAATCATCTACACATCCTAGCATTATAATGGAAGATGAAAAAGAAGATTCTCTAGTCGACCCATCAGTTAACGAGGCAAACATGGTATCCATTATTAATCAACCACATGAAATTACATATTTTACTCTAAAAGAAGAAAATCAACGAAAAGTAGATGAAATTATTCCACCGTCTTACATCGGAGTAGTTGTTGAGCACGTACCGGAATTAGAAAGACAATCAACTGTGAAAGATAAATTAAATGAAACTGAAAACGAAAAAGTGACCACTACTTTCTGCTCTAAAAATGTTGTGAAACTTAGAGTTGGGAGAGTGAAAGAAGTAGAGCCTTATGGATCTGAAACCTACTTTCCTTCAACAATTAAAGAAGAAACAATGGAAGAAATAAATGATGCTGAAAGATGTGAAGCAAAAAATGTTGAAGTGGAGGAAAGTATAAGTGACCTGAAGAATGAGTCATTAATTTCAAACGAAAAAGATAGTATGATGCTAAACGATTTCAATAACAACAACGAGAGCATTGACTTAGAAAACGCACCTGTAGTAGACGCAACTTTTTCTGTGGTTCCAACTAAAACTGAGAAAGAAATAATGACCGTGCGTTTAGGGAATAAAAACTATGTTCGATTAAGAATTGGTGAAAGAAATCGAGAAAACTCGCATGAGCCCACCAAAGATGGAGAACGCAACAAATTATCAACGATAAACGTAGATGTTCATGAAGATGATAGAGAATATTGTAAACATGAATCTTCTGGTGAAATGCCAAAGAAGAAAGTTACCACACCTGAAATAATTATAAATAAAACCATAGACGAAAATAATGATGTCGAAAAAATGGAAATAATAAATCATGCATCCTCAGAGGGAAGAGCTGAACAGAAAATTAGCTCAGAAGACATAAATGCTCAGTCACAATTAAATACAAATAACATGGATTATATGAAGCCGTTGTCTATCAACAACGAAGAATCGCTTTTCAATGGGCAAAAAGACCAACAAATTGAAACAGAGGATAATAACCCTGCTGTCTTATATCACGAACCATGGTCACCAACCATGTCTAATATACAAGATCATTGTAACACAATTTTATCATCAGATGATGTTCAAACGACAGCAACGCAACTGAAGGAAGCGCCGAATTCGAGAAAACATGAACAAGATACATGGTTAATAAACACTGATATCTCGGATTCTGAATCAGCTCAGATCACTTCTACTGTTGAAGAAACAGATGCAAGCGCTGATATTAGGGGCAATCAAAGCAAAGTCGTAGGCACATCATCACAAAATAATGTATTAGAGAATAATGAATGCAATGAGAAAGATGAAATTTTTCAGTCTAAAGACGAAAGTAAATACTTCGACACCACAAAATTGGACGAAAAATCGGGAAAAAACTTATCTCTTAATTCAACGAATGAAATAGCTGAGGACATTAACGGATCGAACGCAAATATCACAGAGAGTAGAGAAGGATCATTAGAGGATATGCTTAGTAGTTCAGGATCATTGGATAGCAATAGTAACAAGTATGATGCGATAGAAGTTAAAATATTGCCTTGGATCAAAATACGAAAGAAAAGATCATTTCAACAACGCTTGAGTTTGAAGAAGGATAAAAAGAATGGAGTCGTACGAAGATATTCTCTCAGGTACAATAAAGATGACAAACTTCTTTTGCTGCCTCTTCCACATAAAATATTCATGGAAAACCAAAATGATGCAGGGATGATTTACAAAAAGGCTATAATACCGTGGATGGAGGTACATTCTTCAACAGGTAAGTAAAGAAAAGGTATAAAATCAGTTTTACTTCACAAGTTGATGAATAATTCGTTTAGATTCGTACACAAAAGTGTAAGTATGAATGAGGGCGGTTTTTAAATGGAATAAGACGTACTCAACATGAAAACTGAAAAGAATACCTTTTTTACACATACATCTTTCTGATAGGAGACAAGAGATATCTTCCGTGGATAGAGCTCACTCATCAGAACCATGATAAAGATCTTATCATCATGTTGAAAATCTCTTATGAAATGATTGTGAAAGCTTCTGTCAAGGGTACAAGCAATGAAGACATACAAGTCTACATACCTTGGACTGATGCTGTCCAATATTGGAAAGAAACAGATCAGATTGCACCTAGTTCTTTGTTACAAAAAAAAGAGATTGCGAATATTGCACTCAACTTTCAGAATGAACGAAACAAAACAGCGAACTCCTTCACAAAAGTCCTAATCTTCCGATCACGAGATTTATCCTGCCTCGTAAATGCCCATCACGTGAAACTACGTTTGTTCAACCCACGATAGAAATAAATGAAAAAAGGAGTATTGAAGTGAGCATCAACAAATCCATGAAGAAGATACAGAATGAAAGTACTTTTCGTCGATTGAGTAAAGCGGAAAGACGAAAGAAATATACACATGTTTTAGATGCACAGGAAAAGGCACTGCTTGATGATAGCAAAACTGTCAATAGCTTAGATGAGTCTAACAAATCGTGATCGGAATATTAAAGTTTCTAAAAGACCTTGTATAATCAAAGTTTTTGTAAAAAAAGAAAAGAAACAATGACTGATGTGTCAAGGCATAGTTCTACAAGTAACAACAAAATTTGTATTTTTGTACACTTCATCATATATATGCTGCAATTTAATTCATCAAAATTTACAATTGAACATTCATTCGGCTTGAATCTTAACATATTTAATCGTAATATAATGCCCAATTTGATGTATTAATATAAATAATAATTCGCATAATCAATGCTATATGTTTTATTTAAGAATAGCTTCTTTAAGTTGACTAGGTACAAATAGACTACATGGATTTCCAATGTCTTAAATCGTCACGAATTATTTCAAGTTACAACTAAAACAGGTAACAATTATGGATTGTGTTTACACATATTCTTAGTGGGCTTCATTAAAGGACAGTTCAAAAAAACCAAAGATGGTTGCTACGATCAGGAGGTATCTTCTTTATAATCTGAAATCATAGCTGACAAGCAATGTTAACCTAGCACAACGACATTAAAATGTTAACAAAAAGATGTATATTGTAGTTCAACATCTGTTGTTTTAAACTCTTCAAAATAAAGGTGACAGCAACCTTAAGAAGTTAGTTTCCAACACACCACAAATCATCAAAGCCCTTCTGCATTAATTCTTTAGGAGGTTGATATTCAAGAAAGACATTATTCTTGTTGATTCCTGAAAACTCTTTGTTCAGCAAGCTTTCATAAGAAGAATCAAACCATTTGGAAACATCTGCCTCAGTTTTTCCAATTGGTTTTTCAAGAAATTCAACCAAACTTTTAATCCCAGGATAATAGTGATGCCTTAATGTTTCCAATTCCCACAGAGAACTTTTCAAAGCATTGCATTTACTTGGATCAACTTCGTCCTCTTGAAATGGATCCAAATTTATGCACCTCTCATCCTTATTTTGTTCATCAAAAGCCTAAATGAAATTCAAAAGTGACATAAATGTGTGGGTTCTTTAACAACTATTACATCACGGGAAGCGCAACTTCCGGTGAAATGGCACACTTTATTTGGCTTAGAAACATTTTTACTGGTCGCTCATTTTTCCATAATGGTCGGACAATGGAATACACGTAATTTTTTCAACAAAATGAAAGCAAATTTAATGAAGCAAACAGTAAAGGTTTTGTTAAAAACAAATGCAAAACAAAAACAGGTAAGAATATGATTTGGAAGAAAACACTTGAAAAGTGAGTTCTTTTCCAGGTGCCCAAATTTTTGACAATTTATTTTTACTGACAAAAACTAAAGTGAAAGCCAAAACAGTTAGCACAAGAAAAGAAAACAAGCTTTATTTCAGGTCAAATAATGCCAGCTAATAAACATTTTACTAACCTCACTTGCTCAGTGTTTACAAAGAAATATTGGAACTCTGTCTTTTAGTACAAACCTTGCCCAATGGGCTAAGTCAGTAAGTTTAGGGTGCCATTTTTAGTTTTAATAATCAAAACATTAAAAGATCATGTTTCAAAATTACATCATCAGTTAAATAGTAGCCAACCTCTAGTAAGTGGACATCTCCCATAAGTAGACACAAAGTCATAGTCTCGAAAGTGTCAGCTTATGGGAGATACGACAGTAACTTCTACTTGGTGCAACAGATAAACAGTCTTATTAGGATCATAATGAAAGCACTGCGATGGTAAATCAATTTAGACTGTACATATGGTAAATGACAAAGCATACATATTATAAATACCTGTTTTTCCTTTTGGTGAATCAAAACTTTACAGTTAGGATGTCTTCGAATAAGATTGCCAATAAACACAATGACCATAGCAATGGCATAAGGAGGTGCTCTTAGTGCAAGTCTTGACAATCGTTTAATGAATGCAGCAACAAGATACGCAGGTAGATGACTTGACATTAAAAACAGATCAGCAAGATAAAAAAAGCGGGCACGGTATTTCATATGAAAGACTTCCACATCAAAGAGGCTGTAGAGCTTTTTGTAGAAATCAGGATAATCTAAATTATGTTTGTGAATGAGTACAAACAAACCATTAAGAGCAAGAATGCTTGTGACACCGCCCGCATTATAAGAATCAACCAAAAAATCCATTAAAATTTTTGGATCAACAAAATAAGGAATAACTTTATGTTCAAGATCCAGTAAGATATGACGATACAAACTGCTATCAAGAGAAAGTCCAAGGAATGCCATCCAAGCTTCAGTAAATACTTTCTTGTATGCACTTAAGTTCATTACACTGTGTCTAAACACGGAATGATTTACCCTAACATTCTCCATTGAAACCACATACAAGTTAGAAAGATCTGTTTCTTCCTCAGGAATGGTAACCACAGACAAAAGTTGGTAAATATTTCTTGGAAAATTGCCACCAGTTATTACATGATTGTTCATCATCAGACCTTTTTCTGTCCGTGTGATCACTTTGTTAATATTTCGTAAAGTGTAGTAACACACATCATTAAAATGCAAATACGAAATAAAGTTTTTCACTGTCATGCTATTATCGTAACTGCCATCAATCAAATTGATCAAAATTTTCAGAAATAGATCATTGGAAAACCAATACTTTTGTGGATTCTTTGTGCTTTCTGCTTTCACAAACTTCATTAATGCTTTCAACGCTTCTAAAGAAATCTTTACAAAAGGACTCTTTAACAGCATTAAGAGCTTCTTGACTGTTAAGTCATAATTACTAGTCAACCAGACTTCAACAATTTCTTCAGGTTTTTCTGCTGATTTGGCAAATTTTGTCTTTTTTGTCTTCACTGGACAAATATTTGATTGGATTAATTCAGACAAAATTCTACCAATACCTTCGATACATAACAAAGAAATGGATTCATTCTTGTTTTCCACTCCTGTTATTACGTCTACAATATCGTTGATTTTGGAGCGGTCTGCCAAAACATTCTCAATTTTGTTTTTATAAAATTCTGCACGTTCATCCGCCATGCTGTTTTATTTTTATTACGCATGCGCAGGTACGAAATGAAACTGATTGTCATCATCCAAACAGCGGATGTTTACAAAGATTAATTATATACTACATTGCAATCGTTTATACTACCTGTAAAATGTCCTAACAAAAAGGTATTTCAATGTTTGCCAGTCAGAAAAGGAAAAACTGTCTTGTATGAAAATTTCAAAAGACTGACTACGCAAGAATGTTGAAAGCAATTCACAGATGAAGAAAAACGAAAGGTATCTAGAGTTTTTGTGGCCTGTCTTCAGTTGTGTACACTCTTATCGCTATGTGTCTCAGTGTCTGTATAATGTCTGTGCTATTATTATTTTTTACTATCATTTATATTTCTAAAATATGCATGTTGTAATATAGTTTAGATGTTGATGTAAAGATTTTTGAACGTTTTGCTTTTGTCGAATAAATGCATTCTTTTCATTGCAATTTCGTATACAACACAGTCAGCATACTCGTTCTTTACCATCTCATTTAACTGAACAAGCAATTTCACTGAACTTGACTACATTAGTGGCGAGTATTTCGCTTTAAAAAAACTTGAATTACTTTAGCTGTCACAAGAAAGTCATCTGAACTATGAAATAAGCGGTTATACTTGTGTATTGCATGACTTTGTAGTTGTTAGGAGTGACACCTGTCACATTGTAGAAAACTAAAGCTAAAGTACAATAATTTGAAGCCTGTAAGTGAAACTAGTTGAGCTGATGTTAAAGTAAAGTAAATAAAATGGATTGTGCGGACAGTGGGATGCACAATGTCAAGGAATTCATGTATGACTTGACTGTCTACTTTTATTACCCATAAGTGGGCGGGCGATGGACGTTGTTTGACTTGCAAATCTTACGATTTGGTTGAACGTTAAACGTTAAAAGTTGATTTTGCCGTATCGTATTATAATGATCAGTTTATGATTTTAAACTCATAAATTTTCTGTTTCTGTTAGCCCACGTATAACGTCATGTTGTGGTACGTAAAGTTGATTATACAAAACAAACAATGTCTGCATTTGTAAGAGGGAACAAAATGAATAATGAACTATTTATCAAAATAGTAGAACATAATTTTCCGACACAATTTTGAATAAAAATTTTTGACACAAAATACGCGCTTTGTCTCAAGTCTGGTTAAAATTCCCGTGAAGGCAATATTTACTAGCTTGAAAATATATTGTATAATTTTTACATCGCAGGATCTATTTTCGTATTTTTATGAAATATAAGACTAATGACTTCTCTTTGATTGTAAGTTGTTCACAATATGTAAAAAAGGTGTGCATGTTCAGTTGTGCAACAACAAACCATGTGCTACTGGTGAATCGTAATGTCAGTTAAAAATGCTTTTTCCAAGTATTTGAGAAGAGTCTTCTAAGAAATATTATTTTTGCTCTTTCCTCCAAAAATCAAAAGCTGTTAGCATTGTTCCTACAACGCGCTCCACTGGACAAACTCATGCAAATATTGATTTAATACCTCTTGGAAGCTTTGATAATTTCCAAAGAATTTATTGACATTTACGTGCTTTTAGCCATATAAGAAAGATTTCATCTTCAAAGATTTTGTTTTTTTTTAGCATCGACAGGGACAGACTGTCAAGTCAATGTGAACTACCAGAGGCGATTAAAGCGACATCTGTCGCATTAAATCTTTGTTTGGCCAATAAATTTTCACAAGCCAGAGAACAGTTGCGACCATGGTTAGTTTATGACAGCCTTTCAGCAACTTTCAGGGCAATGCTTCTTTTAGAGTTCTAGTTAAATATCAACAGTATGTTTTGTATTCGTATTCCAACACCGATTGCAGTCGTTTTCGTTACATGATGTTAATTGTAGGAAACTTTTAAATTAAAAAATGCAGTATTTCTTTCAAATATTTCAATACTTTCAGTTATAAACACGAGTTTTTTTATCTCTATAAGACAATGGAAAATGTGGCAAAACAAAAGACTTGTATAATTGTCATAGGTGTACGCAAGCTGGCATTTCTGCAGGGGGGGGGCAGTAAATATTTTCTCCAACTTGCAATGAATGTTTTCCAATATTTTCGCCCCACTAACGTTTAAAATTTGTTCAACTTTTCAATCTTCAAACTTTACATGGGTGGGCAGCTGCCCCCCCCGTATCGTACTCCAATGCCAATTGCTTATTAACTATTGGTGAATTCAATTTCAGGGCAAAGGAAAGCATGTACCATGCCCTAGGTTATGGTACTATCATGTCTTTGCAAGCTTTGATGACTTTTGATAAGGTATTTCTTGTATTTGCTTTCAGTTTGAACTTTATTCTTTGTATATAATTTAATATCATTAAGTCTATTTAATTCCAGGTTTTGATTGATGACGCTGGTCAGAGCATAAAGTCTGCATTACAAGTTTGTGAAAGGTGATTGAAAATACATTACACATGATTAATGTTTGAATTATCTTCCACAAATTACCTCTGTAACTATTGACAACATACACACGGCAGGCGAAAGTGCCTCATATGTCATGATTTTTGTTCAGATTTCGTCGGAAACAATCATGGTCAGAATCATTAACCAGCTTTTTATGGAAGCCTTCCTACGAGAACGCTACAGAAGGTTGTGTCTTTAAGTATTTAAAACATCGAGTTCTCGCATTGGAATTTTAGGGAACCGTAGGAGATAGTAAGAAACAGTAAGGGAGACTAAGAAAGCGTTAGGGATGATTAGGAACAGTAGAGAATGTGAGAAATATATTGCAACGTAAGATGCTCCCAATACTCACATATCTTATTTTACTAAAATCGTAATGGTTAACATGTATTGATGACAAATTAGAAATTTTCTTGATGAAAAGTTCTGCAAACTCATTTTACTTTTTTACTAACTAAGAGCTTACCTAGCTGTTTTTTTACTAACTAGGAGCTTACCTAGCTGTTTGTTTTACTAACTAAGAGCTTACCTAGCTGTTTTTTTACACATTGTGTGTAAGAGTACGCAATAACTTCAAATGATTCTCGTTTTAGAGGAACTTCATGCTGAATTGTGTTACGCAGAGTGCCTCCTTCAAAGAGCTATTCTGAATTTTGTTGAGGTTTTTTTCTTGAAATAATTAACGTGAAATTAACTGAACGGCAAGCTTGACGACATACAAATAATTATTGCTGTTAAAAAATTATTCTGGATTACAATTGTCCTACAGCCAACATTTAGGAATTTCAGGTGAAATTTAAAGTATGATTTCATAAAGTTCATATATTTTTTACTTTTAGGACGAAAGTTTACTGTCTTTTGTCAAAGGTGGATTAAAAATTCGAAGCAGTTATCATACGTACAAGTAAGTATGCTATTTATTCAATAAAGTATATCGTATATGCAGAATTAAATCCACCCTCTGGAATCAATTCGGTTAATTATTTTTTCTAACCTTACCATAGCAAATTTAGTCCAAGCTGAGAACAGGAAAAATTCTTTGTAAATGCACATAAAGAATTTTTATCAATTTAATGTTAATAATATAATGTTAGTTTAAACATACAAACATATCAACCACTATGTAATAAACTCTATGCTTTACGTCGATATTTATTCGTGTTTTTACCCTGTTGTCGACTTGTCGGCTACTATATATGTATGTTCATCATACACATCCTTAATATATAATTAACCATATTATACAGAGTATGTTATGATATGATGGAAGACATCGAACAACGCAATCAATTATCGTCCATGTTCACGGATTTCAAGGGGGGAGTGAACTTAGGATTGGGAACATTCAATTTGGTAAGGATGAGTCATAGTGAATGAGAACATTGTCGTCATCGTAGAGTTGCATGCTAGAGTTGACATATCAAAATTATACTTATTACCTTAAAAAGTCCTCCCACATAAGGCGTAGTTGACTTCAATGGACTGAGTTTTGTACGTAAGGCGTAGTTGACTTAAATGGACTGAGTTTTGTACATAAATTGTAGTTGACTTGAATAGACTGAGTTTTGTGCGTAAGGCGTAGTTGACTTAAATGGACTGAGTTTTGTACATAAATTGTAGTTGACTTGAATGGACTGAGTTTTGTACGTAAATTGTAGTTGACTTGAATGGACTGAGTTTTGTACGTAAGGCGTATTTGACTTGAATGGACTGAGTTTTGTACATAAATTGTAGTTGACTTGAATGGACTGAGTTTTGTACGTAAATTGTAGTTGACTTGAATGGACCGAGTTTTGTACATAAATTGTAGTTGACTTGAATAGACTGAGTTTTGTACAAAAGTTGTAGTTGACTTGAATAGACTGAGTTTTGGACATAAGGCGTAGTTGACTTGAATAGACTGAGTTTTGGACATAAGGCGTAGTTGACTTGAATAGACTGAGTTTTGGACATAAGGCGTAGTTGACTTGAATAGACTGAGTTTTGTACAAAAGTTGTAGTTGACTTGAATAGACTGAGTTTTTACAAAAGTTGTAGTTGACTTGAATAGACTGAGTTTTGTACAAAGTTGTAGTTGACTTGAATAGACTGAGTTTTGGACATAAGGCGTAGTTGACTTGAATCGATTGAGTTTTGGACATAAGGCGTAGTTTACTTGAATAGACTGAGTTTTGGACATAAGGCGTAGTTTACTTGAATAGACTGAGTTTTGTACATAAGTTGTAGTTGACTTGAATAGACTGAGTTTTGTACAAAAGTTGTAGTTGACTTGAATAGACTGAGTTTTGTACAAAAGTTGTAGTTGACTTGAATAGACTGAGTTTTGGACATAAGGCGTAGTTGACTTGAATCGATTGAGTTTTGGACATAAGGCGTAGTTGACTTGAATGGACTGAGTTTTGGACATAAGGCGTAGTTGACTTGAATGGACTGAGTTTTGGACATAAGGCGTAGTTGACTTGAATGGACTGAGTTGAGAGCTGAGATTTGTGGTTGAATTATGTTTTGAAAAACGGCCATTTGTCAAAATTCTTTTGTGTTTGAGTTTAACCTACGATGAAAAAAAGGATGACATAAGGTATAAGATAAAACGTTGTTATTCATTGCTATGTGGTTACATCTTTAGCTTTTGTCTCTTTTACCTGGAAAAATATTAAGGCTTCTCGAGTTTGTTGGTTTCTCTGGCGACAAGGTTTGCAATTTCCTGATTTCACTGTCAGTCTTGTTTTCATGTTTTAGACACTTAATCACTTCAATTTCTATCGATTATTTAGTACTATGGATTAAGCTTACTTAATCACTTCAATTTCTATCGATTATTTAGTACTATGGATTAAGCTTACTTGATCAAGGCTTTCTTGATGAAGGTCTAAGATCACCTCTATGTGCCATGACAATCCTCGCCTATCATACCGTTATTACGTATGTTCTAGGTATATTACTGTCTTCCTCACAATTTCATTTTGTATTCACAGAGTCTGTTTCCATTTTATTGTTTTGATAAATTCGTTTGTAATTAAACGTAATTGTTTCAATCTTCTATATAAATTTGCTCAATATTTAATGTTTAGGCAATGGAGATGGAAATAGCGATTATGCGCATAAAATATTAAAGCCTTGTATCAAGTTATTTCCAAAGGTATTAAAATCTGTTCCTCGTGTAGGCAATGAAGTTATTTGTCAATGTAGCAATGAAAATATTTAGTTGTACGACAGCTTTTCGTCTTTTGGGGTGGGGAGCAGTAGCTTACTGAATCAAATTTTTACCTGTTCAACAATCATTTGTTGTCGAAATTTACACTCACATGCAACTTTTAGGGGAAGGGCTAATGCTCTCCATAGACATGAAGGAAAGTCATCTATTCGTCTTTTATTTTCATTCCGCCTTACGTTATTTATAGGGAGCGATTTTCTTGTACTATGATGGTCGTGTCAAACACGTTGAATGTTACCTGGATGAGGTATAAGTATTAGACAAACACGTTGTGTGAAACACGTTAAATGTGACAAACACGTTGTGTGAAACACGTTGAATGTGACAAACTCGTTGTGTGAAACACGTTGAATGTGACAAACACGTTGTGTGAAACACTTTGAATGTGACAAACACGTTGTGTGAAACACGTTGAATGTGACAAACACGTTGTGTGAAACACGTTGAATGTGACAAACACGATGTGTGAAACACGTTAAATGTGACAAACACGTTGTGTGAAACACGTTGAATGTGACAAACACGTTGTGTGAAACACTTTGAATGTGACAAACACGTTGTGTGAAACACGTTGAATGGGACAACCACGATGTGTGAAACACGTTGAATGTGACAAACATGTTGTGTGAAACACGTTGAATGTGACAAACACGATGTGTGAAACACGTTGAATGTGACAAACACGTTGTGTGAAACACTTTGAATGTGACAAACACGATGTGAAAACGTTAAATGTGACAAAACGTTGTGTGAAACACGTTGAATGTGACAAACACGATGTGTGAAACACGTTGAATGTGACAAACACGTTGTGTGAAACACGTTGAATGTGACAAACACGATGTGTGAAACACGTTGAATGTGACAAACACGTTGAATGTGACAAACGTTGTGTGAAACACTTTGAATGTGACAAACATGTGTGAAACACGTTGTGACAAACACGTTGTGTGAAACACTTTGAATGTGACAAACACGTTGTGTGAAACACGTTGAATGTGTGTGAAACACGTTGAATGTGACAAACACGTTGTGTGAAACACTTTGAATGTGACAAACACGATGTGTGAAACACGTTGAATGTGACAAACACGTTGTGTGAAACACTTTGAATGTGACAAACACGATGTGTGAAACACGTTGAATGTGACAAACACGTTGAATGCTACCTGGATGAGGTACTAATACTATTATTACACAAAGAAAAATCTTTTCTAGTTAACAATCTGAATCTCAAATGTTTTTTTTAAGTCGAACAAGCTTGAAATTCTTAAATATTCGAAAAATTGATTTTATTTTCAAATTATTAAGCCGTGCATACTTGTAGAGTTGCCATTTGAAATAAGGTTTTATTTTCCTTACAATTTTAATTGTACATTTCCAGGCAATAATCAAATACAATGAGTCCATTAAATCTCAGTCGGAGTGGAAGCAGTTTCATCATTTATGTTACTGGGAGTTGATGTGGTGTTATTGGTATTTTATGGATTTTTTTGTTGTACAAATAGATTTTTTTTCATTCACGAAAGTTGTTTTTTTAGTTTTAAACGTAATTGGAAAGAAGCTTATGGTTATGCCAAAAAATTATTGTCGGAAAGTCGCTGGTCTGCGGTGGGTGATTTTGTAAATGTTTTTTTCTAGCTATTTATTTAATTCAATGTTATTATTTCATCCAAAATACATATTTTTTTTTCAGTGTTCCTATATGTATTTCTGCGCTGTTTTCAAACTTATGGCAAGAATTGATCCTAAATGTGAATCGTTATCTATCCAGAACGAAACTGAACAAGATAGTGAAGAAAACATGTTCAGGTTTGTCTCAAAATTCTTTCCTGTACTTGATATTACACGAAATATCCTCTAAATCTAGATTATATGAGGACTTTCATTTGTTCCAAAAATTTACTTCACGTCATAGAAAAGCTCCTGAACTTAAACAAAGAATTGCTGGAAAGTCCATTCAGTTCGAAAAGTTTTCAATAAAAAGGTGTAAGGATTATTTTGATAAAGAAAACTTCCTTTGGCTGCCTGCTATTGTAAGTTTAATATTTTTCTAACTTAACAGTTTGAACACAACACATTTTTTCATAGAATTACTCTGCAATCTGTAGATATACAACCAGAAGACATTCAGTAAACTACATTGTAAAGAATATTGCATATATATATATATAGTTACGTTCAAAGTTGTTAATTTCTTTGTCTTTTTTATAAGGAATTGATATTCTTGTGGAATGGCTTTAGAATCATTTACAAAAAACCGAATTTAGTAAAGAGTTTGTTGGAATTAGTTCACGAATCACAAAGAAAGCAGTCAATAACGAGACGTGATGGTGTGCTATCTTAATTGTTTGCCTCATTTCTGTTCTCCTAGATGTCCAAACAAATTATGTTCATGTTATTTTCTCATTCTTGATAAAAATACTAAAAACTGTGTTTAAAAATTTAAGGCCTTTGAACTTACTTATCAAACCTGATTTTAAATGTTAAATTTCAGCTAGTGTTTGTTGTTCCGTAGTTTCTGACTTGAGATGAATTTAATTTCTATATGTGGGTTGGACAAAGTGATAAACAACCTTTATAAAGAAGTATTCTTAGATGAACGTTTTGTATAGTATGTGCTAGTTTCTCGTTTTCTTATGAAACAGGAAATGTCTACAAAATCGAGGATGTATGTCTGTTGAAATTGTTGGAAGGGATGTGTGTGAGATGTTTACAACAAACTGATTTAGCTATGGTTTGTTTTCAGCAAGTTTTAACGCAGTAAGTTTTTTCTCATATATTATTTTATAAATAAACTTGTGTTCAGATTACATTCATACGATGTACGTAAATGCATATTCTTTCAAACTCTTTTCGTATTTGTATTTTTTCAGCGAGGACAATTTTGCTCGCGAGAGCTATCTACCAGCTTATACGTGTGCAGAGGTTGGTTTTATGCATTTGGACAAGGAAGATATAATAACTGGGAAAAAATACTTGGAAATGGCCAGGTAAACATTAATTTACTTATTTACAACGTTTGTCTTGAGATTAAGTTTAATGGCTGTTATGGATCGAAATCCTTGTCGATCTACAGGCAGAGATTTGGCAAATAAGTATGGATCGCAATTTGTGCATGATCAGGAATTTGCGACAAACTCTACTATATGAGTTCAACAAAGGACTCCAAAAATGATGAGCCAAATATCACATACTAGAATTCACAAATCATGAATTTGCCTTTGATATAATGAATTGAAGAATGTGTATATAGGATCTGCGTCCAAGAAGACTTAAGGAATTCTGTTGTCAGATAATTTCTGAGGATTTGACCAGTTTTCAATTATTCTTTTTAATTTATTTTTGTAGCAAAAAATATCATGGCTATATCCTGGAGAATCGTCTGCGTTTTAGAATTCATTCCGCTTTACAAGACATAGAATGCAATCAATACAATTTCCCACGTACAATCGAGAGCAATGTTGACATAGATGTAGACTCACCTAGCGAAAACGTGACGGGAAACGTTAGTGAAAATTTAGACAAATCTGACAAGCCTTGTAGCACTGTTGAAGTCAAACGTTACCACGAAACAGCCATATAATTATACTTAGATCTATGAACTGTGTGAATATATAAATTTAGTGAAGTTTTCGTTATTTACGCTCGTATAGGTAGGTAAATATTTATTTTACAGACAGTTTGTCGATCGTTTAATTGTTGTGGTAGATATTAAAATAAAAATATAAAAGATTGCATCCTAGTGAGATACATAATAATACGACCTTGAATGATCTTTACCTTAAAAAAAATTTTATGATAACGAAAATTCTATATATTTATTTCATAAAAAATAAAACGAAGCTTCAAAAAACAGTGAAGAGATCATTTGGTTGAAAATTACTATCATTATTTTTCATGTTTTTTTGTTAAAAATTTGTCATAATTTTCAAAGTAATTTGTTATTGTAGTTTTTATTTTTATATCATCAAAAGTTAAAGTTTCTATAATTTTCGGAAGAGACGTTTTCCCTGACATATGAATCAATGAATTATAACCATGTTAGTAAGTGTATCACTGTATTGGATTGTAAAATGACCAACAGAGAATTTGGCAGCTTCTCCGTGAGATTGTAGAAGGATTAGTTCATGTTCATCTGCAGGTAGAAACGGTCGATTATTGTATGTGCTAACTGTATGTATATGTAACTTAACATGACAAAAAAATGTGAACAATTTTCATTTAGCTCAGTATATAAGTATATAAAGACCTATTATTTGCTGTTTTTCTCTAATTTTTGCCAATAGGGTATGATGCAAATAAACGCGTTTCGACATTTTTGGTTTTGTATTGTTACATTTTTTAGGTGTTTCGTTTAAAAAGTCAACTAATGACTAAGAAACAGAGTTTGGTTTTTGGATGAACTGAAAAACTCGTTTTGGATTTCTAAGTTCCTTTTCATGGAATCGCAACGTCATAGAGATAGTTATCTTTCTCGGAATATGTATTTGACAATACAATTATATTAAGGCTTGAAAACTTCCACTCAAAGCTTACACTTGAAGTAATGAAGTTCATGAAGAAAAACAAGCATTAAAGTCACGAAGAATTTATAGCTACTGTCTTTTAATGTTATATATTTTGTATAGATGTCTATATCCGGAGAAGGGTAACCAATGCTCAGAACAGCAGCTTCTTGGACATCATTTTATCTCTCCAAATCACATGTCGCACGGTTTAAGCAACAACATCACTTAAGATAAGGTTGACGCTGAAAAGATAAGGGAGAAATAAAAATGGCTGTGATGACGGAAATGAGTCTCCTGAAGGGTTTACTTCATTTGTCAAGGTAACTTTTTATTACATGCATTGTTTAAATAGACGGTAATTTGGTCGTGTGAACGAAATTTTATACGTTAATTGGCAATGCTTTATATACGCTTAGGTACGTAATAAAGTGAACAGCTGTCTCTGCGAATTCAAACGAATCACGAGAATTCGTTTGAATTCGAAAAGTGTACGGTTTAATCGCCAAATTACTCGAAAAGAGAAGTTACTTTCTAGATTGAATCATGAAATTATTGTAAGGTAAAAATAAATTTACTATCCAAAATGAATCAAAATTCTATAACATAAGGGCTGAAAGCGAGGTTCAATTTACATGATACAAGTTGCTTGGCTTATTAATTAATGTTCTCTTTATAAAAACTAATATAAAAAAGTAGATAATCCCCTTTTTCACGAAAACCATGAATGCTTTCGTTCATGATTAGAAAGCTATATTGTATAAGGAGGCTGTCGCTCGTCACGAGATAGTTATGAGAAAGTTACATTGCAAAAGGCAACAAATAAAAACGTATATAGAGTTGATTAAAAGTATAAGTTATTGGTGCTTATTGGATGCTTTAGTTTCTTTTATGATAAGAACTCTTGTAATCAAAAAGATGAGATTCAAAAGCAAAACCCCGTTTTCGGGCCATGCTTCCCGATACCTTCTTAATCTCAAGGCACTAGAACGCCGCATGTTAACGTTTCGGTAGGAGATTTCCCTCCACGCTATCCTACTTGGGAGATGCAATAGCAAGCTTTCGCCCATCAGACCCTGAGATCACCTGCGATAGGCTTTGCTCATGGTACGCAGGGAGAGTGCGGTCGCCAACCAAAGTGTGGGCCCCTAAGCCACTGCATACTATATCGCACCCAGCTTCCGCTGCTAGTTGACATCTACTATATGAAGTTTTAGCTTTATATATATATACCAAAATTTAAAGGCGTACAAAAGTTGTGGGATGATTGTTATCGTTACTGCGCATGCCCAGATGATTTCTTTGATAATTTGCGATTAATTGAGCTAATTGCCGCGAAAGTAGTGCAAGTACTTATAGTTGGTCGTTGCCATGACCATGGACTTGGGCAACTGATCAAGTCGACTGCGCACGCTCAAGCAGACTGCGCATGCGCAGATAATTTATCTGAAAATTTGTGACTTAACGAGCTAATTACTTCACAATCCGTACAAGTACATCCAGTTGATCGTTGTCATGACCATGAACTTGGGCAGCTGGTCAGTCGACTGCGCATGCGCAGATAATTTATCTGGAAATTTGTAACTTAGCCAGTTAGTTACTCCATAATAGGTACTAGTACATACAGTTGGTCGTTGTCATGACCATGAACTTGGAGAGTTGGTGTAGTTGACTACACATGCTCAGATTTGTTCTCAATTAATTTGTGACGGAGCGGGCTCTGAAATTGGTACCATATATTTTTTCCATGCTTATTGTTTTGACAAATGCATATCAAACTCATTAACACTTTGTTGCGCCACTCGTAATATTCGTGAAAATGTTAGAAATGTTTTTATTTTTCTCCATAAATTTGTATTTGCATATTTTTTGCATAAACAATGTTCTAATACTTATGACAGATATTATAATTTTTGGATTGAGGTAGAAGAATTACTTGAAAATGAAACTACTAACAGTGAAACAAAATCAAGCATGACAGAGAAGAAACAAAGACGCCCGGTTGAAGATAGCTTTATGAAATCGAACGTAATTGAGCACCTAGCGTACGCTCGAGAGTTTTGGATGAGGACTCGTGGACCAATGAAAACACGAATGATTCCAAACATGTTGACGACTATAAAAGCTCTAGCAGGATGAGGTTCTAATACAAAATAATAACACCGAGTCTTCTGAAGATATGTTCAAAAGAAATATCGATGAATCACTTATACAGTTCGGAAGCTTGATGGCTCGCGTCAAGTGGTATATAGTAGTGGGAACTGCTGAAGATATGTAAAAATAACTGCTAGCGTCTTTCCTTTAGGACGAGGAATCTGATTTTGAAATTGAAGAGGAAGAAATTACCACAACAGATTTGCAGAAAGATTCCAAGTATACTCTGCAAAGTTTGTATATACAGATGGAGTGTTGTGAGAAGAGTACTCTAAGGAATGTTATTCGCGAGGGATTGTTAGAGCCGTTGGAACTAGCATGAACATTGATCGCATCCAATGAGTAATATAAGACCTGGTGGGAATGGGAACACGTTAACCAAATTACACTAAATTATTAGCGCGCGGCCTTTGGTCAAAAACATGGCGGATTTGGATTTTCAAAGTCAGCGGAAAAATAAAAAATAAAGAAAAAGTAAAAATTAAAAGAAAAAGTGAAGGTGAACACCACTTTTTAGTACGTGAGGCAATGTTATTCGACCATGAGCTTTTTTTCAAAAGTTTTGAACGACACCAAGTACTTTCAAAGAGCTTCTTGGTTGCCCCTAGCATCACACGCTGGAAAACAGGACGAGAACTAAGCCATCGGGCCAGACGAAAGGCTTACGGAAAGTCTGGGGTACCTGGTCACTGGTGATGTTTTTATAACTATAGCAGCAAGCTTTTGCTTAAGTGCCACAACTGTTGACGATTGTTGATTTTAAGCGTATTTCATATTAAATGAATTACGCTACTAGCATTTATTAAAGCGTGCAATTTTCACCCATCTCAAACTTTAACACTAAAACAAAAAGTTACGAAAGTTTGAAAGTGAATCTCAATCTCAAAAGTCAAAAATTACTAAAATACTAAAATTTCAAAAATTACTAAAATTTTCTAATTACCAAAACATACCAATTTGAGAGCTGGGTACAAGTGGTACAAGCATAAGTTCTTTTGTGAATTGGATTGGTGTTGGCTTGGCACAGTTTCCCCTGTCAAATGTTTTAAAAAAGTTTTCTGGTGTATCTGTGTTTCACCTTTTGGTAAACATTTTACTGTGTAAAGTATTACGATTGCATTAAGAGTAACTATAACTGGTTTTTGTCAGAATAAGTTCTGTTTGTGACATGATTACTTACAATAAAAATTTTAATTTACTGAATGAAGTTTATGGATTTTAGCAAAAATTAAATTTTCGAGCCCTTTGTTGCAATACTTTCTCTCTGCTGGTTGATCAATGCGTGAATCAAACATAATTCTAATCATTTTCACATGCAATTGTTGGTCACAACTCACAAGTGAAGTTTAACCAAAGAGGTAAGCTGTAGGAGCTTGACAATATGTTTGACATAATGGTAAAGTTGTTAATTTAATTGTAACAATTTATCAATAACTTCATTCTTTAAAAAATTGTAATTTCATATATTGTTTATTAAAAATAAGAAAACAAAAAACATCTTTATTTGTAAGTTAATACAAATTTGACAGACATGATAGCCACAGGAACTCAATACACAATTACAAATAAAAACAATCAATTACAATTATGCAGACAAGCTACATTGCAAATAAAAAGCCCCGATTCAAGAATCAAATATAAATTAGTTTAGTCCAAATTTTATACTAATAACGTCTTCATCTGAAGAACGTTCTTTACGCACAGTAGGTCTTTTATCGCTTCTATCAAATCCGTTGACCATTCTAATAGGAAACTCTTTACTAGAAAATACAGAAATGGAATCACACTAAATATATTTATTACTTTTGTCCTAAATTATAAATTCTTAGGGCAACTGCCGTTCAATATAAGAGACGTTCTAAACATGGATCTCGCATACAATTCAAGGCAAGAAACTATAAAACCCGTAAAATTATATTTGAAGAACGTATTTTACAACAAAACTGTTTCTCACCTCATATGCTTGGTATCCTATCCGATGGCATTAAAAATTTTGTCCATAAGTGAATTTAAATTCGTCAAATTTTCGAAAAACAACTCTTCATAATATTAATCTATATACATTCTGGCCAGTTTATCTGGCTGGAGTAATGGCGGACGCAAAAGATGCGCACTTAAGACTGGGTACAAGTAGGGGACAGATTTTTCGCTGAGTGGCGCTTCTGTATAAATCTATTCTGTGATACAAGTGTCAGTCAAGTGGACTTTTCGCCAGCGCTGCTTGTATGTTGCCCGCTATCTAATCTATTCTCAATGTTGTGAATTCTCGTTGGCCGCGGCTTTTCGAAGAATGTCACGAGAAAGAAATCATTGTGTAATGTAATATACTATCCAATGATGAAATGATGGCAACTTTTTTGTTGAAGCGTAAGTGAAATAATTTGCTTACTTAATATTTGTTAGTTACTGCTCGTTCTACTGCGTTCTACACTAAAGCTGCGTGGTCTTCACAGGTAATTCATCTGCAAATGTGTTTTGATAAAATGTTAGGTACAATACCCTCCTTACATAATGTATTTTGCATATTTATATGTGTATAGCAACAAGAAATAAATGAAAAACAATATCACTCATATATTTTATAGCAGCGACATTTTTGGAGTGCTTTTCGCCTTTAATTTTAATAATATAACATTTACAGTGTTTAACTGCGTTGAAAAAGACAAAAGATACATTAATATGGTAAGGCACTTTCGCAAATCTTTATGTTTTCTTGTTTTACGTTTACGAGTCTATAGCAAAATACGAAGTGCGTCGTACTTGTACGCCTTGCAGTTAATCGAAGGAATTTATTTTGAGTGCATTTTTTGAAAATTTGTGAAAAAGTATATGGTGTTTATTTTAAGTTTCCTGCCATCCCTTAAATGTAACGTGTCACCATTTTTAAAGATCTCATTGTAGTTATGTTTTTACTGAACTGATGTTCAAAAGTTTTAAACTTCAAGCTCGTCTTTAATATGGCATATTTATCAATTATATTAGTGTTCAAATAATATGGAAATGAATGGGCTTTAACTGCTTTTTCATTTCTCCATAAGAAATAATGGCTTACTCAGTCAAATGGATTCATCCTTCCAAGCTACCAAACAAATTATTCAACCCATTTAGGATTTAGGCTCAATTAGGGCTATTTTCTTGAGCATGGATAGCCAGGATTCAGTGACTATGAGGCATCTATATGTTTTTGGCAAATTAAAACAATGCTACATTCTAATAATTTTGAAGAAAGTAGCAAACTTTCAAGCCTCACTGACTCCTAGAGCTAGCCAAACTCAACATAATTTTACAGATTGTTTTCTGTCTCCATGTTGTGTTGTCAAAGACTTATTAATACCACAATTATACCTATAAATACCTCAATATTCTAATTAATAGGTTCCTAACATGTTGATCTTGTATTTTCTGCAATATTTCATCAAAGCTACTGAGGTATTTTCAACATTTAATCTAAATTTTCCATTCAAGTTCATTGATATTCTTTAGAGCACATATACAACTTCTATATATGTTTTTGTAACTTGCATTCTTGTAGAGCATTTCAACTGTTGGATGTGGTGAAACAAAGGGATGTTTGCGTTCCCTAAATAATTGCAATGGTAATGACTGTGATTTTGTTGCTACCTACACTCTCCAACCAAGAAACTTGATTCAGTTTGAACTCTTTGGAAAGGACTCAGACTGGGTTGCCATTGGATTTAGCGACGACCAGTCTATGGTAAGAAAAAAAATAGTTTGAACTTGATCATACACTTGCAACAGCTCTACTCATGTAGAAGGGAAAATTTGGGGCATTCTCAAACAGTTGTGGAGAAAATTAGCATTTTATTTTCATGGCAATATGTTATGATTGAAAGCAATAGTTTAACTGCTTAAGTATATCATAAGAACTTTTCAGAGCATTATAGTGCATGATTATGCCATCTTGCTAGGAAATAGGCAGCAATCATTGATTTCACATTTGATACACTACATTAGCTGATTAGCATGATTATTGTTTTGAAAATTACAATTTGTAAGTATTGAAACCTTGATTTTTCAAAAAAATAGTTTGACAACCCATATTTTGTAATTATTACATTGTATGCACTTGACATCCTCAACGAAATGCCAATCTAGCTTAGACTTTTCAGCATTAGCAATGTACCCACTGGACCATATCAAATTTTATAAAAAACTTTCTGGTGTGACCAAACACAGAACTGCTTCAGCCATTATATGATGCAATTGAAAATAAAGCCATTAATGTTACACATTAATAGACTTTAAAAAAACTAATTAATATAAGTCCAAATAGTGCACAAAATCTCATGAATAGACAACTACAATGTTGCGACTACACTAAGCTCCTGGTGTTTTAAAAACATACAAACCCATAGACAAACTGTAAATATACCACACAAGCTGTTTAATAAGATACGTTTTTACAGGTAGTACATATATTATCGTCAGTAAAATATGAAAAATGAGATGTTGCTGTTAAGCAAAATTATTTTTGCTATTTTCTTTAAGCCAAACACTCATTCTGTGTCCTGCTACGTGGTTAACGGGAGAGTTATTATAAGAAGTGCATATTTGCGTTTTAAAAGTTCACCTAGTTATGATGAGGTATTTACTTTATATCGATGTTTCCTGGAAATTATTAAGTTCCTAAAGTATCGGCAAATGTGTCGCGATGTACTTGAATATGAAGCTACCATCTGAATTGTTGTCATTTATTTCTTGGATGTTTTTGTAGGAAAATGAGTTGGATCTCGTCAATAGTTCTGCCACAGGAAATATAGGTTGCAGGTATGAATGGCACCAGAAGCGTAGCCAGTCCGCAAGTTTTCCTGTCCTGCTATGTAAATTTTAAGTCATTGACAGTATTCATTTCTTTAGAAATATGTTGTTTTTACAGTGAGTAAACACAGAAAAATTAACATAGCAGGACAATATTTGAAGGCTAGCTATGCCACAGATGGCACAGAAACTTGCATCATTGAACGAATGTCAGATTTCCTTAACTTATTCAAACGTGTTTGCTACCTGCAAGGAAACTCATTCAATTCATGAACTGAAAGTTATAATTTTTGTTATTTCTTTCAACTTATATGGAAGGAAATTATTTTTGTCATAATTTATTAAAAAACTCACAACTACCACCTATACGTATGTATTTATTTACTTTCAGGTTTAACTATCCTGTACTTCCTTCGAGTGTAAACTTACGTCGTCTTGATGAGAAGGTTTTCCTACTTTATGCCAAAGGTATTCAAAACGGAAGCAATATATTCACTTTTTGTTTTATTCTAGAAAAATTTCAGTGATAATATTTCTTCTTTGTTTAATTGCTTACTGTATCCTACATTTAAACTGGTCAGATGATCCAGATTTTGGCTTGCGTAGACATAGATATGTGGTGTAGTATAAATATTTATAACCAGTCAACATGGTTTAGAAATAGCAATTCTAGTTTCTCTGATGCAAAAGTATGTTTTATTGTGCTAAGGATACTTTACTTAAAAAATAAAGTTAAATCGCCTCTTCAATGGGCTTATCGTAAAAACGAACAGCACAATTAAGCAAAAGAGCTTCATTGCTGGCGTTTTTTGTCCGAAAAAATGGATGGTCTATGAATTTGTTTCAACTGTAAATGAATAAGTCGAGTAAATTAGTGACGGAAACTGTTTGTCATCTTTTTCCACTTGTGTTCAGTTTGTTGATCAGAATGCGATGAATTAAATCATGTTATGTTCACTTTCAGGGAAAGTTGACTCGTCCGGCTCGCCATTACGACATTCCACTTCTCAGTCAGGCCGAGGATTCTCTCAGAGTCGTGTTAATGTTACAAAGTTAAGGTGTAGTAGCTATACACAAGAATTCTTCGTATTGTTCTGCAATCTTGAAACTTGGCACAGATTTTACTCACTTTATATTGATTCGAAATTTTGACAGATGCACTTGACTAGATCACGTGTTTAATGACGTCACAGTTTTTGTTCAAAATATTGAAGTTTGTAAAGTGAGGTCGTGATGTACGTCATTGGAAAGGAAATTTATAGCTGATTATTTGTTTACCAAATGATTTTGGTGAATCTGATTGCGTCATCAGTTCAATTTTCTCCAACAATACTTCCTGAATAACTTCATTTTTACAATTATTTAACCTTTCAATTATTTCAAAATTTTTCATCATGCGATACAAGGTGAATAATATCTGTGCCAAGTTACGAGATTTTTGAATAATTTGAAGTACTGAAGTACCATGTATCATTTCATAAGCGACGTCACTGCAGATGCTCCAAGTAAACTGAAAAAAAAGGTTCATGGTAAGTGAAATGAAAAATTAGAAAAGATATGAATGTTATGAATCATTTCAATATACGTGGTTTGTACGACACTACATAGGACATTCCTGCAAACCTAGGAAACCTTTGGGAGAAGTCGAGAGCTGATCAGTGCACGTTTTAATTTTTCCTCTAAAATGTATTAGCGATCGATTTGCAAATTCTCTTCGAGTGATTTATTGTTTTGATTGATTTGATCTGTTTTGCACTGGCTAATGCAAACACGGCAATAGACCAATCACCACACGCGTTTATTGTTTTTATTTTATAAATGAATATCAAGGTTCACTCATGGCTACTTTTTGGATTCTCTTCGCTTCCTGGGGGTTATTTTTAGCTCGATATAATCGAGGTAATTGGCCAGATACAAAAATACTTGGAACTCCAGTTTGGTTTCAGGTGAATATTTGTGAGAAATTTTTATAATTTGTAGTTTTTTGTGATGACTGGTTCGGTAAAATTACGGAGTAGAAACTCTAATTTACGAGCCTTAAGAGTCATTGTACAACATGCTTGTGTTAAAACTGGAAATGTAAACGTTCATGAAGAAAATCATCTTTCACGGTTATGCATGCATAAAATTCTCAACTCCAATAATTGGATGAGTAACTGCAAATATTTTCAGTCGTATAGTCTTGGCATCTTGTCTGTCTTCTTTAGCTTGTGTGTTTCAACAAATGCTTTTTCAAATTCGTTTTTTTGGATGAAACGAAAATGTGAATACAGGCTATACAGCTGTTTATTCCGGAAATTGTTCTGTTTCTTTTTTAAAAAAGGAAGAACAATTATAAATGTATTATAATTAGTTACCATGTTATTCCGCTAATTGCTTTCAAGATCAGACTGTATACTGGAAACATGTTTCTTACTCTTTGGCCTTTAAAGTTTTTGGTGCACAAAAAAGTACTAAAAGAATCGATTTTATGAGTTAACCGTACGCCTCTAGTGAATATGAAAAATCATAATCTAAAGACTACATATTGTATTTTTGTGATCATATAATGTGAAGTTGTTTGTTTTTTTAAACTTAATAATGAAACGAGTTTAAAATACGACAAACTTAGCAATGAACGCATTGATATTCATAATTAAACAATTGAGTTGTTATTTTCCATCATTGTCAGGTTCATCGTTTACTTATGATCATTGTGGTAGCTGGAACTATTTCTTCAATGGTTGTTATTGTTGAAGACCTTGATGGAAAAATCACCAATGTTAGCTTCATTTTATCTGCTATTTGTTTACTTTTTTCTTTAGCTTTTAATCTTTTTCTAACTTTTGTTACCCTGTTTTGTAGCTTGGAAAAACAGCGGAAGCCCACGCATATATTGGTTTTATTGTTCTTTGTCTGGCTGTATTGCAACCTTTAGTTGCTTTATTTAGACCTAATCCTGAATCAACCAAGTAAGTATTTTATTTACAATTTGCATGTTTCAGGCCGTCGCAGAGAAAATTACAATTTTGGGAGGGGGTTGGAGAAGTGGAGATGCGACTGCGTTTAAAGGAGCTTTTGAAGGAAGTAGGGCAGGACCTTTCTAGATCATTAATAGGGAGTGTGTGATTATTCATATGCTTAGTTGTTCCTGACCGATTTGTTTTCAAAAGAAATCACTTTCCAAATTGATCAGTCGAGCACAACTGAACATATGGATAAACACCCACTCCTAACTCTAGGGATACCTCCAAAGGGGGGCATTGATGAGTGCCCATTTATTTATTAAAGATAATTAAAGGTGATTAATTGCATTGGTTTTCTTTTTTATTCAAAAGTCGTTGGATCTTCAACATTTTTCATCGATTATTTGGTTTCTCCACCTTTGTGCTAGCATGTGAGTAAATTATCTTCATATGTGTACATAAAGATGTCGAAATATTGATGAATTCCATGATGTCATTACTTTCCGTGGGTATGACATAAGCGTCCGAAGCCTAATTACCATTCTGAGTTTTGTACAGTATAAAAGTAAAAAAGTTGATTAGCTTTCTGTCGCCAAAATACAATAAGAATGAACATTGGCGTAGAAAGTCGATGTACCATTTTTGCCGACAGAACGATGATTGGAGGTTTTCCCCTGATCCGACCCCTTCCCCCCCTCTTCCACCCCCCTTCCCCCCCCTCTTCCCTGATCGCGACCCCCCCTCCTCTTCCCTGATCACCCCCTCCTCTTCCCTGATCGCGACACCCTAAACCCCTCCCTTGATTCCCTAAACCCCTCCTCTTCCCTGATCGACACCCCTAAACCCCCTCCTCTTCCCTGATCGCGACGTCCCTAAACTCCCTCCTCTTCCCTGATCGCGACGCCCCTGACTCTAAGCTTTCAAAAACATAAACGACGGCAATGTCATAGAATGGTTGCTACATCAAATTTCTGTTTGACTAACAAGATGATTTTAAATATATTTTTGTGATTTTTAACCTTCATCTAACACATGAACAGATTCGCCAAACATGTTATACCTACAATATTTTCACAACTTTGTCGCAAAACAAAACGACATGCTGCATAATATTGATTTAACTTAAATTATATCTTCTTTTATAGTCATTACTGTCTTACTTGGCCTGGAAATCTTTGAAGAAAATGACAATAAAGGTTTTTATACAGTAATCGGCTATGGTGGGTTTTTGGCTGTTGTCTTAGTTACTATGGAGATTTCAAAGTGTTTTACCAATCAAACTGAGCAAACTGTAGTAAAAGGTATTAAAAAACAGTGAAGTTTTCAAAACAAGAATGCTTTATATATTAGCTATAACCTGCCTGTTGTGCATTTTTTGCCTTTCAATCGTTTTAGCTGACGATCCTGGTGGAATGACGATGGAAACAACCATTGTTACAAATATTTACGTATGTATTTTCGTAATTATTGCATTTTGTATTAATAAAAATATCCTGTCAAATGCTGTGTGAACTCCTGAGTTGAGAAAAAACCGGCTACTCCGGCTAAATTTGATAAGCAAACGCTGGACATCAGGCCGAGCTCTGGTTCATAGCACTTGATTTTTTCGGAATATCAATAATTCATTCCTCATACTTTTTGTTGTCAATCACCTTTTTTTACATCATATAAAATATTTCCTGTAGCATCCCATGCTTTCACAAGTTTTTCTGGTTGTTTTGAGTTTTGTGTCTTTGGCTGTGACTGTGACAGTCATTTACTACATCAATGATGACGAAGATGAGTAAGAAGATGTGTTTACATCATTTTTTCACGATGCTTTTTAACTATTTCATTTTATTATGATTTCAAGAACGTTTTTATTAAGAACTGTCGCATATATTTTGTCACTGATTATATACAGTAAATATAGAATTATAAACAATTACTATGGATGTAGCTGTTCCTTACCACGGGTATCGACTAATTAGAAATCGCGTTATACATGTTATTTATAAAAGGATTATTTGTCTTTCTGTAAATAATCTTAATTAAATAATAGCAGACACATTTTCATATACATGTTTTTATATACTCTAACGACTAGTCAGCTTAACTCATTTAGCTGTATCTCATTTCACGTAAACTGAGATAGAGCTAACTTTATAATGCTTAAAACATTACCAACAAGTTTATGACGCTGAATGAAATTAGAGACATTACGTCACGAGAGAAACAAAGATGACATCACCTCATCCAGGAAACGGTATACAAACACTTCTAACATACTGCAACTTTTAATAAAATGTATAAGTTGCGTTTTGTTTTGATAAGACAAAAATAGTTAGGGGTACAATATTATCAGGAACAAATGGTGATATGAGGGACAAAGGGTGATTCAGGAACAAAGGGTGATATGAGGGACAAAGGCAATTTCGGGGTGTCCGGAAAGCCACATCGGAAATTAAAGGCGATATAAGGGAGTCATATCTTTTTTATTTCCTCTGGTTCTGGACATGATAGAAATAAAAGCAAGTCATAAAATACAACACGCACTTATACGTATATTATCTTTCTATAGTATATCAAAGACGTCAAAGTTCTTCGATGAACTGAAACCTGCCTTGAAATGAGAGTAAATTAAGCCTGTGTTCTTGCAGATTTAAAAAGTTAAATTAATCCAAGTAGACCATGCCCCCTAGCAAAGCTAGGTCCATTTACTACAAAAAGAGTAATACACCAGTTTAACAACGCTTAAGATGAAACGGAGTTTCTTCTAAAGTCAAAATATTTTACAATCAACTAAACTCATGCTAACAGCATGTATGAAAATAAAAATTATTCTTACCCAATTTTTATCTTCTTTTGCTTTATCTAAACGTCACCCTACACGAACAGAAGGAATGTTTATTATACGACAATAAATTAAAATAAAACTGCATCAAACACGTAAATCTTAGTCAAAGCTAAAGATATTGCATCATCAGAATGTAGTCAACCCATTGAATTACAATAATAAACTGAAGAAATGTTAGAAATTCAACTCATACTTTTAATTCACCGCCCATTCGGTATGTTAGCAAAGCTTGAGTCAATGCATTTGAAATATGGAGTGCAACCGAAGCGTCTTCTTCGTTTTGAACAAGTTTTGTCTAAATTGTTAAAACAAGTTTTGAATCTTTTGGAGCTGTGAACGAGGGTGAAAACAAGATAAGATGAAGCGCTTTCACAAGTGAGAATGCTTTGATGGCGATGCACGATTATTGTTTTCTCGCTCTACAATGGCTATGATGTTCAAAGTTTACAATTATACCCAATGCTAAATATAAATTAAAAAATAATCAAAATGCATGAACAAATGAGAAAACATCCACGGAAGTTAGTTATACAATTAGTTTTGTACGAGCTCCAAAAATAAACTACTAAATGAAATTTTTTTTACCAAATCACCAAGTGCCGACACGAGATGTGATGAGATTCCTCCCTATAAAAATATAGAGCCTTGTAAAATATATCATGGAATGATTAATTGTTATAAGAAATTTCAACTAAACCTTTTTTGTATTGTCAGGCTTTTGAACTGGCGCTTCTCTATAATGAGCATGGGATACTTGCAAATAAGATTGAGCTCTAGGAAGGTGCTTCTGACTAGGAGAGATGATAAATGATTTCATTCGAAAACGTATTTGGTGCTAGAGTAAATAATAGCATTATAAGATCAATATCTTTATACAAAAATGACAATTACCTATGTACATAGCTGTTATGAGGATCCACCATAGAATTTGAGTAATCAGAATGCCAATCTTTCACGTAAGTTTCGGAGTAATGGTGGTTGTATGGCTCGTGAGAAGGTTGCGAATACGTATGCGATGTATTATGGTAAGGTTGTAATATATTACATGTAGTAAATTCTTCACGGGTCAAAGATTCAGTTGATGCAGTGTATACATCACCTCTGGGGTAAGCTTTTTCTAGATTAACACCAAGGCTTTCATTTCTGACTTGGTTAACAGCACGCCCTCTATCTCTGTACTGAGTATTACCACGAGCGCCAGGCGACCCACGACCTATGAATACAACAGTAGTTCACTTTTATGACAAACTACCAAAATTATCACAGATAAAAACAATTATCAATCCTATGAACACGACCTCGAATTAACATCGATTATAAATACTACTTCAATTTGATGCGCCAGCCATGCTTACCCAATGGAAAATTCTGCTGAGATTTTTGAATGTTGATATTCGAAGACAAAACCTTCACTCCAATTTGTTGCCTTCCTTCTTCGTTCTCAAGTTTTGTAGATTCCCGAAGCAAAAGAAGAGTAATCTCAGAACGCTTTAAGTTGGCAACTCCTTTGACTGAGCCTGGTCGCTTCAGCTTCTGTAAGTTTGAGCAATAAAATCTAAAGCAACAGCGATGACTACAAATAGTCAAATATACGTAATGAATATTGAATATTTTTTAATTCACGTGTAATGACGACTCCAATATTTATTGCGTACATCAGTGTCTTGGAAATAAACAACGGCAAACTCTTCGATATAACTAATTTACTATATACATAGTAAACGTACGAACAGATGAAGTGTGTCTGTATACACATTTCAATACTAAGCTGAAGTATTGAAAGTCATTCAGACATTCGTGTTGAAAAAATGATTGTAGCCTACAATCAACTTCATGATTCTACACAGTAAGCCCGATATAGCACAGGAATACAACAGAGTTCGAACTTTACACACTTTAAGTGTCGCGCCCAGTCATGTTGCTGGCAAGCGCAGACTTAAAGTATTCACTACCGAATTTAAGTTCCGTTTTCCGGATGGAGAATGCCATTTACACAATTGTTAAATGAAAGAGTGTACGCTTGCAATAATAAAGTTGCATTTCTGATGCATTCTGTGCTTTGAAACAAGTGAATAAAAGTTATATTAGAGTGGCATGACTCACTGCTCACGGAAACATTGAACATTGACACTTTTCCTCGTCCCAGGACAAAACAGGTGTATTCAAAAATACCTAATTGAGAGTTTACTGTACAAACTATAAGGCTAATCATTGAATGTTAAGAAAACTGCGTGAATCTAAATTGCCGTATACTTCCTAGAACCGTTAGGAAAGCAGGCAGCAAAAATAAGGTCAAATAAGTTTTGCGTATCCTAAATCTGATTTTTTTATACTTGTTTCAAAATGATCCATGGGCTTCAAACTCTTTTTGCTTTCAAGAATAAAGCAAAAAGAAGGTATTATACTCACCAGTACGTTCGTACGATGTTTTTGTCCAACCAGATGTGCAAATATCGTATTACTAGCAAATTTCAGTTTGCAAATAGAACATTCGAAACGAACGACCTGTCCAGCTTCCTGGATTTCCGTCAAGAATTCTAGGCCTGTGATTTTTGAATAGTAATATACAGTGCATTATGGGATAACAGTGAAATTGAATGACTGAAAACCACTTTTTACATTGTAAAGAATGGAGTTTTCAGTTTTCACTGCACATAGCTTGCAGGCTTTTGCAAAGCTATCGCAAATATAACACATAGAATGAGTCGTCGCTTAAAAACGCGACAAAATAATGATTCAAGATGCCGTACTCACAAGGGTCAAAAATTTAAAATTAACAAACAGCGCACTAAAGCAAAAACGATGTTCAAACAAAATACGTTCTTGCGTGACGTGTTTTCACGTGACGTTAACACGTGATAAAATCCAAGTTTCGATACCAAGATTTAGATATTTTTCTTCCAACATGGCAGCCAGTGAAAACACTTCATGTAAGTTTCGATCACTATAGTTGGATCAGAATTTTTAGAGACGAAACGAGTTATTGTGAATGTCTTGCAATTTGAAGACATACGTACACTTTTAGTGAAGAATATAATTCATCTTTCGATATAATAATATAGTAAACACTGGGTATCAATGTAACGAAGAAAAAAAAATGTATGAAAATATCGTTTTCCCAAACATTATCATTTTGTCCGCTCGTGAGGCACCTTGTATAAACAAGAATAAAATTTCCCTTCTTCACCATGCAACTTAAATAACAACAAAATATATGGGTAATCAAGCAAAGTTGTCAGATGAAGAGTTCTTAGTTAGCAAGATGCTAACGTCAACCATCGTGATTGAAAATGCACTTTGTAGGGGAGGGGTGGGTTGGGCTGCCATGAACAAATTAACATGGTTGATAACTTAATATTGTAGCATTTGGTGGTATTTTTTTCCAGTTTTCTCTGAAAAATGGAAAGACATCACCTTCATATGAAAAATTTTTTAAACTCTTATAATGATGATGATGTAATAGTCAAACGTTAACAATAATCAAGCATATTAATGGCTTGTAAAAAAAGACAACAGAAAACAAAATATGTTTTCACATAGGATTTAGCAAGAAGCATAAAAATACCTATAAGTGGCTCAGGATAGTTGTTGAATTCATCAGCTGAGAGTGGACGTACGACATGTTTGGTTTGATTTTTCTGAGGTCTGCTATAAGGCTTCTGTTTATGGCTCATTCCTAATCGAGAATTTTTTATTGGTCCTAACAAAACATATTATAAATTAATGTAAACTAAACTAAACTGTATAAAAAACTGTATTATATGTAAAACTACATAACAGCTTTTCTTTGCATGAAAGTGATTTTAAAAGGTGTCGAACGATAGGATCTTTGAATGAAAAGAAGTTTTTGATAATTCCTGAAACTTCCCATCACTTTTCCACCAGAATCAGGGAACACACCACAAGTGACAAAAACTTACAGATCTATCCACACCTTTTAAAATCACCTTCATGCAAAACTAACTTTTCCCCTCTTGCTTTAAAATCATCGACACCGCAGATACTGCATTTGCACTCAAAATCAAAGAAGCACTTCACATTAACAAAACTAACCCTGATCTCAACGTTCAAGTTTCTCATTTTAACACTATATTCAGCCTGTAAATACACTCATCTGATCATTAATTCTAACCACTATTTCATTGTAATCTACTCATAATTATATAAATTGTATCACTGTATCATATTACTCATATATTTCTATCACATACATAATACTCTTTCTTTTATCCTGAAGATGACATCATGAGATGTTGAAACATGTTGTGAATGCGCTTTATCAATAGTGCTTCTATGCAGTTACAGTAATTTTCAAAATGTTGATTATAATTTTCATTGCAAACCACTCTAACTTGGTGGCAAGTTCAAAAATTCAAAACATATTTGACCACATCAACATTTCCAAAATGAACACTTCACCCAATAGATTACTATTTTTTTAATGATTACATATGTAGATGCAGTTTCAAGATCAAAATTTGACATGCAGGATTTAGTGAAGCTTTAAAAAACTGTAAATACAAAAGTTATTGAGCACATCTGCAAATGAAATACTGCTATGTACCTGTATCATGTCCAATTTTCTCTTCAGCTTTTGACTCACCAATCATTTCTAAAGTCTGAATATGAGATAGAGATTTCTAAATCAATTCTGGTCATACATATCAGCACAATTGACACACTGTTTAATTGTTGATACATAAAATCACACATCTTTCTTATGTGATGGACTTATTTCAAAAAACTAATTAGAAAAATTTATCTCTACTTGAAGTTTTTTTACATTTCCTGTGAGTGATGTGATGATTATTTATCTAGTATTTTACAAACCTTTCTATGTCTGGTTCCAAGTAAATGAGACACCCAGTTTTTTTGGTTAGTACATTGAGCCACACACACCTAGAAAAGCAAGTTAATTACACTCATTGGAATATAAAGTGACAAGTGCATCTTTCACGTAAAAACCAAAATCTAAGATTTTAATACTTACATCACAGAAAAAAGTATTTGAAACTGGTTCGGCAGATAAGTGAATATTGTAAGCCTTGGCTATGTTCTTTAAGTGGCTTTGTTTAAACACATGCTTTGAAAATGTCTAGATGAACAAACAAAATACTTATTTAGAAATTTCAATTCAAATAAATTCCATTTTAAAATTTTTAGTTGTGTTTACAGGCCAATCGTCAGCTTGAAAATTACAATGTAGACAAAATCGCATTTCCACGTCTGACTGGGGCATTTGAAACAAACTAGAGTTGTTAGCTTTTACTGGAGTCGAGTTTTGCTCATTGGAAGTTTCTTGATATTCTTTCCACATATTCGCGTTATCCACAGGATGTTTTGTAGATCGTCAATGAAGTTTGAAAATTAATATCTGACGTCACATTATGATGACATAATTACGCGAGGGGATCTGTTGGAGAGGGGATCTGTTTGGATGGTTAGGTGCAGGTGAAGTATAAGCCAGCCCAGTAGGCAGCATCGTCGCTCGCCGCTCATTGGCTATTATTTTATAAACCTTGGTTACACTTGGTTATTTTATTTTCACAGTCACACCACATTCAATGCATGACTGGACTCATCAGGCAACACTGTTCGTACTTTGTGTGAGAAATGGACAGCTATGAAAAACCTCTTTTCGCTGAGCTGCGTGAGTGCAACAAAGCAGCAAATTCAAAAACACGGATGCCCAGCAGATCAATAGTAACTTTGGTGCTTGTTCTGCTTGTGATCTTGATATTTTTGCCTTTTGCGATCTATTTTATTTCGTCGAAATATGACAGTAAGTGGTCTACAGTGTAAATCAACAAAGTCATGAGGTTTATATTTCTCTGTTACCGTACATTATAACGACTTTGTAGCATCTTATTACAGTAGAAATTTTCAGTTTTTCCGACACTGGTTGTTCTGTCGCATTAAGGCATAAATTATGTCGCAATGTTAAATACTTAATTGGCATCATAATTAGTTTGTTAAAAAATTATTCACTGGTATTATGATCATGATTATTTCAGGTGCAAAAATAATATAATATAAATAAACTAAAGTATCCAGTATTTTACCTTTATTAAAATAAACAACATAATACAAAACAGTATGCATGGCATCATTGCAATGTGTATGTTTCAATTATTACTTTGGAAGCAGTATGTTGCAATATTTTAAATGTTTTTACATTTATGCATGCATATCCTTTTGTTATCTATATTTTTGAAATCTGGAAACAGTATTAATTGTTTGAAATTTGAAAAAAGTAAATACATATAGTCCCTTCTTACATTTTTGAAGCATAAATTTATGTTACATTTTTTGATTTCTTTTTATGAAAAGTGCCGAGTTCCTGGATCAAGTTAGGGTTATTTTTATTAATAAAATTTTTACGTTTTTCCAGTTTTATTTTTAAATTTCATATTTCTGTTTTCATATTACAGACTTTCAACATTTGAGCAAGTTTGATCCACCTCCTCGGGATGACATTGCAAAAACTGGTATTGACTTCTACGTAATCATTAAATGTAGGATGTATTGGTGGTGCAATACCTCTTAAGTCACCGACTGCCAAATCTCCTTGTTTCAAATAGCTGTTTATAGCTTAAAATAAACATGGAAATAAGTTCACCTAAATTTTTCCCAGGTCACAAACTAAAGCTGTTACATTATTTTAATGTTAGCACGCTATGCTGTACACAATCTTGATTGGGGTGTGATATCAACAATTTCCATTGAGTTTGGTGGATTCCCATCTGGTAGACCAGTTTCAGTTGCTGATGGTCCAATGGACAACAGTACTGGCATACCATATATTTACATTGCACCAGCTACTCCTACAAGCCATGATTTGCAGTTCAACACATCTGCATCATTGAGTTTTTCTGAAGCAATGAGTGACTACTGCTCTAGAAATCAATACATTGCAGAAGATCCAAGATGTGCAAGAATTACTTTATATGGAAATGTACGCATGTAACAATGTAACTACAAGTTTAGTAGTTTGTTCATGACATTAACTGCTTCACCATTTATTATCCAATTTTTTCTGTGATAATCACATGTGATTTTTTAAGATTGTAAAAGTGGGGCAGGAAGAAATACCGTTTGCCAAAAAGTCACTGTTTTCACGAAATCCTATCATGAAACGATGGCCTGCATCTCATAGTAAGTTTGCTTGTGGTTTTCATTACGTCCTTTAAAACTTTTTCCTGTGGCTGTAGGAATCCCATTGATCACTCTTGCTTGTGGATTTCATCCTTGTACTCCAGTGCCTTTACTATTGGACTTATTTTTATTAAATAATCAATTTTCTTTAGAATTTTACTTTGCAAAACTTGAGATCAGCCACGTTCGTCTTCTGGATTATTTTGGTCCTTGCCACGAAATACCATTGAAAGACTATTTTGCTGCCAAAGTTTAGCAGTTTAGCGGTTTAGTTTGTAATTATTTGGTTTTCCTATGTAGCTACATAACTAAATCAGCATAGCTTTTATTAGACATTGTAATTTTTGTTATATAATATGAATATAATTCGTAATATATTTTTTATTCACATAATATTGGTTGAATGATCATTAAAGAAGTTGCGATGAGGAAATGTATTGTGCAGCTCAGATGCTTCGGGAGCTACTTCCTACTTACCATTTCAAGAAAAAAATTTTCTTCCAGATATTGCCTGACGAATGACAATTGTCAAGCTCTGAAATGAATAAATGGAAGAGAGCATTACTACTTTTTTTGTTATTAATCTCGCTAACAATTTATAACTCGTAGTGTGCATATTTTATCAAGGATTTTTTTGCTTACAAGTTACAATCGTCATTAAAATTTTAAATATCCTCCAATTTGAGCGCATTTAAGTTTTTAGCTTAGAAAGAAAATAATCACCTAACCCCTCGAATGACCTGCAAGCCAACATTGTCCAGGTTTCAATTAATTTGAAGAGGAGATAAAGTTGTACAGAAAAGGCTTTTTCTGTATAAATAAATGATACAAGGAAGCCAAGAATACCTGGTTCTTTGAAAAGACTAATCAGATTTACTCCAAATGTTGCCAAGAATTGTTTGTTTTAAAAACAGCTTTCAGAGGGTCGTTTTTTATTCATTTATTCAGTTCTGCCTGACTGATTTCTTTTGAAATCAATTCACTCAAATTAAGCAACTTACTTTCAAAAGAAATCACTCGGACAAAACTGAATTAACAGCCTACCCTAATTGGCGCTCTCGGGAAGACTCTGGTAGCTTCCATATCATATTAAAGTTATTTGTGTAATAAGTGTCAATTCAAAGAAATTGAATTTACTTTTTAATTTCAAGTGTTATAATTTATTTATAGTAGGTAATATATCGCTTCGTTCGTTCGGGTGACTGTCCGTCATGGGGTGCCGCGGCAACGCGTCTGTGACGTGCATCGTCTCCAGTCTCCATTCCCCAAACACGACACTATTTTTCATATTCCTCTCTATGAGTTGGTGGTTTGCAGCCTCGTGTAACGGATTTGTAATAAATTTTGATCTTTTTTCACATGTTTTTACTGAAAATTCTGTTGTATGTTACGATAGTTGTCTATTAAAACTTAGACTGCTGACAACGAGCGATTTACTGTATTATTATTCTCAAATATTTTCGTTTGAAACCTCGGATTCAGATGTCAACACGAAAGGTGCTAATTTGTAATCTTCCTGAAGACACTACTTCAAATGTGAGTTTATGCTATTTTTTGCACCGTGTAAATATTCAATCATTTACTGACCACCAAAGTACAGATACTCATTTTCCAAAGCCTTATGAAGTCTATCCAACCTTACTATTTATAAATTAAAAAAGCTATTTTTATACCACTTCATACATGTTCTTATGAACAACTATTAATTAATCTGTAGTGTTATACTTATGAATAACTTATGTTATAAGAATGTCTTTATTATTACTTTTTCTGTTTGGAATGTAGTTAACACTTTCTAAGGATTTTCTAACAATACAATTTTCGAACAGTGTGTTTATGAAAGAATCATTCAAGCATCAATATTTTCACATCTAGCATCAACATCTGTTTTTCCATGTGCAATTTCTAATTTTCTGATATTTGTCATTAGTTTTCAATTGTGTTTTTAAAATTACATTCTCAGACTGGAACTTTGGTGTTGTTTTCTAAGCATGGAAACTCAAAAAATGTGCTACTTACATGCCTTAGACTGAGTATCAAATTTGTTTATGACTTTTTTGCATTAGTATTGCATGTTTTTTGTAAAAAGTTTGCTATGCTGCAGTTAATTTTTTCGCCACGCATAAGCGTTTGTCACCAATTCCTTTATAACTTGCAATGTAACTGATGTTTATTATTGCAATGATAAATTAACATGACAGGGTAGGTATGTGTAAATATATGTTTTACATATGTAGAGCAAAAATATGTTGTTGATGGTCATTTCTTTCAATGTTAAGGTTTACATTATAGCCAAGGAACTAGTATAGTGTGTAATGCCTAATGTCAATTCAACTTTTATGTTAAGTTAGCTATTTTTGATTGTAAATGTTATGAATTAGTTGTGCCTATCAGAATGTCATCAACTTACTTATTCGCTATGAGCATAACAATAGTAAACTGTACATGATTCTTGTAGGAAATCATTCAGGAGCTGTTTAAATCACAGCATTTTAAGTATTCAGATATAAAATTTCATGGAGACACAGGTATGTAGTTATTCATGTACAATTATCTCCAGTTCATTATTATTTACCATTGTATTTTTTGTATTACAGCTGTTGTTACTCTGTCCAACCCAAGTGAAGCAAGAAGGGCTGCTAAACTTATTAATGGACAGTTATTTCGAGGCATAAGAATCTCAGTTGTTGAAGCACCACCCTCTGAGTTATCTTCTGTCAATACTCCATCATCAAATGGAAATAGTACCTTTGTCTTGGTTGGTAATCTTTCTTTTGACACTACAGAAGCTCAATTCAAAGACTTGATGAGTCCACATGGAGAAATCAAAAATGTTATCCTTGTTCGTTGTAAATTATCCAGGAAGAGTAAAGGCTACGGTTTTATTGAATATAAGCATAAAGAAAGTGCAGCTCGGGCGAGAGATCATTTTTCTAACACTAGTGCAAAATATGTCGATGGCAGAAAAATACGGGTTGAAATAGTTCCTAAAAGTGTCACGGTTGGGGAGGCAAAACATTCATATTCTTTGTTTATTGATAAATTACCCAAGGGATTTGATAATGAAGAAGAACTCCGAGGATTGTTCAGCTCAGTGGGAACCATCACTTACTGCAAGGTAGGTAACAAAATCTAGAAATTAATGAATTTTATGGAAATGAAAAATATTGAGTATGAAATTTATGATTGAAGGTATTGTGTGATTTATATTGACTGTGGATGATAGTGCTTATAAAAGGGCCTAGAATGTGCAATTTTATTGTATTTTTTTCTACACTTAACCAACTAGATTGCAAGAACAAAGCAAGGTCAGCCTGGTGGTTATGCATTAGTTGATTACACCACTGTACAGGCAGCTGAAAGAGGACAAACAAAACTTGATGGTAAAAGGCTTTGGGATTCTAACATTCGTATTTCTTTTTCTACACCTGGAAAAACTGCTCAATCTTTGATTGCCAAACAGGAAGATATGGTGAGAGAAAAATTCAGTGTAAACTTGCTAACATACATTGATATTATGTTTTAACTTTTTGTATTAAGACTATCAATGCAACTAGTTAACAATAATTAACATGTTGTAATATTTAAGTCAATGTGATGATTTTTTTGTGTTTATTTACACATTTGTCTACATATGTTATGTATTGGCTGTTACTTATGATATTTGAACATATTTAGTTTGGTTTTGATTTCTGTGGTTCACCACAAGTAATGAATCATTTGGCACCAAGAATACCTCCAAACTTTAATCCAGTGGTAAGTTCTATTTTTAGGATTTTGTACAATTTGTATCAAATGTTTGTTATATATATGCCATGAAGCTTGAAATGGTTGAAACCCTAAATATTAAACAAATTTTGCTAATCAAACAAATTTTTCATAATATGACAAAATCTCTGTTTCTGGCACTGTTTTTACATAGTTTGAGCTTGCAAGGCAATTGTCTATTATGTTCTTGAAAGTTACTTCAACAATGCCATTTTCCAAATTTTCATATCTGCTATTTTGGGTATGCAAACCTTCCTGCTAAAATTTAAAATTTCTAAAAAACATGTTATATTTTAGTTGCAAGTACCCATTAATGCTTTTGATATTCATGGTATGCCTGCACCTGTAAACATGTTTGGACCTATGGGACCACCAGGTTAGATTTTAAATATTTTTATCTGTTACTGTGAAAGGCAAACATGGCCGAAGTCAAAACTATTATATTGCTTTAAAAACATCTGGAAAATAGAAACATTAGTTTTTGATTATTTACATTACATTGAATTGAAAATGCCCACTCCCTTTCATACATCATTTTCATTGTGTGAAGTTGTGCCAATTAAAGTATAGTTACTGGCTTTTTGTGCAAGATTTTTATGATGGCTGTTGGTATTATGTTGCTTAGCTTACATTTTAGCAGTTTTAGTAAATCATTCAGTATGTTTGTTTATTGTCCTAACTTGTCATAGAATATCTTTGAAGCATGATTTATGTTTTTTTATTAAGTTGCATTGTCTACACCACCATTGAGAGTCCCTGTACTTCAACCAGCTGTATCTCATGGATGGAATCCACGTCTCAGAACTCCTCCCAATCCCAATGTACTGCGTCCTCTTATGAAGGTATTTCGCTACATATGAAAAAAATGAATTTTTGTGTAGTTTCCAAATTAAAGCTTGTATGTTGTTAGTTGGGCATGTTAGTTGGTCAGTTGCAGATGATTTTATGAAAATAATCATAATTTTTTAGCATCGTGCTCAAAAAGACAGAACCAATGCCGTCAAAATGAAGTCGAAGACAACTGTTGAAAAAAAGCCAAAGGAATTTATTAAAAAAGATGATAATATAAAGAAGGGAAAGGAAGAAACGAAGAATGTAATCAAGAAAGATGATTCAAAAACTGAAAAAGTTTCTAAAAAAGCTGATGAAGCTGTAGAACAAAACATGAATGAGTTTTCAGGAAAGGTAATTTTATTGCTTTTTTTATTAAAACTCCAAAACATTGATGTCTGTCTAAAAATAGTAGTGTTTATCTTGTTTCGTTTGATTTGGTAGGGGCCAAGCAAATCAAACGAAAATTCAAATGAAAAAGATACTGTTGACGAGGAAGGCAATGGTAATTAACCTTAAAGACAAGCGTGCACTTGCCACATAGCATTTGCTGCACTAAAACAAAAACCAATCCAGACAATGGTGCTATTCATAGACCACCGCCAATTTAATATGAATTCTATGTTTCTTTTAAGGTCTTACACGTGTAGTCTTTGCGGACGATGAAGAGTTGAAACTGTTCAAAGAATTTCAAAAATTTCAAGAACTTATGAAGAAACAGAAGGAGAATTCTCAAGTAAGTATTGTAACATTTGTACAGAATTCATGTCTTTGCACTCGTTTCGCTTCTCACAAAAAAAAGAAGAAAAAGATTAAAGCTGAAATTGTTACGTGGTTGTATGTATGAGTTTTTGTGTGTGATATTGTGCTGTTGAAATCATGAAAACTACATTAGCTTTTGTTTTTCCACAGTCAAACGAACATAGAACGCTGTCATTACAAGACTTGATTTCAGTTGCAGCTGGTACAAGTCAAAATGAAAAAAGTAAACCTGAAAGTAGTCATTCTCAAAAAGCAAAAAAAACCTTATCTGAGGAAAATGTTTCTCACTTTGCTACAAAACCATCCATGGCTCCTAAAGAACCTTCAATAGCCCCAACAAAACCTTCGATAGCCCCTACAAAACCTTCGATAGCCCCTATAAAACCTTCAATAGCACCTATTAAACTATCTCCTGCTATGGTCAAGTCTTCGATGCCTACAAGAAATCAACCGGTAGTGTCCAAAAATGCATCTGAAAATTCGAAAGTATCGTCTTTTCCGTCCAAACACAACTCAAACGTTGAGGCAAACAGATCAAATTCAACAGCATCAACTTTTACACCACAGCGACATCGTCACGAAAAATCGACTCCTCCAAAACCACAACAAGTCCAAAAAAAACCACTTTCTCTCATGGAATGGTCTCAACCGGAGGAGAGGAAATCTAATGATGCTCGCAGCTACAATAATCGTCAAAAAAAGGAAGGAGAGGTTTCGAAAGAAAGTGTCAAGCAGGTAAATATTATGTCTTTTTGAGGCAAATAAAGTAATCAAAAAGTAACAAAATGTTTTGTCCAGTGAAGCTGATTAAAAGACAATCGTCGGTGATCTATTTTGATTGCATAGATTTTCATTTAGAAGATTTCTTCACGAGCTAATCCGATGTTTTAGCATTACGTTATTTGATAGAAGTACAATACGAGCTTCTGCATTTTCATGTATTGTCGTCATAGTAACGTGAACACCTTTTGTGTATTCTAGGCTCCTTTGCATAATGATGTTTCTTCGTCTTTGAAAAGGAAATCGCTGCCATCAAAACCTCCTAGTGTTGACAATTTCTTGAATAACTATTTTGGTGGAAAAGTACCGAAAGAACAAGGTATACAGCAAGAACATTGCATAACTATGAATGACTTTGTATTGTATTGTAGAGAGGTTTCATATAGTGTGATGAATGATAAGGTAGGAATGCTCAATAATGATGAAAATTTCCTTTGACTTATCATCTCCAGTTGTTTATAACAATTGTTAAATGTTTTTTTGTTGCTTCCACTTACGTAATTTTATTGATTTTAATTGTTGTTTCCACTTCGTCAGTTGTTGCTTCCACTTACGTAATTTTATTGATTTTAATTGTTGCTTCCACTTCGTCAATTCTTGCTTCCACCTACGTAATTTGATTGATTTCAATCTGATCATTCTTATCGTAATCTACTCTAGATTTTGGCAATCAGCGCAAAACAAATGATAATCAGGTACATCGTTTTTCATTTCACGTGACTTAATTCAAATAATTTTTTATATTACTCCCATTGTTTTTTTTCTCAACGTTTAAAGATCGATACACGAGTTCCTTATGGTAATGTTCATAAAAGTGGTGAAAAAATGTCATCTGTTGGTGATGTAACACACGGAACATCAAAATCAAACCTACCATTTGGTCAGGTAAGTGTTTTTAATACCTACGTATATACACACTAGTTGTTTTTTTACCAAGGAACCGCTTTTTCTCATTTGCTCAACTGAAAGGCACAGTAATTTTAAATATCGCTGTTGATCTACCGTAGCTTTCCGTGAGGTTTTAGTTGTTGTGCACATGCTTAAATTTCAAGTGCACTGTGCCTTTAAAAAAGATGTTGAAAGTAAAACTTTTATTCAATCAAACGATAAAGTCGCTCATAAAAAAACTTCAAGGAAACATAAAAAATCAAATAACGACTGTTTTATTGCGAATCGGCTCGATTTTTATTTTACTTTATGTTTCATACATCGTTCGGTAGTCATTGTACATATTGTTTAATATTTCATGTTGCCTTATGCGTTTGGGATATTTTATTAATGTTGCTGTTTATATGTAGGCTGCACTTGTCGCAGAAATTTGTTGATCTTGTCCAGCAAATTAAACTGCACTCTGATTCGTTTTACAATTTTGATATTTGATAAGAAAGAACAGCGATATTTACTGAAAAATCTTCGACAAATTTACAGTCTCATCAAATAACAACTGTTTCGGGCTCTAAGCAACTCTCGATCTGAATGACTAACTAAATTGAACCTCTCTTTAATAAGAATTGGTAACTTTCCTGAAAAAGTGACATTAAAATATTAATTAGGAAATTACATGCAAATAATTAGGAAACTACAATATACATATTAATTTATCATTTTAAGTAAAAGGAAATCAAGAAAGTACATAACACGCAAATCGAAAGTTAATCGAACACACACAAAATGCAACACTTACACTGGCAACATTTCTTATAAAAATGCGTCCGTCATATTAACCTCTTCAACCGCAAGTATTGCGTATTTATATCGACATTGTAAAACGGTAAAAACTTTAAAACAGTCAAAAAAATTTTGGATTAAATAAACTGTCGTGTACATCGTCAAATATGAAATTCTTGACGTCATAACATTGAAGTAGCGGTTGCTCAGTGTTTTCATTCGATTTCGTTTTCTGTGACAAAAGAACAAAATGATGTTTACAATGCACAATACATTTCAAAACATGCAATGAGGCTTTAGTTAAGGTAATTTTATAGTTGTTTTTTTTGCTGTAAGGACATTTGTTGTTCACATTGTATTTTTGCAAATTGATCATGAGATAGTGGTCTTTTATCAACATTTGTTGTTTACAATGTATCTTTGCAAATTGTTCTTCATACATTGGTCTTCATTGAACATTTGTTGTTTACAAAATATTGTTGAGACAGTAGTCTTCGGTGAACGTTTGTTGTTTACAAATTGTTCTTGAGACAGTAGTCTTCGGTGAACGTTAGTTGTTTACAAAGTATCTTTAGAAATCGATGATGAGACAGTGGTCTTTTGTGAACAGTTGTTGTTTACAACTTTTTCTTCAAGCAGTGGTCTTCAGTAAAGATTTGTTGTTTACTAATGGTTTTTTAGACAGTGGTCTTCGGTGAACGTTTGTTGTTTACAAATTAGTCTTGAGACAGTGGTCTTCATTGAACACTTGTTGTTTACAATGTGTCTTTACAAGTTGTTCTCGAGACAGTGGTCTTCGGTGAACGTTTGTTGTTTACAAATTAGTCTTGAGACAGTGGTCTTCATTGAACACTTGTTGTTTACAATGTGTCTTTACAAGTTGTTCTCGAGACAGTGGTCTTCGGTGAACATTTGTTGTTTACAAATTAATGTTGAGACAGTGGTCTTCATTGAACACTTGTTGTTTACAAATTAATGTTGAGACAGTGGTCTTCATTCAACACTTGTTGTTTACAAATTAATGTTGAGACAGTGGTCTTCATTCAACACTTGTTGTTTACAAATTAATGTTGAGACAGTGGTCTTCATTGAACACTTGTTGTTTACAAATTAATGTTGAGACAGTGGTCTTCATTCAACACTTGTTGTTTATAAATTAATGTTGAGACAGTGGTCTTCATTGAACACTTGTTGTTTACAAATTAATGTTGAGACACTGGTCTTCATTGAACACTTGTTGTTTACAAATTAATGTTGAGACAGTGGTCTTCATTCAACACTTGTTGTTTACAAATTAATGTTGAGACAGTGGTCTTCATTCAACACTTGTTGTTTACAAATTAATGTTGAAACAGTGGTCTTCATTCGACACTTGTTGTTTACAAATTAATGTTGAAACAGTGGTCTTCATTCAACACTTGTTGTTTACAAATTAATGTTGAGACAGTGGTCTTCATTCAACACTTGTTGTTTACAAATTAATGTTGACACAGTGGTTTTCGGTGAACACTTGTTGTTTACAATGTACTATTGTAATTTTACTTTGCATTTTCACTTTAAGGTGCAAGTTTTACTTTTGTAAATTAAAACGAATGACTCTGAGTTTGAAGCAATGAAGTGAATTCTATTTTATCAATGATTCTTGCAATCTTGTTTATCAATACCTTATCTAATATGTTTTATCTAATGATATCTTCAGTTGTCTTAAGAAATCTTGAGTTAAGACTATCTGGTTGAAATAAGTGTATGGTATTTACAGCAAAGTTGCGATTCAACTCGCTCGAAAAAACTTCTTGTTTTTCCTGCATATTTTGATTTCACACAAAGCAAACAAAAAATTTAACAAGGCTCTTAAAAGCTTAATGAATCGCTTTCGCTCATCTCACCTTGATGTAGTGCTGTTTTTACTCAGCTGTTCTCCCTGTTGAAGGAAATATCGCTACTGATTTTTTATAGCAGATCAAATAATCGTCATTAAATTGTTCTTTCGTGGGCAAGAATTAATCTAAGCAAGTTCGAAATGGTTCATTGTGGTTGTAATGTTTATAGTAAAGATGTTTGCAGCAGCTTCTTGCATCTTTTGAGGAATCTTTGGGTCCTTGAGCAACCTTCAATTTTCCTAAAATATTGTGCTTCCATCTTCTTAATTTGTGTTAGCTTTCTATTTTTTTAAGTGAGCATTTCATGATGACGAAGAAAAAATATTTGTTGCATTATCAAATCGTCAGTCCACTGTGTAGCCATAAAGACAGACCGTAAGAGGTTTTCATAAACTTCCTCATTATAGTCTTATCTATTTGTATGGTAATCTTACGGTTTTGTCAACCATTTATCTTTATGATGATATCCAATTTTTCTTTTTTTCCGCTACTTAGCTTTCAGGCCTGATCATCAGCTTTGTTATATTTGACACACACCTTATCTAGTAAGAAAATACATTTTGTCATACATGTTATACTTTCTTTTCTTTTCACGGTTCATTTCAAATATTTTTATCATCTGTGTCATTAATCACCAGTTCATTGTCATCATTTTACACTTTGTGCATTGTAAGGTGCACTTTGTGCAAAGTTTTGTTCACTATCAAGTTTAGTTTCTTTTGTCATCTCTCCCGATTTTTTTATTGTTTATCTGATATATGTGTGATATAAAGCTGTACTTACTCATTGACAGTACTCACTCGAAAATGGAAAATGTTGAATGTTTTCAACAAAGGTGATGTTTATTATTCTCTATATTCTCTTTTCTTCTCCAGGTCAATCTATTAACCTTTTTTCATTGAAAAAAAAACCCCAAAAAATAGCTTAGTCACATAAGTGTCACACGAAATCTCTCACTGTTAAATCACGCAAGATGAGCATTCATTATCATTCAGAATATCATTGTTAATGAACGTAAAAAAATATTGAGCAAAGAATCTATCTAGTTTTTAATCAACTATATCCTAAAATACTAGCAACATTAGAAACTTGGAAATATGTGGTTAGTTTTAAAACGAAGGAAAAGTATATCATTACAAAACGGTTTGTGAAGTCATCTACGTATAAATACAACTCTTGTGCTTTCATATCTTTTGATAACCATGTTTGACAAATTTTCCACACAGCAATATCAAAGTACAGATGGTCGTGATTATTCGTCTAAATATTCGCCTATGAAACAAAGACAGAATCATACTTCGCAAGAGGCTTTAAAATCGCGATTTTCTCTGCAAGACAGATTATATTCGGCCCGTGGGAGAGACGATTCCTTTCCGTCTACTTCATTTAATTTTGATAGACAGCTGGAACGAGAACCTGTGACATATCCCAGACCTCGAAGCGACTATCCACGACAAGATCCTTCTGCCCGAGAATTTGATCCTCCTTCCCGAGAATTTGATCCTCCTTCCCGAGAATTTGATCCTCCTTCCCGAGAATTTGATCCTCCTTATGGATCTAATCAGTCACGTGATTCTTTTGACTCACCTGGTTCCCAACGCGGAAATCATGCCACCCGTTACGAAGTTGTTCAACGCTCATTTGAATCTTTGCGTGATATATTACCTCCACGTGATAATGCACGTGACGTTTTGCCTTCCCTTGATCGATCAGTGCGGGATTTACCTTCGGATTTACCTCATCGTAATTTTCCTCCACGTGATAATGCACGTGATGTTTTGCCTTCACGCAACCGACCAGTGCGAGATTTAACAACAGATCTCCAACATCGTAGTTTGCCTCCCCGTGATATGTTTCCACATGAGATGAACAGATCTCGCGACGCTTTACCATCACGTGATCTTCCTCGTGTTTTGCCACGTCGAGATGATAGGCCAGTGCGTGATTCGTACATTCGTGACAGGGAAATTCCGCGTGAGCGAGAAGCCTTACCATATGCTAATTCACGTTTTCAGCCTAATGCACGCGAGCCAACGGATTATGGTCGTTTTGAAAGAGGTGCTGGTGTTCCACGTGACCATCCAGGTTACAACAGGGAGGAAGAACCTCGTTATGGAAGAGATATACCATCACGTGAATCACGTATGGGTGGTATGCGTGGTCCACCAGGTCGATATGGTGGTATGGATGGACCACCTGTCAATAAACGTCCCCGATACTAGGAACAATTCTTCATTTTATTCAACACACTTGTCATCAAAATACATGCCAAAATTTGCCCTTGATACCTGGCTAAAGTTTCTTTTTCGATGTGTACATTTATTAGGTGCATTTTGA